GTGTACGAGAGAGAAGTGGAAAGCTCTCAAGGACGAGTTGTCGAAGGATGTGGCGGGCACTCAAGCTGTTGCTCGCCGTTCTCGGCGTAATGATCCACGAAGCTCAGGTAAGAGCGTCATTGTATCGCAAAAACAAAACGTAAGACACTAACTATCGACTTTATTTTATAAAAGATTGAAACCGTGTTGCCATTAATGTTAGGGTTGTATTACCGACCTCGCTACACTCTTCCCCACATACTGCCGTACTCTAGTCTGCCGAATACTTCGCTATGCAGAAATTACATGCATTAGCACAAGTCATTTTTGGAACTTAATAGAATTTTAGTACTTTAAGAGTACGTCGAATTTAAGGAGTTATTAGGATATTTATAATTTCGTATTTACTGTATTTACCGAACTTGCCATTTCTAAATATTTATGACCCACTACAGAGAAAAATTTTAATTTTACTGTAAAATTTAATTGCTCCTATTGTTTCTCATAACTAATACTTACAGTTCTGTATTTACTGGATTCCTCTAATAATATTTGTTTAATAATTCTAATAAAAAACTTTTACATTCTATGTTTTATATAATATTTTTAATACTGAAATATTTTTACATTAGGAAAATATTTAAAATTATTAAGTCTTAAATTAAAATATTACAATAATACATTAAAGTATTACCTTTATATATTAATATAATAATAATAAATAAATCTTCACTTTAAATCTTTAATTCCATCAAACTGAAATCTATTTCTGAATTTATTAAATTTACTATTTATAAATATTTTATGTACATAACAGAATAATTGTTAAAAAGTATCGCATTTAATAAAATATAAAGATATTTGAGTACTATTTGGTTCATTTTTATCTACTCAATATATAGTACCTATTTCTTGTGATAAAAATTCTTTATATATAATACATTTATCTATTGTAGTAATATTTAGGTAAATTTTTCAATAAAACAGCATCTAGATAATTCGTTGAATAATATTTCTCATTTATTAAAATTATAAAAAATATCCCGAATATTATCTATCCACTTATAAAAAGAGGATCATGACAAAGATAAGCATTATTATTAATAGAATAGAATTGATTATAAATTGAAGAACACAAAATTATATTCAAATATATTTTAATATAGTAATTTAAATAAATAGAACTAATAAAAATAAACAATTTCTAATACTTCAACTTTAAAGCAATTTTGTTAATATTTTATATACAAGATTTGAAAAAATCTGGATATAAGATATAATTATAAAAATGAACAATAAGTACAATTAGATATTATTTTATACTTTATATATTATGAATCATATATTTTTTATAACATTTCATTTTCATTTTACATAAAAATTAAATTGTTCGTGAATTGTAATAAATAAAATTTTTTGAAATAAATATTTTTCTATTACAAGCTTGTATAAAGAACCATTTACACAATACCAAAACTTGCTTCCTTTTTTGAATATTATACTTAAAATAATTATAAATTTTCTGAATTATTTTAAGGCAAGCTGAAAATAATGCTTTATTTGTGTATATATAATTTTATCAATTTTAATAGAATTTCAATTAAAGATAAAATTAAATCCACCTTACCCACGTTACGTGGGTCTTATATATATATATATATATATATATATATATATATATAAAGTCCTAAATGAAATTTACACCTTAAATGCAATTCATTAAATTCAACACATTAACTCAAAATACAAATATACTATTTTTTTATTTTAGATAAAAGTGTTTTTTTTTTAAATTGTGAAAAATTAAATAATATAAATTAATTTGTTAATAAAAATGTAAAAACAGGCACTCAAGATTTTAATTACTAATTACTAATTACTAATGTATAAATATTTATAATTTAAAGAAATTAGTTTTATATTTTATTATCACAAGATAGTTTTTAACTGTGTGTGTATGCGTACGCTCCTACGCATGTACACGTGTTTTTTGTACAAGATGAGATTTCTGTTTCTATCATTTTTGGATTGGTGTCGTAATAATATTAATATATTATTTAGGTACTTATTAATGTGATTAAACTATAGTAAAATTATCCACTTTCATGTATTCATTTTGTAACAATATTTTAATGTACGTTACCATATTATTTAATTGTGTCATATAATATGAATTGAATCATTAAATTTATTATAATAATTAAATCAATAAATTGAAATTTGTGTATTAAATTTATATATGTATATTTATATATAAATATATTTTTTTTCAATTTTTTTTACTAAAACGACAATAATATTGATGAATTAATGATATATGCATAAACGAATATTCATTTAAAAGATAAATTTAAGCTAATAAAAAATATTTTAAAGAGTGATTATCACATGTACTTAAGAAAAACAACTTATCATATAGTTATAATTATAGAACTTATTAATTTATTATAATAAGCAACTCAAACAATATAAACTACATTTGTTCTATCTTAATTGTATAATCTTAAATTTATTTAGTACTTTTCTGCAGCCGTGTCAACAGAACCTAGTGCATACTAAATAATAATTTACGTGTACCCTCGATTACAGATATAATATATTAAGGAATTATTAATGTTATCACTTTTAGTAATAAGTTTCTATATTCGTGCGAAAGGAAGACGTTAACATATGTTCTGCTGTAGAAGAACAGAAATGTAAATATCAAATAATTAAGAATAAAAGAGAGTTGATATCAGGAAAAATTACAAAACATTCATCTCGAGTCTTGATGAAGTATAATGCTCGAATAGCGAAGTTGTCAGGGATGTACATTATCCAGTGAAAGAAAGAAGACATGGGCTGACAAATTCGCAGTCAGTATGACGCCGATCGATTATCAACATTCATACCCATTGTTGGATGACAATCAGACACGTAGCGCCGCCTTCTATCTTTACGAGCTACGTTAGCGTCGAACTTCATTATTCTTCAGATTTGCTTTACATGTATGTATGCATTCAACTAATAGTGAGTTTGATTCCATATTTAACATGATAGCTGTATCAACAAAATGAGGAAAAAGATAAAAATAAGTACTGCTTTGAACAATAATAATTTTTCAATTATTGAAAATTTAATGACTTCATATTGTAACTTACATATGGCATTTGCGAATTCTACCAATCATCTTTTAGGTTGTGCTTTAAAAATGTTTTTTTATGCCATATAAGTTTATTAACATTTTGACAAATTACTCATAATTACTACTAGTAAATCAAGATTTATAACATCAATAGTTATTTCAATATAATTAACTCTCAAACTGTGAGTATATAAAGATTATCGTATTGCAGAACTTTTCGTACTTTCGTAAATTTTTCATACATTTCATTATCCACAATATTGAATGTACTTTGAAATATATATATTTTAATATACTCGAAAACATTCATTCATAAGAAATAATATACCTATAAAATATAAACTAGAATTAAGGACAATCTGCAAATTTTAGTTTAAATGTTATTATTGTAAATAGCGACATTATAAATATTTAAAATAAATCATTTTATAAATAATTTATTTTGAAAAGATTTTTAAATGCATAACTGAATTTTTTATATATTATATTGGAAATAATATTTTATAATAATTTAAATATTTATTTTATAATTTTTTTATAATGATTAAATTTTAATTACAATAATACACATAATACACATAATAATTAAAAGCAAACAAAACTGTTTATCCTATACTTTAAAAAAAATAATAAAATGTTAACATTAACTTTGTAATTAAGTTGTATTTGTACTCTTTTAATATAATACGTATATAACTCTTTATACAGATAGTAATATTTGCAAAAATTATATTCAAAATCTCTATTCCTTATGACATATTGAATTTAGTGTTTAGTTTAGTGTTTCAAATTTACAGATTATATTATATAATTTTAATTTTTACATATTTTCAAAACAAATATTCAAATCTTCATTAATTTAATTATTATTATTATTATAGTTAATAAGTTTTAGTCAATAGTATATAGTTAATAAGAATTATAAATATTTAATGGATAACAAATTATTAGAAGACCATTTTAATAAACTTAATATTCTTCAGCAATCAAAAATATTGTGTTATTACTATAAATTTTTTTAATATTTAAATATGCATACAAATTGAAATGCACGAAAATAAAGGAGTAATTAATTAATATAAATAGTACACAAAATAAAAAGTATATTCCGAAGGTAGATATTAATAAGATCGTAATATATTATAAATTTATTTATGAGATATAAAAAAATATTTGCGATATATTTCTAAATACAGTATTATAATCAATTTTCAATATTTAAGTATGAAATTCATTGATTTATACAGATATAATAGATCTTACACGAACTAAATCGATTAATTGTTAGTCTTCTAATGACTAACAATGTCAATTAATAATATATGTGTGCAGAAAAATGTTGCAATTTTATTCTCAAAACATATGTGCATGAACCAATGAATGTCTTTATAAAGAAAATCATTAAAGTTCATCATGGGCGAACGTTCGTAATTCTGAACTATTTTTCATTACTTTTTATTACTATCTAAAACGATATCAAATCCTAAAACATAAAAACAATAAACATATCAACTTTGAAAATATGAATTGCAAATAAATAAATGCCTAAGTTCTTTTCAAAAATTTTGTAAAAAAAGTCTAATTATATTGAGCCTTTTTTATCAAACTTTCTATTTTTGTTCGTATGTAAGTTCTTTTTCATCGGTGAGAAATGCATGTCGTAAAATAAAGAATTTAGATGGAATATCTGATGTTAACCACTGCTTTATTGTTCTATTATACTAAATATATACGAATAACTATGAAATATAGATTCGAAATATATATATCCGTTTTTGATATGTAAATGTGTTTGTGTTGTTATAAAAAGATTCATGTCGATCAATTGCAGCTTAAATAAAGTTATCAAATCAGAATAGTTTATTTAAATTTTTTTTTTAATTTTATAGAATTTATAATTGCACTAATGTATATTTTGGTAGATAATTTTTAAAATACTTATTTTATATACTGATAATCGTAAAATTTCAAGTACGTAAATACCCATGAAAGCACGCAATATAAAACATCTATGTTATTGTATAATAGTTAATAATAGATAAACTTGTATTTAAAACTAAAGTTAAAACAATATCATAAATCTTCGATAAAATTTACATACAAAACATTAGCATTAAAAGAATCGAACAATAAAAATCAAAACTTAATATTTAAATACTGATATGATTTCATATTTTATAATTTATAATATTTACATTTTTTAAATTGTATTATAAAATGTCCACGTATTTAACTGCGTCAATTAAAAAAATTACTTTATAATTTTCAAAGAATGAAATAAATGATTATTATTAAATTGAAATATAAACATAAAATGTATACATATAAACAGTGGTAAATAAATAAATAAATAAATAATATGCACCTAAAACTAATAAAACATAAATAAATTAAAAAAATATATATAAAATGTACATAATAAAAGATTGAACTCATATTAATCAATAATCATATCTAAAATTATTACTATAATAATTTTAAAAAAGAAATAAAGAATTCAACAGCTATAGTAATTGTACAACGTAATTTTATAAATTGAGTTTTGATCATTTACATCAGATAAATTGATATAAGGTTTTCAGTTTACAACTATTATACAGTTTAGTTACAACTATGTATAGTTGTATATATACATAATTTATACGTACTGAATGTTTAATAAATAATTAAATATAAAAGAATATTTTTATATATTTTAATAATTTTATTAAATAGTTTTTATAAAAAACAATAAAAATTAATATATATTTCTTTATTATTCAACTTATATAAAATTGTTTGTATTATCTATTTCCAATAGACCATTTTACCTAAGAAGTATAAAGTATAAGTTATGTTTTATTCAAATATTATTAGCTTATAAACATGAACATAAACGGAATGAAATTTAGTATAAATAATAAAGATTTTAAAGTATGTATTTCATAAAAATGTGACATGTATCTATTGTTCATATGAATAAATGTGATGCAATGATTCAAGAATTGGAAATTACTTTTGAAAATAAACGAATAAACGTTAAATTTAGTTCATTGTTAAAATATTGTTTTCAATTTTGTATTTTAATTAAAATTAGCTAGTCTCTAATTTCTGATCTACGTACTATTATAGTCTTTAAAATATATTTATATTATAATATATATTATATTTATGTTACTAAAATAACATGCAATTACAAACTTACAAAATTTTGATCAATTATTTTGATGTTATTAATTTTAGAAAAATAAATTAAAAAAGTATTTTTATTTAAACTTTTTAACTAGAATTCTATATTTATATAACCAAATATGTTTAAAACACAAATGCCATACATATGATATATATATATATATATACGTAATACATGGGAACAAAATTGTGACTACATTTTATTAAGATAATCAGGTTATACTCTATACATTTTTTATACAATTATTCATACTTTTTATATGTTATACACCATGTCTAATAAATTAATTAATTGTTCTTTACAGTTACACATAAAACTTAAAAAATAATTGAGCATCATCTAGAAGTAAATAAATCTTAATTTCCATTATCTAAATTGCTTATACATAAATATGACTGACAGCATGTGACTCAAATATTTAACTCTCGAATTGTAGAGTAATTACAAAACTTTTTGTAATACCTTAATTTAGGTATAAATGGTCATAATATATTTAAAAGATAATCTAAACTAGACTACTTTCAAAATTTTTTTAAAAAGGATCTCATCAAGTTATATTAATAGATATTAGTATACTTGGCTTTTACATAAATACATTTTGTAATAATTTAATTATTTGTAATAATAAAAATAAAGTCAATATTTGTATATAAATCATTAGACAAAACAATTTAAAATGTTCGTACATGTCAAAAAAATAAATTTTTTATTATGTAACGTCTTATTTAACATTATGTAAAAATTTTATATTATATGAGATTCATAAAAATATTTAATGATCCATAATCGTATATATTAAATGTAATGAAGTAGTGTTTATTTTACTTTTATATTTATTTACGAAAAACATTCGTTTATTCATTTATTCATCTATACAACAATTATAAATAATGATAATACTAAAAAAGACTACTTTTTATGCATAACACTATTGGTTATTTGAAAAAAAAATTAATTTAAGTTTTATGTAATTGTAAAGTAGAGTAGCTAAGCATTTTAAAGTGTGTATAAAATATCTTTACAAATTTAATTTATAAATAATTTTTGTAATTTTGTAATATGTATTTTGAACTATGAATTAAAATTATAAATTAGTATCTCTTTCTGTTATATAGAAAAATTCGAACTTATTTTATGTAATATTTTGTTAAATCGTTTAATATTTATTTAAATTTTTTAATTTATTTAAAAATTGAAGAATTATAAATAATTCAATGAATAGATCACAACATACATTTATCTATGTTTTTATAAATTACCAAAAAATTAACAAATTGAAATATACAGAATTTTATGGGATCAACATTCTCTCCTCTCGTGAAATCGGTACAGTACTCTTTACACATATAATTGAAGAACAGCAAAGTAAAATAGAGAGAAACGTTAAGTTTTGTCGATTATTAAGGGTGCTTCTTCATCTAAAGTAGACATATCATCCTGAATGCGTCGCTTGAATTACGACCACAATGTCACAAAAAAAAACAGAACGTTCGACAAAATACCAAAACTGAACAATGCTACGCGACAATACAAAGGGAACGAGGAGAATGCGTCAACCAGCCAAAAATCGATAATTCGCAAAGGCACTTAGCGCCAAGTCGGCAGGATGATGAGATAAATTTTTATCCTAACCTCAAAATAGGAAGATTTCTATTTCCAAAAATTTTTAAAAACTTCTAAAGATACACATCCCATGCACGCATCCATTACTATATATATATGACATATTTATATTAATATTTATAATATTATTTATTTAGAATAATTAAACAATGAAATTGATGCGTTATGCAAACAATTCAATAGATTAAATATCGAGTAATATTTCTTAGTACCGTATGTTAGTCCAACTCTTGTTCCTTTTATATCTTATAATACATACTTGTAGTAATTCTATTTTTTCATATATTCTTATATGCTTATATTTTTAATAAGCATGTCTTTATATTACTTTTAGATATATCAATTATAACCTGAAATATTATTCATCAAAGGATTATCAAGTTAATAATATGATACATTATTTGCTCACGCTAAATTGCTTCTGTTACTCCATCATTGTCAGTGCAATTAGCATTTTACACAGAATTGATTTGTATTTTGAAAAATTCAGGATGTTTCTCATAAATTGTTTAGTTATTATTTCTACTGCATGTTAGTAATTCACAATAAGTTTAGTATCATTAATATTTTCAAGTATTGCTATATAAACCTCTTTATTAGTTTCAAACAATCATTGAAAGAAATATTTAAATTAACTAAAAAACAAAGCTTACTACATATGTTAGATATTTTATAATATATTTAAATAGTATTGTTAATATTATTATGCATTAAAACATTTATTCATAAACATTCTTTAATCAATATGTATGGAATTTCATTTACTGTTTAAATACCGTTTAATACGGCTTTATGGTTATTTTAGGAAACATTTCAATATTTTTATTTTAAATTACATGATAATAAAATTTTAATTTCAAATATAAACATTTACTTACAAAGTATGACTTTTTATTAAGAAAAAGATTTCTTACGATTAAAATATTTATATCAAAAGATTTATTTGTGATTTACTTAATAAAACAATTTGATTGTTTTAATTAAAAAGAAGTTTATTTTGAATAGTGTAAGTAATGAACAAATAATTATTTATTACATATAAATTTCTTTCAAAAAAAGTATCGTAATACCACATTATTTTATTTTATTATATACAATTTTCGTTTATTAATATGTATTTAAAAAGAAAATAATTTTATATTCAAAAGGAATATAGAAAAGAGCATTATTGTAAATATAATGTATCTTTTAATAATTAATTATTTTCATTAATAATTTTATTATTATATAATAATAAAATATAATAATATTACATAATACATTATTAAAAAGTTATAAAATCATATTTATTTTTACTAAAATGATGAAAATTTTTTATGAAACATAAATATATACTAAAAATATCTAATTTTTAGAAATAATATTATTAGTAAAATTAGTTTCCCCGAACATAATCAACTACTGTCCATAACTATTTTAATTTTTTAAAAATAAATAAAATACAAATATGGGCATGAATGAAAATCTACAATATTAGAATGAAAAACTTTTTTAAAATTTTTTTTTAAATAGTATTATACTTATTTTAAAAAGTGTAACGTAAAAAGTGATAAATATAATTCATTTAAATAATAGTTGACTTTAGTATTTTAATTTAGTATATAATAAAAATTTAGATTTTTTATTATAATGCATATAAAGTATAATTATATAGTATATAGTATTTATGTATAGAATCTATGTAATTAATATAATAAATATAATTTGCGTATGTGTATATATAATATAATCAAAACTACTATCTGTTCTGGAATATAAATTTTGAATAATTATACAGAAACTGTTCTTAATATAATAGTTCTTGTCGTGGATATAACAAGTTGATTGAATAAATAAAGTGTAATCTGTTAAAGAAGATTCTGGTTAATATAAAACGCAGTTCCATTAGCTAACTATGCATATATATAGATAGATACATACATATATGTTCAGTACATTTTATAACAGGTAAAAGTTTTTACAATAATGTAATGATGTATTTTCTAACAGGCGGTGTCCGAGAGATTAGAGCTGGCCCCTGCAGGTGGCAGATCTGAGCCACAGGTGAGTCACAGAATTGTGCACTTTTTCGTTTTATATCTCCATTGATGAGTACTATTTATATGCCAATATATAAAATTTACGAATAATAGGCATTTAAATATTTAATTGCTATTCAATATTAAAGTCCGATATGCACATTTTCAAAATGATTGAACGATATCAATATATCTCATCGAACCTTATTCTATTTATAGATATCTTGAATGAAATTATTAGTTGCATATGTAATATTGAAAATAAAATCAGGTTCCAAAAAATTTTTTATTTGAAATATTAATTATAATTTAAAATGAATGCTATTACATTTTAGGTCAAAAAAGAAACTAAAAATCCATAATTAATTCGATCAATTTAATTACTTTTTATGTTCTAAAAAATAAATCATACAATAAACTGATAACAGATTTTTTCGTTTGTTCTTTATAGTTATTCTTATACTATATTTAATAAATAAAATAGACTGTATGGATTCATACACAATTAAAGGAAACGTCAAGAATCGAATATATGCTTTATAGAAAACTTACGTTTTCCAATTTATAACCATCTAAAACTGAAAGATCAAATATATATATATATATATAAAATTTTAAATAAATTATAGTATTTAAAAATATTAAATAAAACTTTTAATATCATTAAATAATGAAGATATATGACTTACTACGGAAACTATACTTATGATATATTTTTCACAAAACTGTTTCATTGTATTTTTAATCAATGTGTACAGTATTGAAAACTATACCTTACCAACATCGTCATTTGATTATTTAATTTTGCCTCCCTTTCTCTATCTTTCTTTCTCTTTTTTAGCTTTTAATGCTATTTATCGAAAAAAGATTTGAAATAATTAATTGAATTAAAGATATAATTACCTATTTAGGACATTTTGTACAATATTAAATCCTTTTTTTATTTTGTTAATGAGAAAAACAAAGATTTAACTCTGAAAGTAATGATTATAATTGGACTGTTGTCAAATACAATTTATATTATTGCAAACTTGACATTACGTAAAATTATATGTAAAATGTGTACAAGTTTACAAATGAAAACTATGTATTTATATTATAGTATGTATGAAAACATAATTTGATTTATTCAATTATATACAAAGTATATTAAATTTTAAAAGCATATTGATTATGAAAGATATGTGATCTTGGATCACATTTCAATTGAAGATGTATATCGTGAAAAAAATATAAGTATATATGAAAATCTAAAATGTCTTTTTATGTCGCAAGGTGGCAACTCTGTGTGAAGTTGGTGAAATATATTTGGCTCAGCATATGGGCTGCGAAGGACGATGGATATCCTCTACTAATACGAAAAGCTGTATGACCAATAAGTTAGAAATTTTAGAATATTGTAAAAAGGTATTTATTTTCATACATTATTATTGCATACATTTATACGCAGACTCGATATACTTGCACATATTAATATCAAAGATTTATTCACTTAATGCCAAATAAATCTTTTCTTCTAAAGTTATCAACTTTCTAATCTAATTTATACGTTTTCAATCGCGAAAGTTACAATAATTTTATCCTTGTTCGTAATAAAGTTATATAAATTTCAAATAATTTAAACTTAAAGATTAAAATTATTTTCGTAATTTACTGGATAAATTAAAATTTTTTATAAATTAAAATTTTTTACACTTGTAATATATGAATATACTTCTGAATATACTAAGTATACAGCTGATACTGAATATTTTCATTTGCCTCTGTATATTCAATATTTTTGTATAAAAAATAAATCATCATTTAACAATATCAATAACATATCATTTACAAAATAATTTCATCTATATTTTTGATAAATTATTTATTTTTAACACTATTATCTAGTTTTCATAAAAAACGTTTCTTTATTAAAATTGTTGAATATATATTATTATATTTAAAATCTAATTTTAGGTATTTAAAATACTTTTAAAAGACATGATCAACTATTCTTATTTGTAAATAAAATAAATAATGTAAATGGTGTTGAATAAATCTGATTTATAAAAATTAAAATTAGTTTTTGGTAAAATCATTTAGTGGTAAATTTAGGATTACTACTTCGTTATATAACTCATTAGTTATATTGTTAGTAACATAATAACCAGAGATACCGTCTAAAACTTATAATTTTATTTTTTATTTCTTTTTTATGTAAGTATTAAAGTATTAAATTTCTTACTGGTATAAAATTAAATTAAAGCCTAACCATTTCTGTTATATTAATATTTTTTATGAACAGTGTAAAGTTAATTTAACTTAATTCTATAAATTTAGATTAGCATACAAAAATAAAATTCACAAAAAAAAAGTAGAAATTTGTATAAAAATTTCAATTTTAAATATGTCAAAATAAGCAAACTAATACAAGTATATAATATAGAGTATAAATAATAATATTTATAATACGTTTTATAATACAAGCGTAATCATATGGTACTATAAATAAATAGTTTTTTTAAAGGTAGACATTTTTTAATAAGGTATTTAAAATATATAAATATTGAATTGAAAAAGAAATTGTTAAACTAAACTATTTAGCTCAATGTTAAAAAATATTGTATTATTAAAGTACCTATTATCAATAATCAATTAAAAACTAATAAAACGCAAGAGAATAATAATTGCTATTAAGTTAGTTGTATATTTAAAAATAACATTGATTTATATAATTTACAAACTTAAGACTTAAAATATATAAATAAATTGTATTTAAAAAATAAAAGATAATTATTTTTATTCAATTTCAAAAGCTCATTTATTACTACAGTCATACACGTATAAAATAAAAATGATAAAAATTATAAAATAAGACACATATATATTTTTTATTTTATAAAATTTAGCTGTAAATTTCACGAACAAAATATATTCTTTAAGAATAAAATATTTTTGATACTATTACTTAGAATATTAATTGAATACAAAGATGTCATAAATACATTATATAAAAATATTTTATAAAATATTCTTCTAAAATTGATAATTCTTAATTAATATTAAAAGTTTATTTGCAAAAATAGCCCGTGTCAAATTATACTTCAATTCGAAGTTCCAAAAAAGTTAACAAAACTTATGTTTAATATGGTGATGTAACTCAAGAAGAAAATAATAATTAAAATAATTAAATATTATCTAATATATTCTTTTACAGTTTTTTTTTAATATGATTGTGTAACATGTTGCATTACTCATAGCTAGTAGTAAAATACAACAGAAAGTAAAATCGATAGAAAAGTTAAATTTTTATCAAATTACAATAGATAAGTTTGAATTAAATTTTAAAAAGAATAAATATTTACATTCAATAATGATTCGAAAATTCTTAATTTATTAAAAATAAAATATTTGAATGAAATTAATATATATGTTGAATAATATTATTAAGAACAATTTTATACTGTGTTCCATATTATAGGGTTAATTGATTTAATAACAATAAACCAAATGAACCTGTAAAGCAGATATTAAAAAAAAAGAATAATATATAGAATTTCAAAAAGTAAACAAGCAAGCAAAATAATAATATTTGAATATTAATTTTTATATTGATTATCGAAATAATGTGTTGCTTTTATTAAATCCTTATTACATATCAATATGTATTTTTTTCACGTATAATAAATACTTATTCCTGATAAAAATTTATTTTATATTGACTATAATTTTAGAAAATCTAAAAATAATAAAATTGAAAACACAGTACCATGTAGTGAAGAATACAGAAATTTTTGTTTATTTTTATAAATTATATATAAATACCTACATTGAAAGTATTAAGTAGAATGAGACGAAAACCTATTGATGCATTTCAAGACTATTGTAAAATTATCGCAAAAATGATCGTAAAAAAGTAATTGAAAAATATACAAATAGAGATAAATAATATATATTTTATTTTTTTTTTATTTCAATTATAAAATAACTAGATATTGTAGTGACTCAAAATAGTTGTGAAACTATTCTTTTTAGAGTGTATTCTTTTAAATTTCGTTACAACAATCATTAATTTTATAAAAACTTATAATACTATAAGTGTTCAAAAACAAAATTATATTATACATTCCACCCAACTTTCAAATTTGGCACTAAAGCTGTGATATAATGGAATAATATGACGTAACTCTATTATTATATATTTTATGTATTATAGCCATCTTTTATTTAATATAAGTGTAATGGTTGAATACAGTCAAAGTTATATTTATTTTGTTGAATAGAATTACGATCCAAAAAAGATACAACGAAATAATAAATAGAGAAACTGCATTTGAAGCATCATTGAACACTTTAACATTTTAGCACTCGGTAGTAATTAATGCTAATTCAATATTCAATATGCCGATGATAACCATTGAACTCTTGCTATGGTTATATTTTCTTCTAAATCCCTTATTGTACATTTTTTCCTATATCAAGAAAAAATAAAAATACAAATAAAACATATAAGGAAAAATTAAACTTATTTTTCTTTTGTATTTGATAGAGTAAATAGGAAAAAAGTATGTGAATGTATTCCTTCTTTGTTTAGGCATATCCAAAGCGAGACATCACTAATATTGTCGAGTCATCACATTATGTTCGAGTTAGTGGCTGGTGCAAACCTGGCAAGAACAAGTGTAAACTCTCCCGATGGGTGAAGCCGTATAGATGCCTAGGTAAAAAAATTTTGAAAAAATAGGAACTCCTTTCTATTCATTGGGTTTTATCAAATATTAGATTCATATTTAATTATATCGTTGTATGAACTTCACAACTATATTGCCTAGTATTCGTATGGTAACATTTCGCTATTTCAAAGATTAATAATAATATTCAATCGTAAATGACCATTTTTCGACTTATAAGATGAAAGAATTATTTTGTATACATTTATTTATTTATGGTAAATTTTTTGTTTTCTTTTTCATAATCCGATAAAATCTAAAATATTAAATTGATTTAAAAAGTTTAAATTTTTAAACGTTGTATTAAGTTATTTACAAACATATTTTTCTCTTTTTAATAAATGATATAAAGCTAATATTTTTTAGATCAAATTAATTATTTGATTATTTTCTATTTTTATCAAAATATCGTTTTTTAATGTAATAATTCTTATAACATTTTAATGTTTATATAATGTATCTAATAGCTACTGCCTTATTTTCAATTAAAAAATTTGATCATTCATTATACTAATTTTTTTATTGTTTCAATTTATATCAAATAATTAATGTTAAAATTAATAGACCTAAGTTTTCTTACACATTTCTAAATATACCTCATAAGCTTAAGAATTATAAAATATTAAGAATGTTACATAATTATTCATTTTTAAATTTACATGTATCAGAATATTTTTAAAATTCTTGATGATCTGTAAAATAGATTTTAAAAACTAAAAATGTAAGACATTATTTAAAATTTAATCTTTATTAGGTAATGATTAAAGAAAACTACCAGTAAAATTTTTTAAAATATTTCATTCATCGGAAATTGGATGATCTATTATTAAACAATAATTTAACAAATTTAATATTTAGCCTAAATTTAAAAGAAATAATTTTAAATTACTGATTTAACATATTAATCAATATTTTAAAAAATTATTTATTTTAATGATTTTTACTTAAAAAGCTTATGTAAGATAGAAAAATACAATTAATACCATTAGACAATATTGAATTCATTATTATTATTACATACGCGTTATACGGTTATGTACAAGTGCAATTCATGTTTGTTACATTTATCATATTAAACATTTATCATATAAAAGATTTTCATATTATATTCATCTTACATATCACAGAAGATGCCATAATCAATTTTATTTTACAGAAGGTCCATTCCAGAGTGATGCATTATTAGTTCCTGAAGGCTGCTTATTTGATCATCTTCACAATCAAACTAAATGTTGGGAATCCTACAGGTAAAACACTATTATTAATAATGAAAATTATATAAAACAAATTTCTCAATATTGTAATAATTAAATGTATTGGTCAGAAAATGAAGCATGAAAAAATTCATATTATGCTGTAAAAAGAAATAATCATACCAGTTTAATTACTGACTTTTTAATTCAACACAACAATGCGCAAATTTGAAAATCAAATTTAAATGAATGACTTTTTGAGGTTGAAATTAATTTTCAAACATTTCTATACTTTTACATGTAACATTCAATATTCTTATATTTTTAATTATAATTATAAATAATATATTATATTATATAATATTTGATTGAAATACGTAAATAAGAAAATAGTATAGATATAACCATAAATAATGTTGTTCTATAATTTGCAAGTTTGCCTATTCAAATATAGCAATTAATAAAATAAGCTAAGATAAATTTGTAGGTTGAAATTATAGATAAATAGCATGAAATAAAATTATTGATAAAACCAGAATAGTTAGAAGAAATTGGAAATTAAATTAAATATTGCAGATGGAATTCAACAGCAGCCGATACATGTCGTCAGCGAAATATGAATTTACGTAGTTTTGCGATGCTGCTTCCCTGTGGTATTTCCCTCTTCGCGGGCGTTGAATTCGTCTGCTGTCCGAAGCATTTGAAAGGTATTTTTTTAATATTAATATTCATGCAATATTCAATCCCTGAATATCTTAGTAGAAGTAGTGTACTGAGTATCCTAAGTATACTGAGCCCATTTATTCTTACTAAGGAATTGGAATTGTCGAGATGCCATTTACATAAGTAGATAGTACATAAGTCGACGTAGATAGATCCATAATATGGTTTTGAATATATAATTTCATCGTTCAATAGTCAATAAATCTTTCTAAAATAATACAGATTTCTTTTTACAGAAAACGTAAAGTTGAAGAAGCACTTCGAAATGCATGTGCCGAAGTCAATGGAGGACGACTTCGAGGAAGAAGATAATAACATGAATGACGAGGGAGAACACGACGACAATGATGCACACAACGGCTCATACTCTTATGAAAACTTGGATGATGTGCTCGGTGATGAATCCGATGACGATGAAAGCAATGAAGAATATTTTGAAGATTACGAAGCTACTACACGGTAAATTTTATCTTTAAATTTTAATCTAATTTGTACTTGTTGTTGATAAATGTTTTGTATAAATTCATGTTATATTGCTATTTTAAATTAATCTTCTTAATTGACATCTATTTAGGTCCCATTATTTATCACATCAAGGTATTGAAAAAATATACAAAGACAATAAATATTTGAAATACATTTTGTTGTAAATCCTTAATGATTGAGTACACAAGACAAATTCTTGAATATTACTAACGCTACATTATATGAACATAAGTTTCGATTCATAAATTAAGATTTATTATTGACTTAAGATAAGACATCTTATTTAATAAAGATTCTTGTGTGACAAGCTTTAAAACAATATACTTAGAAACCATTTTTTGAGACATTTATTTTTAATAAATAATTTAATAAATTTTTCATATATTTAATTTTAATATTTAATTTCAAATACATTACTATGTATAAATTAATAAAAATCTACTTTTTTTAACTATAAATAAACTTTATAAAATATAAAAATAAAATGATTAATTAACAAAGTGAAATATTTTAAGATTCAATTAATATTTTAATATTTTTTATGTTGCATATGCAAAGTTGATAAAATTTATTAATCTATATCGAATATAAATAATAAATAGTAAATTAGGAATAAATAGTAATTATTAAATAAAAATCAAAATATTCTAAAATTAAATTGACTAAATTTATAGATATAAAAATTGTATAAGAACTAAACCACAAAATAAGCTGTTTTTATATAAACAAAAATTTACTATTTAATATATTTAAATATAAGAATTTTCTGTAATATAGAAATATTAATATTTATTCTTATTTAGCTATTCAAACTAATATTTCAACAACACTTTCCATACTTCTTGACAAAAAATATTAAACTTACGCTTTTTTAATAATTTGAAGCCATCCATGATAAAAGTTTCTTTATTCTGAAAAAAAATTAACTTAATATTAGAAGATTTTACAAAATTTTACAAAATAATTTAAATTAATAAATATTCAAAAGAAATTCTGTTTCTAATTTCGTATAATAATAAATAAAATATTATTTGTAAATTTCGTGCCTAATATGGTATATTATTAAGTATAAACATTACTACACTTTTAATAATTAATTCTTTTAATACTCAGTGATACTTTCATATTTACTCAAATATTCTTTAATAAGACGTTCTTACATTTTAAATTATATATCATATGTTAAATGAGTTTAATTGAAAATGATGGAGAAATAAATAAATAAATAAAATCTTCAAATTATCGCTATTCTTCTAATTGATGAAAGTTACAGTAAACCAATCCAGTATAAAATGCTCAAAACACTAGATATTTACAAAAAACCACCATATGAAAGTTCGTAAGCTATCTTGTTCAGAGTAAATCCTGGAATAAAAAATGTAAAAAAATGAATCTTACGTAACGCTGACATGCTTGTGCTGTTCAGGTCTTCGTTTTCGATACCCGTATCGATAAGCTCCGTTGCAGTTGAAAGGACAAAAGAAATAGCAAGCGACGATAGTCATGGTAGTGGCGGTGACACTAGTACTATTACTACTATTACCATGGCGGTCAGCACCTCAAGCGGCAATACTCAGAAACCTGGATCGGCAACATTCGCAGCCCTTCTACCACGCGGTTCACCAGATCCTTACTTGACTCACTTCGATCCTCAATCAGAGCACCAAAGCTACAAACAGGCCCAAATGAGGCTTGAAGAAATTCACAAGGAGGAAGTAACAAAGGTGGGTCATAAATAAATCCTAAATTGGAATATGTAAAGGAGCGATGATATGAAAGGCGTCTGATGGTAGGTAATGCTGTTATTTTCTTTTTAAAAGGATTATAATAGATTTTCTTTTTTAACTGAATAACGTATTTATTTCGTATTGCAAGAATTGGCCAAATAAGTATATTATTCATTTTATTTTAATAAAACTAATTAGTATAAGAAATGCCTTTAATGATAAAATGACAAACACGTTTAACGCTATTTAGCATAATTTTATTTTTAATATACATTCTTAGAATTTTGAAAAACAACTGTTAAAATGTTATGTATATCGGAAATAATATTTGAACAAATAATTTTTTTTGCGAATGCTTATCTTACTTTTAAAAAATGTTTATTTTTATCATGCTCTTATTTATTTAAAAAAATTGTGGCATTATATTAAAAAATCGATATTAGTTCATTAAAATCGTAATGCTTGTAAAAAAACAATAAATAAATAATAGTAATGAAATACTATTATAGTAATGAAATAATAGTAATAAATAATAGTAATGAAAAAATATTTCATGATTATATATTGAACAAATTAATTTAATATAGACTAAATTTTTTAATGAATAATAAACGGAAATAGTTTTATTGATTTATTTAAATAATTAAAATAAATTAGAATTTATCGCTACATAAATTTACTTGACTTATCTGTTTCATTTATATAAAAAAGGGTTTCTATGATGTTACAGAAAAAATGATAAGTTTAAGACATTTTTTTATTAAATTGAATTTCTTTCTTCAATCTTAAAATTGAAATAATTATTTAAATTTGAGCATCTAAGAATATGAAAACTCTTTATTAATAGATATTTACTTATTTAAATTAATTGAAATAAAAGAAATAAATAACAACTATATTTAACACCTTTTATGATTGCAAGTGTAAGTGATATAGAAAAATTATAAAACTTTGTAAAATAATTATAATTTTATTTTGCATACATTTTGTATTAAGAAAGTTAAAATAAGTTTATATAATTATTATATAATTTTTCATCGTGTAGATTATTCCACAGAAATTATTAATGTAATATTATTGTACATATATTAATAGAATAATTATATTCTTGTAAAATATTGCATGTTTGTTGAAAGATATAAAATCATTGAATGTATTAATTTATTAATATATAGAAAAAGTTCATATAAAGTACAGCTGAACATTATATTTTTAAGTAACTTTCGAAATCTTTTTTTATTTTTATCGATATCACAAGTATTCATAAAATTAATGGTGAAATACATTATATATATACTATACAAAAGATCCTAAAATTAAACATAGATAGAATCTATGTATAAATATAATAAATAAATTGTAGCAGAAAAAAGGGCGTGAGGTTTTATGATGAAAACATTAAGGACCAATTGAAATAAATGGTGAGTCAGGAGCTATTAAATAATTTTCATGAACTAAAAAAAGTAGGTTCGTCGGATGAAAGTAAAAGCAACTGAATAGTAAACTAAATCTACAATGATGTCGATATCTGTGTTTCATTTTCAGGTGATGAAGGATTGGAGCGATCTTGAGGAGCGGTATCAGGACATTCGAGCACGCGATCCCGTCGCCGCAGACTCCTTCAAACGTTGGATGACAGTGCGCTTCCAGCAGACAGTCGCTGCTCTAGAAGCAAGTGGTGCTGCTGAAAAACATCATCTCAGTGCAATGCATCAACAAAGGGTGCAGGTACTTACTTTTCATTATTTGCAGCTGAGAACCAAAATTTTCTCTCAGCTAATTTTTCAATTACGAAGCGGCAAAAAATTGCTGATTCATTTTAAAAAGATAAAACTTATTTTGAATGTAAATATATGTTTTTATAATAATTTTCATAGATAATATATTAGAACATACTTCAAATAAATATTATGATTGAACTAATACAGATAAAATACAATATGTTCTTAAATAAACAAATTTTAATGTTAATCAAGTGTTACAGATCTTTGAAAAAATTAAATAAAAACTTATTAATCAAACAATTAAAATTCAATAAATTACATACGTCACTTAAGATTATTCTATTTTTGTTAAAGATATCCGAGCACTTTTTATTCATTTGTTCCATTGTTTTTGGATTATGTAAATGTATACAAATATACTACATTATAAAAATGTAGTAAATTATAAAAATATACTAAAATTTAAAATTATACTAAAATATAATATACTTCCATAAATATTTCATAATACCTAACAAAATGCAATCAATCGCTTGAATTGAACGAAATCATATCTTATTTATTTGCATATTAAGAAAGCATTTGTGAAATTCTATTCTAAAGAAAATTTAATTTTTATATTAAATAAGATATATATTAAATGCAACGATATATATATATATATATATATATATATATATTTATATATAATATAGATGTATACATACTATCTAGATTCGAAATTATTAAATTTTAACCAACTTTAATTCTTTATTAAAAAGAGATTTATTAATTCCTTCTGAGCAAATTTTCTGCTTTTTAGGTATTTACTTAGATCCCGATCATAGTTATTGATTACATTTAAGTAAATATTATTTACTAGTATGTATACTGAAATAATCAATTATTATATGAATTTTAGTAAACATGGCTCTAATTTATCTAGAATTATTTTTATGTCGATAATTATTTTGTTCAATTAGACTAAATATTTAATAAAACGTTGAATTGCAATAAAAATTTGTATTTTGTGATATTTTAAATTTTAAATAGAAATATTTTCTTTGTATAAAGTATATATTTTTAAAAATTTTATGTTTCTAAATAATACAAACTTGAAACTATTTATGATGTCTAAAAATGTATCGAATAATTGAATCCAATAATTAGTGATATATTTAAATACTTTGCACATCTATTAATATTTCTAAATATTTTATTTACTTTCATTTTATTAACTGTAAAATCTATCTGATTAAAAATTAGTTTAATTATATATATTTTTATCTGTATTTGCATTTAAAATCCTATTAAATTTTTTAGTAAATATATACCATGACAATTTCAATTAAAGGATTAAGATGTAACAATAATCATTTATATAATATACTTTAGTTTAACAAAACTAATTTTAGATTTTATCCTATAAAATACTATAATATATAGCATAAAAACATAATTATAATAACTAAAAATAAGTAATATATTTAAAAAATTCATTCTAAGTTTTCTGTTAAGGTAAAAAAATATTTGTTATTCGTATTGTAAATAAAACAGAAATATAACATAATGTTATAAATATAAATATTAGTAGTAATTAAAAAATTTTATATTAAACATAATTAATCAATTCGTATTGTTTAATGAATAGTTTTGATTTAATAAATATTAATATATATATATATATAACTAAATTAATTGATAATATACATAATAATAGATCTTTTATTATTAGGAAACAGTAAAACAAAGAAATGGTGAAGCTATGTCCTGTTATACAGCCGCTTTAAATGAAATCCCTCCAAATGTAAGTAAAGATGAATAAAATAGGTATGAATATTTTATAAAATGTATTATGCAAAAGATATAAAAAGCTAATTTATAAAAAACGTTTAGCCATGATGAAAATCTCTTAATATTTTAATATTTTATTATATATATTCTAAGTAAAACTTTTATAAATCAATTTATATGTAAATACTAATTGAGTAAAAAAATTAACAAATTATTTATATCAATTTTTATTAACTTATATGTATAGAAAAATATATCTATATTATATATAAATAAAAATTGAAAACATAAAACTTTAATTTATATTAAATATTTTTAAAGTAATGCATTAATTAATAGTAAAATATGTTGTTAATCGAAAGAATTATATATTTTTATATATTAATTATATATTAACTGCAACTTAAAATGTTTACAAATTAAAATTAGATTACAATTAGATAAATTCTATCATACGTTGTTATTATCTCAAAAATATTTAATCATAGAATTGAGGGAATAATAAAAAACATTTCTTAAAAATAAAAATATTATATATATATATATATATATATATATATATATTGATAATTGTATTACAAAGATTTAATTGATAAAAATGTTGGATATTTTCATAGGAGAAATGATTTTAAAAAGTACCTTACACTTCAGAGTAGTCGAGGTCTACAAATGAATTAGTACAGAACAATGGATATGTGAAATTGTTAAAATTAATATAAATAAAGTTAAATTCTATGATGGAATTGCAACAAATATTGTTTGTAATAAAATAATAGAACTCCATGGAATAATGTGACCAAATGTTTAATATGGCTTCAGTAAATTGAAGACTTTTTCACTCCATCAATATACAAAAAACATCCATTTTTTGTCTCAGGAGCATCGCATCCAAAAGTGTTTGCAGAAACTGCTGCGCGCTTTGCACAAAGACCGGCACCACACAATCGCCCACTACAAGCACCTACTGGACAGCAGCTTGGAACAGGCGCAAAAAGAGAAGCCAGCGACGCTTGAGCACTTGACTGATATCGACAGGATAACGAATCAAAGCCGGCTAATGCTTGAACGGTGAGTCTATCGCATAGCAGTTTCATATGCAAATCATTTATTAGATGGTGTTTAATCGTCTTTTGCATTTTTAACCAAAGTTGACCTATTTGAAAATGCTCATATTTATAATTTCATAAACAATTAGCACGGATCTTATATAAACATGAATTTTATATAATTTATTAGTAATTAATAACTTGTCAATTATAATGCCATGAATTGCATATTTGAGGACTCCGAAAATATTTGAGATTTTATCATTACCGTATCAATTAACTACTAATGTCTTCATGGCTATTTTAAACCGATTAAATGTTAATAAATAAGATATTGATATCAGTAAAATGACATTTACCTTCTAAAATAATTGCAATGAAAATTGTCTTTCGAATCAACATATCAACATATTAAAGACAGTTATATATTTCATTATTTCCATTTAACTAAATATTAACCCAAAGTTAAATTAATCAATCTTCTTTATTCTGGAAAAAAGTATTCATTGTTTAGCAATTGACTATTTAATCAGCCGAATGAATCAGGAATTTTAAATAATAAAAAAGATGTCTACGAACATGGAAACGAACCTTCAGTTTTGCATATACATTATATGTGCAGTTATCCGGAGCTGGGCAGCAAGATCGGTAAGTTAATGGATGATTATGTACTCGCCTTGCGTAGCAAAGATGAGACACCGGGGTTACTCTTAGCAATGACTCGGGAAGCAGAAGCCGCAATTTTAGACAAATTCCAAGCTGACGTCGCTAGTAAACAGCAAGGTTTTTAAAAATTTTACGTTTAAATAATTTGACACATACACTCTCTCTCTCTCTCTCTCTCTCTTACTTCCTCTTTCTCTTATGTTGGAATTATTTAAAATTTTAAAATCATTAAACCTATAAATTTGAACAAAAAAATTACTGATTTTTCAATCCGATACCTAGAGAAAGAACATCAAAAGCAGCTGGAACGTGAACGCAAGGAACAGCGGAAGGCAGAACGTGGGGAACTGAGGACTGAGCAAGAGCAGGTAAAGGAAACCAAGGAGATAAAACCAGGGAAAAGGCAACAACTTCTCGTTCCTATCCCGCCCAAACTCAAAGAGCAGCGCGTGCAGCAACATGAGTCCTCAGTAACCGTAGGTGCCCTCACCGCCTTTAAACATAATGAAGGTCTCATTCGTGCGGCGCATAGCATGAATCATGACGTTTCACACGCTGAACCCGTAAGTACACCACACATTATACTATCCTCCAAAATTATTCATATTGAATAAAATTTATTAAACATTGAAAATCTATTTTTATATGTTAATTTTAATAGATTTTATCGCTTAATATTTTATAATAGATATAATTATTGTCTATTAATTTATTTATAAGATATTTATACGTGTGCGTATCAATATATACATAAAGTGTACATTTGAATTACAATACTAAAAAATGTAATTGGCTATATAAAATTCTAATATCATAAATAATCCAATAACATATAATATAATATATAGTATATGTATTATATATATAAACCATACAATAATCCCGTAATCTATTAAAATGAAATTGCAATAGTAATTGAATAATTTTAAGTGAACCATATAAAAAATTAACATATCTTCATTTACATATTTTCATAAGATTTAATTTATTTAAAATAGAATAAAATAGAAAAACAGCAATATATAAAAGAAAATTATTTTAAAAAATATATTTAAAACTACATATATTGATTGTATTTATAAATTATTATTAATTAATCTGTTATTAGAGTTATTCAGTGAGACGTGAAGTCTATCACCGGGAAAGCAGATCAATCTACTTTATTTTGGCATTTGCTGCTATTGCAATAATGGCTGCTACAATTGTTGGATTTGCAGTATTTAAACATCGCAATTCAAGAAGTCCTCATAGTCAGGTATATTTAAATTTCATCTTCATAATATTTTGATCCCTTCTTAACATTTGATTATTAACCATATAAGTATAACTACTTCTATTAGATAAACTAAAAATCTTATTAATTATTGAGGTTTAAATGTTTTAATTCATATAATGAGTATCATAAAAAATTAAGACAAAGTAAATTACGAGTAGGCATTCATGGTCTTAATTATAGAATCAATCTGGAAGACTAATTTTATATAACTCACTCAATATTAATTTATTATAACGCATTAACCCATTGTAATATAAAAAATTCTGGTTAACTATAAGAAAAATTAGATGCTAGCTCATTACTTGTAAGTTGTTAGTAAAATAAGAGCTGTGAGCAAATAATTAAAAACAAATAAACTAGTAATTCACGATCCATTGCACTTTGATGATGTCACGAGCATAAGACAAATAGAATGATAAAAGATGACATTCAAAGAAGAAAAAGAAGGCAAAGATAGAACTAAATGACAATGGAAGTATATCTATCAATATATTTTATAAAAATATGATATCTTGATCATTAATAATTGAAAAAAAAATCTGCATCATAACGAATTTTTTCATCAAATACAGAATAATATTGTGATGGGAAGAGTGAAGTGGCACAAAATAAATTATATGGCAGTGTAATAATATTTATATTGTATTTAATTCAGGGTTTCATCGAGGTTGACCAGGCAGCGACGCCAGAGGAGCGACATGTAGTTAATATGCAGATTAACGGCTACGAAAATCCTACCTACAAATACTTCGAAGTCAAGGAATAGATGCGCGACGAATTTAATCTATCCGTGCAGCGCAAAGAACTCCATCGTCAGAACATTCGTGCACGCCGCTTTGACTTTTTTTCTTTTTTATATTATAAAAAGCTAAAATAGAATCATCATTTTTGTGTTTATTTTAAATTTCAATTTCATAAATAATGAAAGATTGCTTCAACAAACATAACATAAGATTTAACTATTGCAATCATTATAGAAATTGAATGGGGAGAGACTATAACAATGCAAATAAAACATGATTATTAGAGATGACCTTCGTGGCTTTACACTTCAATTTCGAAGAGGATCTTGCAAATTCAATTATTACTATTGAATTTAAGTTTTAGTGGATTTTCAAAGATGACTTGAAAATGCGAGAGTCAAAAATAGTTAAGACTAATTGTTTCGAATAAATTAGAAGAAATTAGAACAAAGCAAATTAAAGGTAAGCTGAAAAGACAATTATGTAAACCTTTTTTTTTAAACAAAGATATACACATATACCATTTTTTGTAATGTAATGGATACTATACATGTTAAGCAAAGAAGATAAAGAGTCTTGAAAATTATTACTACGGAAAAAATTAAGAAAATCATCTACATAAAAATATGAAGCATTATTTCGCCTATCATACGTATTCCTCATATTTTACACAATTATTATAGTTTTGCAGTGTTTACTAATATCTGCTATCCTTATAATTTGTTCATTTATCAAATACTAATGACACTTGTTTATGTTTTATTCAATAATTGTAATGATAATACATTGTTTATTTGATGCATACAAAATTTATAATACGGTACTTAATAGTATTAGTACAGTTACTTGTAAAAAATTTCATAATGAATCTCGTGTAATTCTAATAAAAATAATGCGGTACATTTTCAGAACATAAAATATATTACAATGCATTAAGTTTTTTACTTACTTAATTTTTAACGATAGACAAAAGAACTGATTGTAATATACTAATTAAATACAATTTGTTTGCAAGACGAGTTAGAAAGATAATAAATTAATTTCTATGTAGTACCATTTGAAATAAAATTAACTTAAATGAACGATAACAAGGAACAGTGTAAGTACGGTAAAGAAAATGACACGCAAATAAAGTGAAACCAAAATAAAAGAAAATCTGAACGTACTGTGTTAATATTCCAACTTATTTTTATGGTGTATATATTTACTTATAGTCGAGTTTATTCATAAAATGAATTTCACACCAAATTATATAAGTAAATTGTCTTTTTAACAAATGAAAAGTAATTTTTTGGTTGTCTTAGATAATAGAAAATTACTATATAATTATTATACTAATGAAAATTTAATTAAATTAGAATTTTTTGTTCGTAAAAATTGAAAACTATGGTTGATTCAGCTTCTATTACTAAATTATTTATATTAAATGTAAAATTAGATAGTTGATGTAAATTAAAAATTATTTTAATGTAGCACAAGATACTAAATACAGTACGTCGGGACCTGATAAGATGGAATAGAATTCAATTATTAAAGTAGAAACTTCGAATTGCGGCAGGAGTAAAATTTAGTAAAATTAATGAAATAAAATACAAGAACAGTTATTTTGCTTTGGGCACATCAGTTTATAATCAAAGATCATATTTCTTAATCTGATGATTTTTTATGTTATAAAATTTCATAAAATAGGTTATAAAGTTCTTTACGAGATTTCAATATACAAATCAAATGAATTTTATTATTCTTTTCATTCTTGCAAAAATATTTGATTACATGTGTCAACTACAATAAATGAAGACATTGTGGCGCTAAAAAAATGCTTCGTATCATATTACAAAAGTAAAAATAAATTCTAATTTCAGTACAGCAATTTTCATGAACTAATGCAACAAACTAAATTAATTCAAATAAAGATCAAAATACTTGACTAAGAAGTTTTCTAAGTAGCTAATGAATCAAATTAAGAAGTTTCGAAATAAAAACAAGAGAGTATCGGAATTAATTTTCAATAGTGCGCATCAGTGGGTGTCATATATAGTTTTGTGTAGTAAATACAAATTATATTGATAAATACTAATAAAAATTTTAATAGTATCAAAGTATTAATAATTGATTCTAAAAACAGTAATTAACAGGAATTACAAATATGTGTATACATTTTCATTGTTAACGTGTTGCTCATAATATTTTGAATACGTTCTAAATAATTTGTTTTTTCAATAACACATTTATTATATTGAGCATCATTGTAATTTTATAACGAGAAACATTGATAATTTGATAAAAAAAAATTAGTACTTAAAATTTTTCTGCATGTGTTATTATCACAGTCGTTGTCACCGTCATTAGCATTATTATTATTTTGAACTAATATTAAGTAATTTATTGTTTATTGATTATTTTTTACACTTAATAAAAAAAGTTTAATAAAAATTTGAATTAAATATATGTAATTTATAAATCCAGATATCTACAAATGTACAAACTTTTGTCTATATGAAAATATTTGAAATATGTTTAATACAACATGCAACTTTCTATTTTAAAAAATCATTACAAGTTTTTTATCTCAGATAATTCAATTATCCATTATCAATAAAAAATTCTTTGTATATATTCATACATAAAATTTAATGGTTTAATAAAATTTCGATTGTAACTTAAATAAATATTATTATATTTTTATTATTTTATTTATTACTTCTTTATTTTTTTTTATAAATAATTTAATTCTTATAATTGACAAATAAATAATTTCACGTTTAAATATAATTATTTATTTATTTTAGTAACATATATCACTAAAAATAAGAGAAAAATGATAATAGTGATAAAACTAATGATTATAAATTTCAAAATTTAATTACAACCGTACTAAAATGAATATCTTAATTTAAACTGCAATTAACTATACTTTATTTTCTACCAAAAAGTTACTACGATATATGCAATTAAATACTTTTTATAGAAAAACATTAATATATATATATATATATATATATATATATATACATTTCATTATTAATAAATGAATAATTTAATAAGGTTTACGAAATATATTTTTACTTGTATTAAATTCTTTACTCGCTCAACAATTAAATATGTTTACTTTTATAAATCTAACGTCATATGTATTCAATAATGACTCGCTGCAGATGTTCGTTTAAAACTACCTTCAATGATGTATCTAAGAGTGAGCAACGTCAACATATTTGAACTCAATGTTTATAATTAAAAATTACATTTCGTGCAATATAAAAGATGAAAACATATTTTCTGCATATATAAATTAATTTATGTAACTGGGGCTAATACTTATTTACTTACTTGAAAGAAATAAAATTTCAAATAATGTTCTGTTTAAATTATTTATACGAAGATAATCTGTCTGTTGATCGAAATAAGTTTTACATATGTCAGGTTCGCATCTGAAATCATGAAAAAAGTACTTTAGTTTCTTGATATATAGTATAATTTACTTTCAATTATTTAATAATAGTTTTGTATTTAAAATATAGAAGAGTATAAAAATTAAATAATTGGTAAACAAAAACATCTAATTTATAATATTAATTACACTTCATTTATTCTTAAATTTTAATTATGTATAGTGAAAAGAAAATAATAACTTCTAGTTATATGAGATATTTTAATAGTATAGGTAATATTGACAGCTTTTACAATTCTATCAACGTATGATTCTTTTCAATATTTAATAATCTTTAAAAATTGATTTTTAAATACTACTTTATATACTTTTTTATATACTACTTTATAGTATAATTTTATATACTACTAATGGATGTTTTATTTATATTCTTTATAATATAATATAATTTTTTATATAAACAGAATAGTGTTGAAGATAAAACAAAAAATTAGATGTAATCTACGTTAAATTTTTGTTTTTATTTAAGAGTTTTTTTTATAAGAAATAGTTAATATATTATTCATTTTATTATTTATCGTAATTAAATTTATTTTAAAATTTGAAAAATTGACGATTTAATATAAATTTTATAATTATTATATATAAACTATATATGAAAATAATTGATGTTTTAATGATTAAAATAGTGATATATTATAATATTCATCATAAAATGTAATTCTATAATATATTTTACTTAAAATGATCATGGTATAGATTTAATATTCAATATTTGTATAGTTGTATATTATGGAACAAAGTAAAAACTGTTCATATTATTGATATCTTCTTAAAATGCTATTTATTTTATAAATTATATATATTATAAATTATTAATAAAGACTTTAAATTTATGAAGTTCAAATTCATTTTTAAAAACTAAACTTATCACCCTTTAAAATAACTTAATAACTGTATCATGAAATGCTGTATAAAATTCTTTCAAATTCATATTTAAATAACCATCAATTCATCTTGTAAAATAATTATTTAGTATAAAATAGAAAAATAATTATATATAATATAATTATAATAAAAGAAATTATTATGTCCTATGTGAGTTGTTTTTAACTACACAAAATAATATATGTAACTACACATAGAACAGTTTGAACGATTAATATTTTCTAAATTCCTAAATAGTTTTAAATATATTCAGATGTATTTATCAATAACTATTAAAAATTGATAACATACTCATTTTATCAAATGATCTTAATTCTATCACATAATATTTTGAGAATATATAATTTCTATATTCTTTATGTATTTTATTTTTAATATCATATAATTTTCACTTGATACACTGAATTAATTTATGATTGATAATATTAAAGTATAACTATATATATATATATATATATATATATATATATTTTATAAACTATTAATAATAAGGAAATTGCAATTTGATGAAGTAATTAAATATGAAAATAAAAGTTTTTAAAGATTTTTCAGTTTAGCATACAATATTATACTTACATTTTGATATACCAAGTGAACACATTCGACTGTATTTATCTATACATATCTAATTTATTCAAATAGCAGCTTATTTCAGTAGTAAAATCATTTTATTGTTTTTATTATTGAATTTTATAACAAATTTGTGACCTCGGTATGTATGTTTTTATTAAATAAGAGATTCATTTTAAAATGTAATAGAAAAAAAGTAGAAAGGTTGATGATTTTTATATTGTCTAGAATTACCTAAAAACAATCTAATAAAAATTCTAGAAATAAATTTAAGTTAAATGGCATAATTTCATTGATCTAAAGCGACTGTTATTAATAACAATCATTAATGCTATTAATTTATCTTCAAAAGTATTTTACATCTCTAGCAACTAGTAGATTTGTATATGAAAATTTATGCAGTAAGAATTCAGTACAAAAATTCATTAATTGCTTTGATTAAAATATTGATCATAGTTATGTTTAAGTATTTATACTATTTTAAATATCGATTTAAAATTACACTTAGTCTGAATATTCAAAAATATTCAAAGATATAATTTGTATGTGTGATAAATACAAATAAAAGTAAGATAAGACCCCGTTATTAAAAGCAAACACATATATTAAAAGCAGTTTTCGGTAGTTGGGGTAGCGTTGTAAGCAGTTGGGTTATACGTAATTATTTATAATAACTCGATTTTATGTAAGTTTAAAAATCTTTTTTAATTATATATAAATAATATTCATAAACGACAATACTGTATTTCAAAAATTAATACCAAAATTTTCTAAGTCTAAAATTATATATCATTTTAACATAACTTAACTTTTAATATAAAATTTTAATATTTAATTAATAATTAATCTTTTTTATATAAATCAAATTTTTTACTTTCAACAACTATTATTTTATTTCAAAACATTCTTTTTAATATCCCGAACAATTTTTTCTAAAAATGATTTGCTTCATATATTTTTAAGAATTCATATGTGGTTTTTAACATACAAAATAGATTTATTTAAAAAGATATTATACATTATCACCGTAAACTTATATTATATAACTTATATAAGATTTCATCCAACTTTTTATTGGATTATAATTTTATTAAATGTCATACCATATATTTTATATTCACAGGCTAGTTACTAGTTGTATAACTGACCTTGTAAGTATCAGGAAACGTGCGGACCCAATAATAAGATCAGGAAATAGATAATTAATTTTTAAATTAGTCGTTTAAAAAAAGTTTTATAACTTAAATTACAGTTATTCTCAAGAAAATGAGTTCTTCATGCCTTATAATAATTCAGAAGCATTACTATAGGAATCATTATGCCCTTGTGCCCCATAATTTATTAGTAGCCACTACAGTGTTGAAATTACATAAATTATGCTCACCACTTATACCTTTGTTCCAATATTGTCTATGTAATACCATATCTCCTTCCCATTAATAGCTTAACTAATTAAACTAAGAAATACTAGTTATACAATACAAAAATACGTTTACGACACAAGTGTTACATAAATAGCAGTAAAGTTATTAATTAATATATTAATATTAGTTGAACTTACATTTACAAATTTGAATTTCATTATTCAATTTTCATCAATTGTGAATTAAATTTAATTACATGTACAATTTAAATTTTTAAAATGTCAAGCATTTTTATTTTTACATATTAATTATAAATTAACATCATATTAATTTCTAATTATATCAGTTATCTATCCTCAATTAGCTTATTTGATTGAAAATAATTAGTAACTGTAACTTTGAATCATTACTATTGATTATTGACTAAAATGATTAACTAAAATGCATTTAATAAAATGCAAATTTGAATTATATAAAAATATCTAATTTACCAAAAATTTAAATATAATTAAATACATTGTAAAAATTTTTATTTTAAGTTATGATTTATTTATCTAAATACCAAAATAGAATACTGTGTATTACATATATTTAAGGTTCATTAATTTAAATTATTGATTCACTACTTATAAATATTTAATAATGAATTTATAAATAAATTGAAATTTTTTATAGAATTTAGTAAATACTTATTAAATAAATAAAAATTGTTAACTTTTTATTCCTCACTGCATATAAAAAATTAATAATTACAAACTACAAATATACTTTAAATTATTCTCAAAACTATATTTTTATTACGTTTAAATAAATACAAACACTTTCAATATGTTTTTATTTTATACCTTCATAATTTATTTTTAAATAATAATTATCAATAGATAATTGTACTATTGATCATAATATTACTTTGGTATAATTTCAAAATTTATGTAATATATTATTAATATTATATATAATTAATATTTTTATATATAAAATACAATTTTACACATTCTTGTATTGGTCATGCATCAATACATGTTTGAATTTACGAAATTTAGATAATATTGTGAATTACTGATTCAATGTATTGTATTTAAAAACAATATTTTTCTTTATATTTAAACAAATATTCAATAACATAATAAGAAATTTTCTTTCAAATAAGAAAAATTTCTGTATTATATGTCTATTCTATTATACAATTAAAGTTTATATTTTGCTGAAAAATAGTTTGTTATTTATAAAGATTATGAGGATAAAAACATTAAATAAGATTATTACATAAATTTTATTAAAAAGTATTTAAAGTTTATTATTAATGAAATTTCAAACAATTAAAAATTTATGTATGGATATATATTGGATAGAATAATGTTATATATAGATTCATTAACAAATGTGCATACCATATACTAACATTTTTTAATTATCGATTAAATAAAGATTAATGACTTGAACATTTATATCAATATAATAAAAAATTATATACAGTTATAGCAAAACCTATAGCAAAAAATTATATGTATAAAATAGGAAGAACAAAAGAAAAGAATCTATTTTAAGTATGCGATTTTAGGTATTTATTAGTGAAATATACTTAACATTTTCTAGTTAATAATCAAGAACATAACTTTTATTACAATAAAGAGAAAAATAAATATAAATATAATTATTATGTTAATACTGGTAAATAAATTTTTTAAAAATGTTTAGATTGCAAAATTATACATTGAAAAGTAGTAAGTAGATTACTTAAAATTCTTCAAAAAAACTTGCAACATATATGTCTAATAGGATGTTAATTGTTTAAAATTGCTTTATAAGAATGTAATATATTGTTTTTCTAAACATAATTAATAATGTGCTTTTACATTAATATTAAAAGAATAAAACGTTTACAATTGATTATTAATTTAAATGGTATTTTTCGATGATAAATTAATCTGAAAAAAATTTGTTACCGTGATCTATAAACATAACGATATATATAAAATAAATTAATTGTAAAAATAACTAGCATCGATATGCTAAGGCTACTTCATTGTAAGCGAGTACAATACTCTCATTTAAAAATAAAATAAATCATATTCAATAATGGCACTGCTATCGGAAATAATATCGATCTTTATATTATAAACAACAGATTTCCTCAGAACCATAATACTCTGTATTGTTTTCTGAAAATTTATCATTGACAATGCTTATACACAGACACATTTTTATTCTCTCTCTCTCTCTCTCTCTCTCTTTCATTCATAAGTATTCTCTAATCACAAAAAATTACTACTTACTCAACTTGTAAAGAATGAAATATCAAGAAGAAAATGATTAATAGTTACACTTGTAGACAATACAACGTTTGTCTTTCCTTAAACAGACGTGCTAATAATTTTTTTTTTAATGATATGAATATTAAATTTTCTTTAGCTATTTTTATACGTTTCATTAATAATCGAGTCTCCGCAATGCTAATCGACAAAACTAGTAATACTGGCAGCATTATAGACAATAGTGAATGCGTAATATATGTGTTTGCATGCGTGCATGTGTAGGTATGTGTAGGTGAGTATATTGTATACGCGTATGTTTCTATATATGTATTTATATATATATATATATAATAGATTTGAGTATGCTCATTTATGCACAAACATGTGCATATGCATTTATTGTTACATTCGTATTTGTATTTATATTTATCTACGTATAACGAAAGAAATCCAGGGTTTTTATTTTGAAATTATAGAGTAATTTACTCTTGTAACATGTGCACGAAACTAATAGGAATCATGCCTCTTCGTTCTGGTGTTCGCTCAAGGAAACCTTCCATCCAATTTTCATCATCCGTGTGCTCATTTGTCACTACGATGATGTCACCCTCGTGAAATGAAAGTTCATCCTCATTGTCAGCTTCGCAATCATATAGCGCCCTACAGCGACGTAAATTACTAAATCCTATCGTTGACGCCGGTGGCTGAAAAATATTTTAAATACTCATTACTCTCGACCAAATTATTAACTATCCTTTCTCCTTGTTATACTATGCTTTTATTGTCTGTTTTACAAAATATCTACTGAACCTTATTTTATTTTCATTGGTATATGAAATTTTTATTGATATATTGATTTCGGAATGCAATTGTAAGGCACACGCACTCACGCAAATAAAACTTTAGTTATTATTTTTTTAATTTTGCTCTTTTTCATGAATGATATTATTAAATGCATTATGTGTATGTGCATATGTGAGATCATACTTCAAAGATTATTTAAACTTCTAAAAACAGTTGATTTAATTTTTTATAAAACTAGTAGGATTACATGTTCTTCGTGTTTATTTGATTTATACTTTTACAAAATGAAAAAAAAATTTATTAAATAATTATGGAAATCAAAATTAAATAAACAATCACTACTTTTTCCAACATCTTAATTTTTGTATAATATTAAATGCATTGTGCAATGGTTAGCAACTAAAATTTATTTCCTTAATTAAAAGTAATATTAGATATATATTTTTAAAAATCATGTAAAATTTTATATTACTAAATGTACGCTGATATTGTATAAACTTGTTTAGAAACATTTATTATTCTTTTCGTATAAACAAAATACAAATCTAAGTACACGATATGATATATATATATATATATATATATATATATATATATATATATATATATATATAAAATAATATTTCAAAGTAAAATACAAATGTTTATCAAAATTTATAAGTTGACAAATTCTTGATATATTTAGTTTAAAACTAATTGAAATAGAGTAAAATTTTAAGTTTTGTTTGATTGCAAAAATATTTTTTTATATAACATATCTCATTTTATAATTTTATAATTTTTTATTTTTTATCGAAGTTTAATTAGAATGAAAATGATTTATGGGTTTAGCTTTAAATTTATTTTTATAAGGATACAAATTTTTAATAATTTGCTTAGTAAATTATGGATTAATCTTCTCATATTGGTTTCTAATAAAAAAATATGATGTGCAAAGTTAATTGTATGAATTTATTATATCATATATATATATATATATATATATATTTTTTTTTTAATACCGAAATGTTTAGTCGTGTTTATTTGAGCCGATTTACAGAATTATATTTATCACAATCGACATCTTTCTTAAAAAAAAAATTTATTTTTAGAGTTTAATTTATTCATTAAAGGAACAATATAAGATCGTAAACCAATATATATTCATAAATATATAGATATTGTAAAAATATAATTGTTATTTTTTAATATAAGAATTTTTTATTTGTATATTATTTATAAATATAATTGAAAATTTGTCCCATTAAATAAAATATTTAATTATTTGAAAAAAATTAATATATATATGATTATAAATAATAAATTTTTATATATTAACAGTTAGAAAGAGAAAAATGCATTATAATTTCAATGAAATGCATTATTTACTATCTCATACAGGAATCTAATAAATAGCTAAGAATTACTATATAAATCTTTTCTATTAAATATAAATTTTTTATTTCTTGAATAGTCATGTATTTAGTATACATTTTCTTAAAGTATGTTTCTTAATATTGCTGTAGCTTTATAATTGAAATAAATAAAACGAAAATATTTTTAAAATATATGAAATATAAAAAAAATCATCTATATAGTTATTTTTAATTTTTGCTATTTATTAATTTTGTCAACTGTTATGGGAATATGGAATATAAAAATAAAAAAGATTTTCTTCGTATCAGAAAATAATAGCTTAGAAATTCAGGAATTTTTAAGTTATCAAATATATAAATAATTAACTAGGCTTCTTAAAAGTAATATAGAATGACCTACAAAATGCAAAAGATAAATGAAATCTACAATATAAAAAAGAATAAAAATATAAAACCAAGAGAAAACTTGTTACTTGAAAGAATTTATTATGACAATGGCGAATTTATGGTTTAAGCTATGTTTTATTTATGTTTAAGCAAATCGAGTAAAAGTTTAAGTAAATAAATAAACTTAAATTTAAATAATTAAATTGAAAAATAGTGAGTTTAATACATATGTACAAAATATGAAATCATTCTGTATTACCTTAAAACATTACATATACTCAATGCTAGAACAGTAATCTTACTACTAGATAAATATTTTCAAATATTTTCAAATAATAATAAGTAACAGTGACTATTAAATTAATACGCACAGTGAAGATTAAATTAATTAAGGAAATTATAATTAAGATTAATTAATAAAATAACAACCAAAAACAAATGTATCTAAATAAAGAATTCAAAGTCCAACAAGTATAAAAAGTAAATGAAAAGAAACTGAATAGTAAAATGTGGATAATTAGATAAAAATAACAATGTATTAGGAATATATAAGTTAAAATGTGATACAAGTATAATTAGTTTAAGTATGAAAAGAATGTAATAAAGATACAATTAAAAACAGAGATTTTGTGAACAACTTTAAATAAAAATTTCATTAAATTCGGATATTAAGAAAAGTTTATATTTTTTATTATATATTTTTTTTATAGTACAGTGAGCTTATGAATACCAAGAGCAGTAAACTATACACCTCTAAATTCCAAAAGAAATAAAAATGCATGCTATAAAAAATTAACTTTTAATGATTATAAATTGATTATAGAATTAAAAATATATAATATATATATAGACTTATATATTATACTTATATATTATAGACTAATTTTGGCAACATTTTAATTTCAAATACTAAATTTAATATTTCTTAAATTATAATCTAAATGACAAATACTTAAAACAATAGACAAATTATTTATGAATTTAATTTATTTAAACTAGCAATATATTAATTAAAAATGTGTCAATTAATAATACATTTAGGAAGATGACAATTTATTCAATTATTATTGTTGTATTATAAAGTCTAAAATTACATTTTATTCTTTATATAAATAATATACTACATACATTCCTGGCATTAATATTTGCCAACTTACACAGACATATTTTTTTTAAATATTCTCATTATATTTCAAATATTTTCATTTATATTTCTTATTTGTTATGACAAATTGAATTATTATACATATTTATTTCACGAAAAAATTGAACGCTTTCAAAAAGAAATAATGTTATTTAAAAATTGTATAAATAAAAATTAATTTTTTAATAAAAATCTTATTTTACAAAAATATATTTTAAAATTTTTTATTGAATAAATTCAGTGTTACAGCAGCATATTGTAAATAAATAATGCATGAATTATTAATATTCTTTAATTTTTAATAATTAATTAACTATTGTATTAAAAATTTTTAACTAAAATTTTTATTTTATTTAAAAATAATATATTTTTTAACTTAAATTATAAAAAATAAAAAAAAAGATTATATATTTCAATTATTAATATTATTAATTATTAATTATTAACTACTACATGAAAAATGTTTAACTAAAATTTTTATTTTTAGACAAAATAAAATTTACAATAATGTTTGATTAATTTCAAATATTCCAACGAGAAAATTCATTAATATTTTTACTGCTTAAAATATGATCAATGAAATACTTAATAATGTAAAATTTGGTTGTTATAAAATTAGTCATACTATTTAACCTATATAAAATAGAATAAATAACTTGCAGGAGACGAAATATTATTAGGATTATACCTTTCGAGGAGGTGGCAATGGATTTCCTGGTCCACTTTCAGAACAAGTTGTACTTAGACTATCGCTACTGTTTTGATCATTTGCTAATCTTGAAATTGTCATTGTTGCGCAGATAGCGGGAGGCGCGGGTGGAGGTGGATTTCGCGGCCTTTGCAGTGTTGACGAATTTATATTAATTTTCTCGATACCTGATAAAAATATAAAATGCAAACCAAGTGTAAATGTTAACAATTCATATATTTAGGATAAAATTTAATTTTATTATGTCAATTATAAATATAATATAATATAATGTTAATTCCACTTATAATGAAATTTAAACTGCTTATGTGTATACGAAATGAAATTGAATTTATAAAGTTATAGAATTTTTCAATTTATTTCACATTGAATCACAAGAGATCCTTTTCATGATATTAATCACATTATTTCATGAAGACACATTTAAATTTAGTTTAAAACAAAATAAAATACAAAATACATAGTAATATATAACTGATATACGAAAAATTTAAGCGATTAATTTTAAAAATTAAATCTATTAGGGGATATGAATCAATAATTGATTTATTATAAAAGACAGCAATAAATTACATAAATAAAATAATCAGTCACTTTGACCATTCAACATGCAAATATAATTTGCTGATGAAAAGTTATTAAAAAGATTTCATCTTGAAGTTTAAGCATTTATAGTTACTACAAAAAATATAATAAATCAATAATAGAAGATCAACAATATAAAGAAAATGTATGATTGGAAAAATAAATCGAATATATAGATAAAACTGAGTATTTAATTTTCGACATTTTAGACAGACTATGTTTTCAAAAAAATTTAAATCGAAAGAATCAAATGGGTATCGCGATAAAATAAAATATTAAAAACTGGAAAAGAAAAACGCTCTCAGTTTATGACTTACGTAATTCATCAGTACCATGTCCCGTTGATGAATCACTGCTGGGAGATCTTTTGTGAGTAGTGTTCAGAGTTCGCAATACGTGTGGTAGAGTTTGAATAGTATTATGACTAGTCAAAATGGGCTCACTTGTTGTCCTGCTATGTGAAGCTGCGGGCAGAGTTCCGTAATGTGGTGAGAGAATGGTGCTTGTAAGACTGGTTCCGCTAGCATCGAGGCCAGCGGGTGGTGGTGGTGCCACGCGTTTCTTCAAGGAACCATGGAAATTTATTGAGATGTCGGGCACTACTGGAGTCGGGACTACAAACAATCGAGTCATTGCTTTACGACCAATGTCGCATCGTCAAAATACGATTATTATCAACAACAAAATGATTTTCACTTAATTGTTAATAAAAAGTAAATTTTCACATTAATAGACGGTTTAAAATGCAACAAAATACTTAATAGTTTACATTTTTTATATTGTAATTTATCTAGTTAAATTTTTTTTTCCTTTAATGCTATTCTAATATATTCTAATTCTAGTATATAATAATAATGAAAAATTATTTCGATTGAAATAAACTATTTTCATTGATCAATAACAAAAATATATTAATATAATACAAAGACAAAAATAATATTTTAAGACAGGAAAATCTGAATATCAATATAATTTAAAAATTGCTATAATCATATACAAATAGAAACATTTTTTATATTGATATTAACATAATAATATGAATATTTACAATTTTTAAATCATATGATACTATCATTCATAAACTTACAAATCTCTATTTACAAAAAATAGAAAACCTGAAAATCGTATATATAATTAAATTATAAATTGTCTTTTATATACCACTGGATTTCTTTCAATGAAATTACAACGGAAGTTTCTTAATTTATGAAGATATTTTACGATGATATTACGACATTGACAAGCTTTGTTATTTTTATTACTATGTGTAGAAATGATACATATTAATTTATTTAAAAAAATATATAAATAATAAAGATTACATTAGTAGTCACATGCAAAATTAAAATTACTTAATAATGGAAAGATGTACTCATTTATTTATATAAATAAAAATGATTATAACAATTCATTTCATGATCTAAGTTTATATTTATATTGATCTAGTTAATTTCTTACAAATTCAAAATAATTTTAATAATTTTTAAAAAATCTAGGATAAAGTGTTTTATTAATTTATATATATAAATTTCAATTATAAAAAGTTTAAAATTTACTTAAATTTGTTATTTTATAACACTAAAATTATATAATAATCTTGCAATTTCTTCAATTAGTAATCATGAAGTTTCTATAGAATACATTAACAATAATTTGATAATTAAAAACTAGTGATTCTAAAAATAAACGCACAAAATAAGAAATATACCTATTACTGGCTTTTTTATTTGAGGTGGAGGTGGTGGTGGCATTTGTTCTTTAGTTGTGCAGAAACCTGGAGATAAACCACTCTGTAGACTATCACAAGTACTACTTCTACTGCGCAATGTAACTGGTGAATCTGTTGCACCTGTTTCTGTTGCACCAGCATATGAAGGAGGCCTACTACGTAATTTTTTTTCTGGTGTTGAACAACCATTCTATAAATAATTTAAAATCAATATTTATAAATTAAGTTTCTATTTATAATTAAAAATATATATAATAATGACAACAAACGTTATCAAAGTATAATTAATAAATATTTTAATATTCAAATTAAATTATTAAAAATTTCCGTTTAAAATTTCTTCTTACTCTTTCTTCAATGATAGTTTCATCGTCAGAAAAATCTGTTGATGCTTCATCATGTGAGAGATTCCAATCAATATTTACATTATCGAATAATGTTTTCTGCCGTTGAAGTCCATGATTTAACTATGTGAAATAATAAGTAATTATTTAATACACTCAAAAATTTGGAAAACAAATTAAAACATTTATATAAATTTACTAATTCTTGACATGTATGATGTCCAACTTCTTGAGCAATATCCAACGGAGTTTTTCCTTGTTTGTTACGAAGTGTTGGATCGGCACCTGCTTTCAATAATAACTTCATAGATTCTGCTTTATCATGCTTAGCAGAAAGGTGCAAAGCTGTATCTCCTTCAGTTGTAGTCTTATCTATAGTGCCAATTGGCATATTTTGAATTAAGAAGTCTACAATGTATAAACTATTTCCCATTTCTCTTAAAATTGCTAAATGAAGAGCAGTTTCACATAAATCCTATAATAAAATTAAATGAATGTTTCATAAAAATATCAATATATAAATATATTAATATATTAATTCACTAATAATACTTCAATTGGAATTTTTACATGACTTACTGATGTGGGTAAACTAGCTGATAAATCTACATTTTCTGCATAAACTTGTAACAAGTGATGTAAATCTCGATTATTTACAGCATGTTCAAGATCTGATAACAGATCTTGTTCATTAACACAAGTTCTTGTAATATACTTTTTTTCTACATATTTAGCCCTAATAAATTCGTACCTTTCTTCCCTAAAAATAGAAAATATAGGTAACATAAAAATAAACTTACAACTTAATTATTGTTTATTTTGCAATAAATGGTTTATTGCCTACATTGTAGACGTTGAAGATGGCTTAAAATTATGACGCAACATCGTTTCCATAACTTCGTTAAAAGCTTGATTTGTCATATACCTCGCTAGCAACAATTGTGAAGTACCTATATTATCAAGCGTTAAAGATTGTATTCTAGATATATGTACACCTAAGTCCCTGTGTATACCACTGCATTCAATGCACACAATTATTCCAAAGTTTGTTGACAGCCAAGTTGCATCTAATAAAAGTCATCTTTTAAACAACCTATAGATTTTCCTACACTTAACATTAATAATTCATTATAAATCAGCATTATATACTTAATATATTGTTATTAATAAAATTTAATTATCCAACTCAGAATTACAAATTTAGTGCATAAGTTTAAAATATTAAAAATTTAGTATGCAATGATTATTCCATGAGTTTATATTATTATATATATTATTATATTATTATAATCATTAAATTTCGGACTTAAATTATAATAGAAAATTTTTATTGTACAATTAATATTAATATTACATACCATTTTGAGAAGAACAGTCACCGCACTTATCATTACCAGGTAACCTCATGACACACCTTATTATAGCTTGTTGAAGTTCGACTAAACTAGGATTACCATGATTTGCTTCTGGTTTGCCACTTGCATCAAAAGCTCTCAATAGAGCACGCTCCTTGCAGTTGACTAGAACAGACATCCATGCTCGTTGATCCGCTTCATCCTCAGCTTGAAAGTGATAGGTCCTATTATCTGATATTTTCAAAAAATCATTTTCATTAGTAATAAAGAATTACTTTTTCTATTTTATATGTTCATTAAACTAAAATCACACTAACAGCTTATAAGATCAAAACTTCTTTTATCATCAGGTACCAGTTTTATTTGGCACGTTAATAAATTCACCCTTGTAGGCGGTTTATTTTCATCAGCATGACAGATATCTAAATATCCTTCTGCTTGTACAGAACATTTACGTTTTTGCCAAACTCGTCTCATTTTTCCTTCACTTTTTTTCAAAAGATGACCAGTACGTGTAACACCATGTTGTTTATCACCTTGCAATTGATGCAATGAATATCCAGTACTTGTATTTGTATTTAACTATTACATTAATAATAAATTCTTAATATGCTTAAATATACTATTTATAAAAGAATTTAACATAAGAAATGAAAAAATACTTCTTTATCACATCCAGAACTTCTCAATAGACTTCGGAGTTCCATTAAACGCCTTCTTTCTTCATCCTGAGCTTGTCTAATTTTTTGAAGTTTCATACTTAAATCCACTACATAAGAACCGAAATGTTCTATGGTTTTCAACCCATCTTGAAAATAGCTAATGAAAAACAGGCCAATAACAAATGATTATTAAATATAGGAAAATATTAAAACTTTTCAAATTATTCAAAAAAATAAATTTACTTTGTTTGTGCATGATAATATTCAACCAAATGTTGAAGCAGTTCTATGCCTTTTTTAGTTTTAATTTCATTAACTTTGATTAAATACTGAAAAATTAAATTTATTAAATATATGTAAATATGTAATAATAAATTAATACATTATATATACAACCAATAATCTTACTTCACACATTTGTAATTGAAATAGTCGTCTTTCTTTCTCCATTTCATCAGCAACTTCTGCAGCAGTAATTTCGGTTCGAATTAGACCAGCCTCTTTTGCATGTTGTTTCTTCTCTTTTTCAATTTTTGCATATTTAGCTTCATAATCTTTCCAAGCTTTGTCAAAAGGTCTCTTAAGATCGCCTTTAACACCTTTCAAGTCACCTTTCAAGACTGAGTCCAATGGAAACATTACAATATTACTAATATTTTGCATCTATAAGTACAAATAGTTGATTTTATAATTAAAACGACAAATTTTCTTTAAAACAATAAACTATTAATTATTTGTAAACAGTCTAAGTATTTTTAGTATATATATAATAAAAAACTATATGTATTTTTCATTATCTAAAAATTATTATTTATTGTTCTTATTGAACTACATCTTATAAAATTTATAAAATATATTTTTAAAGTCAAACAAACCAATGTTTTCATTAATGCACTTAATTCTTTGGTAACAACAGCAAATTTAAGAAAAGCTGCACCAATATCTGGTTCTTGTTCCTTAAGAGCAGCATCTCCTAATCTTTCCAATGCTCTTCCTAAGTACATTTCATTATCAACATGAGCTAAAAAAGAAGTAAATTTTAATTATCTTTAAAAATTAAAAAATTTGTAACAAAATAATTACAAACCATTTCCTGAATTATAGATTGCCTTGATTGCTTTTTTAAGTTTAGTAAGTCCATCTCGATCAAAATCAAGAGTCTATAAAATGAGATGAATTATATTTTAATTGTTTATAATTATAGCTCTCAATAATACCTAATTAATTAACATAGAAAAAAATTAATAAAATACAGAACACCAATAATTAAATTAAATACAATTAAATTTTTGTAGATTTTTCAACCAAAGATGTATAATTGTTAATAAAAATAAAACAATAATGAAATAAAATTAATAGCAATACTACAATAAATGCATTGAAATTTTAAGACTTATTATTTTTATTTATTTATTAACTTAATTAAAAAAAAATTAAATAAAATTTATATTGTATATTTACATAATTCATTTATCTATAAATAGCTGAAATATACTTACAAATATATAAAAATTTATTAAAATAATTACTAATAATAGCTGTTATCAAATATAAACTAAATATGATATATAAAACAACTAATAAATTCAAATTATACTAAACAATTATAATAGATTTAATTAATATAAATTTTATTTGCATGTAATTGATTGATTTACTTTTAATAATCATTTTGCAATTATTTATAATTAAATATAAAAATTTTTTAAGTCTTTCATTTTTAATATTTTATATACTTTAAATTCAAATACATTATAATATATAAATTTATAATTACAAAGAATTTATATTTTGATTTCTTAATATATTTAAAAAATTACATTAATTTTTTAATATAACTTTATAATTATAAATTTTCTTACATAAGATGTTTTATTCAAATTTTACCTCTTCCAATGCTGCAATGGTTTGTCTACACTGTGGCATCCTAGAAACAAATGTGGATGTAGTAGGAGAATTGTAATCGCCTCTGGTTTCTTCAATAAAATCACTAACAGCGATAAGGCCTGGCATTTTATCAAGTATTCTCTTTCTTTAAATAAACACTATAAAAACTTCTAACAATTCCTTTATTGCTCCTTTTCAATTAATATATTCTTTCGTATTCTCTTCACCGTAACTGCTTCTAAAGAAAGTCAACAGAAAAATAATATAGATAGATGGACGGGTAGGAATAAAAGCTCTGCAAAACTGCGTCACACTCATTACGCTTTTTGGCGTCGTTCCACCAATTGTTGCACCTATAAATTGGTAGACACCTAGCGTGTTACAAGTTAATCGCAAGCAAGGAAGACGACAAAAATAAGAGATCATGGAGCGTATAGCGTAAGGCAATAGAAAAAGCGCACACGCAAATCGATATACATATTGGATATAAGTATACATGAAGCTCTGCACTTCTCCCTCTGTCACTCTCTTTCACGCGTTTAGCTCACTCTTTTTCTCTTTATTTCATGAACTGTATATCTTAATAGTTATGATCTTAACGTGAGTAACAGAAACTTCTACTTTATACATGCGTATACTTAAATGTATTAAAAAAAATGACTACCGACGACAAAAGAACTATCATATATTCTCAATTATAAAAACGTAGGTACAGAAAAAAGTTGTACTTTTATGCACGCGCGCGCAATCTATATATACAAATATCGAGTATAATACATACCAATAAAAAGTTTGGCTCTGTTGAATATTCAACAATTCATGAAATGCTATTACTGGTTTTATCCCGCTTATTAATGCGGTTACTGTCCTAACTTCGTCTATGATCATTTTTCCATTTTATATTATAAGCAAATAAAATATGAAAATAAATCATAAAACGAGTAAGTACCCTCGCGACAACAAAAAAGACGTAATACAATGATTATATCTTCTAAAACTCTTTTTTCTCTTTTGTACGATGTTAAGGCCCAGTTTTTCTATACGAATTCAACAATCTGAAAAAGCGCGTATGACGACACACCTATCCCTATATGAACACAAATGGAGTTGGTACTTACGACGCGCGTCACAGCCGATCCTTTTTTACTTATATTTTGTTCATTTCTCCGCAGTAGCGCTACCAAACGCTTCTATACACACCTGTGCAAGTTGAGCCTCATACATCGTGCATTCGCGGACGTTATACGGCTTTCATTCTTATGTCATTCTAGATTGCACACATGCACATATATATATTGATATTATGTATAATATGTATTGTATTTTCAATGTGCGCAAATACTAAATCTTAAATAGAAATTACACAGGTTTATAATTGGGGCTATAACGAATATTTATGTATATATTGAAAATAAAATTAAAACTAATGATTTGCTTTCAAAGTATAAAAATTGATGTATCGTAACATGTTCTGTTTTTCTCTAACTTTTACTCACTCGTACTAAATCCTTTCATATCCAATATAAATCCCTGATTTTATAAACATTGATATATTTCAAACAAATAGCTAGAGCAAAACATTTCATTATCTCATATTATTCCATCCCTTTTTCGTATTTTATTATATTTATTTTTTACTATTACACAAAGATATGGTACAGCACAATTTAAATGTTCCAGTGATCTTATACTGTATTTAACCTTCATTGGAGATTTACAATAAACGTTAAAGTGTTCAAATGCATCATCTGTAACAGATTACAATTAAAGAAAAGTGTAATAATTTATATCTTATAATTTTAGTAATAGTTTACAAACAAAAAAAAAAATTTTCTTTGAACTTCATTTTTAAACGGTGAGTCTAATTTTATATATGACTTGCATGCATTTAAAAGAGTATTATTTTATTTTATATTTATTATAAACAATTTGATAAAGCCATAAAAGGATATTAACATTTATAAGAAAATCAATGATTGATGCTAATTAATCATAAAATAAGAAATACTAAATAACTTATTCATAAAAATTTTAAAATGTAAATTAATTTTCTTTTATTCAATTTCAACACTTTCGCATAAAAAATATTACATTATAAAAACAATAATCATATTAATTACTAAATTTGCAAATGCAAATATTTTCATTTTTAAATTTTAAATATTCATATATAGCATTCGCTACGATACATTATAGATCACAAATTAAATATAAAAAGCGCATGCGCAATTAGATATTCTTCATGTATGAAATTCAAAAACAAATGAAGATATCCTGTTACAAAATTTAATATTCAAAATAATAATAATTGCTATAAAATTGATTCGTTTGAAAATATTATACGAACCATTCATATAAACTAGAAATATGCAAACTTCATACTGCATTACTACAAAATATAAACAAAACATCTTAGAAAATATAAAAGTAATTAAAAAGTAAAAATTAAAAAATAGATAATTAATTAATTAAAGCTCTTAAAATAATATTGTGTTTATTTTATTAATAATAAAAGAAAATTTTTAATAATTTAACAATACCTCCTTATTAGATATTTTATTACAATTAAAATTAAAAGAAAATACCCTAGTAAAATTTTTATTCGTTTATCATTATAAATTTATATTTAAATATATATTACAAAGAGATTAAAAAATAAATTCTTTAAAGTGTTGACGATTAAAATCATTTTTTTATATTTGTTAAACATTTATATTAAGATTAATTTAAAAAATTCTTTTTATTAAACAAAATTTAATTTTTTAATTGAATGCGAGATATCGTCGTAGCATTTCCTGTGTGAATATCGTTACTTACTTTTTAACCTTTCAAGTTAATAGAAATAGCCTTTTACGACTATTCATTAATAAAGAACGTATTGTTAACTAAATTCTCTATTAAAAGTAATTTTTTACTTAAATATATAAAATATTAAACATATTTTACATATAATACCTCAAATCTTTTACTTTAATAATTAAAAAATGTTCGTTTTCAGTAGTAGCACTTTTGTGCTGTAATTACTCACGTGGCTTTTTTAAATTTATTTAAACTTTTTGTATATTTATTATTTATTTATTAATGACAATGTTTTTTAGATGCCATCTGTTACATTAAAAGATGTAGACCAACACAAATTTGTCAAAGCATTCGCTGCTTTTTTAAAAAAGTAAGTTTTTTTACTTCCATCACAAATTTAGTTTCATCAAATATTACAACTGTAACAAATTGTTTCTTTGTTATACAGTATTTATCAATATTTTTTATTTCATTTTAATTCGTTTTTATTATTCAATAAAATTGATTAGTGTTTTAATTGGATAATTATTAAATTATTACCACTACTAAAACAATTAATTATATATGTAAATTATAAAACATAAACTATACATTTTTAGGACTGGTAAAATGCGTGTACCTGAATGGGTTGATATTGTTAAATCTGCCAGATTTAAGGAACTGGCTCCTTATGATCCAGATTGGTATTATGTTAGATGTGCATCTCTTGTACGTCATATCTATATTCGTAGTCCTATTGGAGTGGGTGCAGTAACAAAAATTTTTGGTGGCCGTAAACGTAATGGAACACACCCGAGTCATTTCTGTCGGTCAGCTGGAGGTGTTGCACGTAAGGCTCTTCAAAGCCTAGAACAGCTTAAACTTATTGAAAAAACACCAGTTGGCTCACGTAAATTAACAAGTCAGGGACGTAGAGATCTTGATCGTATTGCTGCACAAGTTAAAGCAAAAAGCAAAAAACAACTAAAATTACAAGAAACTCTTGCATTGTAAAATGTTATTTTGATTATAACAATAAATTACAACAATAAATCATTTGAAAATAATAATTCTATTATTTACATTTCATCATTTTATTTTTATTATGTATGATTTATATAAGTTAAAATGTAAAACTAGTTTTTTTTAAATATTATTTAAAAAATAGATTTAAAAATGAAAGATAATGATTAAATAAAATTATGCCTATTCATTTTTAGCATATACTTGGGTCTATTATTATTTTAATTATATATAATATAACTGATGTATCTGATATAAATATCTATTAATTATAAAATATAGTATTTAATATAGTTTTTACAATTGCTTATTTAGTAAAACTTTTAAATGTAAGTAGTTCATGATTCGTAAAAATTTCAAAACAATAAATATTTCATAGCTATTTATTTAAAAAAAAATTTTTTAACAAATTTAAAGAACTTTATATCAACATGAGACATGATGCATATTTAGTATAAAGGCGTGCGTGCGACTGCATCATGCATATATTTACCCACATTTGGACATAAGCAATATTTTTCGAAAATTTATCCAAATGACTATAGAGGGATTTTAAATAAAAATATTCTAATTCCATAATATATTAAAAAATCTATCAAATTAAAAAATTGGCATATAAGAGATAAACATACGCATACGGATTAACCGTACTTGAATATTATTTTGACACCATAGTACAAAATGGAAATAATTAAGAATTGATGAATAAGAACATGAATATAAACTGTTCCAACGGTTTACAACATATCATAACGGCAGCCTGCACAAGATAAATTTTCTCTTGTAGTTGCAACCGTGGATGATGCTTTTTTACTGTACTACGCGCACGGTTTTGGTAATTATTCGGTCCACCGAAGAGTGCGTGCGTGATTTGCAGAGGTTCGGGGTTGCCCGACGGCAACAAACAATTACTGTTGTTGGAATGTAATAATGTTGTAACAGGAAAGTGGTAAACCACAAACAGGAACGATGAGCTTCTCCAGTGACGAAGTGAATTTCCTTGTTTACAGATACCTTCAGGAATCAGGTACTCTTGACTTTTTCTAACCTTAAAAAACGCGATTGTTTTGACAAAATATTTAAGTTTATTATTAGTAAAATTTTAGTATTTAATTTTTTATTTTGTAACTGTTTGTTGTGATTACTTGTTGCTATTTGATAATATTTTTTAATAATCTTAACAATTTTCTGAGTCAAATTTTATTTTGAAGCTCATAAATTAATGATTTATTAAATTGATATTCATTCTCTACTCTTACGAAACTATTTTAATGTTTATAAAAATGTCTATATAAATATAGAACTTAGAAATTGCAAACAAAAATTTTAAGAGTTGTTCATCTTGTGCAAAAATTTTACCCATGATTTTTTTAACAGGATTTCAACATTCTGCATATACATTTGGTATAGAATCACATATATCTCAAAGTAATATTAATGGTGCCTTAGTGCCTCCAGCTGCACTTCTTTGTATTCTTCAAAAAGGCTTACAATATACTGAAGCTGAAATTTCAATAGGAGAAGATGGAACTGAACAGCGAATGGTAGAGTCATTATCTTTAATTGATGCTGTTATGCCAGATGTTGTTGCATCAAGGCAAAATCAACAAAATCAACAAAAGCAGCAAATTAAAACTGAAATTCAAGATACAAATGGAGAAGAAGGTAATAATTTGATAAAATTCAAATATATATAAATTAAATTTGTAGTTTTATTATACCTGGAACACCCTGGTTTATAAAATGCTCAATGGTTATAAACCTCCTATTACACCAGGTAGAGAAAATTAATGTTTGAATCTATTAAAATATTTAATATTTTCAAAATTTTTTATAGATTTTATTAACATTTTTTGTGGTTATTTAAAATAATTGTTGAAATAAAAAAATTTTGAAAAATTTATACAGAATATTTATAGATTTAAAACAAACATATATGGAACATATTGTGGAAATAATAGTAATATAATAAAATTAAAGATGATTTCAATTTCTGTATATATTTTATTTTATTTATTTTGAATACTATATTTATAAAATTATTTCTATATTCGTTCGTTTCAGAATATTTTGTTTTATTTTTATAATGTAAATGAAAATAATTCAATTATAATAAATAAATTACTTACAATTTACTGTATTTATTCTATTTAGTAATTTGTATAAATAAAATAAATAAAATATTACAATAAGATTACAATATAATAAAATATTACTACAATATTAACTAAAATAATATATATTAAACATGGATGAAAATTAATAAATAATCCCTATTTACGTTAACTTAAAATTAAATATCTGTATATAATATATTATTTTTCAAAAATAAATAACTAAAATTTTCAATTTTTTTATTATTTATGCATATAATGATACTTTATTATAATAATGCATGTATTATGCTTTTGTTTCTAAACTTTCGATCTTTCTTAATAAACATTTTTGATTTTATTGAATGTACATTAAAAAATGTATATTAATAATTTTATTTAACTTATATTTTGATTATTTTCTATAGTTGTCACTTCTAATGAAGGAGTAGGTACAAACGATAAAGGAGGGGATAGGGTTGAAATGGAAGTCGACGATCAACAACAGGGACAAGGTAGTGGACCTAATGCCACTTCAGTAAAAATACCAGCAAGCAAAGCAACCAAATTATGTGGTCATGAATCAGAGGTATTCATTTGTGCTTGGAATCCCACAACAGACCTACTGGCATCTGGATCTGGTGACAGTACAGCTCGTATATGGGATATGTCTGATAATTCACAATCTCCTAATCAACTAGTCTTAAGACATTGTATCCAAAGAGGCGGTACAGAAGTTCCAAGTAATAAGGATGTAACTTCGCTTGATTGGAACGTATGTCATAAAATACATATAATAATCATGATATATAATTTTATCTTTGATAAAAATCTTTTAATTATATATTAATATACTAAATTAATTTGAAATAAGATATACTTAAATTTATAATTAATCATAGTTGATCAAATGCAAAAAAGTAATTGCAAATGTAATAATTTTTAAAGTAAATTTTAAAATATATAATAAACCAAAAAATTTAAAAAGAGAAACTATTTTAGTGTGATGGAACCTTATTAGCAACTGGTAGTTATGATGGTTATGCTCGTATATGGACAACTGATGGTAGATTGGCATCGACATTAGGACAGCATAAAGGACCTATTTTTGCATTAAAATGGAATAAACGGGGTAACTACATTCTTAGTGCTGGAGTTGATAAAACCACAATTATATGGGATGCAGCAAGTGGACAATGTACACAGCAATTCAGTTTTCACTCTGCACCTGCTCTAGATGTTGACTGGCAGACAAATACATCTTTCGCCAGTTGCTCCACTGATCAATGTATTCATGTTTGTAAACTTCATGTGGATAAACCAATTAAAAGCTTCCAAGGACATACGGTAAATTAATAATATATTTTGTTATTCATTAATATATTTTAATGTACAGTACAATTATAACGAACTATAATGCAAGAAAACAAAATATTTCTTTTGTTGGCTTTGATAAAACGAGTTAAATAATGCCTTAATTATTAATTTAACTTTGTAATAAGTTTTAAATGAAATTTAATTTTTAAATCAAAAATACAAAAAATTTGATTTCTTAAAATAAAATAAAATCTTAAAGAAAAATAATTTATTTGTAGAATGAAGTGAATGCTATTAAATGGGATCCTCAAGGAAATTTACTAGCCAGTTGTTCTGATGATATGACCCTAAAAATATGGTCAATGAAACAAGATACTTGTTTACATGACCTTCAAGCACATAGTAAAGAAATTTACACTATAAAATGGTCTCCTACCGGACCAGGTACACAAAATCCTAACATGAATTTGACTTTGGTTAGTGCATCCTTTGATTCAACTGTAAGACTTTGGGACATTGATCGAGGTGCCTGCATATATACTCTAACTAAGCATACTGAACCAGTATATAGTGTAGCTTTTAGTCCTGATGGTAAATTCTTGGCTAGTGGAAGTTTTGATAAATTTGTTCACATATGGTCCACTCAAGTAAGTATACAGAACTAATTTTAAAAATAAGTTTAAATTGTGTAGTTAACAAATTAATTTTTGTTCTATATATTCATAGTATTTATTTGATTTCTATAGAGTGGTCAACTAGTGCATAGCTACAGAGGGACCGGGGGTATTTTTGAAGTATGCTGGAACAGTAGGGGTGATAAAGTTGGAGCTTCAGCCTCTGATGGCAGTGTATTCGTCCTCGATCTACGCAAACTATGATTAATAACAAAAAATTAAATTTTGAAATTACCTGCATATACATTACGGTGTCTAATTTACTTTTTGGTAGTTATTTATACAATATCATAACTGCGATATATCAAATTTTAGCATACACCTTTTTATATTCATTTAATGCCTTTCATTTATTATCTTATGCAATTTAACGTTATCACATTCTTTTAGAGGCAGTTAAAAAATAACGAAATGTAGTACGTCAGATATGATAAAAAATTTTAATTGTACATTAAACGAATTTATGTAAATTAATTATATTTTGTATTTGCTACAGATTAGAAAATATCAAAAAGTAATAAGTCTATAAAATGTGTTGTTTTAATTTTAAAATAAAGCATTATTATATATCATATATGAATATTATTTCTGGATAGAAATTAAAATTTTTAATAAAATTAACAGATAATTAACTTTAGTTTTTAATATTATAAATGCCTTTTTCATATTTCTGCAGAATCGTTAGAAAACACATCTAGAACTTCTCAATGGTCAATAAATAACAAGAACATTGAATGAAAATATAAAAATAAGAATATTAATTTATAAATTCACAATCAAAATTGATACTTTAGCTTATAAAATAATTTAAAACTTAATCATAATATATGCTCAAACTATAAAAGAAAAGAATAATAAGTCATTGTTAAGGTTGTTATATAAAGATAGCAAATATGTATAATGTGCAAATTTAATTCACATAAAATGTCTATCGATATAATACTTTTATATTAATAAAAAAGGTTTAACTTGAAATATCTTTAATTTCGAAAATTATACAATAATCGTACCTTATTTTTTGTGTTGAAACATTGAATCAGGTATTTCTAAAATTACTTCTATTAATATCTTAATTTAAATGGGATTTGGAAGTGTAATGTGTACACGTAAATCTACAAAAAATATGAGTACAAAAACCATTAAATAACTCAGACCGGGCAATCTGATTATGGTATTCACACGAATACTTTGGCGAGAGCATCGGCACCTGCACTTGCAATAAATGGCTGCGAAGGATGAAATGCTACATCTAAAATACATTCATCAAACTTTTTACGGTGTACTGTTATTTCCTGAACACAAGTCTTATTATCCATGTTCCATAACCGTATACTACAATCATGACCTGAAAAATATATTATATATAAACTACACTACAAATATTAAAAATATAACAATTTTACAAAGAATAATAATAAATTTTAATTGTGATTCAAATTTAAAAATTAACTGATTTTATTAAAAATAGTAATAAACCTACGTTTATTATAAATTAAATTTATATATGAAATATGAAGAGTACATTTTTATACTAAGTCAAAAAATAAAATAATTTTAATATTTTTAATAGAATAATCAATGTATCATGTACTTACTTCCAGAAAGAAGATAAAGACCATTAGGATCTACAGCAAGACTGGTAACAGCGTCCAAATGCGCCATTATAGAATGTGCAAGGGTAGCTGTACGATGATCATAAAAGCGAATATGACGATCTTCGTTAGCTGCTACAATCCACGGTAATATAGGATGAGCTATAAGCCGATTAATCCCTTTTGTCTCTTCACCTTCTATTCTAGATACAATTGAGCCAGTCTCAATATCAAAAATTACACATGCCTTTTCATATGCAACAACCAACTTATGTAGTTCATCCCGTATAAAATCAACTGATGTGGGTCTTTTGTCTACAATAAAACAAAATAAAAAATGTAATGATCTATAAATAATTATAAATTTACTAAAAAAATATACAAGTAATATCAGTTTTAAAAAATATTTTAATTTAAAAATTACAATTTATTATGTAACAATTGTATCGAATTTAATATTTTATACTATATTTTGCTTTATTCTGTTATATAAAATTAAGAAAATTGAAAAACAATTTTTTAAAAAAGTGAACAATATTTTTGGTTACTAAATCGAATTGAGCTTTTAATACCTATTTATTTATTAGAGTTATCTTCATGTCAGAAACGTAGTAGAAATTGGAATATCTCTACTACGTTAAACTATGACAATTCAAATAAATTAAAATATATTCTTCAAGTTTTTTGTTGAACCAAACGATTTTACTAATGAATTATAAAATATCTATAGATAATCCATTAATTTCATAAAATTAGTACAATATATTTAGCAATTGCTCATGTAAATAAAAAAAAATTACTAAAAATGAGCATAGAATTTAAAAAAAATAGTCATACCTTCTTCAGATGTATAAGTTTTAAGAAGTGGTACTTTACTCAGGGGACTCCAAAGTTTAACAGTCTCATCTGCACTGACAGATAATAATTGTGAACGAGGATGACACATACTTAAGCCCCAAACTGCATCTGTGTGTCCAATAAACGTTTGATTAAGCAGACTAGAATCATATGAATCATAAGGATCTATGTTAGCCGATGGAAGCGTCCAACAATGAATTTTACTATCTAGTCCACCACTAAAACATTGATTTCCTGTATTATCCATTGCTAAACATAAAACCGGACCTGTATGCGACCTAAACGTATATAAAGGCTCAACATCCAATGACGCTGACCTAAAATAAAATGAAAAATATTTTTAAATTACTGTTAATTTTCATTTCAATTTTATAAAAAAATACCTTGCTTTATTAATAATTTTATAAAATATAACTTTAAAAAACAAATAGAAATTAAATTTATGCTACATACTTTTTTGCAGAAACAGTTTTTTGAAGATTCCACAATTTCAGTGTATGATCATCACTTGCAGTTATTAGAACAGACTCAACTGGATGGAAGACAAGGGCTCTAACACTATCAAAATGTGATCGAAGTGTATATTTAGCATTCCAAGATTTTCTAACATCATGATTTGTTGGCATCTATAACGAAGATTTAATCATGCTAAATATATTAGTTTTATTATTAAAAATTAATATAATAAGTAAAACAGGATTAATTCGAATTTATTACTTAATTTTACCATAATATTAATGTAAGTGATCAGAATTATAATTTATTAATCATATTAATAAGTAAATTATTTCAACTTGCATTAAATGATGATTCAATATCGTTGGTTACAGTCAATTGTGCTAATTCACCCAGTCCTAAAGATGATCCACCTTCATCACAAGAACGTCTTGGATCTGAATCCAATCCTCTATGTACTGGATCTTAATATATAATATTTATTTACAACTACTATCATAACACACAGTTACGAAAGATCTTAACAATAAACTTACTCCATTCATTTGAGAAGTTTCTATTTTCTTCTATGCCTACGTTAATTATAGATTCTTCATGTTCTGTTATAAGATTTAGTTCATTTAAAACTTTTTCTGCTTCTGCATCTACATCTTCACCTAATAATATAGATGTCTGAAAAAAGTGCAAATAACTAACAGAGCAATTGAAAAAGGTAAAATTCATCATTTTTTTAATAGAAAAATCATTTAAATTATACTTTAGTAAATTATTCAAATATAATATCAACTTTAATATTCAATTTATGAATTAATAAAATAAATTATAATATATTAATAAGAATATCCATTAATGTAGTTAAATATTTTAAATACTTATTAAATAATTTATAAAGATAATTCTTATTTTAAACCTTAAAAATATTTTATGAAATCATACTTTATTTTGTTTTGAATCCGTGTTTGAATCGTAAATTTCTTCATCGCCTTCATTTTCTTCTTCTTCCATATCAATATCTGTATGATCAAGAAATTCAAAATTTACCATAACAGCACCTTCTGTATCTCTAATCATAGCTTCGGCGATAGATGATGGTTGTTGCTGTTTTTAAAAAAATACAATCTACTTTATTTAAACTAATTTATTATATTTGGATAAGATAAAAAATCAAATAAAATATTGGTTATTTTAAAAATTTCATGTTGCTTTTAATATAAGAATATATTATATAACTTATTTGATTTTAAATCAAAATTTTTTCTCTTCATACAATTTATACAATTATAAGAGTTGTCATGATAATAAATGGTAAATGTTTTGGTTGTTGTTATAATAATTATTATTATACTAAGTACAATAAGTAATAAATACTGTTTCATTTTAGTGTATAATATTTTTTGCTTACAGAGAAAATTTCTATAAATAATACCAATTGCATCTATAAAAGTTTTAAAAAATTCTACCACTAAATTTTAATAAACCCTAAAATCATTGCATGTAGTATTTTATACAAGACATTATAATAAAGAAAAAACTATTGAATTTTACATAAAATTTAGAGAAATTAAATAGTTTGTTATGAATATAGTTTGTTTACACTCAAGTAATGTCAAATCATAATTCGAAGTTTCTACTTTTAATTTATAGCTAAATATTCAAGTACATGATTTAAGTACATTAGAAAATACTGTTATATTAAAATTTTTTAAAAACCATCAATTTAAATTCCAACTCTTATTAACAGTTTATCTTATTCTATACATTTAAAATTGTACACTTATTTATTAGTCTTTAATTCCAAAAGTTTTATATTCACACAATGCGATACTTTAAATTAAACACTTTTTAATTGTTAATAATGTATACTATGCATAAATTGGTATTAATGATGAGATTGAGATAAATGACACATATTAATGATGTATACTATGCATATATTTTTCAATAATAATCGCTATACAATTTTTGTTAAGTATTATAAATAGTAAGTAAATTATAAAGATTTACAATCAAAACGTCAAATTCATATACCAACTATTAAAACGATAAAGTAATAAAAAAATTAGCCAATAAACTAACAATAATGTATAATTATGTTAATACTTATAAAGTAAAAAGATATCTGGTTGATTTTATATTTTACATAATATCTTTTATAATAGAAATTATATAAATCATTTAATATTATTTGTTTTATATCAGCTTTTATTGTACTGACATAAATATTTCCTTGGGCTAAAATATTGTTTTCACGCATGAGCATTAAAAATCTTTAAGTCGCATACCTTATATCCTTCATCCCAAAGTGCTGAATTCTTAAACTTCTTTTTAGTTTTATATTCACTAGCACATTTGTTTATAGATTTATTTCCATTTAGGGCTGAAGTATTAATATCTTCTGAATCTGTATTATTACTTAATCCGAGAAGAAACCGTACCCTATTTGATCGTACATCTATTATTGTATCAGTATAACCTATTTCTTGTAAATACCTTCAAAAAATTATGAAAATAAATTTTAGCATTTTGAATGCTTAATATTTAATAGAAAAAGAGTACATTTTAAATGTAAACTAGGTTATATGTATAAAAAATAATTAAATAATCATTTGATAAATATTTATATCTCTATGGCTCATTTGATTTTAGCGGAGTAGTAAGATTGTTAATATTGCCTTAAATAAATATTTTATAAAATATTTTTTCTTAATTCAAAAAATATTTGATAAATTTAATACAGTTAAAAATATTGATAAATAAAAAATTCATTTAAAAGTAACATTTTTTTTTACATTTAAAAATAAATGCAATAATAAAACATACAAATTATTAAATAATTGTAATATTTGAAAAATACAATTTAGAAGATATTGACGTAGAATATTTTTAAAAAACAATAAAATCAAGTACATGTATTTAAATTGATTTATTAAACTATTTTCACTATTTTAAATTAAATTTTAATTTATAATTCTTATATAAATATGTGTAAATAAAGACAGTAAATTTAATATTAAATTTTCATAAAAAAATGTTTTAAATATTTAAAAATTTTATGATTTTCTAAAACTATTAATACATATCTGTAAATACTGAAAATAAGAGACTAATTAATTCTATTTTTCATTATCATAAATAAATAGGCACTTTTATATTAGAAATCTTTACATGAAATACTATTCAAATGTTCTTTGAATAATTAATAATAAACTTATAAAATATTAAAAAGCATGTACTTATATTATAGTATTTCGATATTTTTCATAAAAAATTGAAATATAAATATAAGTTTCTAAATTGAAGATCGATTAAAATATTTTTGTATATGTATATGACTTACTCTCTTAAAAGTTTACGACTTTTTCTCCAAGTATTGTTACTGTTTAATGTGTATTGGGGCTCATCATCTCCGCCAACTCCATCAGTTTCCATACAAGTACTACTCTCCTCATAAGCTGGCTTGCTCTCTTCTTGTATAACTAAATCCATCCCGTATTTTAGTTTGTGATATTTCGCCCTAAAAACAGATTTAGTTAAAATTTGTAATTACAATTCAAACTGCAAAAATCTATAATACTCTATTTAAACTTGTTTTCTTGCGGTAATAATTAAATAACATACGTATATTATATTCTACTTAACAAAAATAACAAAATAATACAAATAATTGAATAATATGTTACAAAAATTTAATAATTGAAAAAAATACTTTAAAAAATTAAACACTATAACATATTTTTCTAATTCAAAATTTGTGAACACAAATTTCTCTTTTAAAATACTGTGAAAGCAAATTTATATTTTGAAATATAATAGTTAATAAATATTATAATTTTTTAAAGACAATTTATAATTAAATAAAGCACAGGCGATGTTGATGTTGATGCATCTTTTGACAAAAAAATTTATATTATTTTCTTTCGTTTAAAGAATTTTTGTAATTTCATAACGATTTCGATACTTAATGATATATAAATTCATGTAAGCAAAGTAATTTAAACCTATTTTGATGATCTATAATATATTCTACTAATACATAAAAAAAATTTGCTATTTGTTTATAAATATTTTTGTACTGTATTTTTGTACTATACTTATACTATTTATAAAATATTCTTTGAGTATTGAAACTTATTCTAATGATAGAGTTATAAACGTTAAGTTCCTAATAAAATTAGGTAATATTTTTTATATGTATGTTGCATAACATATTCTGTTAATTTTGTAATTTACAATATAATCAATACCATAATAAAAATTCGAAAATAAAGTACAATTATTTAAATAAACACTAGACAATATATTTGGTCGGTTTTTAAAAAATGTTTTAGTAAATAATGTAATCATTTTATTAATAAAATATGTATATTCATTTTCATAATGTAAAATATTTAAATAAATCAAAACAGATATTTTTACTTATTGTTATATACATTTAAATTTAACTAAATGGCATGATAAATTATTGGCATTATTTTCAGTAATGAAAGGAAATGGAGATCAAATATATATATATATATATCTAAAATCGTATATTTGCCTTTAATAACGTACAAGAATTAGTAATATAGTAAAGACAGAATATAATTATAAATAAAAAAATTTTAATTAATATAAAAATGAAAAAAAAACTATTAAAATTTATAAAAACTAGTATTTTTGGTGTAAATATATATATTTTGAATGCATAAGTTGATTAGAGTAAAACAATATTATATAGTTCATTATATTACGTTATAAAGAATATAATAAACATTATGTTTTATGTTTAAAATATTTTTGATGATAGTTATTTCAAATTGTTTATATTGTATTCATATAATTAAACAATCATTTTTTTTGTATAATTTTATTTGATATTGATTTGGAAGGCTTTATAATACATATATTATCATAATAAGAAATTTGTACTGATTACTTTTACTTCTTACATAATAATCGTTTTGTATAATAATTTTTTTATTATAACAATGTAAGTGTCACAAACATAGACACATACAAGTACGTTTTTACCATTTAGTTTATTTATTTAATCTTATTATATACTCGAAGTTTAATTAAAATTGAGTAAAATATAGAAACTGTTAATTGAATATTCGATTTCATTTTGGATTTCTTGGGAATAAAACTAATCATAAAGAACCAGAAGTAAAAATTCAGGAAGTGTACACAAATTAAACAATATTGTATATTACCTTTCTTCTTTTAATGCATATTCCAACATTTTAATACGTCGTACAAGATCAGTTTTTAAGTTCTCCTGTCCCATCCTTTCTCCTTGTAAAAAAGCTATTCTTGCCTGTAAAAAAAAAGAAATAAGATGGTTATATAATCAAAGAGTGCTTCACAATTTGTCATCGTAAACTTTTTAATTTAAAAAGAATCGATTTTAAAAAATGCAAGAGCGTGTAAAATTATGAAAATAAATTAGATGGAACGCGAATTAACACAATGGACAACAATATCGAATCACAATACGACGTAGACATAATTTAATGATCTGAATATAATCGTGAAACTTTAATGGAAAGATAAACATCTCTATTAAAGTATAATTATTTATAATTTAAGGATGTGCACAATATTATAGGTAATTAAGTTATTTATAGTAATTTTTGTAGTAAATTTTTTGATTTAGGAGAACAATTAAAATTGATTTTTTAAATATTTTTATATTGAATTTATTGTTACCTTTCCCTTAGGTCTAATAAAAGTATCTATTTATTAAATATATTAATTGCGTTAATTTTTGTTTATTACACCATCATTTGAAAAATTAAAAATAATTTTTTAATGTAATAGGAAAAAATGATGTTGATTGTATTGATTATTGTAAGCAGTAATAATAATAATAATAAATTTATTTAAATTAAATGATAATTAATAATTCTCTGAAAATAATAAACATATTTAAAATAACATAAGTGCATATGTGTAGTAATTTCATAAACTTTAATATTGATATATTACACTTATCTCTGGGTTGTTTTAAATAAAATCTACTTCTTAAAATAAAATTTTTCATGTTTTGATAAAAATTGATTTTAATAACTTGTCCTATTTTCAAAATAATTAATATAAGATATGGTTCAATTATTTGATATTAGATTAAAAATAAAATAAACATATAACATAAATATCCATTTGTTCATAATACAAAATATATAAAAACTTTGGATATATTTAAATGAAAAATTTGTATTGAAGAATAATCTGGTTCTTAAATATTAATCAACAAGCTCTTAAAAAAAAAAATGCATAATTCCTAATCTATTTTCTAATACAATTGATATTCATATTTAATTATGATTTTAAGTTTATAAACATGTAATTTTTTAATACTTTTTCCAATTTCTAAATAACTAATTTTATTTTATAAAATATGATAAAATTATGTAGTAATTCTATAGTATTAAAAATTAGTTGAGTTTTCTAATCACACAAAACATTAATAATGTATGTTGATTTTTATTAATAATTTTATGAATAAGTAATTAAATTGAAGCATTTATAAATTAATAACATCAATATTATAAATTGATGAATATAAAGTGAAAAATAGATTAAAACAAGAACAGTTTTGTTAATTTTTAATTTATCATAGTAAAAATTTAAAACAAAGTTTGATCATGTTTTTTTTCTAGACCAATATTTATAAAAAAGTTTATGCCAAAATATATAAATTAAATATAAAGTTAAAAACTTATAAAATATTTAAGAAAAAATAATTAACTCTAGAATAAATATATAACACTAATTAAAGTTCTTCATTTCTATAATATAAATGCAAAGTAATAATATTATAAAGACAATCTATGATTTTAAGTATTAGTAACTTTGATTTAAAAAGAGTTTGTTATATAATATTATTGATAATACTATTTTATTCACAATTATATGTTGTTTATAATCATTATTCCTTATTCTCGTTAAAAATAATATAAATACAAATTAAAGCTCTGTTGACATTATTATATTTCAAAGAATAATATATATTTTAGTAACTTATGCATAGTATGTTTATAAAGAGTTAAAAACTGCGAAAACGTATATAAAATCTTCTGATACAACTGATGTAATTAGAAATCTAAATTATTTAATAACAAATGTAATTGTAACCAAATCATCAATAAAGAGAGAAAAGGATATAATTGTGCAAAGTAATATATTATCTTTTGCATTTTCAAGCAAAATGAAAAATGTTTAACTAATTGAGTCAATTTATATATTTATTTTAAAGTTGGTTAGAAACAATCAATAAGATATATTTGAATAAATACTGAATGCTTTATCATTTAATTATTATTCACATAATAAGTTACATAGTTGTTGTTTTGTAGTGAGTTTCATCAAACTTTCATTCAAATTTCACATCAAGAACCCATTTCTTAATCTTTCGTGGATAATAATAATTAAGCTTGTTCACAAAAGTTGTTAAAGTATATCAAATATTTAGTAATTTAAAAATGCAGTTCACACACAAACCTGAAATTCTGCTCTATCAAGCTCCCACTGTGATCTCTCCAGTTCAAAACTTGCCCATTCATGTTGTAAAAAGTGTAAAACACCTGGCATAGTATACTGGACCTTTTGACCCTTATTGTCGCCTTGGTTGGCGCTGCCGCTTGGACCGCTGCCGCTGCCGTTGCCGTTACCGTTACCACCGACGCCACTACTATCGTTCTCCCCACCGCCAGGTTGATGCTTATTGTTTGCTACTGAGACGTTGACACCACCAAAGGGCTGTCCGCTGCTACCGTTGTGATTTTGAGAGATGGACGACGTGGAAGATGACGACGATGACGATGATGATGACGACGAAGACGACGGCGATGGGGACGACGACGATGGCGATGACGATGACGGCGACGATGATGACGGCGAGCCGGAGTTCTCCTCCATCGTTGATGTATAATACTGGCTACAGGGTACCTTCATTTCATGATACGGCAGCCATTACAACACTTTTTTCACTTCTTACATGCGAAAAGAAAGAAGAAAAAAGATAACACCTAAGCGAATAGCACCTACTGCTATTGCTGCTGGTTCGCTTCTTCACGCACTGCACATATACACACGCAAACAGAATCTTTTTTCTTGTATCTCTTGCTTGTCGCTGCTATTCGAACCAAACTCACAAAACATACGCGATCGACCGCGAGCTATCAAATCGATATGCGTGTGTATGTGCTCAAGGATATAGGTATATATCAATAGAGCTAGACATGCGTATTTGCATATGCAGAGCAATATAGAAAGTAACTAGAGCATAATTCAAAGATTCTTTCTTTCTATCTGCACGTATAGCATAATTCTTCTGTTATACTATTACAAAGCACGCAATAAAAAGTACAGCAGCGATAACTGATGCTTCAAACAGAGAGAAAGAGATACCAAAAGAGAGACAGATTGACTAATAGAAAGAGAGGGAAAGTGCAATCCGAAATTATGACGAAAGTACTTTAAAGCAAGACGGTGCAAGAGGTCAACAGGATGACCGAAGACCGTCACATACCACGTGACAATTTAGCCTTTATATGTGATTGGACGTTTACTATCAGAGGTGCGGAACCGAGCGTGCGTCTCTTCAACTGTTTCATTAGTGTATTTAATGATTACTATCGTGTGCTTAACTTAAATACGCGATACTATCACATTATTATACTTGTTACTTTTTACCCACTTACTTTACTCTGACTCACAGTAGGAGTAAAAGGAAACTACCGATTTTAGCTTGCAAGAAAATAGAGAAAAACAGTGTTATGTTAATGTGTATCTTAGTTGCATGTCACTGCACAAAGTCTGTAATTTACTCTTTAAAACTCAGAAGATTTGTAATTTTCAAAGCCTTAAATAGATAAGCAAATTATATAAAAGTCATGCAAAATCCAGATGTTTTCACGAGAATATAAAATCTTTGGTAGATACGACCAGTATCTGCAACATGACTGTCACTGTTTAGAAGTCATATACAGCACCTATTAATACATTCTAGTGGTAGCTTTGCATTCAATGTATCATTAATGATTATATACGAATGTTATTCATAAGCAATTGCGAAATATTGATGGTTTCATTACATTTTTCTTCTTTTTAATCACTATCAATTATATATATATATATATATATATATACACATTAATAAAATTTATTAATATTAAAAATGACGATACTAATCATAATAGGAGCTTCTTAAATAGAATATACATTATTACGTTTACAATGTCCATATATTTATACATAAATATAAATCTAAATATAATTTAATTTGTAATATAAATGGTATTTAAATGCCTACATGTCTATTAAAAAAATTGACAATTTTATTTAATATATTTTTTTTAATTTCATCAAATTCTAATTACCTTTCAAGCATCACAAGTATAATTTTTAAATAAATTTGATTTAACCAATCTAATTGACATTTATTTAATAAATTATCATTTGAACAATCAAGATAAACATTTTTTTAAATGTTAAACTTTGAACTTAAGTTTTTCCTAACAAACATTAAAAACAATATAATGAAACTCAAAATAAATGTTAAAACGAAATTTAATTGCTTCTATACTATTATTTTTAACAATATTATATTGTTATTTAACTGAATATGAAATATACATTTTATTATCAATGAACATAAATTTAAGCAATATACATTAACTAACTTGATTAACAATATAATTATTACAATTCTAATGCCCAAATATTTAAAATATTTATGATTGTTCATTACTCACTTTTTAAAATTTAAAAACAAAAACTTTCTTAGTAAAAAAAACTTATAATTCAATATATTCATTGCATTGAATTACTAAATCTACAAATTTTTTATAAAGCACGCGCGCACATAAGATGACAATAATTACTAGTTCTTTGTAATGCTAATTTCTGTATTATTTATATTTTTAATAAATTATTAACAAAAAGTTATAAACTACATTGAATGCAATAAATAAAATATAAGCAAAATGAATTATTTCTATGCTGATTCTAAAATACGTTATTATTAATTATAATAGTCCAGCTAAAAATAGAATAAAATATATGATAGATGAATTTAAAATGGCCTTATTAATGGTGAATATATTAAAAATAATTATACCAAAAGTACTATGTTATCTGATATTTAAATGAAAATTTTAATAATTTTGTATATTAAAATAAAGCAAATATGGAAAGGTAAGAGCAAGTAAAAAGTTAAATTAAAAGATAAGTTTATGTAACTACATACAAAAGTAGCATATGCGATTGATATTTTACATAATTATAAAAGGACGATTTCATTATTTAAATTCTTGAAAGAGTATACATTATTTTACCTTAATTACTTTTAATTGCGCATGCACTTCCAGTACTTGGTAGATTCAGGTCCTGTAACTATTTTAAATTGGTTTGACGAGGAAATTCACATTGAGATCAACAAATCTCAAATGCGTCAAGTTATAATTATGAAATGAATTTAATTTAAACATTATACAGCCTATGACAAATGATTGAATTGTTTCGCTCTCCTATAGCTCAATAGTTGTGTAATTATACACTGTTATTATATTTTTTTAAAGTCTTATTGTTACATCATTTTAACCATATATTCAAATCATATTAAACATGAGAAATTTGACTGCGTAATTTTCTGTCTATAACGTACGACATATCTTATTCTTTTGTATATTCAAATAAAACATTTTTTATAGTGAAAAATATGTAAAAACACGAACTTTCATTTGAATGTTATATAATATTTTGTTTAAGGATCAGGAATTTGTGTATCGAAGCCCCTTTTTGTTTTAAATCAATTATATTTATCAAATTGGTTGCATATTTTTTCTTTCTTAGTTCCTATCAGTGGCTCTAAGTTTTTCTTCAACTGCTTCTTCTGAGGCTTCTGAAAGATCTGTCGCTTGGATATACTTTTGCACACCAACTAAAGATTTCTTCAATGCATCAAAAGAACTAGAGTACAGCATCTTCTTCTTCACCTTAGCTGTGTCTGGACACCACGACATCAAAAATAATTTTTGTTTCTTGGAAGCCTATATCATAATACATTTATGAGGTTCTTAAAAGAAAATGATAATATGTTATAAAAAAAATTTTAAATAACAGTAACTAATAGAATAACCTTTTTTTATTAAATTCTGGTATATATAGTTTTTTAATATTTTAAAACGGTAATTATTTTCAATTACATAAGTTTGAATTAGAAATTTTTTTTATATATCAAATATTTTTTTAATATTTATATCTTTATTTATTAAAATAATATAAGATTATTTTTAAAACAATTATATAATATAAAAAATACATTTCATGGTTGTTTATGTATATTGAATAACTAAACATAGCATTGATTCTCATTTGATAAATATATATTAATTTAATATAGTCTTTTGAAAATATTAAAAAAAAATTCAAAAATTTAAAATATTTGATTCTATACATTGTCGTTTTAATTATTTTTTCATTAAAAAATTATGAAAAGTAATAAATACTTCAGAAGTTCCCTGGCATTGATGAGTATATTCAAAGTCAAAGAGTCCATAGCGACACTCTCCGGTACCGCTTTTTTGCAAATCTTCTAGGAAAGCATCATAGGTGGCTTCACGTGCTCCAATTACTTCTACGTCAATTTGCTTTTCGTCTTTGATATAGAAGATTACATATCGATGTTTCTTATCTTTCTTTATCTCTTCGTAAGTCGTTTTACAAATATCCGCCACAGTTACTCCTGATGCCTAAAAAATAATAATAAAAGACATTCTTTTATTAAACTATTCATCGCGTTATTATCTATCTTTTACACTTAAAAAGAATAAGAATTTTAAGAAAATTTAGAACGGAGCAAGTTGATATAACTATTCAATTCACAATTACTTTCCAGAAATTTATAACTAATTTCAAATCTTCAAACCTGCTTATGAATTCAAAGACCGACAAAAAAATGCTTTTTAGCAACAAAGAATTCATGACTATTTTTTATTTAAAGTATAATACTTTACATTAGTTTATATGCTAATTTCAAATAGTCGAACGAAATTCTTTTAAATTTTTCTTTTTGTTCTTAATCAACTTAATTTATGAGTAATATTTAAAATAAAGTGTAATATTTAATTGTTTATTTATAAAATATTTAGTTTGTATGTAAGTAAAGATTTATGAATGTAGTTTGTATGTGTGGAAAATAAATAAATTTTTATGATTAAATAGTTTACAAATTTCTCATGTTCAAATAATAACACTTGCACAGTTAAAATTTTTATACGTTTTCATAACTATAAAAAAAATTATGGCTATAGTATAAAGATATTTATGCACAAACTATAATTATATTTATATACTATACATGCGCCATTATTAAAAGTCGAAAATATACAATTTCTAAAATTCTTAAAAAAATTAGAAATTCTGTAAGTAAATAAATTGTTACCATATATTGTTATTTTTATTCTTCGAATTTTTTTGTTCATAGAATGTGAAACTAAGCAATGTAATGTATCTATCGACTGTTTTAAGGCTTTCTTCAAATATGCAATCTAACAATTTTTTTTTATATGTTGTATTTTTGTAAAGAACATTAACTATATTTTATACAAATAATTATTTTTAAAATCTATTTCACCTACAAGAGAAGTAGCACATTGTTTATTATTCTTAAATTAAGATTTAAAACACATAATTTTTGTAGTATGAGATTATTATCCTTCAAATAACTCATTTTATAATTTAAATAAAAAATGTATGTTCTATTTCTTAGATTTTCTAAAATATTTTTTACCAGAAATATTGTAATAATCTTTTTTACTTTAATTGAATGCCATTATGAAAAATTAATATATAAAAAAATAAACATTTTTCAAAAGTATACTAATAAAAATTGGATTTATATTATAAACTAAATGTTATTAGACACTTTATATAAAACTGCAATTTTACAATTATTATAAACTTATTATAGCGAAATTTTTTTATAACTATTTTATAAATAAAATGCAGTTTATATATATATAAATTTTATAACAAAAAACTGTATAGGATTCATTATCGAATTATGTAACATTAATAAAAATGAAATATTCCTTGTTTTATGGATTTAAAAATATTATTTTTTTTTTTTGTATTTCATAAAAATATAACTGGAAAACGTACTTCAATGCTAGCATTAAAATTAAGTTAGTAATGCAAAGAATAAGAGATTTGTTAAAAATACCAAAAATATAAAACCTTCATCTGAACTATGTTTATTACAAAACATTTATTTTTCATAAAGTTTGTGGATTTTAAAAGGGCAAATTGCTTTATTGTAAAGAATTATTGAATAATTATTAGGTAGTAATAATATTTAAGTTTGAAAATATAATTTTTGAAAAGCAATAAACATTTTAATTAATTCATGAACATATTTTTATCACAAAAAAACCAACCGTTAAAAAAGATTAAAAACGTTCAAGAATTCCACAAAGAATCTAACCCTAATTGTCTAACCTATCTGTAATAATAATTACAAATGAATGATTTATATATAAATAATGTATTTTTCAAATTACATATATAATAAAATTTGATGACACAAATCATAAAATATAAATTTATTAGCAATATTATTGTATACATAATACTTAATTGTTTAAATACAAATAAATATGAATATATATTCAGTCGTTTGCAAATTATCAAAATTCTAAAAAATTGTAAATATTTTATAATTTAACTTTAATTTAAAATTCAAAATGAAATAAAAATATACATTATATAGTATTATAATTTTAAAATAATATAATTTCTCTACGTTTTATTTGTATTGATAGTTGAAGATGTATTGTTTGTCACTAATATAAATTAAATAATGTATATATCATCATAATTATAAGTAAAAATTGTATACGTATGTTACATAAATAAAATTATTTATCGATTTAATTATTCTCAATTATTATAAAATAGTAAAAAAATTATAAATTGGTCAATTTTTCTACACGTAATAATTTGATTTTATACAAAATAGAACATTAGTTAATTTTACTTTTCATATTTGTATTTAGTATTTATTTTTTTTATTCTTTGAAAATTGAATTTATATTCGATAGTTAATAAACTACGTGTAAATTGAGACTAATAAAAATAATGTTTGTTTATTTAATTAATAATTATTCTATACAAAAGCAATATCTGAGAAATTATTAAAAAGTGAATAGTATGTATAATTTTAGGTTATAAAAGAAGGCTAAATCCCGTACCATATATTAATAAAAATGTTTTAACAAAATTTAGATAGAAATGGAAAGAAAAAAGATTTTTTCTTACAGTTATTCGAAAAATATTGTTTATTTTATAAGAATGAGTTATTTATATAACTGCTTTGTTTAAAAATAGTCCAAATATAAATTAAGTTACAAATTGATTTAAATAGCTTTGAATACGATATCGCTAATTTGAAAACAAAGCATCAAATATAAATTTACAAAATTAAAGATTTTACGTTAGCATAAAATAATACAGAAAGTATTTTCTTATATTTTACCATAGAATTGATTTAACAAATTTTATTTAACATCATTTATAAATATTACTCTTTTAAAAATAAAAAGATGCAATATCTTGTAAAATTTGATTTAATAATAAAAAACATATATATGTAATTAATGGACAAATATAATTAAAAAGTATAACTAATTATTTACAATAAAAAATATTAATATCTTTTATGTAGGTGTTTGCTAGGCAAAAAATGTCCGATAACTCAATAGGTTTTGTATATAAAGTAAGATATTAAAATAAATAGAAATATATTTTTTTTCTTGTTATTAGAATGACTGAATTAACAATTTGTTTGAATAGAAGTTTGAATAAATTCGAATAATTTTATGAATTTTCATGTGATTCGAAGCTTACAATATAAAATATGATTTTAACTATATGTTTGAAAAATTAATTTATGCTACAAAATAGAGATTCCATGTTTTAGAGAATTGTAGTAAATATTAAAATCGTTATGTAATTAATATTTAAATACCAAAGTTAACTAAAATGTACTGAAGCAACTAAATCAAATAAACTGAAATAGTTAACTATATACAGACCATATGTATTGTTATATTAATGTTATGTTGTGATAAATTCGTAAAATGGGTAAAGTGCTAAAAAAAAAAAAAAAATAATATAGGACTCTATGCGTCTTGAAATCGTCGCATCTTTAAATACGTATATATATCCAAATATACGGTAACGTAAAGTGAAATTTAATCTTGTAAAATCTGAAACCTTAATCCGGCAAATGTATGTATAAATATAGCCTATATAGATCATGGTTTGCATTAGAGTTACGAATTATATCCAAGCCTTCAATTGAAATTTCATTGTAATGAGATGAAATTTGAACTGCTAATTCATTTGGTTAGGTCAGTAGCCATGTTTACCCGGTAGAAGGAAGAACTTTTTCAGTAAGTCTCGTACTTAAGTGTCATCTTTGCTGTCTTCGTCGCCTCAACATGCAGCTAAAAGCAGAGCGTGAAACACGAAAGAGCGGATAGAAATCAAACCCAGCACACTAGATATAACTTTAGAATGAGATTCTGGGAGCTTTCTTTAGCTTTGAATTCATGCGTGGGAAGATATGTATTTTTATACGCAATAGCGGTGCAAGATGCCGTATACACGCTAGACAATACACTTTCCGCCGTTTTCTTTTCGAAAAACACTAGATTTGAGTATTTATTTTGGCATCAATTACATCATCTGTGTAAAATCTTTAACAAAAATTAATTTAATGCATGTAATTTTTTAATTATTAATGCTGAAACATTTTTTCAATACGAAAGTTGTAATTTATATTCGTATTATAAAAATTAAAATAGTGGACAAAGATTTTTAATTTGAATGTATAATTTTAATAAACAAATTTAAAAAATTTTTTTAGACTTTTGTTTAAATTCAATATTTTATAATGTATTAACAAACGAATTTAAGCATGTTTTCTATGAATTCTAAATACTTTTAACATATTTAATAAACATAAATTCATAATAATTTATCTAATTTAAATATAGAATCAAATATTTAAATATATTCTTATGTTGAATACTGTTTTAGACACTGAATATTAAAATTATACGTTTAATTAATACATACTCATGGATACATACATATAATTTAAAACATGAATAAGCGATTAAATTTAATTAAAAATATTATACGTATATACAAAATTTATTCATCTATCAGAAAGAACATAATTTTATTAACCATTTTATATTGAAAAGAATCAAATGAAAAAGGTAGTGTCAAAATACGCTATCAACTTCTTATGATTGCTAGCAAATAATTCTTGAAAATATTTATTACATAGGTGACATATGTAAGTGAATACTATTAAAAATGACTGTTTATATAAAACATCTATAAATATTTAATTTTTAACACGCATAGAAATTTTTTAATTTTAATCTTTTTCTGTTAAAACGATTATGTACGATATACGAATACAAACATAATTAAGAAAATTGATTTTCAAATTATTGATAGTGATGATCAAATACCCTATATTAAATATTAAGTAAAATACTACTGGAGAGAGCCCGGTAAGAAGGTAGATTAAAAATATAGCAGTTCATAGAGTTAGATCGAATAGCCAAAAATAATATATAATAAAAACTTCCTAATTTATATATATATATATATATACACTTGCCATCAAATTATTATAAATATAATTAAATGGCGAAATAATCTAGTTAAAGAAATAATCCAAAGATATATATTTATTTATTTTACAATATTAACATAGAAACAAGCTTTTATATGAATTGTTAATCGTTTAACTTGTAATGGCCGGCGTTATGAAGGAGACATTTAAATAATTATATCCTTAATTTATTATTAAATGGAAACTGGATACATTGTATGCATGTACAAGAGTAGCGAGTTGCAATAAATTTTACCGTATAAATCTATTTTATGATATAGATTTCTATTTTACGATTGTTCGTGAATTTGAATAAAACAAAGAAGATTTTTCTGTTAAATACTGCAATGAATATGAGTTATTTTCTTTGAATCAAGGAGATGTAGAAAATATTTGGTATCGCCATTTAACTATTTTTTAATAAAACTGCATTCTGAAAACTAATTCGCATATGTCTTAAGTTATGCTTAATTATTTTTTTCTTCAACTATTAATAATTTTATTTAAATATTGAGATTTTATCTCGTGAGTTAATATAGACTACATTAATCATTGATATTTTTAAATACGCTTTTAAAATATTATTTTTAAATATTGAAATATGAATTATATATTTTATAATATTATTCAACGTGAAAATAATTGTTTTTTAAAACTCTTTTGCTTGTAATATTTTTGCTTATAAATTAAGATGAAGTGAATGCAACTAATGGATCAACAATTAATATCACTAGAAAACAAATTCAATTAAACTAAAGATATAGAAAATTGAAAAGGACAAAGTTACTCAAAAAGTTTCTTCTACGTAATTTTTACAGTAGTATAATATGCCATAAACAAAGATGCGATTATTTCGTAATCCTAAACTTTATATGAAATATTAAATAAGGGAAAATCTGTTGAGCATATAAAAAGTTATTTACAATATTATTTTGGTTTAAATTAACCTTATTAGGTTAATATTATTTAAATGAACTTAATTTAATAAATTTATCATCAATTAAGATGATTTAATTTAGAAAGCACTTTAATAACCCCAATCATGTAAAAATGTTAGTGATATAAATTTCTTTCTATTTTTAGTGATTTAAATTAAATAGAAAAAGTTTCCTTTTGAAACATAATAATTTATTTTTAAGAGTAAAATGTACAATTTTGTGAATGAATCCTTTTTAAAAAGTAATAAAATGTAGAATAAAATTTGAGGTATATATATTTCTGTTATACATAACTATGTTTTTTATTATATAAAAACAGGATACTTACTTACATTGTAATATTATTGAAATAATTATATTACTTTTCTAAGAAGCTATAAAATAATTGAAATAATCTTTTAGATTTGAAACAAATTGATAGCATGACACAAAGAAGAGAAACCATATAAAAATATTTTCATACAATTTTGATATTTTGGATTAAATAAAATTAAATTCTATAGTTGTATATGCAATATGAGTATCTCGCATGATAACTTTCTACATATCTATCTTTCCCGTTCTTTCTCTTGCTGGTAGCAATCATGAGATACAGGAAATCAGGCAGAGTATGGCTTGCAGTGCGCATAAGCACGCACTGCGCGCGCGCATAGACAGTGGACACTCTCCCTATCAGGCGTGCATATGACATAGGCAAAAGCAACTTTCATGCCAATTAGAGAAAGATAAGCATTATACATGAATGATCAAATTATTAACAGTTTTCACAAGTTTTTGCTAGCTTTTCCCTCTAGTCAAATTCTATTTTCTCTTCTATCACATCCATTAGCAAATCACATATAGCGTTCCAAAAGTACTTAATACATTAAATGACACTGTTTCAATATATAATGTTTAACTGAAGAAAATCAATAACAAATTCAACAACAATTAAACCAGAAAGTAGGCGTATATTTAAAAAGAAGAAAATATGAAAGCAAGATGATTTGCCCATCCGTCCATTTTCTGATTTCACAACTTCCATTGCCCCTACGCGAAATGATAAAGATAAGCCAATGTAGATATAGATTCAACCGAGGTAGATTCTAAAGACAAATAAAATAGTTTGAAATTTTCTTATAGAATCCATAATGGTTGGCTATATTGAATTCATTAGTGGTCCCTCTTCGCTCTTGCCGGCTCATTCGGCGCGCCTCTACAGGTTTGCCAAAGATAGTGAGTGAGTGAGTGAGTGAGTGAGAGAAAATGTTCGTTTCTAACCACAAAAATAAGATTACTGTATTGCCGAGTGGCAACTTATTTTTCGATTTTATATCTGTCGTTCATCGTTCATCAGGAAAATTGTTATCAACGGAATGCAAACATTCTTCCTCTACCTCATTATTAAATACAGATTAAATAGATCGCAATCACGTTACAAAGGCCGAAGAATAGCTTCTCGAAAATAATCCGTATCCCTTAAAAGCGATAAGTTATTATTCGTTTCATATAATTACCATGTCTTCAAGGATGTGACCAGTGATTATTAATCCTGAGAGAAACAAAATACACTTGTCTGTATAAGGGCACTGCTACTCTGCTTCGCTTCGCTGTGGCACTCTCGAACTTATCGTCGTCGAAAAACGTACCGAACGACGGTTGCACAGTTTATGTGTTACGTGCTTGAAAAGGTACGCATATACGTATTTTTACAAGTACGTATGAATACGCACATACACTAATGCATATGTTGCAAGTATGTATTAGGAAAAAAGAAAGCGGCAGCAGCAAGAACAAACGTTCAACTGGGGGTCGTATCACGCATGTAACAAACGGAAAAGAATAGGGAGGTTCCTGGCCTCACCTCAACTTCTCGGTTAAACTCGGACCATTTCGCTATGACTCGCTATTCTATCCATCTCGCTTACACTTGTGCAAACTAATCTCGCTTCGGTTTGCATGTGTAATACTGTACTGAACTGATGAATGTAGTATATTAAACGGAAGATTCGATACGAACGCAGGCGCAAAGCCATTCTTTATAATTTGATTGTCATAAATGGGAGTTCGGATAATCAAAGTCAATTTTATGTTTGACAGACATTTTAACTACAGTACATCAATACCGGCTGCATCTTAAATGTTGCATATTATGAATTTTAATTACATTAAATATATTTTTAAATTATTGGTAAATTTGTGCATTTCAAAAAAAATTTATATCAATTTTCTATTATTTTAATCCTACAAATACGTTTTCAACATCTTTACCTGTTTTTGTAATTAATTTATAACTGTTTATTATATTACCAATAGCTTACTTTTCTATACTTTTATATATGTAAAAATATATAATTACATATTTATTTTGGATTAAGCACTACAATAATTTTCAAAATAAGAATAATGTGTGTAATAATAAAATATGTGTGCCACATATGCGACAGTTTATTTATAATAAAAAAATTAATTTTCAGTCTAATGTGATATAAATATGATATTTGAGAAACTAATTTAAATATTTTTAGGATATTTTATACTTATATATATGTTTATGGCTTACATTTAAATTGATTTATTTTATTTTGTTTGAACTTAAATGTGTTGAATTAAGATAATTTTTATTAAAATATTGACTTCTGTAATGAATTATTTTAACAAATTAATATAAAATTTAATTTTTTCAACATAAATGTAAATGTTTTTTTAATATTTTTAATTCTATACATAAATTATTATATCAACTAAAATATAAGATATTCAATTTATGGTCAATTTACGAAAAATAAGAAAAAAATATAATAAATATAATTTTTAAACAAAATTAATATTTATCAAATATAATTACAATCTAATATATGAAAGAGTCACCTATTGTTTATGCATAGACTTATCGATTCCCACATATACCGACTTCTAATTTCTATTGTTATACCAATTCTCGTTAATAAAATATTATTTAAATTTTATTATATTTATATTTATTTTCATCTTAATAAATTTAATTAATAATACATACATATGTTTTATTCATTAAGTACAAATTTATGCACAAAATTATTAAATATATTAATAAAAATTAATAAAAATACATAAAAGTAAATGTAACAAAATAACTAAAAAGTAAATAATTAAATTAAAAAAAAAAGGTAAACATATATATTTTTATTTTCGCAATCAAAAATTAAAAAATTGATAACAAAGACTTGTATACAAAATAATTATTAAACGATTAAATATTCAAAAAATATATGAGATGATTTATTTCTACAACAAATAACACCAAATTTCACCATATATTCAGTGCTTTATTAATTTATTTTAGGAAATCGTTAATTTATCTTTAGTTAACCGTGTTGTGTTTCTGTCATTTATATTTTTTTCATAAAACAAGTGTATAATATAAGTTATTTGTTTACATATAATATGTAAAGTATAAAGCATAAGTTTATATGTAAGCATAAAATAAATATTTTTTGTATATAATAAAATTTAAAAAATTAAAATAAACTTTTATTAATTGAATTAGTAATATAATGTAAAAAAATATTATGTAATTCATTATTGATATGGGTAAAATATACATAATAAGAATATAAGTATTATTTAATAATGTAATAGTCTATTTGATTATTGAAAACATAACAGAATATTTTGTAGTTCAATTGTTTGATTATTAAAGTTGTGGTCTTATTTATTTTCTTATTTTAGTTTTATTATCTATACAATATCCTAACCATGGTTCTAATTAACCTAATTACGTTTGTCATTAAGTACAAAATTATTCATAAATTATTTTATGATTATCTTTGTTTTATTTGTAATTTAACATTCATTATATTGCTTTTATAAGAATCGGATAACAGAATTTGGGATTCGAAATAGTAAATCTCGTCAAAAGAAGTTTAAATAATATATCCTTATCAACATAAATAAATAATAAAATAATAATAATAACGTTAATATAATATCAAACATAAATACAATGAATAATAACCAAGAACAGTGGTTTCGGTACAAATTATCAACTCTCTTGACTTGGTAGATACGAACCAATCGTGGCTAAGAATGCAAGAAAATTGCCATATATGGGTAGTGGTAACCATCTGACATCATATGCATGTGTATAGAATATAATACACCCTGTGGTTTACTTAGTATCGTATAAACAGAACATTACATTGCGCATGGCTATTGTAATATGTCCCCTTTAACCCGTACATAATTATTTGTGTGCTCATGGGTATCGTAATGAATATAATCTTTAATGTAATATTCAAACAAATAATCTATTTTGATTTACAAATTCTTAATTTAGATTTAATACATGATAGTAATAATTAGTATTTATTATTAATAAGGAATTTTTCATTAGGAATTATATTAATTTTGTTCAATCGGTAAATTTTATAAATCAAATGATAAAATTTCATTAGCTTACTTACAAATTATGAACTATGAAATCTAAATTTCTATGTAAATATGTATATACATGACAATTTATTCACATGTAACATTGAATAAATGTACATATTGGTAGCACTATTCTTTTCAAGTTTATTTATTGTTAGAATATTTCAATTATTTATTACTATAAATGTATTATTATACTTATTTATTATGGCCTTACTTACATAGGAAATTCTTAAATGTAGACATTGAAATTATGGTAAAATAACTAAAATATATTTTAATTCGTTCAATCTTATATTCATGACACATAATTTGAATTCTACATTAATAGGTATACCGTTTATGATTTATTTAATTAGATATACATATAGAAGAATGTTAAATTATTTTATTTTATATTGAATATGAATATTGAATATAGAATATTTTATTGAAATAAATAAAAATATATATGTGTCAATTTAATAAACATTATCATTATGTGTGTGTCTATTTGAACGCATGCATGGTTAAACATGTTTTTATTTATTATAATGTAATTATCAAATTTTTAAATAAGTTAAAAATAATATTATAAACAACAAAAAATTTTGATTATAATATAAAATTCTTATTTTTATTTTCTAATTTGTAACTATTTATTCATATAATTGTAGGCGCATTCAAAGTAATGATGTAGTGTAAAAAGCTATCAGTTTCACTAATAGAGGGCGTGTACTCGTAAGAACATAGCATTTATCTTTGTACAAATTATTAGAATTATCATACATGTTAAGAGCTTCACGATTAAAAATAATTTTAAAAAACTTATTATTTAAAAAATGTAAAATTTAAAATAAATATATTGCATCTAGTTTTTTAAATCAATTTGCAAAACTCAATAAGACACGATTCTTAGTTGATGTTAAATGTTGGATGCAATCAAATTACAACCATACAAATATCTACATTACAAATTAAAGTCTTTCAACGTCAAAGAAGTTTAAGCAGTTTAATTAATATATTAATTATAATAGAATATGCCAATATATAATAAAATCTGTATATTTTATTATTCTAAACCCACTTCAATTATGTTGAATAAATTAATTACTGAAAACATTGATATTTATTTAAATTTGATTTAAAATTGAAAAAGGAATAAAAAATGGTATGATTTATATAAAATATTTAACTGAATCGTAATGTTTAGTTTATTAGAAATTAAACTATCACATTATTACACATTACCTAACTTTAATTTCTATTGATATTTTAACATTTAATATTATTTATATTTTATTAGCAAATGAAATGAAATAATTTTTTTATTGTATATTTCAAATATTATGAAATTACATACAATTCTACTGTATATATTTTACGAAATATACATGTTATATACATTAGAAAACCTACCGCAGGCATTGTAACGAAGAAAGTTATTTTTCTTACAATTTATTATAATATACAATGATTGATCTAACATTTAATGTTTTGTTTTAGGGTATTATAAAATTAAAGATTTACATAAACAAAAATTATGAAGACATTAAAACATTACAAAAGAATATAAATTATAAGAAATGTTAACTTTTTCTCATAAAATAAATAAGTATGCATTATAGTCAATGTCAAAAATCAATAATCGTTTTTTACATAATAAAGACATGTTCCACTTCACTCATAAATTATAACAGTTTATTTCTATTTAAATTGTTATGTTTTATATTAATATCAAACATCTATTTTCAAATTGCAGGCATACAATTTGTAAATTATATTTAAAAACTTAGATTTTCTTAAAATAAGCTGTTTGCACAAAAATCTTTAAACATGTAACTTATATATATTTTTTACTAAATTTAAAAATAATTTTTATAAATCTTTTTAATAGCATTAAGTGCACATGATTTTAATATATAATCTATATTATTACATTAGTAAAGCTCGTCTTTAAATTATGTAATATCGTAAATTAAAAAAAAAATAATTAAATTTTAATATTAATTATAATTACTTGAGATAAACAATGGCAGATTTTATATATTAGAAATATTATAAGTAAAAGAAAAAGATGTATTTATTATTTTTGAAATGAGTTCTACATAAGATATTTTTTATAATACATACAAAAATTATGTTATTGTATTAATACTGATTTTAAATGACTCACTTTTAAAACTAAAATTATAGAATAAGTTAATAATTCAACCTGCATTTTGAAATTGTGGATATTTAATCATTGATAATCTTTGTTTATTTGATTTTACATAAATTCACCAATTTTAACAGTAAGTGTACGTATTTAAGACCTAATATCTCAAATTATCTAACAACAATCAGTAGATAATAATAGTCTCTTTTCTATTATGCCTGATAGTGTACCAGTGATTTCGCACATAAGATATATTAAAACTAAAGAAAGCCATTAAACTTTTATACAAGATAGGTTGGCTTTCTGATTTTAAATTTCGACTCAATATTAGTAATAATAATAAACTAACTCGCAAACGCAATCTAAAATTAAAAAAAATCAATATTAAATATATTGAATTCCATGGTTATTGTATTGCAAGATTAGAGTACAAAAACGGCTGGTTTTACTAAAAAAGTGAGCAATAATATTTGACTGCCATTATTTTTATTTAATCGCGATCTTATTTGTTATTTAACAAATAGTCCGTAGTTATGTTACGTTAATGTCGGAATTCATGTTTTTCAATCGCTCTTATATTTTTTAAAATTATTAGATTAAGCCTCGTTTTTTTTTATAATCTTCTAAGTTTAAAGATCTTCGAGGGCCTGAATCTTTTATACTATTGACAGGTTTTGGGAGAACATTAACTGGATTATCTGCAATTGAATAGTTTATATTAATAACTTTTCGACTATATATAATTTAGAAATAAAAAGTTGATAATTGTACTGTATTTACTAGCTATAGGGACTTCTAGATCAATCATAATATCAAAATTATGTGCATTAAATAAGTCTGTATTGTGTTTCTTTTTAACTTCTGGTACAGAATCCTTTTCTTTTACAACTGGCTTTGGAAAATTTTCAGTAGAACTGTGAATAATGGAATCTAATTCTTGTTCAGACTCCTCTTTTTGAGAAAACATTTTTGGTCTTGTACTTCTTCGAGTAAATGGGTCATCTATAATTTTTCCTTTGTTTGCTTTAATTTCTTCCTATAAAAATAAGGAAAAAAGAAGTTTTTCACTCAATTAAATTGTCAATAATTAAACAATTTTTTTTAAATACTCATTAGATTTTTGAGTAATTTTAATGTATGTTTATGTTAATTATAGATCATATAATAATGATAATAAAAAGGACTATTTTTCTTTTCTAAAAATCAATTAATTTTTTATAATTTGAAAACAAATATTTTGTTTTTATTGTGCTTACAAGAATAGCTTTTTCTGCTTCTTCTACATTTTTCTTACGATTGCGATCGTTTATATATGATATGCTTGAAATAGTGGCAGATCGTTTTTTATCAAGATCTGAAGCTCGTTCTTCTAATTCACTAATCTCCACATTAAGTCGAGTAGCTGTTTCATCGTCTCCTCTACAATTAGCGGCATCTCTTTCCCGCATTAACTGAGCTTTCTTCATAGCATAATTATATGGAGTACCTTTGAATCGACATTTTTCTTTTACAATTTTTTCAATATCTTCTTCCTTAAATTCGTATACCATCGCTTCTTTGATATCTTTTAGCTTTTGATCAAGTTCATCTGAAGTAGGCATTGATATACCCTGTAAAGTGCAAGTCTCCTTCCATTTGAAAAATTCTGATTCTGTAAATTCCTGATTTGATACAAATTCTAGCCTAAATACACGTTCTTGAGCACCATGCCTTAATTTAAGTCCTTTGTTCGTTTTAGTACTACCCAATTGGTAAATTTTTGCGGTTTCACAAACACCACTTATTTCTGCAACTCTATATACTGGTCGACCATTATTATTTCCAATACCAATTCTAACAAAACAACCCTGTGCAACTCTCTCAAAGAATGGTAAATGTACAAATCTTTCCATTTTATGACGTGATAATCGTATTTTATTTAAGTCTTCTTTTGTACTAATATAAATAATTTTTTTAGATTTATTTTTGACACTAGTAACTGACCTAAAATGTATAAATTAAATGATTAATTTGATTAATCTATAATTGTCTATTTATTAATAAAGGTTGCAAATTTTTAATACTTACTTTTTATCTGTATCAGAATCAGACTCTCTTGAGGAACTAGAAGAGGATCTTTGTCTTGAAGCAAATTTACTTGATTCGTCTTCTTCTTCAGCACTGTCAGAAGAACCACTATCATCAGAATAAATATCAGATGCTTTAAGCTTTGTTTTTGATCCACTTTTATGATCTCTCTCCAATTCTTCTTCTTCATCTTTTGATTGTTGTTTTTGTTCTTCTATTCGTTGTTTTTCTTTTTCCTCTAAAATATATAACTATTTAATTATAATTATCACGCTTTAAAATAACTTTTACTTAATGTGTAAGAAATTTAACCAAATTACAATTAAATAATTTGAGTTTAAAGGAAAAATTATACAAATAACATTTATTATTGACTGAGTTTAACAGCTGTTAGTGAATAAAAAATTAACATACCTCGTTCTTTCTTTTCTTCACGTCGTGCTTTCAATAAGGCCATAGCATTTGATTTTTTATCTTGTTTTTCTTCAATCGTTTTTTTACGATCTTTGCTTCTCTCTTTGGGATCTGGTGTTCTGTCAATTTTTCTTTCATCATTTCCTTTATCTTTCTTTTTCGATTCTTTTTGTTTCTTTAATTCCTGTTTCTTAGCCATTCTAAGCTTCTTTTCAATTTCAAATCTTGTTCTCATAATTTCTCGTTGTTCAATGCGTTTGAAAATTTCTTGTTCTCGCTCCTTTTCAGTCATTTCAGCAAGCCTTGCTTGATCTTCAGCATCACCCATTAATTTTTCATCATAACCATCATTAAATTCTTCTTGACTCGAATTAGATTCACTAATATCTGAATCTGATACTTCACCTATCAAATAAAATTATTTAAACGATAAACATTGCATTTTTCTTGGTGGCTTTTTAAATTTTAACCATCTAATATTTACTACATATATTTATCTATTTAACTATTTATATTAAATATATAGTAACTTGAAAGTACTGTTAAAACAAAAAGCAAATAAATGTCAAATTATTGACATATATTTGAAGCAGATTAACTTTAATAATTGAAAGGTAAAAATAAATATTACCTTCTTCGGGTTCAGAAAATTTTTCAGATACTTCTTTTTCACTTTCACTCTCTCCACTACTCGACTTTGTCATTTTTCTTTTATTTCGTTTTGTTGGTATTTTTTTTTTTTTCGTCTTTCCACTCTTAGCATTCCATTCGTCATCAGAATCAGAAGTTTCAGAATCAAAGACCTTGTTATCTTTTTTATTTGAACTACTATCTTCATTACTTGAGCCATCATTGTTTGGTTTTCCTTTTTTTTTTTTGGCTAATGTTAATAATTCCTAAAGATAAATTTTTATTTTAATGATATTCATATGATTAATTTAAAATATAGCATAAAATATAGCTCACAAAACATTATGTACAACTGAAAAATGTTATTGAATGTTTACAAATTCAAATACAAAAATATATAATATAAATAAATTTTTTATTACACAATATTCAATTTTTTTAATTGTTTAACTGATATTTAATTATAATTATATATTATATAGAAAATGAAATAAAATTATTAAATTATAATGAATGCAATTAAAAAACTTTAACTATATTAATTATGTTAGTATATAATTTGTAAAAATTATAGTAATATCTGCATAGTAAGATGCTTATGCACATATATTATATACTTATATATTGCATGGGTTGTAAATGCGTGAATAATTCAAAAAATTTAAAACATTAAAAATAATTTAAAAATATATCAATAACAAGTTAATTATGTTTTTATTCAATTTTTTCTTACATTTTTTGTCATAATGAATAAATTAAAAAGTGTATTAATTTTAAATAATAGGGTTAGGTTGCTGACATCTTCATTACAAATTTAAATGTTTGTATTTGAAAACTAATGAATAATAAATGTAGAATTATATAAAATGAAGGTAGGCAAAAAAACTGTTACAATTAAAGGCATACAATCTTACGCTTTCTAAATCGGAACCACTTTCCTCGGAACTTTTACTGCTATCTGAGTCGATGAGTGCCTGACTTTTTCTTTTAGGCATTATTAATCTACAGTTTAAAGCAAGGCAATTAAGAGAACTTTTGCTCTTAGGTTCGACCTCAGACGAACAATAATAGAAAAATAGCGGATAACATTAGTAATCTAAAATGTACTTATTTCTTGTATATGTCAAATAGTGCTAATACTAGAAATAAGAATCTATCGAGTTACTGCTGGTCACTACTGCCGCTAGTCTACATACGTTATACTTGTCTTTCTTTTTTCCCTCTCCCTTGCACTTTCAACTGAAATTATGAATCTCGTAAATAGGCGTATGTGATTATACTAAATTCCATATGCATATCTACCATACATATACTTTCATATTATTTCTAGTTTAGTTATACCAGATAAAACCTGAACAATTATAATAAAAAATTATTTATTTTAAACTTTTTAAAGCTTTTTTAACAAAGATAAAATGATTTATTCAGCATCGCAAGATTTTAATAAAAAAATTATTGTTTATCTTTAGATCAAATGTTTATCTTTAGATAACAAGTTTAATATCAATTAATTTTATCATTTTTATTGTAGATAATGAAATTTAAAGGTCAAGCACATTTTTAATAGTAGATATAAAAATATACATCCATATTTATAACAAATTTCAAAAAGCGTATTCAATTATATTAGTTTGATACATTTGATCTTAATTTGAATATAATATAACATATATTAAATAAATAACGTATATTATATGACTATATAACACGTATTATTTAACACATAACATATATTAACAGAATACAAATAAAAAATTGAAATTTACATTCAAATTATTAAAAAAAAATAATAAATCATCTGTTAAGAATTTAATACGTATAAAATGTAGTACAAAATTAAACATTTTCAAAATTTTTGAATTCAACTTTATTTTTTAATTTGTTACTAGAGAGATGACATACAAAACTTATGTATTATCAGATATTAATTAACTACATTGAATAGAATGTAAAATGTTTTTTTAATTTTATTTTTATATTACACAGTTATTTAATTCATTAACAAATATGAATTTCTTTACTAATAAAAAATAATAAATAAAATATAATATAAATTTTAATTTAACAAATGATTTTAAATCATTAAATATGTTTTAAAATATAATCGTAATATTGTATAATTAAATTATAATCGTATAATTGTACATATAAATATAAACTACATTTTTATATAATTTAATATTCGGTCTTTGTTTACGTTTTAAACAAATTTTTTCATTCAAATTTACTAATTTAAGGATGCAGTTTTTGCAATTAAACTAGAATTTAATGTACGATTCTGAAAAATATCTCTATCAAAAAGAAGAAATAAAAATTATGGAGTAAATTCATATCTACATATAAATAATGTTTTTGAACTCTTAAGACGAATGAATGAATTTGAATTTCAAAATGAAAATTTATAAAAATTGAGATTTAATCAAATTTGATAATTTTCAACAAATTAAAAAAATATCGATTATTAAAAATTATTTAATTATTTTGACGTAGACGCAAATTTTTAAATTTAATCATTTTTCTATATTACAAAAATTCGATATTCTATTTTTACATGAATACATATTCGTATCTAGCAGACGTAACATTAGTTTTGTTCTGGTTTCGAATATAGGTTAGGATTGGAGTGTGTTATTATAGATGCAATAAAATTATTTTACAGAACAATGAATATCAGTAAATGTAATTTCCAAGAAAACAAATAATAATAAAATTTTGCAATAATAGTAAAAGGATGTTTTTTAAATTTATTGAATGAAAATTATTTAATGTCGAGAATATAAATTCGTAAAACGAAATTTGTCACTAAGGTCTGCTTTTCATATTTATTCTTGATAATGGAGTAATATTGAAATTTAGAATTGTATTTTTTGTTTATAATTAAATATAATTATTAATTACAAAAATGAATGAACAAACTCCAAGTATAAATATCTTGAAAAAGGAATTAAAAATTACAGAAAAATATTTAATCTGTACTGAAGATAAAATTTGTGCCACTATACATAAACAATGGTTATCTAGTCTTTTACATCTTAATCCTGTTGAATTTATAACTCATGATCAGTTTAATCCAGATGAAATAGCTGCACAACCTTCATTAGATGAGTTAGGAACAGAATGGTTAAGAGTTTATATTAAGGTAACGTAATTACATGAAAACATTTAATTTTAATATAAGACCTAATATAAAGATTGATGCTGCTTATAGGTTTACAAAAAAATATATAAAAATACAGTTACATTACCAATAGAAAGATGTACCTTGTCTAGTTTAAAAACAGAAACTGAGTTAACATTTTCAGAGGTATTACACTATGTATCAAAAACAAATTATCAAAATGTATGGAAAGATTTTTATAAGAAATATTTTGGTAAGAGTATTTTTTATGAAAATAATATAGTTACATAAGTGTTTTACTAAATCTATTCAATTATAAAAATATTATTAATTTATAGTTTGAACTATTATTATTTGTACAAATATTTAATTTTCAAGCTCCTTGGACTACATTGGATCAACAGGAAGAAATAAATGTAACTGAATATACAAGTGATGTAGAATTAATGAAAGAAATAATAACTCGTATGTATGGTTGTACTATAATTCAATTTCTAGAAAATAATTTGACACTTATTAAGGCTCCTGTCTGTGGTCGTACACATTGTAATTTATTACCTGCTATAATAGCAATAGAAACTGAATCTGCATTCATAATATTTTATGAACAAACTACAAAATACTCTCTTAGAGAGTAAATATTTATTTTTTATATAAATAAAAATGTTATTACCATATACTTTAATTTCAATATTGTGAATTAATAAAATTAATTTTTATTAGATGTGTAACCTACAGTCCTGCTGCAATATCCACAAGTTATGCAAAGCCACTTTTTCTTACATATCAGCTTCTTCGATTATCTAGAGATTTACATGACTGTGGTTTATTATTAGGTGAAGTTACGCTTTCTGATATTTTAATAATGGATAATCTGAATATTCAGGTTTGTAAAAGTGTGATTTATTATTTCATTTTTATACATTGTTAAAATTTATTATTATTGTTAGGTACTACCAAATTTGTATGATAATCTTCACATAATAGAGAAATCTAATAGTAATGACAAAAGTATATCCAATAAAAAATTTAACCTAAAGAATGATACAAATTTAAATATTACTGATTTATGTGAAATGTGGTTGCATGGTCAAATGAGTAATTTCGATTACTTAACTGCTTTAAATGACTTGGCTGGTAAAAGATATGGAGATCCTAGTTGCCATCATGTAATGCCATGGGTAACAGATTTTTCATCAAGATGTGGTGAGAATTGGAGAGATTTTACAAAATCTAAATTTAGATTAAATAAAGGAGATAGACAACTTGATCTCACTTTTGATCCTGAATCAACCGAAGTAATTCATAATAATATTGTACAATAATTACAAGATTTTATTTATTATATTTTATATTAAAAAATTTTATATTACAAAATATAAAATACTATTAAAAAAGTAAATACTTTTGATTCAATTATTGAAAAATATTTTAAGCAATAAATGTTCATTAAATTAAATAGTAATATTAAATATAGTGATTAACAAAACTTATAAAATTAGAATTTCAAAAATATTGACATATATTCTATTGATATGTTTTTGTGTATTTTAAATAAAATAATAATTTAGATTAAGTTATTGAGGGATTATTTATTAAATAAAATTAGAAGAATTTAATAATTTATATGATTGAATAAATCAAAAAGCATAAATATTTTTTAACTCCTTTAAAAAATAATTTCAAATGAAACAAAAGCATTATATTTCACTTAACATACTTTCTAATATAATTAGATCTAATATGAATGAGAAATATTTTTTGAATATTTATTTAAGAATTTAATTATTTTTTTTAACAAATTTCGACTCTTGAATTGACTTATAATTTATTTTAATTTCCATTTTAAATAATACTAATTTTAATACTAATTCTCTAATAATAATAATAAATACATTATTTTTAAGGTTGGTTATCATGTGTCTGATGTACTTTCAGAAATAACTTATTATGTTTATCTTTCAAGACGTTATTCAAGGTCTATTTTATGTAAACATGTTCGTCCATTATGGGTACCTGGTGAATATCCTGCATCCATTCAAAGATTGTATGATTGGAGTCCTGATGAGTGCATACCACAATTTTTTACAGATCCAAATGTTTTTAAAGTACAGAATTATTATTTTTATATTATTTTATTTATATACAGTTTAATAAAAAATTATTTTTATTTAAATTTTTTACTTATAGTCTATTCATGAGGATTTACCAGACTTAGAAATACCCAGTTGGGCAAGTTCTCCAGAAGATTTTATTGAAAAACATTATGAGTCTTTAGAAAGTTCTTATGTTTCTGAACGATTACATCATTGGATTGACTTAACTTTTGGTTATAAGTACAAAAGAAAAATTTAAATGTTACAATACAAATGAATCATAAATTCATAATTTTATTATAGGCTTTCAGGATTAGCAGCTGTAAAATCGAAAAATGTTTGTTTACATCTTGTAGATAATCATACAAATCTTTCAAATTTTGGTGTGGTACAATTATTTACTAACCCACATCCTCAAAAAATTGTACAATCTGCATATTGGAATAAAATTCCTCCTAGATTACACAGTTTTATAATAGATGAAAAATTGTCAAGTTAGTATTAATTTATTCAAAATAAAATGTTTCTTTAAAAAATACAAATAATAATAAAAATATATTGAATAGAAACTAAAAGGTTTGACTCCAGAAGTTAATGAATTTTTGTCAATTTTGTAAATTTAAAACTCAGTTTTATTTATTATATTTTTATTCATTTTTCAAGAATTTATATGTATATATTTTTTTTAACTAATATAGCCTTTAAAATAAAAATTTATTACATTTTATTTTAAATTATTTTAAATCACATTTTATTCCTAAATTAAATATTAACTGTACCTTAAAATAATAAAATCACTGTAATTGAAATTTCATATTTAATATGTATATATATAAACTATAATTCACATGTTTTTCATGTAACAAAAGGTAGTGACTATCTTATTGTCAAAGATATAAATAATGAACATCAAAGTTCGGGTGATGAAGAATCACAAATAATGACAGTAACAAATGCAACGCGTTCGTCACCATTAACATTCAGTCGTCTTCTTAGTCGTTCACGCAGCTCTTTGCCACTTTTTGATGACAATATGAAACAAGAAAAAGTGAGCGAACATCCCATTTTTCTACCCAAAGATTACAATCCAATTTCGATTATTTTTCAAGTTGAAACAAGTCACACATTTATAAATAAAGTCAGTCATAAAATGTACGAGCCAAGAATAACGTCCGCCGACAACAAACCAAATCAAAAACAAATTGTAGTTACAGCTAGAATAAATGAACATCAGGTACTCGGTTGTTTGATTGTTGAAATATTTCTTGCTGAAAAATTCCGATCTATTTGGAAAATTGAAAAAATATCATTTGATAGTCGCCTGAATGCAAACTTAAATATTATTAAAAAATCACCTAATGCTCTACCAAAATGCATACGGAATGCTGCTATGTTATTATTAAAAATTGATACCATTCCTAAAAGCTATAACATCGATTTTTTAGAGAATGGAAATGGTTTTGGTGAGTTGTACAGTATTAATCAAAGTATTTTATGGTGCTATATAAATTTTTGAAATTCTTAGAATTAATTTGAAAGAATTATAATAAGTAAGAATTCAAATTAAAAATTTCTTTAAAAAAATATTGAAATAGAATATTTCAGTTTAAATTACTAATTACATTTGAACTCATCATATTAATTTTCATTAAAAAGAAATATAATTTTATGAATAATAATTAATTTGATATGGTTTATTTGAAATTCATTAAAATGATTAATTAATATGCTTTAAAAAATTTTTAACAGTCACAAAAACAACTAATCCTTTTATTAATTATGCTTTGAATATTCAAGATATATTTATAAAAAAAAATTTTATTTTTTCGTTGAAATCATTATAAGAAGAAAATAAAAACAAAATATTAAATGTCGGATAAAAGATTAATATAGCATGACCAAAATAATTATAAATAAAAAATTTTTTTAAATATGAGCTGGTAAGATAGTTTTCTAAATATTTATATGACCACCATTTAATTATAATTAGAATTGTTTCTTACAGTGAAATTTCTTAAAATTACTGGTTTCTAATATAAGTTATACTCCATTAGATCAAAATAATGTCGGCATTTGCCGATATCCAACGATCACGAATATGGGATTACCACCACCCTCAGCGCACCAAATACTTCAACCACTTCTTTGTGGTTTTCTGTTTCCTTCTTCAAAATATTTTCATTATTTATATAGTGTTGTAGAAATGATACAAGAGTATAATAATCTTTCGCGGGAATTAGATCAGGCCACGCAAACCGTTGATGACGATCGAAGTATGGAAAGAACAAAAATCATATTTCTTTGCAAGATCAACGAATGTAAAGTTAAAGCTATTGCCAATGAGCTAGAGAAGTTACTTCTGTTTGATCATTTAAATACGGAAACGAGTCTTCAGTTAATAGTTCCTCATGTGAAGCAAATTTTTGAACAGCCACTAAGTTCAGTACTTGCTGCTTGGTATTTATTCGACCCTATTGCCAGGTAATATATTTGTCATTAATAAAAATTAATTTTCTGATTTTATAAAATACAAAATTTAATAATACAATCTTAATTTCAAAATTTATTATGAAACAAAATGTATTTGCACAGATTTTGAAAATGTATTAAATTATGCTATTTTAATGTTAGTAAATTAATTTTGAAGTCTTTATTTTTATTTTTAAAAAATATTGTTAAAAACCATTTATTAATTTTTGTATTTTGTATGATTATGTTAATAATTATAACATTTACAGAGCACTTGGTCCTAGAAGAACTATTAAAACATTTCTTGTTCCGATAATGAAAATGTATGATAGAGGTTCCCTTATGGATAAATTATCGTTCGCAAATATATTTCCAGGAAATTTAGTTACAAAATTCAAGTCTGTAAGATTGTATCATAGGAGTTTTCTACTAAAATTAATGGTTCGTTTGGGCTTAAAATGCTTTTTAGAAAATTTTATTACTCCTCTTGTAGAAGCTGTTGGTGGTTATAGAAATCATTTATCTGGATCTCTAAATTTAAATTTGGATAAAGCTGGAATACTTAAGTTCGCAAATAAAAATATACTTCAAAATAATATAAATATATTATAAATATGTACATGAAATTAATCTTGATTTTTAGAGACTGTAATTTAACTGACAGCACTAATGATATAGATATGGTTCTCTCTCCTTTAGATGAAGATTCTTCTGTTGAATCAGAACATATATTTCTTGTATTAAATGAATTAAATTCAGATAGAAAAATTCATGGTGTTCCTGAAAATAGTGATGGTAAACATGTTTTATATAATTTAAAATTTCTTAATATTTACAAGTTTAACCTATTTGATTTCATTATCTATATAATTCTATCACTATCATTAATTATTTTATTGTTTTCCTAAACAGGTGTTTGTCTAATGGAAGCCGAGGAAATATTCTTATCATCGTCCAATATTCATACACCTGAAACTTTAAATTTCAACTTTATTCAAGAGATTGAAGAATTTTCATGTGAATCAAAAGTATCTGTCGTAAGCAATGCAAAGTCTTCTATAATTTCTATTCCTAAAACAGATATTTCCACTGGAAAATGTATATCAGAATTTAATAGTATTTGCTGTAAAGTAGGAAGTACAAATGAGGATCTTACGTTTTTCAATTTTTATACTGATACAAACAACTCTTCCAAATATGAATCGAGGTCAGAAAATTTAAATATAACTTTTATTAATATATTTAATACTTTTTTTATTAATGATTTTCAGTTTTACAAAATTTTTCAATGAATAACCAATGTATATAATTATGATATATTTTATAAAATAATAATCAATTAGCTTTAATTGTAGTACAGTTTCAAATTAAAAATATAATATGGAAAATTTTATAATACTATTATAAACCATATAATTCTGTATAACATTAAAAATTATTATAGCACTAAAAAAATTAAGTATTTTCATTTAAATATATAAATAAATTTAAATAAAATATAACAAAATTAATATAATTATATTTAAGAAATAATAATTATGATACTATGTTTTTTTATAATAGTATTAAAATATAATTTATATATTGTATAATATTAAATTATAATACTGCAATATTAGTTTTCGAAAATAAAAAAATAAATATAAAATGTTTACTATCGTAATGATATAGTTTATTTTTTATCATTGTCTGTAATTTAAATAGTGCTGGTAAAGAAGATAAGACCTTTGTTGAACCAGAATCTTCATTTTTGTATGTTCGAAAAGAAGACGAATTACATGGCACTAAGAAAATTCACAACGTGGAAGAAATGAAGAAACATCGTCGATTTATTTACACTGAATGCTCAGCCTCAGAGATGAGTGCTGAGTCTGTCATTTGGTTGTCTCACAGACTTGGACCCGTACTCACATCACGCTATTTATCACGCAACCTCTTAAAAATGTTAACTCTCTGTTATTTTTCAAAAGAGAATCTTGTACCGAGTTTTGATAATGGTGAACGTTCTGATGACTTTGAATCAAATAGGTTAAAGCTTTCAGGTGATGCCAATGCTGCAAAGGTTCTTGAGTGTCTAGGTTCTATTGTTGGTAAATATATAAAATTAATAATTATATATTTATTTATAATCAATGGATACTGTGATGTTCTAATTCTATAATAATAATTAATATTATATTAAAGTAACTACAAATACAAATAAAATTTTTGATTTTTAGGTTTATATGGGGAACATACAATTATTTTGCAATATTTTTCTCATATGACTGAACTCGTGGCACAATGCAAACGTAAATTAACGCCAAATTTAGAAGGAGGACTTATTTCATGTCTAATTTTACTTATATACGTTATTCCTTATCTAACAGATTCTTCACTTATGGATATTATTCATGTTTGTGTGCTTATAATACTTGATTATATATTTTCAATAAAAAAAAAAAAAAAAAACAAATATATATATAATATACATAATACAATATAATAATATATATATATTTTTATATATTTTTTAAATGATATTGAATATATGTTATAAAAAGTTTTATTTAAAAAAATGTTGCTACACTATCACTGATAAAAGCATAAATTATTATATATTTAAAATAGTTTTTTAATTATAGGAAGGAATTGTAAAATCAATCTTATTACCTATTGCTCGGATATTCTCAACTAGTAAATTTATGTTCCCAAATGGAGCAACAGCGCGTTTTGTCTTAACAAATAAATATTTAGAAGCTTTATTTATTTTAATAATGCGTTTGGGAAATGTAATGGCAAAAAATCACTTAACTGTACCCATTCAACGATTCTTTGGAGCATTTGATAAAGTTTTCAATAATGAGCAACCTGAAAAAAATGAATCACAGTCAAATACATTAAAACAAAATAACTTTTTAAGGTAATTGCAATTTTATATATTTGGTATTCTTATTAAATGTACATTGAATTCATTATACATATGTTTATCAAGTATTAATCAATTAGAATAAATTAAATTAATTTTAATATTTACATATAACATACATGTTGTACATTTTAAAGTACATTTATATAAAATATTTGTGGTTTAAAATTTTTTTTTATTATATAAGATTATAAATTATTTTTATATAAAATACATAGTAATTTTAAAATATATTTAATAATATTGAATCACTCATTATAAATATATTGAATTTAACAATTAGATAAGCATGTATAAAACACATGCTATATTTATTTTATAATAAAAGTTTCAATATAATTTATAATATAAGTTAATATAATATATTTTTTTCAAATTTATTTTTAGTAAGCTTCATAAAAAATCTATCGTAAATATTGCTGAAATCAATTCATTTTCACCTTCAATGATAGAAATTACAAATAATGTAAACTCCAAAACAAATAAGGTATTTTAATATTATTATAAATATTTAGAATATATACATAAAAATAAACATATTATGTTTACTGCTTTCATATATAGAGCTAAAACTATTCAATAATAACAATGTTTAGAGCCATAGTCATTGATCTTGATCATTTTTTCTCTCAAGTTAAATTCAATTTGCATGTCTATAATAATGGATTTAAACGTAAATATATTATTATTAATATAAATATTAAAATTGATTAATAATCAAAATTGATTTAATTTTTTGTACATTTCTTGTTAACTTACTTAGTGAGAATGATATACTTCTGTATAATAAGTTATTTTATTATAACAGTATAATTATATATAATGACTCAACAAATTAAATTTATGGTGTTTACATAGGCAGTTGAAGAATTGAAAGAAGTTTTCTCAGCTTCACTAGCTCACCGAGCCTATGTAACATTTTATCGTCTGCTAAGTGATGAAATTATGGAGGAATTAATTAAAGATCATCAACTTATAAGAGATTTATTTCACGAATTTGAACAAGAATTACTTTTCCCAGCGTCATCAAGTATTCGTAAGCTACATTACTAGTATTTCTATATAGATAATTTCTGATTATTATAAAACGTATATGAAAAACTAATTTTTTTATCAATTGTTATAAAATTTATTAAGCTTCAGAAAATAAAACGTTTTTGGATTGCAATACCAAAGGCTTTGGTAAAATATCCACTATTGGCAACAAAATTAAAGTACAGGTAGGTTCAGTATATACTCTTTTTTTTTTCAAAATATTTTTATGTACTAATTTATTTGGATTAGATTTGGATTATGTTTATGATTCTATGATTTCAGACAATGAATGATTCTTTAATGATCAAAGAGTCAAATTCTTTTTCATCTACAGGACGACATCTTAGAGGAAATTGGCTTGCTTACTGGGAACATGAAATTGGTAGATCAGACAAGGACACAAAATTTAATATCAAACAAATAAAACTTCAAACATTCACTGGTCACACTAATAGTATTAGATGTTTATATGCCTTAGACAATGAAAACAGTTTTATGAGTGGCGCTCGAGATCGTATGGTTAAGTTATGGAGTTTAAGAAGTCAAGTATGATAATAGTAGAAATTTAAATATCTTTAACAATTGATAAATTTATAAAGAAATGTTATATTTATTTATTAATCATAATTGGGAATTGTATTAAGTTATACAAATAATTTTTAAATTCATTGGAATTGATAATATTAATTAAATAAAAAATTATAGGGAGATGGTAGCATTGTATCCTCCTGTCAATATACATATGGAGGTCACAAAAAATCCATTCTTGCCTTAACGTTTCTGGAATCTCTTCGATATGCAGTTACTTGCGACGGATCCATTCATTGTTGGGATCCATTTATAGGCTCCTTTTTAGGTTGTCCTGAATCGTCTCGACTAACACCAGTAAATGTATTAGTTGCAAATCCAGCTCCTTCTATGACAATTCTTGTTGCCACTGCAGATATAATGCTAAGAGTCATTGATTGTAGAACATTTCAATATGTTAACGAAATGAAGGTTTGTTTTTTATGATTTTGTAATAACAGAAGATCGAAATTTTTTAATCTCTAAATTAAACAATATATTATATTATTTTTACAATATTAGTATTAAAGAAGCATTTTTTATTTGTGTTATAATTTTTTTGTTAGCATTTTTAATTTGTAGGTATCAATGAATCCTACTGGCTTAGTTAGATGCATAGCAGTAGCTCCAAGTGGTACCTGGGTTGCTCTTGGACAAACTTCTGGACTTCTTACAATTTTGGATATTCGTACTGGGCTAATAATTACGTCTTGGAAAGGACATGAATGTGAGGTAAAGATTAACCTTTAAATTATTACATAATTAAACTTTTTAAATTAATGGAATTATACACCGTGCCTATTGTTTTCAGATTCTTCAATTGGAGGCATTGAATGAAACAACAATAATTAGTTCTTCTCTTGATCAAACCATTGCAGTATGGAGCGCAATAGATGGAAAATTGAAGTTTTATTTAAAGTAAATTAAACATATTTATATTAAAATTTTAGAGCTTCTAGTTTTTAGTAGAAAATTAAAATATTTCTAATATTTAATTTACAGAGGTGTGACAGAACCAATACATTGCATGGCAGTATATGAACAACAACTCATATCAGGAACAACTGCAAATAGAATAGGTGTACATTCAGCATTGGAAGATTCTGTAACTTATTCTTTTTCAAAACTTCGTCAAGATACTTTTAAAGGTGTATTAACTGCAATGTCTATTCTACCGTTAAATAGACTTTTATTATTAGGAGCAGATAATGGTATTATAAATTTAATATGCTGAGATATAAAACACATTTACATATTAAATATTAAAATGTACCTGCATGTAAAGATAAAATTTGAATTTATGTAATGTTATTTAATGTGTACACAAAATTTAATCAATCTCAAAAGATTTTTGTTCTTGTGATCTGTAATTTATATCCATTCTAGTTTTAAGTATTTTTAGTGCAGTATTTGATGTTAGCTGTTGAATTTTAACATCTGCTAAAATTTCAGTTCTTGTGTCTTCATCTGCATTTTCTAAAGTTTCTATTAAAAGAAAAGCTGCACCTGGTAACATATTTAACAAAATGCAAGCTTCAACAGTCCTAATAAATATTTTTAAAAATATCAATCAAATTTGTTAAAATAATGTTATATCTATGTATATATAAAATAAAATTATTCTTACAGAGCAAAATATAATTCAATTTTATTTGTGTATAAACCAAAAAGCGGAAGTAAATTTCTTTTAATATCAAATTGTAGTTGAAATGCACCACCAGTATTAAATTTATTTCGAAGAATAATTTCATCTAATAAGTACTACAAAAATAATAAAAAGTAAAATTAAATGAATAACATAAAAATACCATTTATATATTTTTTGAATTTAAGAAAAAATTACTTGATCCAATCGTATTGCTAAATTTTGCCATGATTGTTCAAATAAAGGTAATGCTAATGAATTGTGAAGAGCATGTAATTGGTTAACTATTTCTTGAAACATGGAGCAACCACTTGCAGTTATTGATAATGAAACTACATCTTTTTCTGATGACATTGCAAACCATCTAAAGAAAACCATTTATTATTTAAAGTTAATTTGTAGTATTTTTATAGTTAACAAAGACAATACTTTTCATTGCAGTATAATTTACTTTTTGCAGTTATTTCTGCAAATACTGAATCACCAATTTCTATCATAAGTTTCTTTTCCAATCGTTGCAAAAGACTTATAACTTCATCAAAAACAGTTAAATTGTGTTCATTATCATCTACTAAAGGTTTTGTGAATGCATCATCATGCATTATTGTCCCAAAATTTTCAAATTGTTTTTTAAAAAAATATAATTTTAAAAATGGCTAAAAATTACAATATAATTTAAATACTTAAATGTTAGTAATAATTTTTAATTAAAATAATATAATTTATATTTTACATACAACAGTAATACCCCAATTTTGAAGTACAATAGAAACATAATATAGTGTATTCAGAATTGAAGGCATTAAAGATAAAAGAGGATCTTTGTAGTTTTCACGCAGTAATTGTAACAATCGTACTCTAAAATCATCTATTAGTTCTAATTGTAAATCTAAAAACTGTAATCTAAAAAATTTGATATTAAAATTTGTTTAATTTCTTTTTATTAAATTAAATATTTTATTTACTACCTATGACCTGGTTGAGGTAAATGGTTATATCTATCAGAAATTGTACTTAAAAGTATCAAGAATGCTTCCGAACATTCAGTAACTTTCATTTCATCTGTTTCAAAACCTGGTAATCTAGACCAAGCTGTCTCTGAACTCAATATCGCATCCATTTTTTCAGTAGCATCTAATAGAATATTAAAAAATGGAAGACTCGTAGTTAATTAACTTTAAATACTAATGCTATAAGTTTTTAAATAAACTGTTATATACTTGACAAAAATGTAAATTTTATTTAAATACATCATTTTAAATAGTGATTACGTAATGAAATAAATCTTTAAAAAGGAATAATAGTATCTCAATTTTTTATATCTAAATGAATGTATTAAAATAATTATAAAATTAATTGTAAAATGATTATAATACTTCTAATATTTTTTAAATAAATAAATAAGTACATATTGAATCTATAAATTAAATATAGAGGAGATATAAATAAGAAATAATAGGGAAGAAGAATCTATAATATATTCATCTTCAAAATTTTTTTAAATAAAAAAAATTATACACAGAAATTTTAAATTAAATATTGTTTTTAATATTTTATTATTATTAATCTTTAATAGCATATTGAAACATTATCAGTGATAATGAACATACTGTTAAAAAAATGTTTATTAGTTAATAAAATAAATTAAATTATTAGTCTATTTATATTAATGAATTATTGTTGTGTTATGATTTAATTGTTTAAGAAGTGCTTAATAAAAATATTACTCCTTAAAAATAAATAAAGTTATTATAGCATCACTGTTATATAAGACTTTTATAGTAACTTACATTTTTTTTCCATTGTGATCCATTTAATAAAAAATTGTGGTTGTGTCAAGACAAAAACAATAGCAAGATCTGCAGATGGATATAAAAGAATACCTTTTAGTTCTCTCTCAAAACCAAGTGCTTCATCGACAGTATGAGCAAATAAAGAGTCATCATATTGAACAATACAAAGTTCAGAATTTAATTTTTCAACTGCTAGTGACACCAGTGCCCTCATAAATTCTACTTTTATATTTATATTCTTTAATCCAGCTGCATCAGCTACCGGCTGAACAATGTTTTCTAGCCACTCTGAATGATTTTTAATCCAAGTTAATATTTGTGTAAAAAACCATTCAGGTTTGTCTCGCCTGTTTGTCTGCTTAATACCAGTAAAATGATATAAAAATCTTTGTTTTAATGGATGAATAAGTAAAGCTACTGGTAAGCATACTGTTGAAAAACTAGATAAAAACTCTGATGATCTTTTATCAATCATATTATCACTACAATCTTTTGTAAGAATCAAATACATTGATATTTTTTTTTCAAAAATTTAAATAAAAATTTAATTAAGCCTTTGATCATAATCTTAAGTAATAAATTTAGAATAATTTTACAGAATAGTTATTATACAGGCATTATAATTAATTTTATTTCTATTAACGGATTATTAAAAACAATTTTTTAAATGAAATTTTTAACCAAATATAAAAAATATATACTGTATATGACAATCAGTACTTACACTAATACCGGGATATAAAAATTCATATCACATTATATTAAAACAAGATTTCATTATAAAAATTATTAAAAAAATGTGAATGTTTCATAAATTTATATTTAAACAAACCTTCAGATTCAATATTTTAACTAACTTATATAATTAAAAAAAAAATGATACTTCATATTTTTATGTGAAAATAATATTAATTTTATGATACTCGAATTGAATTGAAAGAATTAAAAATACCAATATACAATAAAAATTAAATTATTTTGAATTAATTATACTGAAAGGATACGGCAATTGTAAATGAAACAAATGTTGTGTTATTATTTTAAATCTGGTAATAGACTCTTGAGTATGCGTATTTATGGCCTGTGAATTATTTCCACAAAAAGGCCACTTAAGAGTTTTTAATGTTTCACTATATTCCCTATGTATTTAAAAATATTATTAAAATAATATTTTTATATAATAATAATAATTATTATTATTAATTAATTTAATTAATTATATTTATATTATATTATTATATTATATTATATTATATTAAATTATATTAATTTAATTAATTAATTAAAATAATAAATAAAATTAATAAAAAAAATAATAATAATAAATAATAATAATAATAATAATAATAATAAAAAATAATAATAAAAAAATTAAAAATACATTCTTTACTTAAAATATTGATGAAATTAATTTGACTACGTACTCAATTAAGTTTTTCTTAATTTGATTATACCAAAATTGTAGAGTGTTATTTATATAATTTTTCAAATTTGTACATAATGAAATTTGAACATTTTGACAAGATTCTTTTAAAATGACATATGATGAAACACAAGCCTCATCATTTCCAGAAATTAACGATACTTCTAATTCTACACTGAAAATAATAAATATTATTTTTATATGAATACTACACATATTTTAATAATTGGTTTGATTACCTTATATCTTCAATAAATTGAACAAATTGCAAATATAAAAATAATCTTGCTAAATAAGTAATATCATCAATAGTATCTTGTACTTCACAGATTTTATTTTCTTGCTCTAATTTTTTTTTTATATTGATGCAAATGAATTCACAACTTTTCTTTAACCTATCTGCAGATTTCATGATATCATTAACTTCTTTAATGGTTTCTTGGATTCTTGATGGTACTTCTGAAGAAGCCAAAGATAACTAGACATAAATATTTCTTAACAATAGCTTTTTAATAGCATATATGACAATTTAATAATTTAATAGAATATACTTACATATTCTTCAACTTTATTTTTATTATGTTCAAGATTAGTATGCATTTCTTTTATCATTTTAAAATTATTAAATACATATCCTAACTTATCATTGAACATTTCAATTACCTTAACCTTAACATCCATTTTATATTCCTAAAATATTATATTTTATAAATTCTTCTTTATATACTTAATATTTTTACATAATATGCAACTTGCTCAATAAATATTGACAATTGGTTTCCTTTTAATACATTCATTCTTTTGTATATTCCATGATTCTTATCGACAACTAAACAATACAAATTTAAACGACGGAAACATCGAAATAGATAAATAAAAATACATTTCAATTGTATAAAATCTATAAATCGAATGTTATTTATAGAAAACGAATTTCTTAGTTCAATTTAAATTTTAAAATTTAAGTTTTTATATCTTTCACATAATTTTTTGAATTTTATAAATTATTGATAATTTTAATATGATAATTTAGTTTTTGATTGTTTAGGTTAACAATATGAATTAATAATTTTAAAATATATTAATTCTGAAATGTACACGTATATACTTGTTTTAACAAATTTTAGATTAAGCTAAATCAATTTTATTTTATATAAAAGAATTATTTTAAACATTTTTACTTTCTAAGTACAATTAATCATGAATATATTCTGTAATATTTTAAATAAAATCAATATAATTAGGATTACTAATATAATTTTATAAAATTATATATCATTTTATATAATAAATCAATGTAAGTCATTTAACCATAAATGTGACTATATCTTCAACAAATGCAGCTTAATGATTTATTGTAAGTGTTAAAAATAAAAATATGATTCTGATTTTATTAATTACTGATTCAAACTAATGCAAACTTTTAAAATTTCCTTTACAGTCTATTTAAATTGTAACTCCATTTAATTCATTCAATAATAGAATGATTCATTAGAGAATGCATTTCACGTTTATTTGATATTGAAAATTATAGAAACACTCTAGTAAATGTTTAATTTAGACTGGTTTAATATGAGGCTATTATATTAAACTATAGTAAGCAATCCTAAGTTTCATTAGAATAAAATATAATTCTAAATATTGATGATGAAATTGTATTATATAGTGAATATATATAATTGATTTAATATTTAACAATGCAGTTATTAGTTTCGATATTATGGTAAATTATTTCAATTTGTTTTATTTATGAATTTTTACTTAATAAATTTTTTAAATAATTATATTTTTTGAAAGAAATTACAATATGAAAACCATATATTCTTTAGTATATATTTGAAAATATTTGTCATTGACAAATTAATGATAAAATATACTTTTCATTGTGCATAAGTTTATTCATTTGCAAATAAAGCCTTGAAATAAAATAGTTATAGTTAATATTATATTTATTTTTCATTTTATTTTAATTTAAAATTGAAATTTGTTGACTATTTTTTATATATGTCTATTTTAATTTTCAATTTTATTCAATTTAAAACATTTTATAGTTTTTATTAAAAATTATACATTTGTAAAAATGTATATCCTTTAAAAAATATCAATATTTTGAATTGGTTATTATCAGTCATCGAATTAATCAATTGAAATGTATACTCATTGTTGAAATCTTAAAAAAAAACAATTAAGGTTATAGAACTCTGTTTCGTCAACATCTTTACAAGATCGAATAAATAACATAAATTGTAACCCTAAATTATATTTACATGAAAACAAAATTTTTCTAATTAAAATTTCCTGTAATTAAATTAATGCAAGAATTATGATTTTTTTAATTCTAAAGTTTCAATAATATATTTTTATCATTCATAAATTGAATTCTTTATTTTTTTCTTTGTGTTGCTTTTCTAATAGTTTAACAGCACTAGTACAATAATTGATTTTTATATCTATGTTTTTAGAATAGGTTTTTTTAATTGTTTAATGTAATGTAATATACAATTAATAATAATTATTAATACGTAAGATTCAATTAATAAAAGTTAACCAAATAATGCTATATTTATTTAAATATCCAAGAAAATGTCCTTTTCATTTCTAGTAATCTTAGTATTTTCTATTACAATATATTATTTACAAAATTTTAAATGTGCGAATGGAAAAATTTGTAAAGATAATCTGACATATTTTAAGTATGAATGTGTTTCTATACATTGTATAATATAAAAATCTAAAAAATCATTTAATATTGTATATTAGATACTCGATAAATCAATTAAAAACTATTTATATTTAAATTAATTGAAAAATTAAATAAAATTCAAATGTACAATTTTTTACTTTGTTTTTTTTTATTTGTTCCTAAATACAATGAATTTGATATAAAAGCCACATCTGATGGATACACTTGCTCATTCATAAATATTTAATAATTTGAAAACAGCATATTTTGTATAAAATCAAATTTTGTGATTTTGTTGGGGAATGGTGGAAATAATATAAATCGTCACGGGGATGAGGAAGTACTGTTTTCTATTTCTCTAATAAATTTGAAATAAATACAACTTATAAATTTGTTAAAACTGTTATAAGACCAGTCAAGATATTTAAAACAATGAAAAACTAATATAGTAAGAATTGTAATTGCATTTTAACTCATATACAAGTTGTCAGATGGCGTAATACTATGGTAATTCGATTTTGATTTTCATTTTCACTCTACGCATTCTCTTCATAACTTGACAGTAATAAGTAGGATTGATTTTCTGTTATATTTCAATTTATTCCAAGCATCTATTACTATTTTTCTTTTTCATTCGAATCGTTATTTAAAATTTTCCAGATACTTTTAATTTAAGTATGGATTTATTATGACAATTTTTCAATATAATCTAAACAAAAACTTTTACATTGAACTCTTTCTTTTAATTATATGAAATCGATCAAATATATACAAACAGATAAAATTCATTAGGAATCGATATTTTTAACAAATAAAAATGTGCGATAAAGCAGTAGCAGATGAACTGCTTCACAGTAAGAATGAACTTGATATTTCGAGAGAATATGACAGTCTGTCCGGTATAAGATGGGATCCTGTTGGTGCTAACAACGGAGATGACGATTCTATATTAGAATATAGAGAAACAGATAGTATAGAAGGGTAATTTTCATTATCTGCATTATCTTTATGTATATTTATAATTTTTTTAAACATTTATAAATAAATATAAGAAAGTAAAATAAAAATATTTTTGTATAAAGCTTCAAGTAGCACAAATTGTATATTAATCTAAAAATAAATATTTAATATAAGTGGTTCTATTATTAAATAATAATTCTTATGCAAGTATAAAAATATAATATTTTATATTTAAACATTTTTTTAAGTACATTGTGAGAAAAATATATATAGATATTATATTTCTCACATATTTCTTTATTATACGTAATTCATTATTATATTTATTGATGTAAATATGTAAATATTATGTAAATAAAATAATAATTTTTTAAGCATAATTAATAAATAATCTACATATTTACATGTATTTTATTATTTTCGTAGTTATTGCATTGAAATGAATAAACTTAAAATATTAGAAGAGGAACAAGAAATGCTCAACTCATCTCTCATTGCATTAACAACTCATTTTGCGCAGGTATTTTTAATGAATATTTAAAATGAAAATATTTTTAATATATTACTTTTAATTATATTTTAGGTGCAGTTTCGACTAAAACAAATATGTGATGCACCAACAAATACAAAAGAAGACTTATTAAAAGAGTTAGAAGAGTTTGCATTTAAAGGAATTCCTGCTATTCAAAATAATCATATTTTTAATATACAATCATCATCACCAAGTCCTTATCATAGATATGTAAGATAATATTTGTTGATAATATTAATATAATAGGAATTTTAACTTGTTATACATTATTTTCAATCACTTGAATTGTGTAAATGAACTAAAATAATTATGGTAATGTAATTAATATTTTAATTTTTTTAAAATATTAATTTTCTTAAAAACTTGATTAATTCCCCATACAATTATTGGTTTTAATTAATTTATAGTTTATGTATTTTTTTTTGTATATTTTATATAAAATATTCTAATTAATAATACATTAAGATTTAGAAAATAGAACTAAAAATGTGAAACTAAGTATGCAAATATTAATAAATATATTTTGAAGTTATTAAAGAAAAATATAAAAAAGTTTTTCTGATTTTGTACACAGTCTGGTAAATTAGATGATAAAATAACAGATTTAAAAATAGAAATGCAAAAAAATAAACAAAAAGAATTAATCTGTCAACTCAAATTACAATTAGAAAATTTAGAAAAATATGCTTATGAATCTGGTGATGCAGATTTACCTCAAAGTATTGTTTTAGAACGACAAAACTTAATAATAAGTAAGTTTTTATAAGAAATAAATACCCCTTTAATAAATGTAGCTTATGATTGAACATTTAAAATTTTCAGATCACCTTAAAGAAAAATTAAACTTTAATATTGAAGATCTTTGTAAACTCTCTACAGATGATTTAAAATGGCAAGTTGACTTTGCTATTAATCAGGTAAATTTTTTAAATGTATTTAAAACATTTTTAAAATGAATATATTATAAACATTAAATAGATTCAAATTATTTATTATTTAGATTGTTAACCCACTAAAAATGAAAGAACAACTTATAATTCAACTAAAAACGCAAATTGCAGATTTAGAACGGTTTATAAATTATTTACAAGGTGAAGTTTGTGTTGAAAAACTAACTTGTACCTGTGCCTGTCCAGTTCATACAAGTGGATTAGCTAAAAGTTGTAATTCAAAAAAGACATTTAAAAAACCTATGATCAATGAAAATAGCACAACTAATTTAAGCACAGTCAAAAAACTTGTAACACTATTGCATATGTACATAATGTCTCAGATGGGCTGTGGTAGTAAAAAATCATATGGTAGAAAAAAAGATTCATTATGTGATTGGCAACATCTGAGAACTCGATTAGATATTGCAGTTGAATATGTTTTTGAGACTCTTGCAGATAGTGAATATTGTATGAATAGAGATAGCATCAGTGAAGAAGTAGCATATAATTCAGATTCGGATTCTTTTACAAATCAATATGATGCCAAGATAACGTTAGCAGTCAGAAAACACCTGGCAATTTGCATTCGAGATTTAATACAGCATGGCACAACAACAGATGCTACTGTAAATAGCGTTGTTCCTTTTGTTGGATGTTTTACACCAAGAACACATAATCCTAATAATCTTATGCATGCCTGGGAAATTATTCTTAAATATTATGAAATAAAAAATGGGTGTCGCTATAATTCTACTCCAGCCCAAAAATTATCACAGAGTTTTAATCTAGACTTAATTGGTGATCAAATGACATCTTCTAAACAGGTATGTGTAAATTTTAAGAAAATTTAAATAGATAAATAGTAATATTTTTATTTTTTTATTACTATTCAAATTTGTAGAATCTCCTAGTTACAATTGGCAACATCATTACAATGCACTCACCTTACAAGAGAAGCTTTGATTCTAATTTTAAAGCTTTTATATGTGCTGCTTTAAAGTAAAAATTTTTAATTTACAACATTTATGTATCATATTGAATAAAATATAAATTTTAGTATTTAAAACAATTTTATAGCGCAAACAAATTGGTTATATGGCTTAAACTCATTCTACAGAGCCAATATTTATTAGAAAATTATTACATGCCCTGGAGTTATGTTATTAAAACCGGTAAGTTTGAATATCGTAAAGAAATTTTAAAAGAAATTTATTTATTTTTCATTTTTTTTTTATAGGCTTTCAAGATGCCTTTCATACATTAGATAAATTAACTAAACATAAATTTGATTTGCCAATAGATTTAGCAGTACAACAGTTTCAAAATATTAAGGAAGCATTTTAATTAAAAAATAATTTTATTTATCTAGTTATAATTTTGATGAATTTCATAAAATTATAAAATCTAATTAATTAAAATTTAACACAACTCATTAAAACAGAATAACTTTTTGATCATAAAAAGTTAATTATTTGAAGTTTAACCTTTTATTTATTATTATATTACAATGTTATTTATTTAATTGAAACAAAATTTTCTTATTAATTATGTTTCAGTTTTAGGTTTAATTAGTTATTAAAAATTTTATTGATTCAACATTAAAGTTTGAGTAATATTAATATTATATTAAACATTGAATCATTTTTAATTATATAAATTTCTATATATAAGTATGTATCTAAAGTTTTGTATATATTTTTTGCTGAAATTTAGTTTAATTATTGTAAAAATAAATTAATATTATATATAACATATAACTAATCATAAATCATATTGTTACATCTTTCAATATCCCTTATTTCTAGAATATCTGTTTTTAAATGTAACTTCATTATTTCTCTCCAAATATCCATTCTATGCTCTTTATTGTGGATTCCTAACCGCAATAAAACGTTTTCATTAATTCTTAATAGTGCTCGCCCTGTAATATCATGCTTCAAAATAAATTATTAATATATATAATAATTATTACATTAGAAATATCAAAAAGCCAAGATTACTTACAAATAGAAATTTTTCATGATAGAATTGATAATAATCACTACAATGTCTTCTAAACCATTTCTGAACATCTAATACATTCCACAAATAGACAGGTCGTGGCCTAGTAGTTCTATTCTAATTTTTAAGTTATAACATTATGAGATAAATGTTTTCAAAGATATCCAAAAGTATCATAAATTTATTTCTCGTTTACCTTTGTTTTATTATTGGCATTTATAATTTCTTCCACCATTATGAATATAAATTAATACCAAATTTAACAAATCTAACATCAAACATACAACTTTATTTTAATTTAATAAGTGTTAATATTATAAAATGTATGTTAAAGCTAAGAATTGATATAAGTCGGAAAGCGTTTATTTACAGAATACTAATATATATTAATATATTCGCTGATATTTGTAGATGGCGCATCAGACGAACATTAAAATCAAACATAGTACCTAGTGTTTTTTATTATCATATATATATATATATATATATATATATATAATCTTATCGTAGCGTGTAGTTGTTTAGTAACTACTAGTTTTCTTAGATCCAAAATGTACGCATAAATGACGCTGTGGATCGACAAAAAGATTTATTACTTTACAATAGTTAAAATATCTTATCTTATTATACATTTTATAAGGTTTAAGATAAAATTAGAAATCTAACAATAAAAATCAACTTTTACAACAATAGTTAACTTAACTTACGAATAGGGGAATAAACTCCTATACAACATGTCGAAGAGGGATTACAATGACTACAGAAGAGACGACTATAGAAAAGGTTTTATTAATTGTTTTATACTATTAAACGTTACTTATTCGTTAATCGTTAATTATTTACCCTTTATTTTGATAATCTGAATAAATATATATAAAATATTGGTTATTACTATTTTAATTTGTATTACAAAAATTTTGAAACAATACTTGTATTTATAATACAAAATGAAGTAAATGAAATTATAAATAAATTATGTAATCACTAAAAATTTGAAACAAATAATTTAATTAATTATTGATAATTTATTATGTTTATTTACTTTCAATAAAATAAAGGAAATTTTCTTAATTGTAAGTAAATATCTAATGTAATTTTCAAATTTAATTGTATAAGGTTATCTTTAATTCTTTAATAAGAAATTATTTTAAACAGATGTCGAGACTAGGATCGTGTTCGAATAAAATTAATTTATTTTAAAGAACAGTGGTACATTTTGTACCGTTTAAAAGCTTCCGGTTAATTTGTCTGCTTTGTTTTAACTTGATCTGAACTTTGCCAGTGTTTGACGTTGTCAGGGTCAAGTGTCTACAGAGCAGAGGACAGGAGGGATGATGATGATGATTTGAGATCCAGAGATCGCTCACCACATAAACCACACGATCAACATGAACTTTCCAGCAGTTCCTTCCAACCACGATCAGGAAAACAAAAACTTGTATTTGGTTTTGATAAGAAAGCTACCAGTAGTGACCCAAAAAAAAGTGGTATTCAAATGAAGTTAGGCAGTGGCTCGGTTAGTATTATATATTTTTTTTATTGGCTTGTATTAGTTAGTATTTCTAATTAAAACAATTTATAAATCGCATAAATTAAATTAGTTTCCATGGACTAATATACTGGATTATTACATATTAGGCATTTGTAAATTTGATAAATTAATATTATTTTAATTCATTGAATTACAATCTTTATAAATATATTAATTTATTAAACTATATAAAATAAAATGTTATTTTAATTCTCCTCTTATATAATACTTGTATCCCTATAGTAATTAGAAATAGAAAATAAAACTCATATGAAATTTTTAAAACTAGGAAAATATTTAAAAATTTTATATAAAAAAGTAATATAAATATAATTTTTTAAACACAAATAATTAAAAATATTTTAATTAATAAAAAAAAATAAATTACATCAATGCCAATAAAATATACTTTTAAAATTATATTATGTTGTATTAATGCAATTATTGAATTTAATTAACAAAAATGTGATATGATTACTGTTTAATATTATATAAATATTATTAATACATTCCAATGCTATATTATTTAAGAGATTATTTAATAAAAAAAAATCTACCATGTTAAGTACGAAATTATCAGTGAATTTAATTTTATCATTCATCAAGTGTACAAGCATATGTATGTGCATTAAGTCTGTTTTCAATTATATAATATAAAATATCTAAAATAATGTATTATTAATAGCTTCATCATACAATAATATTTATTTGTAAAAGTTTTTATTGATTGTGACAATTTAGTTGTCACAAAATTTTATAAATGTAAAATATTAAATACTACAAAAATATTTATAATAAAATATCAGTAAATTAAAAGTTATTAGTTTTTCAATCATTTTATGTCGAATATACTTTTATATTTATAGAAACTTCCAAAATCAGCACCTGTGCAAAAACCAACAATAGCATCTGTTTTTAATAATGATGATGATGATGAACCTGAAGAAATGCCTGCTGAAGCAAGGATGAGAATGAGAAACATTGGGCGAGAAACACCAACTTCAGCAGGTCCTAAATCATTTGGAAAGACAAAACAAGGCTTTTGTGATTCCAAAAAAATTTTTGAAAAAACTTTAAAGCAAGCAATGGACGAAGCAAATAAATGAGTTTATTTTCCTTTTAAAACTAATTTAATTAATTTAGTTATTATTTTAAAGGAGTATGATTGATTAAAATATTAAATTAAATATTATTTTTCTACAATAAAATACAATATAATTAAATTACATAACTTTTTTAGTAAAAAATATTAAAATTTATAATTTGTCACATATTCATGTAAACTTATTTTATAGAAAAGTTATACTCTGAACAAATATTAAAATAAAAGATTAATTATTTCAATAATGTTTTTATTGGATCTACCTTGAAGTCAGTTACAACTAATATTATATAGAGGATATTAAAAAAGTTAAATAGAATATCTTTTTAATTCTGTTTATTGGTGAATATTACATGGACTGACATTATTTCCTGTTCTGTTGGCCTTGACGCATATCCTAAAAATTGAAAAAAAACATCAATTTACCAAACCTTAAGTCAATTTCATTTAATATTTGTTAAATTAAAATTTGAAAATTAAATACTTTAATTAATTCATAATAATAAAAAATGAATTTTTATAATTAAATAAAAAGTAAACTTAAAATGATTTTTATATAAAGCCATGTTTTCATAACAAGAGATACACCAATTTCATATTTAATAATCACTATTATTTTATTAAACGTTATAAAAGTACTATAGATCGACTTAGTCAAATTGATTAAAATAAACACAAAAATTATACGTATTGCCTAATCATTTTATAAATGTTTAATTATGTTTAAATCTATATTATAAAAAAAAATTATTAACAAAAATATAAATACAAAAGTAATACCCTAGGAAAGTTGCGCACTGGAGGTGTCCTGATGCGTCTATCGGCCTTCGATCTATTGCGTACTACTTTGGAGTGAATTGCACAAGATACACAATAATGTAACTTAGCATAAAGTTTTGGTAGCTGATATGGAGAATATACACTTGCATCTGTTATATCACGGACTGCAGCAGCTTCAACGATATTTCGAATCACAAATTTCTTAATTGCTTTATCCTTGGGAACGCATCGAGCACAATTCGTACAACGGACTGGATTCACGTGCCCACGGCCATTTTTAGCACGTCCTGCATTTCTACGCTTGCGCGTCTAGACAAATGAATTAACTTTAAAAACACATTAATTATTTATTGTATTTTATAAAGCTTGTCTCCTTTTTAGACCAGTAAATATTTTTAATTAAATGAATTTTATTATTAATAAATTGAAAATAATAACTCTAACAATTATTTGTAACTATAAAAGTATAAAAATTTCTTCAAAGAATTATTTTACATCCACGTGTAAAAGTTTTTAATTTTCATTATTCAAGGTTTTATAAAAATTCATATGTTTAATAGATTAAAATAAATAAATCCTTACATATTATTTTATATATGGTCAAGAAAATTAAATAAACTGACAAAAAAATTAATTTATTATTGTTAAAATACCGCATAACTTACCATTATTACAGGTTATCTTCGAATGGTTAGGAGGAAGTATTTTTAACTGACCCCTGCAGTCTAATAGTACTAATGTAATACTACTTGAAACAAAACACGTTCCTAACAAATTTCCAGTAATTTAAAGAAATTTCCGGTAACTTCTACTTCAGGTATTATGCAATGAATAATAATACTTTAATTATATAAATTAGATTTATTATATTAAAAATATGCTTATCTATACTATATTTACAAAAATTACTGATTCTTTAAATTTGAAATACTATTTATTAAAATAATATCATTAAGTATAATAAAAGTCTGTCAAAATAAGTAATGGTTTTCATATTACAATTTTTATTTGTAATTATACATTATAAAAATAATTTGTTTATTTTAAAAACGAAGAAGTAAATTGTAAAATAAAGGTGAAAAAAAATAAAATTCTACATAAAATTTTTAGTTAAAAATTATAGAAATTCTTGAACACTATCAATATATATATGTCTTATATTATTTTTACATTAGATTCCTTTATCTTATTTATATCAATTAATAGTTGAGTCATGTTTGTAAATCTCAATAAATTTAGTAGAAATTGATAATAATTTGACTTTGCTTTAAGATAAAATACAAAGATATATTATAATATAAATACAATCTTCTCACATACAATCTTTGTAATAAAATTTACTTTTGTTTTGATGTAATTGACAATATATAATAAAAAAAACTTACGTTATTTTAAATTAAGCCTATAAAAAGTAATTACTTTATAATCATCAAAACATTACTATTTTTGTTCAAAGAGATTACAATTATACACAAAAACGAAAGAATTATTAACGAATTATATGTATCTTGCAATGTTCAGTACAACAAAAATTATTAGAAGTTAAATAAAAAAACTTCCTAAATATAAAAAAATATTAGTTAGCTTCTGAGGAATTTGTCCAATAATGCGCCTGCATAGAAAGTCGTTGATTGTTACTTGGCTTTAAGGATGTCGAAAAATGTACAGCTTCTGGAAAACGTTCGTGATAACGTTCCAGTCTTAAGTATTTAACGGTAACCAAATGTCCTGTAACATATTTCTTTATAAACATGTCCTAAACACATGCAAAGTAAACATTAAGAACTTTATTTTTAATATTACCATCAAACCAACACCCATGTAAAGCTTTATAAGCTTTACCGGCATCGTCTTGGGACAAACATTTCATATATACGCATCCTTCACGACTTCCTCGATCAACTTTAATGTGCAAAATATTCACATTTTCACTGCATTTTTCAAGTATAGCATCTTTTACTTTTGTCTCCCAATCTTCTTCAAATTCTCTATATTTTTCATATATTTTAATAATAAAAAATTGATAATCTTAAATTTTTTATATTTAATCTATAATTTAACTTACACATCTGGATCAAACATATGTCGTATTTTAAGACAAGGAGTTGGAGAACATGCGAGACTGTTTACAGAGCCTTCCATAGTTTCAAATGCACTTCCTTGCCAAACTTTGGACATTTTTGGGACGGAATTACTTCCTATAGAATTAGAAGTAGTTGAATTGCTGGGTAACCAACGCCATACTTGAAATTCTTCTCCAGCAACCAATTGAACCTCACGTCGAATTCTATAAATTTATAAAAATTAAGTTCATTTTTTTTAAATTAATACTTAATTTATCATTATTATTTTATTGTTTATTAATGGCTTTTAAAATTTACCGAGATTCGTTTTCATCTAAAAATTTAACAGCTTTTTCCCACAGTCCAGCTAAATTTTTTCGATCTTTAGGTGGTATAAGATTATCTCTTATGTGATTTATTGCTAAATAAGTTTCTTGTATACTACCAAGATTAGTTGATACAAAACTTTGATGATGAATTTCAAGTATATTAATAATTTCACTGACTAAATTAAATACTTCTCTTTCGGTATTTTTTCTGTATCGCCAATAAGCAAGCACCATCTTTTGACATCCAATAATGACTAATGCACCTATAATGACACATTTTATAATACGAAACTTGTTTAATTTTGTTGTTTAAATGCTTGTAAATTTTTTTTTTTTAACGTATAGTTTAAAAATATTATATTTTAAACGTTTTAAACGTAATTTAAACGTATTATTCAATTATTAAAAGCAAATCCATATAAATCTCAAATTTATAATAAATTATCTATCTATAATTATGGATATACTAGACTGTAGCAAATAAAAATGAATACAAATATAAATAATTTAATTAATTTATATTTCAAATTTATAATTTTAAATAATTGGAATAAAGTATTAACAGATATAGGCCTGCAATAAGAATCGACTCATTATTCTAATTAACTTACTTGTACATTTGCTTTAAAATAAAAATCCATTTCGTTTATGTATTTATTAGATTGATCGAACAAACACTATATACTACTTTAACACATTAATATTTTACTTTAGTAAACATATTTTATTAATAAAGTATACTTAATATTATTTAATAATTTACGTTATCTTTAAAATTAATTACAAATTATTAAACTAAAAAAATTAAATTCTAAAATACAGAAACTTATTGATATTTTATAAATTTTGAAAAATTAATAATAAAACATTATTAAAAAATGTACATCTTAGAACATATTACTGACAGAACCAGAAGTAATTTCAGTCAGAAATTTACCAAAGGCAGCTATTAAAAGAGTTGAAAATACAGTAAAAATTCGTTTTCTCATGAGACATTGCAAGGGTAAATCTGGTTCTGGTATCAATAATCCTAATTTTCCTTTCGAGCGTTTCAAAATTACTTCATCCTGTAATAATTAATATATATTCATAAAAAGATTTTAATAGGCTTAACTTATAAATGCTTTGAAAGATATGGTGTTTATATTGTTTTACCATTGAATCAAGTAATTCATGTGTTTCATTATCATCTGCAATCTCTATTAGAAAGATTCCCCATTTAGGATTTTTAAAGATAAGCAAGTGTGCCATCTGTAAAGTTTCTTTCATTGTTAATTCTGACTAAAATCGAATAATACAACACGTTCAAATTTTTTATTTTAATAAGTATGAGGAATAAATGATATTAAGTGACAAATACGAACCACTTCATAATTTAAAAAAGTTTTAATATCATTGTTATTTAGATATGGTGGTTCTTTAGTACTATCACATTTTGCAGATACAGCTTGTTTCAATAAAATTTGATGAAGTCGTTTTATTAAGAGTAACGTATCTTGCACTTTATCTTCTGGTATACAATCTGTGCGTTTATTTTGGCCATACGATGCTAAAATGCACACTGGTATATCACTATCTAAAATAATATTGAAGAATAATGATTAGTAATAAAAAAATTTATATTTTATAAAAACATTTTATGAATACATAGTATGGGTGATCAATAACTTTAAAATTAAAATTAAATATTTACTTGACATGTCACTAAAATAAATTAAAATACAAGTTGATTATCTATGAAATATTGATACTATTTAATTTTATTTTCTTATTTTAATTTTTAAATTTTGATTTCAAATCAAAATTTTATTATAAATTACAAAAATAAGTTTATTATTTCTTATTTCTTTATCATTTACGAATGATTAGTTTTTTTTATCTTAATATAAAATAAAATGAGAAGCTTAGATTGCATAGGATAAATCATACTTTATAGTTCAAATAGTATACTTGTAACTTTGATTAGTTATATTTTATTCAATTAAATGCAAAAATTTAGCTATGAATATTCCTGTTTCAGTAATAAAATGGTTTATACAATATATTATAATGTATTTCATATTATTAAACTGCATTATGTGCTTAAAATATTAGATTTCTTAAATATACAATTTTCAAAATTTTAAATTATTAATTCAAATTAAAAATTATGTCTAATAATTTTAAAATACATAACAATATTTTTATTACAAAATATAAATAATTCAAATATTAAAAGTTTATGAAAATTGTTAAAATTTGTGAAGTATTTAATAATAAAATAGAGTTAATCTATATGAAATTACAGTACTAAAAGTTGAAACTTTTTAAGTAATTACATACCAGCAGATAGTAGAGGAAAGTTGTCAGTCTTTCCTTCCAATCTCAAATAAACGATTGTCAAACCACCAAAAAATAAAGCCAGAACTATTACAAGAATTTTGGAAATAAAATTCTGGTTATTTTTCACGTCTTCTCGAAGAACATTGGAAGACTTGAAAACTTTATTGATATCTCGAGTTTTGTCCAAAGAAGATGTAACATATGTCATACTAAATAAATATAATTATATAATATCTACAAAAATAAAAGAGTAATATTATATATAATTACCTAGAACTTGATGGATAAGTATTTCTTAATGGAGAAATAAAATGACCATTAGAATCCGTTTCTTTTACCTCTAGTGTATTGCTTAAACCCGAGACACGATATTTTTGCCCTGAAAAATAATCTTTATTTAAATATCGATTTTATATTTTTACTCCATAGATAATAAACATTAACAATAACAACATTTACCTTTTAAAGTAGATTTAGATAAAGAAGGTGGGTTTACAGATGCTTGAACACTGAGTCTTCGTGTAAATTCTGATAAGTAAGGAGTTTCAAAAGTAGAAAGAATATCATCTTTTTTTATATTCTCTTTCGGTAATGAATCGTTTCTATTAGAATCTAAATGAGTTCTTGACTTTGGCAAGTTCACTAAATATCTTTCATCTTTAATTATAGATGAATTTGTATGTGAATTAATATCATGAGCATCTTTCGATGATCTTCTCCAATTTGTTTCATATGACTTTGATAGATTTACATCTGCTGCTGTTATATTAAGTGTTCGGTCATTATATAATTTCGTAGTGCCACCACCAAATTTGGTAACGATGATAGCTTGCTGTGAAATGTCTTCAACTGCATCAGAATCTGAACCAGTTTCTAGACCATCATTATTTTTAGATTGTTTATTATTCTTAATATAAGTTTTGTCAGTTTTTATTATTGATCTATTTGTTAAACTTGATAAAGTATCGTTATAATCTACTTCTGATTCTGTAGTATTTAAGTTCCTTGATGTCTTCTTTTTTGATGAATTCTTACCTATATTAGGTGAGGTGATTGGCGTTACTGCTGGTGGAGGCATAGGATTTGCTAAAGTCTGCCTACGAGTATTAAGTAAAGCTTTCTTCTTTTTTTTAGCACTTGCTGAAGTATCATCATCTGTATCATCACTGCTATATCTATAAAAAAGAAATGGTGAATATATAAAAACTTGCACTATTAATAAAATATTGTGTATGACATACATATATACATATATGTATAGATATAAAGAAAATTTATTTGGAAAATATTAAGAAAAACTTTACTTAATTTTATTTTTCAACATATATTTTTTTTAATAAAATAATGTATTTTCAATATTTTATTTTAAAATTTTATATATTTCTTGCCAATAATAATTGCAGTCATTAACTGTAATAATTATTTTAACATTTTATTAATTTTAGCACAGTATCTGAAAGTAAATCAGATAATTATCAAGTAATTAAATGAATTTATTATATGTATATATAATAAACTCATATACAATATATCATAAAATTTTTAAATAATATAATATATAATAATTAGACAATAACAAATATAGGTAACTAAATTAATATATAATTAATTTTCAATTAGTTTATTTTGTTCTTCGCTTTTTGAAAATACCTCATAGGTTTAATATTATAAAATTGATGATTTTATTTGTTAAAAATAAACAACTATTTATACAAAGTTTTTCAAATTCTACCTATATAAGACCTATTATATCTATGGTATACCTAGCAGCCATGGAATGGCGAGAATTAGCAGTACCACGTGATTCCATAAGGGCCTTGAGTTTTTTAACTAAAATATTTCTTGTGGTTTGAGTAACTGGTCCAACTGAATATCCATACTCGAAAAGTTTGGTACGAAGTTCAGAATCACTTAGTGCCTCTGCAGACATCCTGTTTGTATTAATAATTTTGACTTCGAGCTTATGAAAACTATTAAGTCCAATGCTCAATGGAATTCTTGATTTCTATTTTCAATAATTGTATCATATGTATCTAATCCAATTTGTTTGCTATTAAAAAAATAATAAAGTTAAATAGCTTCCTATCATTATTAATAGATTTCAAAATTTAATACTACTTTAAAATTTATTCAATGTAATACTTCAATTATGTGTTAATAATTTTTTTTATAAAAAAATAATAATTTAATATCGTAAAAATTATTTAAAATAAATAATATAAGTTTGATGTATATATAAATTTATATAAATAATTTCTTTATTTGGAAAATTAAAAATAATTGATTCGTAATCAATGGGATATGGAAATTTGTTTTTAGTAATATTAAACTATATGCAGACAAAATTAATTTTACCAATGAGTTTCTGTAAACCTTAGAAATTAAAATAATTTTCATTTTATGCAATTCAAAATTAAATTTTAGAAAATACAACCATTTAAAACAATTTGATTTTAGATTTTAATTTAACTATACATATATAGGGTTTTCTTTTATTTGCGAATGCATGCCTATATTAAATTGAATCTGCTTGTGATAATAGGTGCAAGGTTTATGCCTGCATAAATTCGCGAGTCGTGCATACGTGTGCATTAACATCATATAATGAACAAGGTCCACATCTATTGCAAATAAGTAAATAAACATAACAAATACAATTATTCTATTTTCGATAAAAACTGAAAAATACAACGATAAAAAAATGAAGGGAATGCATATTTCACTCTAAGGTAAAATATCTACTGACGTTTGTTTATTACTGGGGTATTACTCTTTATATCACCAATATTGAACAATGTAAGAAAAGAGGAAAGGGTATAGTGAGCGAGTGAGTGAGGGAGGGAGAATAACAAGGTGAGGAGAACGATAGACAGTTGGGTGGGAGGGAAGGAAGGAAAGGAGGGTGAGATGGTGAATGGGTGGGATGGTGAGAGAATGGGTGGGATGATGAGAGAATGGGTGGGATGGTATGAGAGTAAAGGGATGGTATGAGAGCAAAAGGAGGGCAGGAGGAAGGGAAGGAAAGCGAGAAAAGTCAGGGGTCTTGGGACGTTCACGTTACGAACTGGTAAAATAAAAAAAGAGAGATGGCCAAGATACGTACCTTCTTAATATTCGCGCCGGATGAACTTTTCTTTTAGACTCTATTTCTTATTTTTCTCCTGTTTTCGTCACCACAGCTTTTGCGCTCTTTTTCTCAGTAGTCTTCGGTATCGCCGATTTATACGCTTACATACATGTGTACATTAAATCTTAAAAAATGAGGTTCTGTTTACTTTTTTACTTTTGCAGCCGAACATCACAATATTTCTAAAAACACGAAAAAATATTACTAAATACCGGCAGCGATGCGGTGTACATAACGGTCGCCTGAAAATGCAAAATACGCGGCGCGGCACAAATAGACAAGAGAGTGGCAGCAGTGGCGACGACGCACAAACTCAACAGCTTTATATTATAGGAGTCGCTTCAACTCGCTCATGCCATCTTATGCACTCAATTATATATATATATATATATATATATATATATATATATATATATATATATATATATATATATATATATATATAGATACTGTTTTGTTGCATTTACGTATGTCGTGCGCACAATTATGTGTCGAAAGAAAAAAAGATGTAGATCGAGAAGTTAGTGACAAAGAAAACGTGCGCAGAGAATAATAAATACAGACGCCATTAAATAGACTAACTAAGGTGCACGAGATGCACGTGTTTCATTTATTAAATTTAAACCACACGATGAAATAGATTGAAATTCATGAAGTGTTTTATATGTGTTTTTAATGTTCACCAATAGATAATTTGTTCTAATACTTTTCACGAAATCAAAAAAATGTATTAATTAATTTTCTTATGTGTTCTAAGCATTTTAAAAAATGTATGAAGTATATACATAGTCGGTAATGATGTAAACCAAAGATAAAAAGATATTTTATTATGGTTAAAATATATTTGTAAATTTTTTGTTTTATATTTTTCTATACTTAATTTTTTTAATTACACGTGTTTAATACTGCTTTAAAATTAAAAAGAAAATTATTTTGAACACAATTTTGTTCACATGTTTTCAAAATATATTGAAAACATATATTTTTAAAACTGTATTGGAAACATAGGCATAACAAATAATCGAATTTAAAATTCATAATAATATTAAAATTCTGTTTAATAATATAAAAAATATATAAAAATTGAAAGCCGATATAATACACCAAATGAACACACTTATTTATTGTGATAAAGCAAAACGCACACGCCTTAGAAAAACCACTCTACTTAACTCTTGAGCAATTGTATTCCAAGTGACGTTAAATCAGTTAAATTTATATTTCTTGATATTTTTGTAACAACTGAAAAAGAGTTTAAAATGGCTCTTCGAAAAGTTAAAGGAAACTTTGAACGAATATTTGACAAGAACCTCACAGATCTTGTAAGAGGGATTAGAAACAATAAGGAAAATGAGGTGAATTCGTTACTTCTGAGAGGTTAAAATCAACTTAATTTTCTCAGAATTTAAATGTTTTAACATTTGGGTTTTTATATTTTTAATTAGGACTACACATATAGTTTGCATATTTCAATATTTGAAAACAATGAGTCTATGTACTTTGAATCTTACATTTTATATAACATATTTTGAGAAAATACCAATTTATAAATTATTTAATATTGTTTTATTGTTTTATCAATTTTTTAAATATTTATATATTGTATATTGAAAATATTTTTGTAATACTTACACATAAAATTACAAGATTGTAAATTTTTAAGTATATCATATTAAATAATTTATAAAACTATTTTTATTAAATATTTTATATTTTTTAAAATATGTATATTTAAAAATGAGTTTGTTATATTTTTATGATTAGATAAAATATATATCTCAATGTATGGAAGAAATAAAACAAGAATTAAGACAAGATAATATTGCAATCAAAGCAAATGCTGTAGCCAAACTTACATATGTATGTATTACAGTAAGAATTTATAAGTAATTATTTTATAAATAAGTAATGTATAAAAATAAATAAGTAAAATTTATATTAAATTTATAGTTGCAAATGCTTGGCTATGATATTAGTTGGGCTGGATTTAATATCATAGAAGTTATGTCTTCTTCTAAATTTACATTTAAAAGAATTGGATATTTGGCTGCTAGTCAAAGTTTTCATATGGAATCTGAGGTTAATATCATTTAAAAAAAAAAAAATTATGTAATTTATAATTTGCTTATTATCATATTACTTTTATAGTTACTAATGTTAACAACTAATATGATTCGTAAAGATTTAAATAGTTCTAATCAGTATGATGCTGGATTAGCCTTAAATGGATTGTCATGTTTTGTTAATCAAGATTTAGCTAGAGATTTAGTTAATGATATAATGACTTTATTAACTTCTACTAAACCATACTTGAGAAAGAAAGCAGTACTAATGATGTATAAAGTATTTCTTCAATTTCCAGAAGCATTAAGGCCAGCATTTCCAAGGTTGAAGGAGAAATTAGAAGATCCAGATAGTGGAGTACAATCAGCAGCAGTCAATGTAGTTTGTGAATTGGCTAGGAAAAATCCAAAAAATTATTTAAGTTTAGCACCGGTATTTTTTAAATTAATGACAACATCCACAAACAATTGGATGCTCATCAAAATTATTAAATTGGTAAAATTATTGCATTGCTTTGGAACATCATTGTAATTGACAACTTGAAAAAATATTTTATGCAACTATTATTTATTTTATCCTTGAAATAAATTATATATTTTATTTTTAAATTGTATTCTATAAGCATCTTCATTGTTAAGCAGTTTTATATCAATTTACTTCTTTTATGTTAACATGTTTATGTTCATTTAAACTAAAAATAGTGATTAATTTAATGATTGTCTTACAAGTGAGATGAATAAAGTTGATTCTATTTTATAATCATAATTCTTGACAATAATCTTGACTGAATAAAAAATAGTATTCCAAAAAACTAAGCTTGAGTCAGTGATTAATGATAAATAGTGAACCGATTTCTTAATTTTAGTAAATAATATTTTAATGCTTCTGATTAACTTTTCTATTAATAATGAATTCTTTTTCAATTTATGTATGAGTAAATTTTGTTTATAAATTTTAGCAAATATAATAATCATCAAATATAAATTGCTAAAGTTTTTAAAATTCTAGTTTGGTGCATTGACTCCTTTAGAACCTAGACTTGGTAAAAAATTGATAGAACCACTTACAAATTTAATACACAGGTACTATAACTATATTTAAACTTTAAATTATGAGTTAATCTAACCATTAAACTATTTTTTAAATTTTAGCACATCAGCGATGTCTCTTTTATACGAATGTATAAATACGGTTATAGCTGTACTAATTTCAATATCATCGTCTTTACCAAATCATTCAGATTCAATTCAATTATGTGTACAAAAGTTAAGAATACTTATAGAGGATACAGACCAAAATTTAAAGTATTTGGGTCTGTTAGCAATGTCAAAAATTTTAAAAACTCATCCAAAGAGTGTACAGGCGCATAAGGATCTCATAATGCGATGCTTAGATGATAAAGATGAAAGTATAAGATTACGAGCTTTAGATTTACTTTATGGAATGGTATCTAAAAAAAATTTAATGGAAATCGTTAAAAAATTAATGATACATATGGAAAAAGCTGAGGGCACAACATATAGAGATGAATTATTATCAAAGATTATTCAAATATGTTCTCAAAATAATTATCAATTTATTACCTATTTTGAATGGTAAATTTTCTTAAAAAATATTTATATGTATCTTTTAATTTAAATACATTTATTTTTACAATCTGTAGAATAAAATCGAATCATATATTATATATAAATATATTATAAATAAAAATATTAACTTTTACATGAAATTTAAATTATTGATTACATATTTTAAATGGTAACTGTTAATATTTTTATAAAGTACTGAAGCATATATAACCTTTTATATATTTTCATAAAATAATCTTCAGTATATAGTTCATAAATTTTACAGAATCATATTTTAAACAAATTATTATAATAGGTACATATCAATTCTTGTTGAATTAACATATATGGAAGGAACAAAGCATGGGCAATTAATAGCAACAAAATTATTAGATGTTGCAATTCGTGTACAAGCTATTCGTAAATATGCAGTGCAACAATGTGCAATACTACTTGATAAGGCATGCCTTCTGACAGGACAACCACGAGCAACTATGTCTGAAGTGCTCTATGCAGCTGCATGGATATGTGGTGAATTTTCCAGGTTTGTCATTTATATATTTATGTGTGTATGTGTGTCTGTGTCTATACCTGTGCCTTAATTTTATTAAAAATCAAAATGTATGTGATATTTAATACAAAGTTTATTATATATTTTTACAATTTTGTTAATCAATAAATTATTATAATATAAATATTAAACAAATTTTACTTTAATCTTAAATTTAAAATGAAAATATTGTTTATTAAAATACATTGTTGAAATTTAAATTATTTTTCACTTTTAATTCATTATATGACTTAAATATTTTTTATATATTTATTTATATTTTTAGTGAATTGGAACATCCAATAGAAACTTTACAATCAATGCTGAAACCTCAGGTATCAAACTTGCCTGGTCATATACAAGCAGTTTATGTTCATAATATTTTGAAATTAATTGCTGTTATTTTAAATAAAACTAATAAGACTGATATTGATCCAATACAGCAGGTATATTTTAAAATCAATTAATTAAAAAATACATTAAAAAAACATATTAATGCTACTAGTTTTGTATGAAATTTTTAGATTGCTGATATAAAATGCAAATTAGTAGAATTCGTTTGTAGTAGTGATTTAGAAGTTCAAGAACGATCAAGTTCTGCTGTAGCTTTACTTGAATGTTTGATAGAAAATCCTAATATAAGCAAAGAAATTTCTGAAGCTTTTGGTGGTGAATTAAATCCAGTAGCTCCTAAAGCTCAGAGAAAGGTATATCTGTAAACTGGAAGCTCATGTATAAAAAATTACTTTAATTAACATTATTTTTTATTTAAATAGATGTATTATGGATTATCTAAAGTAGTATGATACTTTATTATGTTTAGGTGCCAATTCCGGATGATTTAGATCTTGATTCTTGGATTAATGATCCTCCTATTGAAAGTTCAGATTCTGAAAATATGGATATGATTGATATTTTTGTTAAAACAGAAAAAGTCAAAGATAATTTCAATATAATAAAATTACCTGAACTAACTGTTGAAGAATTAGAAATGAGACGTAAAGCAAGAAAACTAGAACAACAAAATAATCCACATTACTTGAAAAATTCTACAACTCATAAAAAAATGACATTTTACAATAAATCTGTAAATAATAATAAATATTGTGAAAACATTCCAATTGCTGAATTAAATATACCAATATCTTTAAAAGTTACCGATTCTTTTCTTTCAAATAAATATTTTGATATCAATCAAAGTGAAAAGTTAGTTCCTCAATTTTATAAAAAAACAGTCAAGAAAAGAAAATCTCGAAAAAGTAATTGAAAACATGATATCAATAAAATATTTTTCTTATTTTAATTATGAACTCAATTTATATTTCTATAGATGAAAAATCTAGTAGTTCTGATGATGAATCTTATCCAGTACAATTAGTAAATAAAGGAATTGGAGAATTACCACCTGGAGCTGCATTAAGTGATACTGATGATAATAATACAAATGATGTAAATGATCCTCATCGAGCTCTTAATATTGATCTAGATAGACCTTTACGAGAGGATGAACGATTACCTACAGTGGAGCATCGATTACGAGATACACCTATCATATGTAATGTATACGACAAGACAATTCATAAATCAGAAAAGGTAGGTAATTAAAAATTTTTTTAAAAATATTCAATTTTCATATACATTTAATTATTTAAAAAAATTAGGTATATAAAAAACAAAGAAAGAAACACTGTTTTAAGGAAAGTAAAGAAAATAAAGAATTAAAAATTAATCAAGAAGTTGATTTAATAAAAGTAGATGAATCAGAAGAAGAACAAGGAATAAAAAAGCTAACTGTGGAGGGACAAAATATGAATAGTAAGAGATCTAAACGTAAAAAAGTCAAACAAAATGAAGATAATAGTTATAAAAAAATTGGAGAAAAATCAAAAAAAACAAAAAATAAAAAAACTAAAAACAATAAAGAAAATCAGGATTATGAAGAAACTGCTGGCATTTCCACCCCTTCTAAAGAAATTTTACCAAGAAAATATCTTCTCATGGAATCCAATGCATCAAATCTTTTACCAAAAGCTTCCAAAGAATTAGCTCAAGATAAAACTATACAAGTTTTTTATGAAATTAAACATTTAGAATATGATGCAAATAAAATAATTTTGTTGATTTCATTTATTAATAAGGTAGAAAGCATTGTAAAAGAATTAGTATTTAATGTAATGGATACACCTACCTTACAGTTAGAACGAAGGGTATGTAAAATTTTTATTTCTGAAAATTTAGAATCACATAAATGATAAATTTTTTTTCAGTCAAAAGACGAATATGGAATTAAAATGACTTTCCTATTGCTTCCTTTAAGCTCAAATGAAGAACATATTGCAATATTAGTATCTGATGTAACATTTCCTCAAAAACTTTATGGTACTTTAACATACATAGTACAAGACTTCAATTATACAATTCGGGAGAAACTTGATTTTATATTGCATTTACCTTGTAGTAGTTTTATGATTAATTTAATATCGCATGACGATATACTTTCGGAATTGTTAAAAAGTGGTCAGCTTTTGTATAAATTGAGAAATCAAATCACTATATGTCAAGAGTTTAGTGATGCATTAAAAAATATTTGCAATGATTGTCATCTTACGCTCATTGAGCAAATGGATAAATCAACTTCGTTATATGGACAATCTCTAAAAGGACACCATGTTTGTCTTTTATTCAAACAAAATGTAAGTTAAATAAATAATTTTTTTTTACAATTTATAACTTTACATAAACGTATATCAATTTATTAACAAACATAGTCCAAACACAGAAGAAACATTATTTTCGATTTGTTATTATATATTTCAAATAAATAAAAAGCTAATCATTATTTCATAAATATATTTCTAAAATGTACATAACTAAAACTATATATTAAAGAATATTATATTGTATATTGTATATTCTTATATTATCTTCAGTAGTAGTTTTTACTATATTTGTTTTATGCAATTATAGTAATGAATTTATTCATTTTTTATTTTACAGTTGAAGACAAATACATTAATAATAGAAGGTAAAAGTGATAACAGATCACTTCTTTCAGAAATTCATAATGAAATAATACAAATATTAACTTGAACATTTATAAACGCAGATTTTAATATGATATATGTTAAGCAAACAGTTTAAAATATATTAAAATAAATATTTGACATATTTTTATTGCAAAGTAAACAACTATCAATAAAAAAAAATATGTATTTAAATATACATACAAATATGTGCATAGGCATTTGCACATAATATATACAGATATATATCCTTTAGAAAAATAACTATCTAAAAATTATTTTTAGACTCTTATTATCTATTCAACATTTTATGTTGATTATTAATTCGATATTATTTAATTAATCTATCTGTTAGCTTATTTTTCAATTAAAAAACTAAAATTTTTCTCGAATTCAATAAATCATACTTAAAATTTATAGAAATCTTGTGTACTAAAAACATTAAAACGTCAAATATATCTATATATGCGATATTTCTGTTAAAATTTAATTTTTTTATTTAAAGTTATCAATAAATAGATCAATATGTGTTGTGTATGTGTGTGTCTCTCTCTCTCTTCCCTCTCTTTCTGTATGCTTGCGATTATGCCTATATGTATACATTAGCATGGAATGATGAGTACCAGTGACAATGATATATATACATATCAAAAAAATTTCGAAATGATATCAGAATAAATGAAAAATATTTTAAGTTTTATTACTACTTCATTATTACAGTAGGCTACTTATTGTTATTGTTCCATTTATATAATACTTTAAAAAATACCATTTAGTAAAATTTTAAAAAAATAATTACAATTATTTTCAAGATACAAATAATAAATGGAAAACGGTAATCTTATAAATGAATTATTATTATTAAATATGTATTGTTCGATATTTTTAATTATTTATCTTACATAAATTTTTATTTATTTTTACTTTAGTATACATTTTTTATTATCAATAGTAAATATTTCATTTTTCTTCCATTGATAATTGATATTATTATTTTAAGTTATATTAAGTGTTACAAGAAATGTAATTATTAGTTTTGTTATTATATACAATACCTTGATTAAGTTGTATTTTTAGTTTTGTTCTAGTACTAGATATAATTTTATTAATTAGGCAATTTTAAATAAAATTTTTTCATAATTTTCAATATAAATATATATTTAGAATATTTCAATATTATATATATATATATATATATATATATATATATATATATCATACAAATTCTTTAATATAACAATTTTAATTTATTTTACTTATACAATTAATTTTATTTATAAAACGAAATATTTTATAAATAATCATATCAAAACATCAATTATTAATTTATTTTCTAATTCAAATATTATCATATATGAAGGCAATTGGAAATTAATGTGATCAAATATTTATCGAAATTAATTCTTATTTAACAGTATACTGAATAGTTTTATATATTTTATATAAAATATATTTTGCAACAAATTGTGAAATTGAAATATTGTCAACTAAATTATAAATATAAAAAGATTTTTTGTTATGTTGTTTATATATATATTTATTTCGGTAAAAAGTAAAACATGTTAGCAGTAATATGATGAAATCTAATTTTATAGGAGTAGGTATATATTTGTGATTATAAGTATGCGTGCAATTAGAAAATTCAATATAAAGAACTGATAATAATTTTATTTTATATATCAGTTTTTAAAACAAATATTTTTATTGTATAGTAAATATATTTTAATCTTCTGTAAATAAATTTCACGTAAATTTAGAATTTTTAAATAAACATTTTTTCTTAATTGTATTGTTTTTTCTTTTTTGTAAACATTATTTTTACTTGATATAATTGAATATTGTTAGTTAATTCAATAGACCAGACTAAATTATTCAATTTAAAAATTTCTTCATATTTTTTATTAATATATGAAAATAATTAGTTATCTTTTATCTACAATTTATATTTTGTTACGTAAAATTAATCATGTAGTGGTAACATAATATTTACATAATTAAATATTGATAGTTCAAGGTTTAATGATTAAAATTATTTTGAATATTTTACGTCATTATATAAAATGTCTTGACTTTGAAAATTAAAATAAATATATTTATAATAAAAGAAATAATTATGTAATTAAATGCTTATTTTCAAAGATTCATTTAATGATTAATTTTGTTAATTTCTGAATTAGCTTGTAATAAATTATAGTTGTCACTTTAAATTGAATAATCAAATATTAGACATTGAAAAATATTTTTGTTATAATCGGATTCATTTTATGCTTTATACATTGTTCTATAAAAAAAATTGTGTATAATTAGATAATATTATTGTATAATGTCAATTTGACATAAATTGAAGTAGAAAAAAATATTTTCTTATTCCAATTGAAAATAATTTGTTTTGGTTTTTATAATAATTATAGACATGTATTAAGTTTAAACATTTTAATGTAAATTAATTTAAATTAAGTATTTAAACAAGAATAATATATAATATAACACATTAATTGAGTAATTACTAACATATAACACCTATAAATAAATGACAGCAAGGTACGGATCATATTAATTGCAGTACCGCATGCGCAGAAATTTACTGTATATTATATTGTCTAGCTTGACTCCTTCTTCACAGGTAACGTAAAGTGGCGTTCTTTTCATGAGTTAGGTACTCCGTATCCTACCTGCGTTAAAATATTAATTAATTCATATATATTCTCGATTTCTGTACTTAAGTACACAACACGCGCGCGCCTATGTAACAAAAAATAGATGCGTTCACATACTTTCGTTTGCGTTCATATTATAATTAGTATTTGAATATTCAATTCATGTATGATTCCAATTTTAATTCAAACAAGGATAATTACAGTGCGCTGATCTTTTGTGTAATGTATTACGAACCGTATAAACTACTGCTGTAGTCAACTATAACCATACCTAAATATAATTATCCTCGAACTTTCTCAACATTTTGGTTTATACTGTCATGAAACCGCTGTCTTCATTTTAACACAGGTGAATTACTTTCAATTTAACTTTTTAAATTTTTATGCATTTGGTGACTAGATTTATGCAATCAGTTATGTAGAAATCTTCTGCGACATATATAAATATTCATACATGCATATTGATAGTACACGCACCTTAGTTGTTGGAATTACCAGCGATCTATACTTATAACTATATATTTTTAATAAACGAAAGGAATCATAAATTTCTCGTTCTGTATTATTAACTAAAGTACAATCGAAATGTGTCTGTTTTTTCTATTTTATATTATCACTTTGTATTAATTAAGCAATGTATTTATACTATTCTTACGAAATAATGTTTGCATTATATTAATTCAGTAGGAGAATGTAGAACCAATTTCTCGGTATGATGCCGGTCTTTTATATATTCTACAATAAATATATAAAATATACTTTTATAGAGTGAAGTTGCACTTCTATGCACGCGCGTGCACATACACACCGTTCATTTATACATTCGTTTAAGAAAAATTAGAATTCAAGTTTTCATTTGATTTAAATGTTTACTTAAGCAAATTACTGATGAAAGCAATCATATGATGAGCATGTATCATAAAAATATATTTTATGTTTCTTTACATTTTTATAGCGTATTAAATTTAAATTATTTAAACTTTTCATTTTTATACAAATAGCATAATTTTTCTAGAATAAAATTGTTAAAATGATAATGCAATTTAATTCATTTTAATATATATAATATTTAAATATTTATCTTAAAAAATATTCATAAATCAATTATTTTAGATAAATAAACCATGAATTTGCCAACACCTGAAGATACAACTAATAATTTAGTTGTCCAACCAGATATACAAACAAAAGAATGGGTTAAATTTGAAGATGAAGCAGTATCTGTTGTTTCATCAACTTCAAATAAAATTGATAATATGAAAAAACTAGAAACAAATATACCAGCTCTTATAAAATCAGAATCATTGACATTCAAAATCAATAAAATTAAGAAGCCTTTAGACGAAAATCACAAAAGAAATGAGAGTTATAGTGGAGCTGTAATAGCAACTAATTCAGTTCAAATTAATTTAGATCGTTCTGGGATAAATCGTACCATAACAAATGAAAGTTTAGAACCTAACCTGCAACTATCTGTGGCAGGAATTTATAATACAAAAAGTGCCTCTTTGAAAACTATAGATTTAAGAGATACCATTCATGGTAGAAATACCATAAATAGTCCTTTTGGTAATATTAGGCAAGGCTTTGCCAATGGTGATATCATTGTTACTTTGTTACCAGTTAATACTAAGTGGCCTTGGATTACACCAGCTAGATTTCGTCCAGAACTTGTACCTGAAGAATTAATGGCACAAGGATTAACAGTTTGTACTTTAATATGTTGAATAAGTTATATATATTTATTATTAAAATTCAAATAGTTAATATAATAGTTTCGAAATCTTGGTTTTTTATTCCAATTAACTTTAAATACTGTAAAATTTTGTTGCCAAAATATTTTCAATTTAAAATTTTTCATATAAGTATTTTTTCCATTTTTGATTTTTGAATTTTTTTGTTTGAATTTTTTATAGAATTACTAAAACAAATTTCATTTTATTATATTTCACAGCTAACAGTTGAAGATTATGTGCATATAATGGAGCTTCTTGTAAATGATGTTCGATTTAATATGTATAATATATGCTACAAAAGAATCCTTGTTATTTGGATATTTACTGCATTTGTAGTGTTATTGGGATTGTTATTCTCAGGAGTAACAGGATTGACATTATTTGGTCTAGGAGTAATGTGGCTGGTTTTAAATGCTGCTGCCATATTTTTATGCATGTTTATTAAAATTAAATTGAATTATAATCTTGAAAAGTGTATGGCTCAAGTAAATAAATCTCTTCTCAGACATAAGATTTTACTTGGTCTTGATGATAGAGGAATTATTTCATGTCACAAAATTAATTTATGTTTTATATATTTTGACACAACGGATTGTATTGTAAGTAAATTTAAATTATATATACATGTTATTATTAAAAAAAGAATGTTTTATGTAATATTTTAAAATCTTTTTAAAATTGTTTGTACAACAATAATTTAGATTAAAATGATTAATTCATATATATATTAGTAATATTTTAAGATTTTGTATAATAAGTTGTAATATATAAAATTAAAAATATAAAAGTAATTTTAATATGATATTTGTAAGTTTACTTCCCAGTTGGGAATCTTAATTGAACTTTGAATAATTGAAAAATATAATTTTCAAACTTTAAGTATTATTTAAAATAATTATTATTACAGAAAAAATTACAAGAAATAATTGAACAAGAAGAGCAAGCTGGTAGAGCAATCGATACTAATGAGAATTCGAGATCTCAACGTCAGCGTGAGTTACAGCAACGTATGGATATTGATGACAGTGATATTGTCATTCAAGGCAATACGACTACTCGAGTGTCACGTAAACAGGTTTGTAAATTTTATACAATATCATTAGAATCTCATGGCTTTCATTTTATCGTAATTTAAAGTAATAGATTATAATTTTTATATTTTTACATAGTAAATGCATAGAAAATAACCAGTAAAAAGATTTTATATTATCTATAAAGTAAACGGATGCAGTTTGAACATCATGATTTTTATATTTTAATTACAGTTTCAAATGAATTGTTTTTTAAATAAAATATATGATCTCTTATTGTAAATTAAGTCACAATCTTTTTTAAGCCATGAATATAAAATACATTACTATTAACATTATTACATTATTACTTTATTACTTTAATATCAAGATAAATTAATTTTAATGCAAGAAAGTCTGTATTTATTATGTATAATAATTTAATACAAAAATTTGCTTAATAAATGTGATTTATGCAAAACAAAAGCAAATTTCAAGAAATAATACAATTATGATAAATATTTATAAATTAGATAAAATTATTGGAAGTTGAACGGTTCTATTTATTTATTTACAGCGTTTCACGAATCCACGCATAAACTTCTTGTATGAATTATTAATCAATGTATAATGTTACAATATTTATTTTTTAAATAAAACCAAATTATTTGAAATTGTTTTTAAAATATTGATTGAAATTTAAGTATTAATTTCATATTTAAATAAATATATATAAATAAATATTTCTGGACATTTTAGTACTTTGAACATTTTTGAAAATTTAGATAGATGTTTTTAAAAGCACCTTTTTTAATTGAGTTAAAAAGGTCATTAAATTAATATCTCATTTAATTGATCTGCCAATTGAAATTTTAACCGTGATTTTATAATTAAATTATCTATAAAAAGACAGTTTCTATTGTAATATTATTTTTGTTTAAACAAAAATTACATCATTCTTTGAATTTTGATGTATTCATTTTAAAAACATTTTTATTTTACGTTAAAAATTAGATGGAAATAGTTTGTATCCGTGAACTTGTTAGCAAAATGGCTATTTGAATTGATCATCCATATTGCCTAAACTATTGATATTTGCTAATGATACAAATTATGTTTTATCTATAAAAATTTCCAAAAATTATTTTATTTTAATTCCACTATAGTGGTGTTTTTAGGTAATAGAATAATCCTTAAGTACAAGAGCAGGTTTCGCCTTGAGCTAAATATGTTTTTAATAATTTCATGCGTAGCATAAAATAAAGCAATATCTTACATAATGAGAATAATCTTTAAAGTATGCCATTAGCCGTGCATACAATCCTGATTGAAGCGTTAATCATATGTTCTTGTAAATTTGACTTGTGCTAAATAATTAGAACAAATGCGAGCAAGTATTCTGCCGTTACACACAACGCTGGGCAAAGGACTATTTACGCCGCCGATTGGATTGGACAGTCGATGAGGAAGGAGGAAATCCTTTTTCGTCCCGACATTTATCGACTGCTTTGTGTCCCTGCCAGTATATTGAGGAATGGTTGCATAATAAGATCCATGTGCAAGGAAGAGACTTTTGCCCTCGATGGAGTAGTTTCCTTCGAGATAAAGGCATTTAAGATTGAAATTATGTTGTTAGAGGAGTGAATTGACAAATAAATGAATGAATCGAATTATTTGGTAGGATCAATGACTTAAATGAGCGAATCAACGAGCTAATTTACATACAAAAATTATTTAGAATATCATATTGAGGAGCACATTTTCAATGTTATGACTTGATAATTAATAACATACAAGCGGCTCATTTTTTTTATATCAGTATAATCCGTTTCCTAAACTCTTAAATTGTAAAAGCTTACTCTATCATTAATTTTATGCTTAATATATATTACTTAACTATCATTCAATGATAGTAAATTTAAGAATGTTTTATTTATTATTACAAACATTTAATTTAATTGTACTTTTTATTGTAATTTTATTATTATCGGTAAACAATAAATGACATAATGATAAAAATCAACATGAAATTAAAAAAAAATTTAGTTTTTATATATAAACAATTTACATAAGCTATATTTACATTAAAAATACGATTTGTATTATTGTCTTATTTTTGTTTCGTGTATTGGACAAATTTCTTTGTGAAAAAAACTAATAAATCAAAATAGCGTCTTTATTCATGTAGTTAAGTAAAAAAATCAATAAATGCAAGATATATTTATAATCGCGAGAAAGTTGTATGAATTAATTTTCATATCAAATATGGAATGCAAATGTAATTGATGTTACTTCTATAAAGATTTTAATTATATAATACTACGTAGCATGCGTTTAAACGATGCACTACAAGTATTTAAGTATATAATAGAAACTAGATATATATATATATATATATATATATATATATAAAGTTATTCCAATTATAAATATCTTATATATTATTTCAAATTTGAATTTACATTAAATATATCTGAGGATTACAAAAATGTTTGTTTCTGTATACAAAGTTGTTATGATTTAATATATTTAATTAGTTTCCATAAAATGCATAAATATTTACTTAGAATATTAATAATATATTTTGTATATGCCGTGAACTTTTTTAAAAATGATTTCTAATCTACTAGAAATTAATTTTTAAAAATATATTTTTCTTTTTTAATATGCATGTTAACAAATATTTATATATGCTAATGTTGTTATTGTTATGTTGTTTTTATAATGTTAGCTGCGCTACATATTTATACGAGTATTTTACAAAAATACTTTTATACTGTTAAAAATGAAGAAATATATATATTCTTGAAATCTAATATTAAACTTAATGTAAGAGAATCTATTTTAAATACATAAATATAAGTATAATTAGATTAGAAAAAGTTTCATAAAATGTTTTACTTAAATGAATAAATATATATAAAAAAGATATATAAAACATAATTACTTAAATAAATGTACTTATAATTTACACTTAGGAATGTATTAATTTATTTTATATAAAACATTTTTATAATATATAAGAAACACTATTAAAATACATTTTTTATTTTTAAAGTCAATGTTTGCATATATATAAGAACTGTAATATTCCGTCCATTATTATATAATATCCTTTTAACTAAAATTCAACGCTTTTTATGGATCGTACTTAAGGTATGTAAGTGTTTCTACGATGGTGAGTATATTATTGAAAACAAGAATTCCGATTTTCATTAAGGCTAACGAAATGTTATTGAATGCAATTTTAATGGTATATTAAATTGTATTGAGAATTTTTTTGGATAATGTCCGCAAAAAGAACACGGAATATTTCTGTAGATTGCAAATTGATTGATAATATAGATCATCAAATCAAATAAAGAGTTTTTATTTTCCTATAATAAAACAATAATACTGGTTATTTAATTCATTCCTATATCCTTGAATACTTTATATACGGCAAGATATTTAAAATAACACTAAATAACTTTTAATGTAGTTATACCATCGATAACGAGTACGATTAAATGCTGTATTATAAAAGCATGATTATTAACTTTGACTATAAATATATATTTTTATTCAAAAATGGGATTAATAGTTGACATATATCATAAAAATTGCAATTGCTATTTTAAAAAATTTAAGATTCATCAGGTAACAATAACAAAACATATCTTCAAAATGATAATGTTACAATAACTAAATGTTAGTTAATACTTTACTTAGTAGTAATAATAAAATACGTGAGATAATAGTATAATTTCATAAGATAACTTTAATAAAAAAACTACAAAAATACATTTTAAAAAATGTAAAAAAATACCTGAAAGAAATTTGCATTGAAAATAATGTAAATGGAAAATAAATACAACAGAAAAAAGTGTAAAGAAGAAATGATGAAACGTCCGCGGCAAACATGCTAAGAAGCCTTTAATGTATGTGTTGACAGGAGCGGGCAGAATTGGTGTTGCTGAGGTACGCATCACGATGGTCGCATCATTTCGTACAATGCAGGCTCAATCTAGCCGTTGACTCGCAAGAGCGTAACCAAGGCAACCCTCATGACTTATCGATGCAATCTCCTCGTCATTGTATTACTGTTCGATGCCCTTGTCAATTCATTGAAGAACACCTTAAATATAAGCCTAAAGGCAAGTCAACTTTATGTAACTTTTTTAAAATGCCAAATTTCTATTTTAAGTGATCAATCAAATGCTAACCTGTGGTACATATATATGTGCTTAACCCTCCACTTTTTTTTCTCGAACTCAAGATGCGCTCCAGGCATTGTATTATACTTTTAATTAAATTTTTTCATTTCTTAAAGGCAGAGAAAATTTGATAATTTTATATTCTAAGCAAATACTATGTATATTTGAATCCAACTATTTAAAAACAAATAACTACTATAATTAAGTAAAACATATACCATTACAGATTGTTATGTTTAACAATATGTCCCATGTACCGGTTTTTGTGAAATACAAGACTATGTCAATAGAATTAATTAAATTTAAAAAATAAGAAGTTGTACGCGCGCAAGCGCGCATGTTTCACATAATATGTAGCATAATAACTTAAAATTGTATTCAACATTTTATAATTTACAGATATTAATTTTCTTAAATGTTTACTTCGTTTCAATTTTCAATCTGAAGAAATATTTGTATTTTACGTTTTGGATTACATATCTAATAGACATTGCATGTATCTAAAAATATTTCTTTTATATTTTAGGTTTTAATTATTCTTTTAATTAATGAAAGTACTTATTTATAAACAATTAAGATAATTAATTATTTTAAATTTTGAAATTAATTTCTTTTGAACTAAAAATCATTGCAAAATATTTAATACCTCTATCGAAGAATTGAAAGTAAGTTAAAATTTAATCACAAAATTTATTATAATATATTCTTCTATAATTTAAAAAATTTAATTATTAATTATACTGTTAATATTATTTTACCTAAAATAAAAATGATCTTTGTACTTATAAAGACATTATTTCAAATATATATACATATTCAATAATGCATATTTACAAAAACTTGCTAGTCCAGAAAATAATGTTAATTGTAGATTAATAATTTATTTTGAAAATGTTTATTATGTAATAATTGATTTTAATATGAATAATTTTCAAATTAATTTATTAATTTATTAACGAAACTATTTTTTAATTATAAATTTTTTAATTAATATTATAATTTTATAATCGAGTTATTATTTTTGACAGTGTCTACATTAACTGGATATGCTTTACATAGTCATGTTTTCAAACTTGTTTTTTAAATAAAATAATCTAAATAACAAAAATCTATTTATTTTTTCGAATCCAATATTAATTTTTTATTTTCTATTCCTAATTTTGTTAATTATAGTCGAATATTTGATTATTTTATAATATAATTGATGATTGATTTAGTAAATAAATCTTTCTTTTAAAATATTTGTAAATTAAATTAAAATATCGTTGAAGTTCAGAATATTTTATTTACAATATATTTTATCTTTTGTACAAAAAAGACTAATATAAGCTCAAGTGCAATATTTTTTTATTGTTTTTCTAGAAGCTAATTAATCCATAATCATTTATAAAAAAATGAAATAATGAAAATATAAAATATTATACTATCTTTTGAATTCATTTTTATCCTACTACTTTGTTTCACAAGTGTCTTTTTAAAATTAACTTTAAAAGTTAACTTTAAATTGGCTCGTAATACAAAATTTTTTTTATATACAATATGTAATAAAATTTTGATATTTTTGTATAATATATTGATTTTGTTTATAGAGTTGTATTTAATAATTTAAAAAACAAGTTAGTATCAATAATCATATGTATATATAGATCAATATTTAGATGAATTGTAACTTTTAACATACATTTTTAGAATTTAGAAGTCTTATTCATACAAAATAATTATTTGAGCAAAACTATACAATATAAAGTAAAATACATATTAATTCAGGAACTATAAATACTTAAATAAAGTTTAAATTATAGAAGCAAATCGAATGAAGTAACAATAATTAAAAAAATGTTTTAATATATAATATCGTGAAATAAATATACAATTTCTGAAATAATTGTTTAAGATTACTTTTTATTAATTTTATTAAAAATTTTATAAAATGTATTATAAAATTGATTAACCCAGACTCTTACGATGTACTTAATCGATTCGTTCACTCGTATTATATGTTATAACGTATAAATATGTATAGTGTTATCTTACGCATGTTCTGTGTGTAGTTCTTCCTATATGTTTCTTTTCATTGACTTTATTTTTTTTATTAAAACTTAATTACTTTTTTATAATAAAATAATAGAATATTCAAACCTTTTTAGTAATTTTAATTCTAAATCTAATTACAATTTTGTTCAATAATAATAGTAACAATAATAATAATATAATATAAGAAATCCATCTATCGAAAGATTTAAATTATGAAAAATTGTTTTCTTTTTGAAATTATATATTTCAAATATTTGAAATACTTGTTTGATGAAAATACTCTTTTAAAAATTTACTTATAAAATTTTTAAATTAAAGTATGTGCAATGTGTGTGCATATTAAAAAAATTGAAGTTCTTTCAGAAATTTTTTTTTTTCTAAACGATCGACAATTTGTAAAAATTAATTACTATAACATTGAACGCCTGTAATTTTATTATTTACTAAAATTAATATTAATATTATTTTGCAAAATTATTTAATAAAGCATTAATATTGAAAAAAAGAGTTTAAGAATTTAATTTTTAATATTAAAATGGAATAAAAGACACATTTAACACACGTTAATGTCAAATTGCTTGTAATTATGAAAAAATTGGAAGCTATAGTATAAATTATTCTATATGAAAGCATTAGTACTGCATTTTTCGGAATTAATTATTATTATTACATATCTTTTATATTGAATCTGTTGTGTATGTATATAAGTAAATATATGTTTTACCTAAATATATTAATTTGTTTGTTTTATATAATAATTATAGCTTTTATCTTTTACCTTTTACATTAATAAAAGTAAAAACATACATTTAAAAATTTATCAAAAGAATCAATAATTTATATATAATTTAAAATAATAAATTTAAAAATTTATAAAAAATATAAAAATTGTAGTAATCATTTATAAATGTTTAAATTTAAAAATAAACAATAATACAATAATTTAGATATACATTAACTATATTTAAAAATATTTTTCTACATAATAAATGTAAAGAAATGTGCTTTTAAAAATAGTTTTAATATATAAATACTTATGTCTTTCTCTTATGTACATAGGTATTTTAATGATCAAATGTACTGTAATATCAATATACTAATTTATTTATGACTGAGAATTAAAAATGATCATAAATGTAATCTTAAAAAAAGCAAAATAACATAAATTGAATTTTATAAAATATGTTAAATTATTATTATTGTTTAAAAGACTCAATATGAATGTAACCAGAACTAGATTTTACAGAAACCATATGAATATGCATATTGAATTTTAATGATTTTGAATGACTAAATATGTATAGGTTACGTTAACTTGGATAAATTAAAATTAAATTAAAAATTATTAATTAAAATGATTTTCAAAATAGTACAGAGAATTTGAAACATAGTAATGGGTAACACATGGTTAAAGTATACGTTTGATATGTTTAGATCCCAAATAACTATGTATATAATATTAACCACAAATCTTTGCAAACCATTTACTCTTTCAAAGGCAGATACTTCAAATATAATCTATAATTATTGATGTCAATCCAGTCAATCTTATACCTACTTCTATTTGTCACTTAACTAACATTGATTTCGCACAACTGGATCAAAAGGTAGCACAATTTATATTTTTATTTAATATTTTACTTGTCTACATATATTTATCTTATAATTATCTATTTAATACTACTTGTTTACTATCTATTATCTATATAAGAAAGTTAAAAACTTATTTTATATGTATTTAAATGTATCAATTCTATATTATGTTCTTTTACAATTAATTTTTTAATAAATTTTCAACAGAAAAGAATTTAATTGCATCACTTTAATTATTTACAAATTATTAAAAAATTCTTTTAACATTCAATTATTTAATTAAAATACTACTATTACAGGATATCCTCCAGGCTTTACATGGTGCGCCTATCTTTCTGATTCAACAATGAGGTTTCATTCGCCGATATATGAATATCCTCATCAAGTTTAATTCTTTAAAAATTTTTTTTAATTTTATTAGATATGCTTTTATATAAATCTTAAAAAATAACAATAAAAAAAGAATATAAATTTTTATTTGAAAATTATTTTAATTATACTTATTTTAAAAAAATTTAACATAGGTTGCACTAGTTCGTAATTAAATGGAGAAGAAGAGGTAGCAATTGATTTTATAAAAGAAGGATATTAACTATACTCCATTTATGTATCCCATGCCCAGAGTTTGAAGAAGTCAATTTGTATAGTCTCACATCAGATTTAAATCAGTGTCATCTCCACTTTTTATTAAACATTAATATGGTTTTGAAAAAATTCTTTGGAGAGATTTTATATTTCGAAACAAATACTTATAGTCATTATACATTTATTATTTTCAAAAACTCTTTCAGTATTTAAACTTCCACCATTTGGTTTAAAATCATTTATATTTTAATTCTTTATTAATTTAAATTTATTATGTCAAGGTTTATCATACTGCCCACTCATTGTTATTCATTGATGTTATATTCTTGTATTTTCTATTATTATTAATATGAACTTAATTATATATTTTAATTATTGAGTAAATAAATCATTAATTTAGTATACATTTTTTGTTCTATTTATTTACTACCTTTGTACTTCACATTTCGCCATTTAATCTTAAATTAACATTTATAATATTTTAATTTCATTCATTATATATTAAGTGTGTATATCACATTATTATTTTATATTCTATATTATTTCTTTCATATTTTCTATGCAAAATTTTAGAAGTAATATCGAATAAAAAATTATTTACTTTGAAAATAAATATTTTTTTAGTTTATATAGTTAATATTGTAAATTAACCATATATTTTAAATGAATCAATACTAATATTAATATTTAATTATGGTAAAGTTAAAAAGTTGTTGCAGTACTGGTTACATTAATCGTTAAATCGTTAAAAGTTTAACATAATACACTTTTAATAAATGTATGCAATATATTTTTTTATTTAATTATTCATATATATAATATTTAAGATATTTGTAACGAAGAAAATGTAATTTCCAAATGGTACTATTCAATTTCATCATTATAAATTTCAATTATGATAAAGTAAATTTTTTTCATGTAATATCTAATAATTTTGAATATAATAGACAATAATCAAGATAACATAATATTAATTATTAATGTTATGATTGATGATGAAAATTATGATATAGTAAATGATTTTTATGAACATATTAATATCAAGATGTTTGATATTTTTTGACAATAAACATTTATAATCTGTACTTTTTGCATTCTTCTTATAATCTGTTTTTTTATATATACTTTTTATATTTTTATTAAACATATATTGAGTTATTATTATCGTTTTATAATATATTAATATAATACTAATTCTTAGTTTACAAGTCATTGACAACAGTCAGGCCTCCAATGAAATCCTTACTTACACTAAATTCCATATTAAATATTTATATATTATTGAACAAATTATAATTAAATAAATGTTTTATGCAAATTGTCAAAAGTACTATAATTATTAGCTAATCAAATTAATAAAAGAGAGACATTTTACAACAAGAAATTCGCAGTTATCAAATATTCATTATTTTATTCCTGACAAAAAATTCTGTATTAATATAATTTAATAAAAAAAGGTAATTACATTAATGAAACGAAAATTAGATTTAAAAAGTGGTACATGCTTGTCAAGTCCTACATATGAAATAATAATATATAAATGCATGTATGAAATTTCAATTTTATTAGGTGTATAATATTGTTAATATACTTTTAAAAATTAATTTTAAAATCATATCAGTTTCAATTGCCTCATAATTTTTATAAGAGAAAATAAATTACATGTGAATTTGTAAGAACATTAAAGAATGCTGTTTTTATAGCTGAATCGTTTAAAATTTATTTTATTTTAATATTGATATAAATTATAAAATATATAAAAATAAAAATTATTTGATTAATGTACATTTAATTAATTTATAACAAATTTATTATCAAAAATTTATCTATTATATGAATTTTAATTTCAAATTTATTTTAAATAATTGTTATAATTTTCCATAAAATACAACTGGACAATGATCACTTCCAAAAATTTCACTTCTGTTTACTACATCACAAACTTTCTTTTCTAGTCTTTTAGATAGAATGAAATAATCTAGTCTCCTGAAAATTTATTGTAACTCATAAATATTACGACAGTAAACTTCAAAATAATAGAAATTAAAAAAAACATTAAAACAAAAATTTTACCAGCCTATATTCTTGCTCCTTGCATTATTAAAATATGACCAAAATGTATAAGCTTCAGTTTTGTCAGGATATAAAGACCTGAAAGCATCAAAGAAATCTGACTGCAAGAGATTAGTCATTGCTTCTCTTTCTTCTTTAGTGAATCCAGCAGATTTGGTATTTGTTTTTGGATTTTTTAAATCTATAAATAAATGTACATATAAGCACCAATTTTTATTTGAATAAATTCTTGATGCTATAGTATAAAATTTAATACCAATTTCTTGATGAGCTACATTCATATCACCACAAATAATTACAGGCTTTATTTTATCTAAGTCTTGAACATACTTTTTAAATATTTCATTCCACTTTAAGCGTTTTGGTAATGTTACTAATTTCTGGCCAGCATTAGGTACATCTAAAAATAATAAATTGTATTAGTTCAAAAAACATAAAATGATTATATCAAGTATTTAATGCATCCTTGATTCCTTTGTTTGAGAGATAGTCTGAAAATGTAAGATTTTCTTTTCAATTTTGTTAAAAATTTAATCCATATTTTTATTATTTTCCTCTGTTACACTTTAATTATCTTATTACGTATTTTTTAGAATTAAGATATTCATGAAATATGGTACTTACAAACATTAACTAAATAAAATGTTTCATATTCAGCTGTTATTAATCTGCCTTCCTCATCAAATTCTTTATTTTTTAACCCAAATAAAACTTGTAGTGGTTTCTTTTTAGAATATAGAGCCATTCCACAATAGCCAGCTCTTTTACCTATTAAGAAAATGTTAATATATTTTTGTTAATATTAATATGCACATACAGTTATTTTAAATATAAAATGTAAAAATCTTAAAATATTACTGTCAAGAAAAAAACATGTATATCCCTTTAATTTTCCTTCATTAGGAATTTTTCTTATGTCACACTTAGTTTCTTGTAATGCTATTATATCTGCATCTTCCCGTTTTAAATATTCAATACCATTTTTCTAAAATTGAAATTTATAATTTTATATTATATAATAAAATATTTATAAAATCAATCTATACCTTCAATATTGCTCGAATTCCTGCAACATTCCATGTGCAAATTTTTATATTATAGTTTTGTCCCTCACAGTTTAATTTTGTACATTTATAATTGATTTCATCAATATTTGAATCTATTTTATTCAATAAATTTTTTTTTTCAAACTTTGCTTTTTTTAATTGGGGTTCATCAAATTCATTTTTATCTTTAATATATTTATCTGGTTCTGCCACAACTTTTTTATTATTTTTTAAATTTGATATATATTTTTCTTTTTGACTAACATCAGTCTAATAATTAAAATAAAACATCAATATTTAATATCAATTAGTATATTATATTTTGTTCTCATAAAGTTGTATTTTTAATTAAATATGAATTTTTTATAAAAGTAAATACAATTTTATATACAATTTAATTAAATCAGTTAACGAAGCATCAAGAAAAATTAACGCTATTACATCATAGTTTATATATGTAATTTAATACAATATATAACTTTAATATATTAAATAAAAGTAATAAAATTAAATCTTATACTTTTAACCTTAGATTTTACGTCTTGTTTGGATGCCATAAAAACCTGGTTTTTGTACAAAAATTTTGAAATCGTGTTTCCAAGAGATTTCAAATTGTTTAATAAATCTTAATTGAATATAGAAGCTGATTTGAATTATTACTAAATTACATTTGGAAAATTCAGACTAAAAAAGTTAATGTAAAATTTCTCAGTAAAATATACTCGTCATCTGTGTACTTTTATAAATAAGTATTATAAATAAATATTATGAATAATGCTTAAAAATTCATTAAATGCCCATATGTAATTCGTTGACACCCAATAAATAAATTAAAAAATGTTAAATGTTAAATTAATTTCTAGTTAATCTGTAGTCCTTAATCTTGGGCTATTGGATTATAATATATGATTGACAGTGATGTACTTTTATTGCCTTTATAATTTATAAGTAAGTTATATAAGTAGCACACAACCGCCCCTTATGAATAGCAATAGAAGCTATAGTACAAATAAATAGTAAGTAAATATCCTACTAAAAATAAAAAAATATTAAAATTGTTTATCTTCAAAGAAGTATCACTGCGACAGTGAAGAGCAAAAAAATCGATCATAAAAAATAAACTTCTAACAAACATTTTGTATAAGAATAAAAATGGTCTCATTAAGAATAACTTATATTTCGGATAAATGAATATACTGAAATAAAAAATTGATATAAACATTATTTGTATTTAATTTAATTTGCTTACATGCGCTTTTAAACTATACCTTTAAATTATTTTTATTTCTACAAATGTATCTTTTACTTTATTGAATTATTTATATAAACAATTATAAACTTATAGAAAGATATAACACTTTTCGATCAAATTAGATATTTACAAAATTAAAAAATTATAAAATAGTAATTAGTATGATACCCTTACGTTATTTAATTTACATAATTCTTAAGGATAAATATTCGCAGCTCAATAGAAGCCATAATTATACTGAAAAATTATTCATTTATGGAAATTTTAAAAACAACCCAATTTCATTATTTTGTAAAGATAGTATCATTATAATAATAGTATATTATTGTAATTTACATTATTTTCATTTATGTAATTATTCATTAAAACTATTTATAAATTTTTCTTTTTTTCAATTTATTTGTACTTTATAATTGTAAATGAAAAATAATTTTTATTACAAATAGAAAGATACAAATATAAATTTAATACAAAACAGTTTAAACAAATAAATAACAGCAAGTTATTTCTAATTTATTTCTAAGTGATGTAAATCTGTGATTATGTTAAAATGATTTTTTTAACAGTTATTGTGTCTATATTATGAAAAATATATAATCATTTAATTATGGTGTACTTGGATAATACTGATATGACATGAAATGTTTACAGTTGGCAATATATAGTTGAAATTTAGAGTAATAAACTTGAACGTCACAAGGATAGTAGTGCATGATAGGCTCCTCCAAAAAAAATCTTTACTAATAACAAAAGCAAAACTATTGTAATATTTATATTTGTTGAAATTCCTGTCAAGTTATTTACAAAAATCTAAAATAGTTTATGGTTGCTGAATTTCATTAAAACTTGTATTACTTATTACAATTCCAATATTCAAGGTGCGTCGTCTAAATTTTAGTTAAATTATTTGTATATCGACTGATTTATAAATTAACAATTTAATTATTTTATTTTAAAATAAGAACATAACAATTAGTTTTTATAGAACATTTTAAAACAAATACCACAAACTTATAAATTTATATTAATTTCTATTATGAAATTATTCATATATATTTAATTTCGAATATCTAACCTAGAAAAAGAACAATATATATTAAAAATATTCGTTTTAATTCTTCTAAGATTAAATTAGTTTATTAATCTATATTTACATAAATAATAGTTTTTAATACATATTTGTTTTAATTTTATTAGTAAGTTTATCTTTCGAATTTCATTTATTGGAAAATAAAATGATAGAAATTACATGCAATGACCGCCTTGGCAAAAAAGTGAGAGTAAAATGTAATGCCGATGATACAGTTAGAGATCTTAAAAAGTTAATTGCAGCTCAAACTGGGACACATTGGGAAAAAATAATACTAAAAAAATGGTACTTAATTTTTAAAGACCACATCAAATTACAAGATTGTATCCTTTTAATAATACTACTTAAATAAAAATTAAATTTGTAATCTTAATTTTTTTTTATAATTCTCAATTACAAAAAATTATATTTACTTATTGAATGTAAAATGTTTTTATTATTTAATAAAATAAGAGTCTCAATTAGATATAAAAATACTTACCTTAAATAAAAAATTTAGATGAAATTCATGATGGTATGAACTTAGAATTATATTATCAGTGAGCTAAAAATAGATCTCATTACCAATTTCAAGATTATATATAAGTATAATATATTTTGTAATGCTTTTAATCAATAATTCGGAAACGTAACATTTAAAAAAAACAATGCTAATAAGGTAAAAAAAGTATAATATTGTTTTACACTTATCCTACTTTTATGATTAAAAAAAATGTTTTTTAAATGCTTTTCTTTTTGTTCATGTCATTATGTTATTGGTTAATGTATTGTGCGATCATATATTCTATTGTAATAAATATAGTATTATAATAATATTCATTAATAATTTAATAATCTACAAAACACTTTAACTTGTTAAAAAAAATTTCATTGATAATTTTTACAACTAATTTTTGGTTTTTAAGCTCATTGAATCTCACTTTAAAGTTTTTAATTGATAATAATTATTTAAACACCCTTTATAATTTAAAATACTAGGTGTTAAATATTCTTTAAATATTTTGTCTCTTAAGAATATTTTTGCATTGCAATTCTTTATACATGAATCTTAAGATATATTAATTAATAGTATGAGCTCCTATATATACATATAGATTAGTTACTTCTTTTTATAGAATCTCTGAGATATTAATGAGGTCTCTTCACAATTCTTTCAGAATGATTAATAGGACTTTCAGGTTCCACTACTGTCCTTCCACGGTTGCTTAGAAAATCTCTTATATGTTGAACTATTAAGTCAATGGCCACTAAAACAAAATATAGAAAGACACAAATTCATTTTATTGCGTAGTAATCATGAAAAGGTCTATTTTATAAATTCTAAGTACAAATTAGTCACTTTAAGATAAAATATTATTTATGTTCACATAAATTATAATTAAGTATTTGTTCACTTTTCCTAATTAACAAATAGAGCGTACAAATATATACTTGCAATTACTAAATACAATTCTCGTTTTTACCTAATTTTAAATAAGACATTAGGTATTTAATTTTTATATTTCCATTTGTTTTTTAATTATATTTAAGGGAAATCTATAAATGCAAATATTATGCGTTAATGTAAACAGTTTGAAGAGTAAATATTGGTAAATCTTGCAGAAATATATCTTCAAAAGTATTTACAAATATAAATAGAAAAATTACATAGCAATGTGTATCCCAATCGTAACACTTTGATTATCATACTATATATAATGTTAAAATATAAAATCTTATAAAAACATTATACTTATATATTAATGATATTCCTTCAGTTTCTGTAAAGTGATTCAATAAATTCTTTTACAACTTTTCTAAAAATTCAATGAAAAGCAGTTATAAAGAATACCATCAAATTATACAACCATTTAAATAAAAATTAACTAGATATGTAGCCATAAAACATTCTAGCTTTAAGTACAACCTAATTTATAAAAAATTATTGTAAAACAATAATGAAATAATAATCATAATAAATAAAATTGTTTATAACAAAGAATGTTCGCTAGAAGAAAAATCGTATCGAATATTCCTGTACTTATTGTACTTTTTTAATGGCTTTCTTTGTGTTAATTAGTATGTGCATGCGCAATTATATCGGGTAACAAGCCTGTATTGAATTGCTTATGTGCAGAATGGGCTGTAACACAATATATAATAAAAAAAGTGGAAGGTTTTTTATATGAGTTTCGTGATTCAATTATAAGTCAATCGTCTGGTGAGGGCGTCTGACGAAGTTGATGTTCGTTTATGCTCGATGTATGGATACTGCCCGGATATGGAATCGCCCTTTTTAGTATGCAAAATGTCCCAGATGTGGTGCACTATAAGGTCAATCGCCACTGTAAACATGCAATAACAAAAACCATGTATGTTTGTTTCCATTTTCAACTTCCTTTCGTAAGTAAAAGTAATATCTCAACGATAAGTTTAAAAGCGTAATTAAAATTCCAGGACCATCGAAACTTATAACACAAAATCTTGACATTTTGTAAATTTTTTTTTATATCATTTTAAAAATATCAAATTCATTAAATCTTAATGTACTATAAATGCAATGTATAAATAGTGACTTTTGTATTTTTTATGTAACAATAATGCAGAAACAGTACAATATTATAATTATGTAAGTTTTATTAAACTAGCTTTAAAATGAATATTATTTGAGCAATGCAAACTATCTATTTATAATTAGTGACAATATGATCATTCATAAAAATTATTGATGTATATGTTTATTAAAAATTAATTTTTAAATCAATTTTTAAAACATCTCTTAAAGAATGTGAATCAGTTGTTAATATTACTTAAATCAATTACTTCTGCAAGTTATAATTATAAAATTTTTACTTTTATAATATATTCTTAGATATAAACAAAAAATTAATAAAGAAAGCATAAATAAAATAACAATTTATTTTTTAATCTGAACATTAAAATAAGTAAAATAAATACTGCTATTATTCCTAAATAAGTTAAGATATGTCAGGAATTTAAATAATAATCAAATTGAGTTACATGCATAATATAGTCTTACAGTACTTATATCCACAAATGCCGGGCAGCAGCCACAAAAAATGACTTATTCAAAGGTATTTAAATTATAAAATTAAATAAATAAATTATAACATATTATTAAATAAATTAAATAAAACTAATATATATATATAAATTAATTTTGGTTAATAAGAGAAAGCAAAAAATAATTTTAAAAGACATTTTTTTAATGAATATGATTTGTTAAAAATTGATGATTGCATGGAACCATACATATTAAATTAAATTTTAAGATTATGATTTATGTAGCTACTTTAGACATTCATTTATTAATCATGCAAACATTTTAGTAATACTTCTATTAATTATGATATATTGAAAATTTAATATTAATTTTATATTTTTCTCTTGTTAACATTCGAAAAATTTTAAAAATAATATAAATAAACAGCACAATTATAATATATAATTTACCTGTGTTATCAGCTCCTCTGGGAATAATTACATCAGCAAATTTTTTTGTTGGTAAACAAAATTCTTCGAATGCAGGTTTCACATAATTCATGTACTGATTAAGTACATAATCCAAATCTCGTCCTCTTTCATTAATATCTCGTGGTACTAATTTATATAAAAATATATTTACAACAAGTTTTAATTAAAAATTATGCTGGATGAAAAAACCTTTTCCTGATATTTTTATAACTAAAAATTTTACTAATATAAAACTAACTAATTATACTACTCATTAAATATTATTTATGAATTAATTAGTTTTCCTTCAAATAGTTAAAATTTAAAAAAAATTTTCACGTCCAGCTTCTACTTGATATTTGTTAAAATAAATTTCTAGTGTTTATACCTCTTCTAGCTAACCTAGTGTCAGAATCTGTATCAACAAATAGCTTCATATGAAAAAGATCTCGTATTTTAGGAAAATAAAACACTAATATTCCTTCAAACAACACAACATCGGCTGGATAAATTGTAGTAATTTGGTCTTTGATTCTGAAATGAAAAAATTAATTACATTGCTGTTATTTCTATTTTAAAAATAGATAAAATTATTTTTTTACAAAGTTAAATAAAAATAATTATAAGGATGTTGATATCCATGCATATTGTGTATTAAAAGAATCAATGTATCAATGATGAAATATGACGTTTCTCCATGTATACAATAGTTTGCGCAACATTAAACGACGAACCCGCATTTTACTTCCTCTTTTCTTCCGCTCGCAAGACATACATAATTAAATAAACAACGATAAAAATTTCGATGTACAAAAACATCCTCATTCATGAACCCAGGTATAAAAATCCTCACTTTCAACAGCACATAACATCGCCGTTTGTAACACTTATCCATAAAGATACAGACGGTAAAATGAACGGAAGAGCTATCTTGAATTGTGTTCTCATAATTCTTTTCATCATAGCTACTTTTGAAATTACTGAAGCATGTAAAAAATGCGGTCAAGATGTGTGTGGTTGTAATTCACATGGAGGACATCACATTGGTTTGACAGTAGGAAATCATCATCCTCATTCAGGACTTTGCCATTCAGGCAGATATGGGTACAGTTGCAGTCATCAGAGTGGTCATCATCCTGGTGGTATCCACCCTGGCTTTCATAACTGTGGTGGTGTCCATATAGGAGGTGGTTATGGACTACATGTAGGACATATTGGAGGAGGATATGGATTAGGAGGTGGTAACTACATATTAGGCGGCTATGGATCAGTACCTTCTATTTGCAGTATATGCGGAGGTTATGCATATGTAAGTATATTTGTATTTATAAATGTGAATCAAGATCTAATCAATTTCTCTTTAGAGCTAGTATTTATGAAAATGTATTAGGTAAATTTATTAAAAATATTTTGAAATAATTTTAATATGATCAAGAATTCAATAAATATTGCAAAGAAGACAAATACAATTAATAGTTTTCTGTTTCATATATAAAAACATTCAATAAATAAATCAATTTTGACGAGTTAGTATATTTAAAGTATTTATTTAAGAATACTACACCTATAATTATTTGGTATTTTAAAAATAATTTAAAGAAAAAACTAATACCTATTTTTATCATGTACATAATGCATTAAAAAGGTAATAAGTATATAATTTTCAAAAGTATTTAATTTATAAAAATACAAAATTAGAAAATACTTTACTGTACTATTTTTAATATTCCTTAACATAAAATTGAATTTACCATCAATTTTTTAAATTAAATAGATTTATAACAAATTTTCCTAACAAATATAATAGCTTATGATAGACAAAAACTTTATTTCTGAAATATTTTTAATATTTTTATTTCAATGATTATTCAACGTTATTGAATTATTATACAATATTGTATTTTTCAAGTTTAATTACCTGAATTTTAAACAATACATAATTACTATAATAGGCTAACAAAAACTGATATCTTTTCCAACAAAACACCATATCTTTTAAATTAAAATAGAATAAGAAAAATTATAAATTTCTATTCATTAAATAAGACAAACGTTTTATAAAACATTGAAGCAAAACATATTACTTTTGTTTTTCTAGAATGGTGGTTTTCTACGAAGACGCCACTGGAAACCTCGATGCCGTTGCTATTAGTTTTTTCTTTGTAATTATTCTTTTTACAATTTATGTGAATAAACTTACTAAATTAATTTGAATACATTTGTTATTAATAAACCTTAATCATTCTTTTTATATAACCATAAAATACAAATAATTAAACAACAATGCAACAATATACTACTTACAAGCTATTTGTCCTGTAATCATAGGCAGGAATTTCACATTTGTTTCCTAACAAAATATCTTTAAGAGTCTGCAATATTAAGTCATTATCAAAAGCATCAGGATGATCAAAATTATATTGTCCCTTTTCGGCTTTTATTTTTTCCACTGGTGTTAGATCTCTATAAAAACTGTCCTGCGAAATGCATACCACCTGTCGTTCTGTATGATCTTTGTCTACTTGTCCTAATTTTTCCATTATTCTTTTGCATACTGTTGACTAAAAGATAAATTCATTTTTATATCTTAATATCTTACTACAAAATATTTATCATTTGACTAATAAAAAATATTTGACTTTAATAAATTCAGGTTTGATTATAAATATATTAATATATATATATATATATATATATATATATATATATATATATATATATATATATATAAAATATTATATAGTCAAAATATATATATATAAATAATATTACATTGACTAAAATTTAAAATTAATTTTTAAGTATGTAATACAATATTTATAGATATTTTTTATTTTAAACCAATTATTTTTATAAAATTTAAGCTTAAGTTTAATTATTAAGCATTCATAAATTAATAACTTATTAGATAATATAAATACAAATTATATAGCTATATTTATATTTATATAAGTTACATTATATATCTATAAAAAGTACATACAATAAACTACATGTAATTCTATGTGTGCATATAAGTTTTAGGTATAAATTTCCTGTTAAAAATTTATAAACAAGTATATAAAAAAATTTTATATACTTTTATATAATATTCATAATATTATTGATTCATTTCACTAAAATTATATTAAAACGTGCAAATCAATAAAATATTTTGAATAAGAGTTGTTCTCAAACATTTTTATAACTGTAAAATTAACCAAAAAAGCGGTAAGTCAACTAAAATAAACTGTTAAATAACAAACATAATTGATAGATGTTTGAATTATAAAAAAGCAAATGTATCAATATAACATCAGATTATTCATGACTTAAATATGTAAATTAAATATAAAAAATAACAATTGAAATAATTATTAAAATTTTAAGAGGTAAACATTATTTTAATATTTTTTAAGCGTATTAACGAAATTAAAATGCGAAAAATAAGAGAATATTAATGCAAGCAAGTGTACAGTACGATTTAAAAAATTGTAACTAGCGTTCGAAAATAGGTTATAAGTTTTTATAGTTTTGCTTATGACAGAATAAGTTATAAGTTCATAATGAAAAAAAGGCAACGTAAATGAAATAGGCCTTTACCTTGCCACTTGCAGTACCACCAGATACACCAATGAGAAAAGGCGTTTTGCCCTCCACGCCATTGATCTTGCCATTAAAGCCAAAAGACATTTTCCGCACGGTGCCCATGTTCAGAGTAACAAATGCCATTGCAGGCAATTGCGCTGCAAGGGCCAGATCACCGAGGAAGTATGCAGTTATGTCAAATAGCCACGAAGTGAGGGCAATTACTCGTTCAATTTTTGTCCGAATGCGGTTGATACAACACTATAACTATCTAATGTAAAGCGCCTGATGTGGCTGTCCATTGTGAGTGCACCGCCAAGGTCGTTGTTTTACTATATATCATCAGACGCGTTTATGCCACGTCGAAAAAGCAATACCACTCATCAGCACTTAATAATTGCCAGAATCTAAAAATCATAGTTCTAACGTGATAAATCAATGAATGTTTCATGCGCGTAAACGTTTATATGCATATAGTCTGCATGCGCAGCACCTGTCCCCTTATACATTTATGTTAAAAGAGTTCACAGCGGGAGTTTTCAATTATTTATAATATCGCGATAATATTTGATAATAAATAACTGGCGTTATTTACTTACATTCTGTTTTAGCTTTATCATCTATCTTTCTATTGCTCTGAAAGAAACTCTTATGCATATATATATATATATATATAAAGAGTTGTATGCGTATTATGCCACTATATGCATTCATGATACAAATTTATAATTTGTATTAAAACGTGCAGTATATAATAATCGTATTGCATGCACGTAATTTATAATTCAATAGGCAATATATAAAAGTTTATAACTATTTACATGTAACAAATAATGTATACTCATACGCATTGTACAGATTTTCATTTTTAAATCTTATATTTTCAGCAGGTATAATCAAAATCTATTTCATCAATAACAAAGATCGTTAAACTATTATATGAAATATAATGAATAATTATCTTCCATACCGTATCAAATAATAATAAAATTATATTTGGTAAACATTTTTTTTAATTATACTATTAATTCATTTCTCTTGGATTAATCAGCTTTACTTATAGAGGATTTTCGTTAATCCTCATTTTTTAATTTCGTTTTTTAATTGGCCAAAAGTAAATAATTCTAATTTATTAGGAAAATGTTTGGAAGTATAAAAATGCTATGAAATCAGTACAATTCATATGCAATTTAATGCTTTAATATTTAATAAGTAAAATAGTGAAGTAAAGCATTTAGTTTTTTCATTTCTAATATTTAAGAAATAAAACTAAATTAGAAAATCATCAAGTTGCACAAGTAATTATACGAAACATGCGTCAAATTTATAGTAAATATATTATATAGTAAATTTCAACGTTAACAAATTTACATAAAAAAGTAACTTAAATAACATAAATGTTTAAAAAGTAATCTATATTTATGTAAACTAAAATAATGTATAGAATATAAATCCATAAAAATTTAAAACAAATTGAACTGAAATAATAGAATAGTTTTATAAAATATATGTTTAGAATTATAAAATTTATCTACGATATTTAATTGATTGTGTTTCTAAACGACAATTCGCAAAAGACAACTTTTAATGGACAAAATTGAATATATTTTATACATTAAAAAATATAAAAGAGAAATATGTTTAAAAAAATAACTTCTAGTATTTTAGTGCTATATTATATCCAAGTTGGTATATAATTAACTTATTTATATATTTATTGTAAATAAGTAAATAAATTATCCAATTTGAAACGCGTTTTTTGGATTGTAAATAAATCTAAAAGAATTGAATTTAAAAATATTACTTGAAATTGTATTGCGATAAGAAATGAATACGAAAAATGGCATTGAGTACGTCTCGTAATTAAAGTCTTACAATAACTAAATTAACAGAAAAAAACCGCCACCACAGTAAATTATTAAAAAATAGAATGGTTTAATAAATAATATAAATTAGATATTTAATGTTATATACAATTTGGAGAAAATTCAAAAACACCAAAAGGATATCAAAGCAATATAAAAAGAAAGATTGTTAAACAAATATTGATTACAGTAGAAGGAATAGATTCACTATAAGTGCACTTCAGTAGCTTATATTTGTTAAATGAATTTTAAAAATTAATAGGAAGTATAAAAAGTTAGAGAACTATTACATCTATAAAAATTAATTGATACAATTCTTATAAAGCAAATTAAAAATAAATAGAATTAAATCAAGCATTTGAATGATAATTAAGTCATGGTTTCTTATCCTTGAGAAAGCACTGGTGGTCATTATATAACGCTTGTCCATTTTAGGAATTTTAATGTTTTGTAATCTAATGCGATTTTGTTTTATTTGGCTATGTAAAGATTAATTACAAAAATATCTTCAAATATTTAACAAAATAATTTTTAGATATCCATCAAAATATAATTAGTATATAAGCCATGCATAGTTAACTATATAAATTTCATAAATTCAGAATATATACATAAATTATATATTTTTTATATTTAATTTTATACAATAATTATTATGATCGACATTAAAATTAGTTTAAATATCAGTAAATAATAAAGCAGTTTTTTACTAAAAAATTATTAATGTACGTAATTAATAACATATTTTTACTATTTTCATTACTTTAAACGTAATTGATTTCATATTTCATATGAAATTATTACAATGTATAGATTTAAAACATTTAAACAAACAATTCAATCACAATTGCAAAATTTTAATGAATGCAAAAGTCTACTTTATTATAAATTCCAAGTATTTTTAATTTATAGAAATATGTTATAGAAAATTGTAAAATAAAAAATAAAATAAGATTTTATTGTAAATAATAAAGATCATTTTTTATTTATAGAATTAAAAATATGTTATATTTAAATGTTACATTTCAATAGGGGAATTTCCATATTTAAAAAACTGTTGATGTGGAGAATTTCTACCGCTTATATCATACTCCATTTCATTGTCTGCTTCAGTATCAGATAGACTTAATGAAACTCCGATTCTTCTTCGCAACCGATTATCATCTGGACTCTAAAAATGAAAACTTTATAAATAAAAACTTATTAAATTTGAATTAAATATAAAAATAAAAATTTTATTTGTGAATATATTTAAAATCAGTTGAGGACTATTCGACATTTAATTTAATTTTTAATTTTAAACTGTTCTCAAATTAAAAATAAATACTTAATTATTACTATGATATAAGATTTTTTGTGCAATTAAATTACAGAGTATTTTATAAAAGTTATTGTAATTATTAATTTTGAAATAATATTTTAAGTTAATTTAATATTAGTATAAAAAAAATATTTAAATTACTTCAATTGTTTTGATATATAAATGATACCTTATCTGAAATGCCAACTGTAGGTTCAGAAACATATCCAACTTCGTGTGCGTCTTCTAAATATTCTTCATATTCCTCCATTTCATCAGAGTCTGAGTCTAAGTCAGCGTAACAGTTACCACGAGAAACTTTGCAAACCATTTGTGCCAGATCTGTGAAAGTATACGAGGAAACGGTTTGTTGATTTGCATCTTGATATTTGGCTCGTAATGCTTTTGCATTTTCTCGATCTGCATTAAATCGTGGAAGAATTCCTGCTTTTGATTGACCTCCAAAGTAAGATTTTCCTATGGACAAATACAAATTTATAAAAAAAACTAAATAAATCATTAAAGAAAAATATTTTAATTGAATTTTATTTTCAAAGTCTGAAAAATAATTAAATTTTCTTTTTTCAGTAATATAAACATTAGGATTATAGATTATTATATAATTGTCAATTTGATATAAATGGAAAAATGCTTTTAAAAATCATTAAAAATCTATTGTTAAATAAATTGAATAATTCGAGGTGACACCCGTTTTAATGATAGTAAATCATATATTAATTTCATCAAATCATATATGTAATTTCATATTTAATTTCATAGTTTCAAACATATTATTATTCTTTTATGATTAAATTTGTGTAGATCAGCATTAAAATAAGGAATAGATGTACTGAAAAGTTTAACGTGTATAACATTTTTACCGTGATTATATCCTACATCTTTAATTTCATCAAAATTGGTGAATTGCAAAGTTTTATATTTGTCAATTGGTGGTCGTATGTACTCGCAGTAATCCGAGTTCTTCACTTCTTCTAGTTGTCTAACACAACTCACATATGCCAACCGTGATTGTATATCTGGTAAATTAGGCACTTTAACAGGTGTCGCAAATGGATTCCAGCGTTTCCATAGTAGCCACCATCCAGATAATGAGTCTCCGTAATTTGTTAAATCAGTATCATCTTGCGACCCAACATCGATAGCAAGAATGTGATGCGCACCTTGCCTAAGCATCTCATCAGCTTTGTAGATGGCCGTAAATTAATTAATAAAAAATAAAAATTATAATCGTAAGTGAAATGTGGTTGTTTAAAAATCTTTAATTTTTAAAATCTTAAAATAATTAAATTGGCTTAAATACAAATAATAATAGATAAATGATAGACTATACTGAAATTTTATACATTAACAACTTACATATATTAAAAATTTATAAAATGTAATTAAATGAACAATTAAAAAGTCCTAAAATAAAATTAATTTTTTATATTTGTTTGCTGAGAAATATAAAAATTTCAATATAACAAGTTGACATAATGTATTTTTCTTTGTTAAATTTGTGTACGATAATACAATGATAAAATATGGCTAAATTAAGAAATTAAATATGGAGAAACGTAAGAATTCAAATTGAGCATAATTTGAATCAATTTATATTTAATTATTGTCATACCAGTGTAAGATTAAAAATAATCATCATTGACTAGAATAAAATTTCAGTTTAGTACAGTTAAATTTTAGTTTAATTTAATTCAAAAATAAAATTTTTAAATCGCGGAAATTTCATACCTGGAACATTATTTACGTAACACCCGTCGACTAAAAGATGACCGTCAACTGGATCACATACTGGTGGAAAGATACCAGCAAAAGTCATGCTGGCTCGAATGTACTTCCAAAGTAATCCTGATTCAGATAAACTGAATCGTTTACAATATGAACAGTGCATCTTTTTATCAACGGGAGCGAGTCTGGCATATTTTGTATACTACACTAATAGGCAAGAAGTATTTATTCCTTAATAATTTACTAGCATTCACTCAATTATTTAAGTACCAAACATTAATTATTGTATACCATTTTAATATAAGCATGTTTATTATTAAATTAATATTATTAATATTAATCATTATAATAACAAAATTCATTTAAATTTTTCTCAAAATATACTTCAAGCATTTAGTGTATTATTTAGGACTGTTCTTTTTTTTATGTATTTCGTAAATATAATTTTAATATTATTCAAATGAAAAACCTTTATACAATAAACAATCAATTTTTATCTTTTACTTAAAAGCAGTCCCTTAAATAAAATGGTAATATGTTTTGTACATCATACTATTACTACTACTACTACTACTACTACTACTACTACTACTACTACTACTACTACTACTACTACTAAAATAAATTAAATAAGTAATAGCAATAAATAACAAACTATCATTTTGTTGTACAAGTCAAATTACCTGGGAGGTTATTGACGTACCCGCCATCAAGGAGAAGGTGGCCATCGGTTGGATCGCACATAGGAGGCATATAACCGGACAACGACATCGAAGCACGTATGTACCGCCAAAGTGATCCTAAACACGTCGATATTTTATTAGTTAACGCTTTTCAGTTTCTTAATAACAGTTTTTCTGTATAAGTTCTCATTTTTTTTGTAATAAATTTAATAACTTTAAATTCAACCCACAATGCTCTTCCTGATACACTAATCAGTAATATAACCCTTGAAATATGCTCAATATAAACAATTTTGTGCTAGTATTTTTCGCATAAGTACTTCAAATGAGAGCAGGGGGGGTTGTTTTTTTTTATTTCTGTATTTTAAAGCGGGAAAAAATTTATGTTCTGCTTTCCCACTTCGTGAGACTGAACCAGAGACACAAAACGGAGAGTACGTCAATAACATTTGTTTGTTCGCGCAGCTCACTCCCGCTCTTAAAGCAATCTAGTTTTACAGATAGTATGAAACTAAGTATAAAAAAAATAATATAATATAAAAATCGTGAGTATTAAATTTTGGACAAGTGCACAAAGAGTCGGTAAGGTCGTAACAATAGGCATTTTTCATTTTATTGTTAAGTGTTCTATATATTATTTGAATTAAATAAATGTTAATAAAATTTTGGTACAGACCGTGCGTGTGCGTGCGCATACAAGAAGCTGTAATGTCAGTCGTTATCGTAAAGTATGGAAGCCATAAGTCTTCAATATAGACGTCTCCAAAAGTGCCTTGAATCGTTTTATTGAAATCTTTACCGGAAAACATCGACGTCATTGGATATGTAAGATCTAGAATTTGTCTCCACCACTGTGTCATTTTCTATGATAAATAATTTCATCTTATAGTATCTAACAATATTTTTATAAAAAAATCAAATAATTTAACAGTACTCCTTGAAAAACCTTCTTGTGATTGAATCAGTAATAAATTAAATATCATTATTAAAATTAATAAATAAAGTTTAAGTTTTATTTAGAATAGTGATTAAAATTTTATAATATTTTAAATATGACTAACCAATTTCTCAAATTGAAAAGAATTATTCTTATATAATTGTTTATTAGCAGCTTCAAATTAATGAAGGCTAAAAATGAAAACAAGATTAATAACTAAGTAAAGTCAATGATAAATGTGCTATCATAATCACACCTTGGACCATTCTCGAGCCTTTTGCGTAGTCGTGGTTATATTTTTCTCCATACACCAAAGTGCACCCATGAAGGCTCCGATACTGACTCCGCCAACCATGTCAATCGGAATACCAGCCTCAATTATGGACTTCAACATGCCGACATGGGCTGCCCCTCTGGCACCACCGCCTCCTAGAACGAGACCAACCGAGGTTCCAGTCAGCCAGCGAGCCAACCTGCTGAAGTCGCTGTGCACATTCGGCTCTGACATCAATACTTTTGAGTACAGTTCATTCTAATAAAAATTCATAAACATAAATATTATTTAATTATCTATATATTTTATTTACTAATTCATATGCTTCCATTTATTTTAAAAAATTTAATCTTTTTTTATCCATCAGTGCTTAAATAAAACTCAAGTTTAGTTATAATTATTTTTATTATTAATTATAATCTTAATTATCAATTCTTATTTTAAATTATAAATTCAAAATCTAAATTATAAAACCATATTTAATTGACAAAAAATAATTTTAAACCATATTTCGAAGAGTACCATAAGTACAATGAAATTACAGGATATTAGTGTTCTATTATCATTATACAGTCGCAATTTCTGTACTAAAATAAATAACTAATATTTCATACATAATCTATTTTGATTTTTATTAATAAGTCAAAGTTAAATTAATAAGAATAATTAATTTTTATATTTTAATTCAGAGAAATTAATATATTGTAATTATTTGAAATAGTGAATTCGATGATTGCACGTTTTATAAAATAATGTAAGACTGCAAATTTTTTACAGTTAGATAATATTATTATAAAGGTATCAAATGAGTGTTGTCATAATCTCAACGCTATAACGACTTAAATTTATTCATAACTCACAATTCATTTAATGTTCAAATACTACAATTTATACTTATTTTAAATTTATGAAACTGAGAAAGTATATAAGAGAAAAATACTTTAAAATTTATGTATATATTTAGTGTGAACACAACCAAATATTTTTTTATATTTTCTAACACTTGTAATAATTGTATTTTTCAAATATAAAAATTAAATTTTGTTTATAGATTTGAATATTGTAATTCTATACATATCCACTCGCTCTTGCATATGCGCGCACACATAATATTTAATACATTTATATTAATTTTTTTAATTTAATAATTTTATTATAGAATTTGGTTTCAGATTATTAATCAATGTTTATAAATATTGTTTAGCATATTTAATTAAATCTAAAGAATTTAATTATTACTCTAACATTAAAAGTTTTAACAAAAAAATGTAATATAAAAAATTATATTTATTTATAAAAATTCTTAAAATTTTTTATTTTTATTTGAATATGCCAATCTTTTTTTAATTCTGCTTAAGTTCATAAATTTAATAGTTGTTTAATATAGATATAAAGTAATCAATCTTTTTCTTAGAATTTCGAATTTCTTATTGCTCTATTTATGCATTTACGTATTCTTTTTGATAAGGTTTAAATTAATTGAATTTTCTTGAAGTGTATTCATTAGATCGAAAATTTTTATTGTATTTTTTATTGTATATTTAAATTATAATAGGAGATTTATTTCATTTAACACTCACAATTCTGTACTGGGATTTTCTTGTAAACATGCGTTTAGGGCACTGAATGTGATGATGACTGGACACCCAAGATCTCATATTCAACCACTCGACAGTATTCATGGGTCGTTGACCATTGTGTTCCTTGTGCAGAAGCACAAGTTCCTTTTGCGTACGCATAGCTAGTCGCTCAACCTCGCGCTCAGTTCGACCAAGCGATGGTGATCGATCACCAAGACCAATTATCAATATACAATCGGCTTGACGAACACAACGCTGGGTCCATAAAGTGTAAGTAGAGTCGCACTGGTATAATGAAATTCGATGCTGATCTTCCTGTTGCGCTAACCACGAAGTCAAACGGTATTCGTTCATTGAATCCATGATCGTACCGCCTAGTGTCTATTAAAAAATGATTATTTTGTAATAAACAGAACCATTATTATTCAACATATTTATGTATATGTATTTATGTGTAATATTTACAAGATACTACACTCTGTATGATAAATACCTATATTTATCAAACTTTTGTATATTTTTATTTAATAAATTAATAAAAATATATGGAACTAAATAATATTTTGAATATTTATTGTAAAAATAATACAAAAATCTTAAGTACAATTCAATTTATTTTTAATATTAAATCATTTTTTACATTTAAATTAAATAAAATAGTTGTATATTTTTTAAGCCAATAAATATATTTTAATAGATTTTTTGTATTTTTAATATTAATTTGAAAGATTAAACTCACTTTTTTTACAACATCAGAAGTTAAACGTAAACAAGGACCAATAGCACATAATGAGTGGTATAGTTCATAAGTAAATGCTGTTAATGGAACATCATCCGATACTGGAACAATGGCAACTGTTGAAAAATTGACTTGTGATGGTCGTGCATCTACAGCTGTTTGTCTATAATGTAATTCACGATGTATTTTATTACATTTAAAATATCATTATTAAATATAAAATCAATAAGAATGTAACCTATAATTTAAAAATAAATTTTTACCCTGAATTAATGTACAGTACCAAGAGTATAATAAAATAATTATCTTTACCTGCTATTGCGTGCACCATTTTTTGGACGTGCCTGTTTCCATGTACCAAGCAAGCGATGACCAAGTAAATTAATCAATCTTGTCACAACTATCGGATATCTAAGTTTGATGACATTGAAAAGTCCTTCAGGAAGTTTTGCTAATTCCGAATCACGAACTGCCATTACAGTGGTTGATCTCAGAGTCTGTGTAACCATTTCCACAATTCCAACTAAATCCCCCTTGCCATATTCAGCAACTAATTCCTTTTTCCCATTTTCATAGGTAATTACTGATCTCAAACGGCCACTCAAAACAATAAACGTGCAATCAGACTCATCACCTTGACGATAAACAGCTCTTCCACTCTCCAGGAACAGCCAATCAAGGGCAAAATCAACCTAAAATTAAACATTATCATTACATTAAATCTTTTTTTTAATTCTTACAAATATAAAATTTCTATACATTTTAAATTTAATAAGCTCGTTAACAATAATAATATAAATAATTATTTGGTTCGTTTTTTTACTTTTTCAGCTTTTATCATCTTTATTCATTTTGTTAAAAAGATTTTACTTGGACTAAAATTAAATAAAGTTTATATACTGTAAAAATAAATAAAAATAATTGAAATAAGAATTTGTACACGATTATATATCCAAAACTCTATTAAAACTTGTATTATTTTTTAATACACGCTAATTCATAATAAAACACTACAATACCTGTCTAACAAAAGGGCTTAATCGTTTTACAACCGTTTTTGCAACATGCAATACAACAGTAGGTTTTTCACGCATGATAGAGAAAAATGTAGATTTACTAAGTAAAGCTATACGACTTGAGTGTTTTGCTCTAATTGTATAAAATGATGGTTCTCCCGTTAATACAGCTAGTCCACCAACGATTTCTCCTTGATGAGCACTAAACATATGTACATCTTCGCCTGCATCACAACCCTCAGATACACGTTGACTAATAATTAATGACCCAGACACAACGTAAACTAAAGCGACATCCTAAATATAATATCAATTACTAGTTTAGATAAAAGTGTTCATGTTCAAAAAATAATATAAAATAATGATAATTAATTAGTGAAAATAAAAGCTAATAATATTACACTATGTAAAAACATTTTCTACAGATCGGATTAAAAAATTTATTTTATAGATAATTTTAATTTAAATCTTATTTCATTTTAAATGGTTATTCTAAAATAATGTAAAAAGTTAATTACAAATTAAACTTTGTAAAGCCAAAATGTACAACAACAAAACATAAAGTTGTAAAATTTTTTGTTATCGGACTTTATAAGATTGTTCATTCTTAATTAAATAAATTTGTATATTCAAATTTTTTTGTATTTAATACATGTGATATAATATAATGTTTAAATTAAAAATCATTTATTTTTTATTAAGATTACAGAAAGCAATTAAATTTTTTAAATAATTTATGTTAAATTTTATAAAAAAAAATCTATACAAATTCTAGAATCTTTCATTGAAATATTTATTAATAAAAATCTATTAAATATAAAAATATTCTTTTTAATCTTATAATTAATATTTTTATAAAATAGAATGAACTTTTTGTAGTTTTCTGATTAAAAATGGTATTTTCTAAATTTTATAGTAAATTAACCTTGAAATATACCTTCTGACTTTCTTCTTTCATGAGGTAAGTTCCAGTGGGTACTTCCCTAATTTGAACCTTGCCCCCTTTAAGAAGAGTACCATCTTCTAGACCTAATTCCTTAATGAACGCTTCTGTAGCAATTTGGACCACTTGTATTTCATCTAAAGGGTGTTGTACACCTTCAATCTTTGAATGCTTACGATTAGTGTTACTTAAGTGAATCCCTGCACCATCCAAAGATTCACCAGGATGTGATAATGGCTGATTTGATATAGAACATGGCCAATGCGAATCACAGTCTGGGATCATATCAGGTGTATATTGACTTAATTGAGAATCAGAATTTTGAGTTTTCCATTCTAAATTTGTTTTTGGTCTATGATACAACGTAAGAAAATGAACATTATAGAAAATTCTATAAAATTATAATTTATTTCATTACATTATATATATTATTAAGATGTTTATTTCTGAATTCTAATAGTTTTGTTCTATTTAAAAAAATGATGTTCTTATTACAACTAAATTTTTCCTCAAAATAATTAAAGCAATATACAAATAATATTTACCTTCGAGTTACCATTATTGGAACAGGTTGAGATATATTAATACCAGATTCTTTTGGAGAAATATCAAAAGAGTGTTGATCGGGAAGTGTTGGATATGATGAAATAATCTGTTCTGAAGCAAGTCCTGCAAAATTCTCTCGCGTTCTTGATCTTACAGGTGAACCTGAAACTGAACCATGTTTCTTTCTGTGTGGACCTTGATTAATCAATTCAGCAGATAGCCCTAAATATTGATGTAAAGCTGTAAATGTTACACGTTGCAACCGGACCATAATAACTTGAATGACCCGAATGAAAGCGTCAGGATGATCTTGAAAAACCTACAAAAATTACAAATACAACATTCCATATTTAATATAAAATGCTCAATATTTTACTATAGAAAAACTATTCATAATTATTGTTAACACTAACTGAGTTTAAATATTTCCAATGATAATTAATTTACATGGATTTATTGTAAATTTATATATGAATTATTGTACTGAATGTTATATCAATTTTAAATCTTTTATATTTTAATTGCCTACTTTTTTTTTTTTTAATCTAAAAGAATTAATTGAAAATATATGTACTTGGTTAATAAAATTTTTCATAATTTAAAAATTAAATAAATGTAATGTATATATGAAACTATTTAATAAATGTTTTATAAAGTATATATACATATAATACATATAATTACTATATAAAGTATATGATAAATAAAATTTTTTAATAAATTTTTCAATTCAAAACTATAATAAATTAGATTCCTTATTTGAATAAAACAATTTCAGTTTTTCTTATCATAATATTAATAGTTATTTATTTTTATTTTATTTTATTACATAATAATTAATATGTTAATAGCATTTAAAAGTGTTTAAAGTATATTTTGTGTTAAATAAATGATTTAAATATATATTTTAGTACAGGATTAGTTTTCCAAATGACCTATGTTTTACATAAACATAAAATTTTTTTTTATTTAATATAAATATTTTTAATTATCATCATGTATAACTGTTAATGTAAAAATTAAATTTATTTAAATAATAGATTATTTACAATTATTTATTATTTATTTAAAAATATTCTTACTTCTTGAAAGGCATACATTGGCAATTTTACAACAACAGAATCCTCTACAGCTCGGGCAGCCACTGTTTTATATGTACTTATATGTCCAGTTAATACATCGGTAAAACTTAGTAGGCTAGTAACTGATTCTCCAGTTTTCACTAATTTAAGTGAAATCTGAGATCCATCAGAACATGTTATATAGACATTAACTAAACCTTGTTGAACAATAAAAACATTTTCATCAGGATCTCCAATTTTGAATAAAGGAGTTCCTGCTGGCAAATTAATAATTTCGGTATGTTTACATAATTTAAGAAAAACTGGCTTGTCAAAATGTCCAAATACTCTTATACTTTGCAACATATAAAGTGCATCTGGTGGTACTCTATCACCTGGACCAACATCCTCTTCAAGATATTCTGCAGGTGGTTCTAATACTTTTAGTTGTTGTGGAGTATTTTCCTTTTTTAATTGTAAAAGCCTTCTAGCAAATCGCATAACAGCTCTTCGCTTTTTCCCTTGTCCTGTACCATGGACTTGACCACCTATAGATTTCACTTTTCTCAACATCTTTCTGCCGTAAAATAGAACTTTGTCTCTTTTTCTGAACCTTGGTCTGCCAGTACTAACACCTACAAACTCTTTGACTTGAGGTAAAAGTTCTTTTGTCTTCCATTTTCGTAGAACGTATATAGATATAACCACAATAATTAAAAGAATACTGATAGATGTTATTAATAATGTTTTTGATGTTTGATATTCTACAATTAAATATTCTATCCATCTTGAAAAAGTATAAGAACCAAGGCTATTATTAAATTTATTTATCAACTCCACAACCTATATAAAATTATAAAATATATTTTTTTTTATTAAATATTTAAATATCAACTTTGGACATTATATTAAAACTTTACTTTATTAAAATGTTAAATAACTTAATAATATTATTATACTATAAAAATAAAATTAATTGAACAGTATATATTTAAAATTTTGTAATCATTCAAAAATTCTTAAATTTTTAAATATAGAAAATATTTTATCAAAAAATTTATATCTGTAATAATATATAATTTAAGTGTGTACATAAAAATTATCAACACCGAATGGAGTATATCTTAATCCGACCATTGATGCAAATCTACACGTATGATTACAGTCTTATCAAACATGAAAAAAGTTTAAAACATACGCATATAATTAGTCAAAGAAAGTGTAAGATAGTGGAATACCTCCATTATGGACATTCATGTCTTCTACGTGAAATTTCGTTGCCTTCCTGAAGCAGCAGAAAATTCACTCTGCTCGAGCACAGAGCGAAAAATAAGTACGACGACGACGATGAAGAGGACGAAAACGAAAACAGGTACAAAGGTAAGGATGAGGAGTAGTAGCGTTGATCGTAAAGTGCGCCCAATGATCGTTTCCTCATTTGGAGCTAAATGCTTGTTACTTCGAAAGCAGAGAGCAAATTAATTCATATGCAAATAACACAGGATTATAATGACAGCTATGAAATCTGATAGTAAAATAACAAAGCCAAGTAATAGTCAAGTAATACAGCGAACATGAATTATGGCGACCTTTCTTACCTCATTTAAGTCATCTGGCGCCATTGTAGATATCAGCTTTGAATGATATATATTAGTTTTAACCATATTATTTATCGCTTTTTAATAATATATATATGACCCTTATTGACAATCGTATGTTCATACTTAGGGTATTTTAGAGTAAACAAATATGTTTTAACATACAGAGTCTAACGTTTGTTCCATGTGTGTCATACCTGCAATAACTATATATTTATTCATATGTATATATAGCATAATAAACAACTGATTCAGAGCTATTTAAATTAAAAAATAAAGTACAATAATAATTTTAAATAATTTAAAAATTCACGCTCAATTTCTTTAAAAACATAATCAATAAATAGTTGAAAAAAAATTAATTAAGTTGTTTATTAATACATTTATTAATATAATAAGTTAAATAAAAAATAAAACTTAGTGAATTATAAATAATCGATTTTTGATTCTAATTTAATATGATTTAGTTCCTCCTAAATTATTTTTACATTATTATATAATATTAAGTAATAATAAAAACGAAAAACAATGTAATCAGCAAGGTAAATTAAAAAAAAATTATATATTGCTTGATTTAATTTAGCATTAATTTTATACTCGTTCACAGAATTAACTCATTAAAAAAATTGTCATTTAAATGGTTGTAATCCCTAAAAAATTGATTAAACGTATGCAAAATAGTACGTACTAAATATTACAAGTATTTAATAATTGAATCATAAAAAAAAAGAGAAATAACAATTATATATATTACATATATTAAAAAACAATAAGCATGTTATCGATCAATTTTAATTAATAAATAAATAACATTCAATAAAAATTCGAAATTAATAGTTTTTAATAATTAAATATTGTCATTAAATTCCAAGAATTATAGGATGACATATAGACGGTAAAAAGATATTTTATAATGAAAATTTTTTAATTAATAAATATAGTTTAAAAATTTTTAAAAATTAATTTATATTATATACTATTTAATTATATACTAGGCATGTAAACTTTCAAAATAAACATTTGAACTACTATATAACATATCGTTATCCTATTATTATTGACAATGTATTTTTAAATATAAATATCTATACTACCCGTCTCATTCATGTATTCTATTTTTCCAAATCCTATTCGGACATTCTATGTTCATCAAAATGAAATCCCAGTCAATCTACGGGTTTCAAAGTTGTTAGACATTGGATGTATCGCATTTAGCTCGTTATATTACATTATACATATAATGAACATGTTCACCTGTAGTTTACCTTCATTGAGTATAACTGCGTATTTATTGACGTATTCAGGTATACTTGCACTTAATTTAATATTCCGGAAATAATATATCTATGACGAGCTTTGGCTTGAATAAAGAATCATCATTTTAAGAAATGTAACGAGAATTGAAAGGGAGATAAAAAATTTACATTTAAAAAAGGCAAAAGGGAAGGAACGCCTGCGTACGATAAAAAGGATGATAGAGAAGGGGGACACAAAAAAGAGGGAGAGAGAGAAAACAGCAAATCCAAAAACCCGGGATATCAGAATAACCACTGACAAGACTCAAAGTATTGAGAGAGAATGTTAAGAGGTTGCAAAATATTGGTAGTGAATGAGACTCAATGAGCATCTATTCAAAAGTAATTTTATCTTCGTCTCTTATGCGCAAGCAAATAGACAATTAAGTTAACAAATTTCGGAATAGTAACAGTAGCAGCGGCACAGTAGCCGCCGGTGAATTCGGAAATTGAAGGCGTTGGCGTGCACGCCGTATTTCTAAAAGTTTAAGTTGGACTTTAAGCATTTTAAAGTTTGAGTGAGACAACTGTGACTAATTAGAAATTGTATATACGTATATAAGTTTATTTGTACGCTACTTTCTTGATTGTTTTAAACTGAAGAATACCAAGTATTTTGTTCTTTGTGAACTAGAGCTAATGAAAAAATGGCTGAAAAAGTGGCCAACATGAATGCTAACGAAAAGACTATTAAACCTGTTCTACCTGTCGTCACTCCAAACTACATCAGCTGATCGACAAGGTATTAATCAGTAAGTTCTTCGCTTGACATTTTTATTCAAATATTTACCACTCTTAGGTGTTTGTGAAAGAATTATTTATTTTGCATATAATTGGTGTATGTAATATATCATTTATTTTGGTTTTATTATACTAGGATAAACTTTTTTAGAGGTATTTTATATTATTTTATAAACAGTTTGATTTTAAAAGTATACTAAAAACTTTTCATAGTTTTGTTTTGTAAAATGATATGAAAAATACTTATAAATTTTTTTATAGTTTTGTACTTTAGAGATATATACTTATTAAATTTCAAGTTTTAATTATTAGCAGTTTAAAAAATTTTTTTCATTAAAGTACAATTTAATAATTACTTAATTGTTAAATGATCAAGAATAATTTGTACACATAAAATAATTATAATTAACAATTATCCCTTTTTAAATAAAAATTAATGATAAATAGGTTTAAATACCTAAATATATTTTTTTTATAATTTAATATGGAATCTATTTGTATAAAAGTTTGTATAAATAAGTCATGGAAATATAAATATATAAAATTTATTTGTTGTAGAATTTTAAGGTTTTTAAAAAATCTGGAAGTCTACAAATTTTACAAAATAGCATTACGTGAAAACAATCAAAATGGGCAACAAAAACAGTTGTTGTGTATATTCTAGTCCACAACTTGGTCGCAAAGAACTATCGACGGAAGGTGGCGACAAAGGCTTTCAGGAGCATCTTCCCGAGGGTGAGATCAGTATCAATAATCTTCAACATATAAGTGAAAGAGAGCCTGAAGATTGGGACTCTGATCCATCATTACATCCTTGTGCTGGTACTATTTTTATGGAACGTTCCAAACAAGCTATTGAAAGTAATTATTTGAAAATATGTTCCTTAATTTTTAAATATTAAAATATATACTATCGTTTAAAATTATGTATAATTTTATTTTGTAGATGGATTAGTTAGAAAAAAAAGTCAATACCAAATAGCAGATATAAGACCTCTTAAAAAAAGCAGCAGTTGTAGTACAATATATTTAGATGATAGTACAGTTTCTCAACCCAATTTAAAAAATACTGTCAAATGTGTAGCCCTAGCAGTGTATTATAATATTAAAAATAGAATATCAAATAGACATATTGATATATTTGATGAAAAACTGCATCCTTTAACCGTGAGTAAAATCAATAAACTATTTATTAATATTTTACCTAATAATGTTGTATTATTAAATTAAAATATTAATTTATTACATTCGAAATTTATATTTCTGACATTTTTCTAACCTATTTTAAAGTAAATCAAAATAATTAAAAATGTAATTAAGCAATGGTTAGTGTTTTTGTTTTCATGCATTCATGGTGAAGATATAAGTGTATTTTATTTATTTCAATTAATATAATAAGTTTATTCATGAAGGTTACAAAATGCATATGTATAAAGGATTAATAACAATTTATTGTACTAGTAAGTACTATTTGTTTACTTTCAAAATTAATTTAAGTTATTGTTATAACTAACTATAATTGATTGTAAATTAAATAAGATTTAAATAATCACTTAATTTATTTAATAATTTTAATTGTCATCATTAAAAACATATATTAAAAATATTATGTTTTTAGCGCGATGGTGTGTCTGAGGATTATGATAAACATAACCCAGAACATAAGCAAATCTATAAATTTGTACGAACTCTATTTAATGCTGCACAGCTAACAGCTGAATGTGCCATTATAACTTTGGTTTATCTTGAACGTCTACTTACATATGCTGAAATAGACATAACACCATCAAATTGGAAAAGAATTGTGTTAGGGGCAATTCTCCTAGCTTCAAAAGTGTGGGATGATCAAGCTGTATGGAATGTTGATTATTGTCAGATATTAAAGGATATAACTGTAGAAGATATGTAAGCATACAAAATTATATAATTACAATGAATGTAAATATTAAAGAAAAAATATTGAGTTTAAATATTATGCTTTAAAAATATTTCATGGTGACGTTTTAATTTAATTTATTTTAAATTAATCATTATTTATCTGTAACATAATTTCAATTATTTTTACCACTTTAATATAGAGACATTAATATCATTTTTGAAAAATTATTTTTTTATTTAGTATAGTATAAACATTAAATGTAGAATCAATGTTTATTTATTACTTATAGGAATGAATTAGAGAGACAATTTTTGGAAATGCTTCAATTTAATATAAATGTTCCTTCAAGTGTATATGCTAAATACTATTTTGATTTACGCACACTTGCTGAAGCAAATGAATTAACATTTCCAAGTGAACCATTAAGCAAAGAAAAAGCTCAAAAACTTGAGGCAATGTCTAGAGTATACGAAGATAAAGTTATGTCTGAAGTTTTACGAAATGGTATTAAAAAATGGTCTAGTTTAGACAATATATATATAGGTGGACCCAGGCGCAGTATAGCTATTTTATCTTAAAAAAAATTCTTTTACAATTAAAATTGAATTTGGTTTCTATCTTTCTAAACAATAATTTTATAATTCTAAAGATTAAAATTAATTGCAATATAAGTAAAGATATTTAGAAAGACAATTAAAATATTTTGTTAAGACTGTGTGTATGAAATATTTAAATTTTTATATGTGAAAATTTTGTAAAGAACGACATTTTGTAGTTTGTGCCTCAGAAAGTGATATTTGTTTTATGAAAGTAATATTTACAAGGCGTTCTAAGACTACATTGTATATTGAAAATATCTTGAATGAAATAGGATAATAATATTATTTAAATATATGTAAATTTTATCCTAAAACTGATATTTAAATTTTTTTAAATAACTGAGAATTTTAATCTCGTATTGTATTTGAGTTAAGGCTTTATAAATATTTTCTTATAATGTAATATAGACAAATCAATATTGTATTCTATTTTTTATCTAAAGGGGTGTAAATTATCTTTATAAAGTATTTCACATATATGTGAGTACATAAAATTAAAATTTCTAAGTATTTTTATTATAGAAATCCAATTATACTAATCTACAATTCCATTTCATGATGATAAATCATTTTTAATATATTGTCAAGAGCAATTAAAATCTATAAACAGAGTACATTGATTAAAAGTAATTTGAAAGATGATATTTTTATTGAAGATATAAATAATTCCTTTCTTTATTTTCATTTTATTGATCAAGTGCCAGCAATTTTTTGTAATTCTGTAATGATCCATGCAAGTACTAATCCTAATGAATATTCATTAATAATTTGTTTGATGAAGTTTTTAAAGGACATTTATGTAAAGATTTTGTAATTTAAAATTTATTAAGTTATTGGATATAAATATAATACCAGAATTGTAAAATCTAGTTTTATTAATAATACAAAGCAATTCAATTCAAAAAGTTAATTGAGAAAAGTAATCAAAATACATGATTATGCTGGATTCTATGGTATCAGCTTATGAAAATATAAAATTACATCTGAAACATTTTTATAGTATGAGGGAAAAGTAATATTTCTAACATCAAAAATGATTAATTTTTATATATTAAATAAGGATCATTTTAATACAGTTTACAAACAAATAAGTTCATTTTTTCATTCCTTTTAAATTTTATATTAATATTACTAATAATTAAACAGAAGTTTTAATACTGATATTTTTTTTAAATTCTATAAGAAATTTAATTTTAATTATAAAAATACTTTAATAAATAATAAATTTTTTGTACGAATTATTATCTTACTTTAGCCGAAAAATTGGAAATTATAAGGCAAACTCAAGAAATATATATTTTACTTTCATATATTAATTTTAATAATGTAACAAAAGAGGTTATGTTTTTATTTTAAGTTCATAACGTTTACAATAATTCAGAATTTTCTGCGTATACCTTCTTTTTTTGTATTCCTATCTATTCTAAATAATGATGAATCTAGTCGAAGCTCAATTTTATTAATTCATTCAATCACTTATACTTTTTGATATTCTTGTCCTATTTCTTTTAAATATAAAAATATGTATAAATATGACTTATAATTGATTAATATTTTTGCATATTTTGATTACATATATTAGAGCCTATCAAATGAGAGACACATTAACAATTTTTTCAATTTCTGAAAAGATAGTAATCATTCTAATTCTTAATCTGTTACATTTTACTAATGAAATACTATTATCTTAATAAAGCTGTCTCTTTGTAAATATATTTCTTTTTTTTCTTAGTTTATAATTTAAAAATTTTAGATCTCAGTCAAATATACAAAGTAAATTAATATAATGCACCAGTTAATATAAATACATGTGATAAATTCAGAAAATATATATTTTCGAAACTTTATAAATATTGCTTTAAAAGCGTAATTTTGCAAAATATTTCTAATAAGTGATCATTATTAATATATACTATTAAAGAAAGAATTTACTTATTTTTTATACAAAGAATAATAGACAAATAAATTGTAAATCTAATTCTTGTAAATTTATGCAAATAAATTTTTTAAGTTTGAATTTTATTGTAGCTTTATAAAAGTGATTTTATTAGTCTATAACTTTTCTGAAATAGTATAATTGTCAATAAAAACCCCAATAGTGTGGTTCTTCATATTACACATTAATTTTATTTTATGTAGGTACTGCAAAATTTAAAAAAATATTTCACCGTTTCATAAAAACAAAAAGAGAATTGCACCTTTTCGTAAAATATTACGATATACTTTAAAAATTTTTTTTATTATTTTGAATGTTAAAAGTAACTAACTACTCGTCATAATGTTCACAGTATACAAATGATACTGATGATTACTTTATATGTTCAGGTAATGTTATTCCGTAAAAAAGTGTATGTATAACATTAATTAAAATGTTAGTATCTTGATTAAGCAAGTATATCGCATTTTACATTAATATTTTGGAATGAGATAGTTATCAACAGAATAAAATAAAAAATAATACGAAAATATATGTACAAATAATCATTCATAACTTTAAATTAATGTTTAAACGCTTTACAAATTCAACTATTATAATTTTTTGTTTTCGAGTATAAAAAATTAGTTAAGCAATAGAAAATTTCATTGATTAACCACCTCATTATTAAAGCAAACGAGTATTATGAAATATTGAGTTTTAAACACTATATAAAAATTAACTAACAAATAGATTCTTCTAAAGCATTGTACATGTAAACAATTAAAGCAGTATAAAAAAATATATATTTTTATTAGATTGTAATTTATAATATGATTGATTAAATGTATGAATATTTTAATTAAATCTTGACTTTAATCAATACATATGTTTCTAACTTTGTGAATAAATTATATTATTTTAAGTGAAAATATGATTAGTTCTTATAATTAATTTTGATATAAAATATATATAACATAATAGTATATTTTGTAAGCTATGTTTACTTTTTTCACTATAAACGATTATATGAAAGTATTGTGAACATATCAGAAATAAATATTTTATTATTCCTTTGTTTTTACTTGTAATCTATAAATTGGTAAAATTTGATACATAATAACCACAAGTAATATATTTAATAAACTTGATTTTCGTTCATTTAATTTTTCAATTTATGCGATTATATTCTATGACTAATATCGCACAAAATTTCAAAACTATTTCATTTTCTTTTTTTTTTTAAACCCAGCTAAATTAAATTTTTGTTCTGAAATTATATACATAAATCTATAACAATTGAAAAATTCTTTCATAATTAACTTAATCCAATATATTCAATAGTAATATAGAATAGAATAGAATAGAATAGAATATAGTAATATATAAATAAAGATGACCTCTGAGAAGTCTAAATCAGAAATAAAAGCAGACAATTTATATTGTATATACAATGTGTTTTAATATTTCTACCATTATCTTTTATACAAATTTTGTTTTTAATTATGAACAGATACTATTTCTGATCCAATTATTAATTTTTGTTTTATTTTTCTTAGAGATGGAATAGGAAAAATGGATTTAGGTTCTAATTATAAAAAATATATAGGAAAACAATAATATTTCAAACACAAATAAGATTATTCCAGTAACTAAACTTATATATTCATTTGAAATAATCTATCAATATCAATATTAATTTCACGCTACATATGTAACATAAAATCAATCTATGCAAAAAGAAAAAGTAAAAAATGATTATGTACATAACAAAACTTATAATTTTAGTTCATTAAACTTAATAAAGTATTCATTTGATATTTTGTTTATACTAAATAGAAACTTATCTCTTTATGATTCATTTATAGGGACACAAAAATTGTATTTTGATATTTAATTTTTTACTTTTAATTCCTTAAACATATAAGTATAATCGAGATTATGTTTAATATCATTATAATTTTAATATGCAATATTAATATTATAATTGCAAAATATAAGTAGTTTTTTATAACTATCGAATTTATAATTAATATAAATTATAATCGAATATCTTATTTAATTCAATTAGATAAAAATAATCGAAGATACTGTATCTTATAAGTATTAAATAGTACTAATATAATTACTTTGATACATATAATTATTTGATAACATTATTATAGTATATTTACGTAAGCATGTTACTAAATTAATTAATTGAAACTATATGATTTGACTTAATTTTTTAAATCAATTTTTCATAAATTTTTCCGTAATAATTTTAAAATAAAGTAAAAAATTGAATATTATGTTATTACTTAATAAATGATCATTGCAATGAGCACAAAGATAATATTATAAACATTCGTTACTTGCAAAAAATTAAAATCAATTAACAATCTCGTGCATTAGATAGATCCAGGGCTGTTAGATTAATTTGGTCTTTTTACAAATTATTTTATTTATGTAAAGTGGTTGTTTTATCAATGGTATAACTTATATTTTGATAGTATTATTATAACTAATTTAAAATATTTAAAGGTGTAAGATACAATTAAAGTAATACAATTAAAATATTTAAAGGTGTAAGATACAAGATAAAATAAAATTATAATAGTTCTAAAAGAATTAAAAAAACAAAATTAAAAAACATTTTTATTGAATGCTACTAATGAAATTTTATAGCTTATTTTTACTTATGTTTATTTCAATTTATTTTTATACATTATGAAGGTTATATCTTTACAATTGATATTCAAATAATTATAAATAATTATATTTTTGTTTACAATATAAAATAAATATTTAAAAAAAATTGAATGACAATTTTATGTATGAATGAAATTTGCAAATAAAATTTTCAAGCATCTAATTGTATATAATTGTCATTAATTTATATTAATATATATTTTATTTTTAAATGTATGAATTGTTTTTAAATTTTCATAATTGTAAATTGATGTTTCTTTTTAATAATTTGAAGTAAAATATATTTTAGAAAGTATATTAATTTTAAGTATATAATTGTACAAACATTTATTAGTGTGAATAATGTGATAATCCTGTCATCCTATCAAAACAAAGAACAAATTAAAAACCGAATGAATTTAGTTTTTACTTTTAGATTAATTAATCAAACTATTTATAAATATGAATATAAGTAATATAATGTTATTCATATTTATAAAAGTAATATATTAAGCTTTATTATATTATTCAAAATCTAACCTTCTACATGTTCAATTTTTGTTTTTTAGTTAACACACAGGATTAAAATGAAAATAAAACATGCCTGTAATTGGAACTTATTAAACTTCATACGCATTATGATTAATTAATATTAAACCTTAAAATAATTAATTGAAAAATTATTATAACAATTTTTATTCAAACAATTTTTTTATGAATATTATGTTAAAAATATGGCATTAAAGGCATATTATTTAAATAAAAATATTTTATATAAAGAATTTGAATTTAACGGTTCTAATTTTTTATAAGTTAAAGACATCATGATTTGAGGCATTTATTCATTTCTAATGAGTGAATATTCTTGTTATGTAAAAAACATTTAAAGAAGATACAGGACATGTTTTGATGAAAGATTTGCAGAAAAACATTGAGATAACTGTACAATAAAACTAATGACGGTCACTAAAAGTAAAATGAAAGAAATAAAAGTATTAAGAACAAAATCCTTTTTTGCACGTATAGTTAAGAGATTGACTGTTATTTTAATTCGAAAACAAAGAATGAATAAAAGAAAAATTTGTTGTACTTACATATGTATATAAATTAAAGTTTTTTACAATTTTAATTTGAAAACAAAAATTTTTTTCTTTTTAATAGAAAATTACTAAAACTAACAATAAATAACAACTTCTTAATTTTTTTACTTAATTCAAATGAATGAGAAAGTATTTTAATATTTATAATAAATGAAAATCTGATTAAGTTTAGATATAGTACTAAAAATAAATTACTAAAAAAAAATATTTTATAAAAAAGTATTGATAATTAATACGTGTTAGAAAAGCTAATAGAAAATTAATATATGTATTATTTGAAAAATAATATTTAATATTTAAATTCAATGTTTTTTAATAAAAAGTATTTTTCATAAAATTCTTTTGTATCTTCTCCGACTGTAATATTTCAGTTTTCGGGTTTTATTCGTCTGGATTTTTTTCATCTTTGACTATATATAACCTATTTAATGTAAATATTTATCTTTCATCGTTCAGATCTTATTTATATTGTATTCTAATTGAATTAAATATATCAAGAATTTGTATAAATTAGTGTATAAAAGTAAATTCATTAATGAAAACTAAACCCAACTAATATCACTCAATGACTATTGTAATTTAATTAATCTATTTCGGTAAAATACGTAAAATTGAAAATTCTTAATACTTGATATATTATTGTATTAAGTTTGATATCATTATATATATATATAACAACATTTTAGGATTTTGTACAAGACAGTATACAGGCACAAAAGACAAAATAAAATAAAAGCAAAATTACATGTAAATTTAATTCTTATTTCCAACTCCATATAAATTTATATATTGTATACTTTGCACAATTGTCAATTGGAGATTATCTACCGACTAATCAATTATTCATTAAATTGTAGACGAATCATGATACGGATTAATTATAAATTTAGTTAATAATGATTACATAAATATTTGTAATGCTTAAGAATAAAAATTAATTGATAAATCATTATAAATAATACAGAACCGATTGTTTTTATTATAATAATCGAGAAATATTTTAAAATATTTAGTTGAAAACTTTTTTATCATAAACATTTATGAACCATTGATATATTAAAAAGAATCAATAGTATAAAGATAAAAATTAATGTAGTATAAATTCCAATTGATTTTGGATAATAGAATACTGTTTTAATAAGTTAAATATTAGAATTTATTATTTTCATAAAAATTTATTATTTTTAAAAGTTATTTTAATACAATCTAAAATAATTTTACTTTATCTACGAATATAATTGAAATTAACATTTTAATTTAATTTATTTTGACATTTGCGAAAACTTTTCAAAAGTACGTATTATTTTAGTTTAGTTACTGCTTAAACTAATCAAGTACAACAAATTAATTATTAAAGTATAACGTAAATTCTAATTTGCAACTAACAAATTTTATTTGTATAACAATTGTATTATTTTAATAATTGTTAAATCATAAATTTATAAACTTACTTTAACGAGATCGAGTATACAAGTACTAAATGTTCAAAGCAAACTCTTTATTGCCTGTAAGTGTATATATATGTAATAGATGAGTGCGCGCGCTGCTATTTTTTTCTTTTCCTTTTACCTCTTAAGAGAGATAGAAAAAGAAAACGTATTTTGTGTACAGTACGTGTACACACATAACATTCTCTTGATAACTATAGCAAAAATCCAAAAGCTCAAATATTTAATGCGTGAATACGGAGAGGAGTAATTTCGAAGGGAAAATAGTAAATTAGAATTAATACAAGTTATTAAAAAAAAGTGCAGTAAATTGAGAAGTTTCTTTAGTACCGAGAGGCTTTGTCGATTGTACAGTCGAGAAACAGGTGAAAATACCAATATAATATATATTTGTTTTTTTTTTATTCTAATATTTGCGTCATCGAGTAGCTATTCTATAAACGTCAATGTATTTACTGGTTAAATATATAAACTGAAGATAGAAAAGAAGAAGTAAATGTCAGTAAAATAGTGGAAGAGAAAGAAGAAACAAATTAAGAAGTAAGCAAGTAAGATAGTTTGATCGAATAGAAGCAATAGGCAGTATGAAAGAGAGAGAGGTAGAGGCAGAGGGCGGAGAGAGCATGAGAGAGTGAGAGGGTGGCAGCGGATAGACAGAAAGACAGGCTAGCCGACAGTAAAATAGATGTTTAAGTTGAATATAACATGAATCGTGAATATACTTTCTTCTATTAAATACAAATCTGAGGTAACATTTTTTACATAAAAGAAATTTAAAAAGGAAACAGATTAAAGCTGCTATACGGTTTTCAAAAAAACAGACTTATTACTTGGTATGTTATAAAAGTACGTACACCGTTCTCTCATCTTTGTTATTTTCCAAAGAAAGTGCAGTGCCAGTTTTATGCCATTTTCTGGACTTTCACAATTACTTAATTTGTGAATTTATTTTCGAGATTGTTTTTTTCTTTTTAATTTGTTAATAAAATAATTTAAAAATTTTTGAAGTTCTTTTTAGCTTCGTTATTGAAACTTTCTTTATTTGTATAAAAAAATTGGAGTAATTCATAATGGTTATTGACGAGTCCATGTGTATCCAAATTTTTCATGTAGGCGCTAGTAGCAAGAACAGTTCAAGTTTAATGGCCTGTTTCGACATTTTCTGATCGATTAACGTTTGTCTTTTGTTTTGTTTTATTTTTTTTTGTTTTAGAGTTTCTGTACTTAAAAATAAAACAGGCTGTTGTTGCTAAATTATAAATTATTTTATTTTATTTTTTTCATATATTTACTAATTTCTCAATTTATATAATATATTCTGTTATGACCTTTTTTTATTATATGAATGAATTTTCAACTTCAATATTGCTGATTTATCTCTGTTATTGGTGTAATTAGATTTACACTTTACATCCAAAAATTTTCTTGATATATATCTTTTTAGTCCATAGTCATTTTACAAATATACAGATAAATATAAAATATCTTTCAAGTAAAACAGTTCATAAGCAATAATGATTAATTTATATGATTATAGGTATCACAAGAAAATTAAAACTAATTATGACCAAACCATTAAATATGGTGCTTGAAATTATTGTACTTGAATTAAAAAGTAAAACTTATTATGTAACTGAATTTTTTGTGACTATATTTTATATATTTTTAAGGGTGTGTTAAATTAGAATAAATGGGTAAAATAAAAAAGAGGCCTGAATTATATCACAATAGTCAATTACAAAATGTGCTTCGTAACTTGATGCTACGTGACTGTGGTCTTCGTACAACACGTAAGACTACTACTAAAGAATTAGAACCACTTGCAGAAACAAATTTTATTCATAAAAATTTTATAGAATTGGTGAGTAGTTGATATAAATATTTGTTTATCTATCTATACTACTATATATTTATGTATTTTTATTTTTGATTTGTAAAAGAATGTATAAATATATGAACTTAAAAATATATTTGAAAGAAAAATAAAATATTTAATATTAAAACTTCTTAATGTAAAATAAAAAATTTTACTTTAAATTTATTTTAAATATTTAAATACTATATACTTTTATTTTATATTTTGTATGAATTAGAAATGCGATTTACCAGGTGTGCCTAGAACAACTTTTTTAATGGTTTTTAGTCCTGATGGGTAAATATTCTCAATTACAGTTGCATTTTAAAATAAATATAAATTAAAGATATAAACATATATATTTCAGTACAAAGGTGGCATCTACACATGGAAATCATAAAATTTATATAACAGATTTAACAACTGGAAAGAATATTAGAATTCTTTCTGGTCATCCACGCACACCATGGTGCATAGCATTTCACCCATCATCAAATGAAATTTTAGCTTCTGGATGTTTAGGTGGCCAAGTTCGTGTTTGGGATCTCAGTGTAAGTTTATAAAATTTATTACTATATTCAATTCTTTACAGATAAAGACAAATAAAACAACTATATTCATTAAATTTATAGCATATTTAAATAAACTATTGAAGTTATAAAAATTCATTTTGTAAAAAACCTTTACAGTATGTACTACTATGAAAAATGTTTTTCTAATTTTTTTATTTTTATTTTTGTATTAATACCATGAAATTAGATATAAAATATTACATCATAATTATTTTATGTACAGGTAAAGCCAATTACACTATAAAAATTACTACAAATTAATACAAAATAATTAAAAGTGAAACATAAATCTAAATTAATCAATGAAATCAAATTAATTTCTTTTTTAACTAGAAGAAAATATGAAATATGTGTAACTCAGATACGTGTAGACATATTTTTATAAAATGTGGAACCATTTCAAATTATAAAATATTGAAATTTACATATTAAAAAATATAATTATTTTTAATATTGTATAAATATATTTATTAAACATCATTTATTAATATTTTTAAGAATAGAATTATTTAAATTTCTAGGGAGGTAGTGAAATTTGGAACTCCAAAAGTCAAATAGCTTCATTAGCTTTTCATCCTGTAGATAGATTGCTTGCTATTGCTACTTATAATGAAGTTCATTTTTGGGATTGGAGTAATGCACAGCCTTTTGCTTTTGTTTCTACAAAAAGTCATAAAGAAAAAGTTCGGTATGTACCACAATCTGTATTAATTTTCAATTAAAATATTTTATAAAATATATATTCTGAAATTATAAATTTTGTTTAGGTATGTTGCCTTTGACAACTTAGGTAGAAAACTAATTACAGGTATTGCAAATCCATTTCAAAATTCTCAATGGGATCGACCTCCAGTAGAACACTTAATAAGGTCTATTCCATTTTCAAGGTAGTTTTATTTCATTTTAAAATATGTAAATTATTCCGTACTTATTAATAAATTATAATAAAAAAAAAACATTATAGAATACAAAGGGATAGACTTCTTGATAATGACTATAATCCTTCATCAAGATGGAATTATGGAGCAGTTTATGGTCCATTTCGTTCAGAGAATTCTGAGCATAGAAATGGTACAAGTTCAGAACATAGTTTTCGAAATAGAAGAAATCCTTTCCGTAGATCTTTTTGGTAAGTTAAAAATGGTATTATTATATTTTATAAAAAAGAATTTGTTCAATTATTTAAAATTATATTTTTATTTCTTTTTTCGCGTGTAACTTTTTCTCATTATAAATTGTATACTTTGAGATAATATTTTTGTTTTATAATTTTGATTGTTAGGTTTGATTTAGACACAATTATAAAATTAGTATTGTAAGGCTATTAAAGAAATTTATTTGATAAAGATAATGTATAATAAACAAAAAAGATTCAGGATTGATACCTGCAATGTTTTTATTATTTTTTTTTTAATTTTTAACTTTTTAAAAGAAAGAAAATATAAACTATTGTCAATTAAAAATTGTACACCTATATGTATATATTTATATATTTATGTTTATGTATAAATATGTTTAATAGGGAACGTAGAGCTGCAGCACTCAGAGATAATCGTTTTCCAATATCATCACGAATCAATCGTTCAGCCTTCCTTCACGAAAATTCAAGCTTGAATAGATTAGTACCTGAGATCGTTATCGAAAGAATACCTGGTGAAGATCATGTTGGAAGCATCCCTCCTTTCCCTGCATATAGTAGTAACGCAAGTAGTAACTCGTTAAACGATACTCGGACGGTCCAAAATTATCGTTTGCCAGTAGCAACGCCACGAGTTACGTGGTTACTAGTTCCTCAAGAATCAGAGACAGCAACAGCAGGCACTAACAGTAGATCATTATTACCTGACATAGTTTTCGAACGAATTCCTGATGAAGATACAAATAATGCATCACCTTCTACCAATAATAATGCAAATAATTCAAGACCTGATGAGTCGGAGGACGAAAGTAACGACGAAGATTTATTTAATGCTGATTATTCACAAATATATCCAAGTCGTTCACTTACCCTTGATACACATCTTAGGCGTCGATGGAATATTTTTATGTAACTAATATTTGAATTTATTGACTTTTAAGGTTTTTGCATAATTATTCAGAAAATAATATACAAATTATAGTATTAACCAAACAGTCCTTAGTTTCTTAAAATTTAATAGGATACTTATATAAAATATTTCAATTAAATTAAAAATTAATGATCAATTTTGAAAAATACTCGTTTTTTGTAATATATTCTTATATTCATAACTATAAATATAAGTGCAATTTTAGTTTTTCTTGTTATCAATTTTATTAATTTTAAAAATTATTTTCCTACTTTATATTATTGTTTTATTAGATTTCTGATAAATTAAAAAAATATATAGATTTGTACGAAAAATATACTTTTGTTTTAGTTGAGTAATTTTTATTAAAATTATTCAATGCTGTAGAAATTATTTAAATTAAATAAACAATAGTACTGTTTATTATTTTATGTAATAACTATTTATAGTTACATAAGTGATTAGGTATCAAACTTATTTTCTCAAAATTATTTAATGACTATCATTTATTGTACATATTGTAGATACTGATGTACAATTTTTTTTTTTAAGTAGTTAGAAAAAAAATTAAAATTATATATCACTAATTGATAGTAATCAATTAAATAAATAAACAATTCTTCGTTTATTTTAAATAGATAATATAACTTCAGAAATACTTTAAAAATAATTAAATACTTAATATGTGTATTATTAGAATATTTATATTAAAAAAATCTATTAAAAATGATGCAAATATTACATTAGTAATATTACATTAATATTACATATTACAATATCATATTTATCAAAATTAATTATCATTATTTAAATTAAGAATTATGACTATTTTTTAAATTGATTTTATAGATTACTTGAGGTATATATAATGTTATGTTATTATTAACCTAAGTAAAGTAGGTTAGTAATACTTTTTTAGTTTTAATATTTTATAACAAATATCAATATTAAATATTAAGTATTTAATAGATTTTTCAAATAATATATTTGCTTATTTATTTTTTAAGCTTTACATTCTTTAAAAATCATAAAAATAATTTTACATTAGAAACTATTTTTAACTGTTTACTTTCTAAATAATTATGCAAAAAACATAATTTTGATTTGAAATCGATTTAAACTTTAGCTACATATAGATTTAGAGAGTGGAGTCATAGAAGACTTGTGGATCAATTTGAAAGCACTTATAGATCATATTTTAATACATCGCGGCGCAGAGAGATGGTAATTAAAATTTACTTATTCTAAAAAATACTTTTTATTTAATAGTATGAAAACAATTATTTTTTGTTTATGTAAAAATATCAAATTTCTTGAATAAAATTAATAGAATTTTGTACATACAAATATTTATATTGTTATTTCGAATTTAAAATAGTAATGAATAAAAATAGAAAATACTTTTTATTGAATGTTTGCACTTTAAATATAATTTATTCTGAAAGACTTTCGATGAAATTTTTTCAATAAATATAAAAAAAAAATTTGAATATAAATAAAATATATAATAGAAATTTATTATTTATCCTTTGAATATGCATTTCATTGTTTTTAAGGCAATAATTTTAGCAATATTTTTAATGTGATACATAAGTAATGTATTTATTTACTTATTTTAATATTATTATAACTAATCTCTTCGTAGATTGACCATGGTGCAGATATTCTGAATAGAGAGCGGAATTCACGAGTTAGTAATACGAACAATCACTTCCCTGTTGAGGATTTCGCACAGATACTTCGAAACATTCTGAATTTCAGTGCATATGAGACAAATCTTAGTCTAGATACCCTTCAGCGCAATCTACCTCTTTTGATGGAGCAGCCCAGCCAGTTTGCTCAAAGCAATATGATCTTCTTTCAGCATTATTTGCATGACACTGGCCAAAGCAATACCATTTGCCTACTGAATTTACATAAATTGCGAGAAGGTCTGCGTTCACGTATCACTGCAATGATAAATCAAGCAAGTGGTCGCAATGAGAGACTGCAGGCTTTTCTTAATATTTTGAACGATGAAGTACAAGCCTTGAATGTTATGGAGAGGCAACTAGTGAATACAATTTTGCGCATTGAAACGCTGTGGAATGAAATATCTCTGTTCAATAACGAAATACGCCCACGACAATCAACGGTAACTACAGATTCGACGTTACGAACAGCAGTTAGGCGATCGCTAACAGCAGACGACGAAGAACAACCACAAACATCAAGACGAAGACTACAGAATGATGATGATGACAGAATCGAAGATGTACCTGGTAAATAGAGATTTTTACTTCGTATATGACAGTATAGACTATAGTAAATATTTATTTATTTAACAAAAACAATTGATCAGAAATACTTCATTATTTCATATAATTTCGTTATTGAAATTTTATATAATTATTAAAAATTACTCAAATAATTTACTTACATTATTTTCTTATAAATTAAGAAAAGAAATCCTTTGAAAGTACTGTTTTATTGAAAGAATACCACCATATATTTTAATTTCTGATAATTTGATAATTTGAGAATTCGATTGTGTTAAAACAGAAACGAGTGTGTAATTCAAAATAAATAATTCAATTATATACACATTATTAACTCATTGTATTAATAAATTTTATATTTATCTAGATTACATCACAAGTTCGCTATCAAGCAATAACAATTTTAACAGTAATGCGTACTCTCAACGCGGCGGCTTTAATTTTTCTATTTCCTCGCGTTCAGCATTCCAACCAACACGCTCGAGTAGTCAACGTAGCAACATGGATTCATATAATGGGTTTAGAAATTTTGATCGCAACGATTTCAGTTCATCACCATCTGCTCCTAGTAGAACTGAAACTAATATTGATCTAAGCCACTTCAACACTCCTGGCCTATCACGTACTATCCGCAGTGCTAGACGTATGGCTCTCAACAGCTTTAACAGATTTTGGGAAGCGTTTCAGAACTATCTAAATAATATTAATTTAAATGATCACACCCTAAACGAGAATGAGACTACAGGCGAACAGTCAGACAACGGCTATTGGCTTCTTGAGGAGAATAGCAACTCAGACTCGAATCACGAGGAATCGAACGGTGTCATGAATTCGACCACAGAGCCGAGGCGTCGAGCCAGTCGGTGGATACAGTTAAATTCATCTAGTAGAAATACTGATACAGCTAACGATAATTCAAGAATTTTGGTTAGTTTGTATATTAGATGCTTTAATTACAAAAAATTTTAAGGTTCTTTTATATTAGTGAAAAAAGTATTTTTATAAAATTGGTCTGTCAAATTATGTATTCGAGTTATTTTACTATTTACATCATAATTTAGATGTTAATTAATAAATTTTTTAATATTTAAAATTAATTCGATTTCAAATATGATATTTATCTTCTTTTTATAAGCTACAAGAATTAATTCTTATACTTTGTATACAAGAATGATTAATAAACAATTAAATACATATTTAATTTAATTACAGCTTTAGAGTGTTTAAAAATCAAATACAGAAAATGATCAACATGTATTTCATTAAAAAAGATTTTTTCATATATTATTATAATTGTGTATTTGGTTGATGATTAAAAATTGAATACCTTTTATTTATATAATTTTATTTTAAATAAAAGAGATTCAAATAATAATAATTTTAAAAACTAACATTTTTAACCAAAAAAATTCAAAATCAAATTTAAATTTAATAAGATTATAGTAAAAAGTTATTCGAAAATATAAACATTTGTGTAATATAAAAACAACTGCATTTATAAATATTTAGTAAAATGTAACTTATAAATAGGAATTCTAAAAAAGCTTTTGAATAAATATCAGTATATATAAATAAATTTTAAAATATAAAAATGTAACTTTCTAAGAGTTATTAAAAGAATTATAGTTAGATGTTTCCCACATTTGATACGTAAAATTTACATTTAAATTAACTAAGTCACGTTATTAATTTCTATAGATTAATAACATAATAATAAAAAAATGAACATTGTAATAATCTGTAAAATAATTATGACTTATCACCTTATTACTTATTTATATAGCATAAGGAAATATTGGAAATCTACTTTGAGAGTTTATTCGAAATATTTTTCTGTGAATTGACATTGAAGAAGTTAATAATTATAATAAGTTATATTTAATTAATTTACAATACACCACACACTTATACATATATATATATATATATATATATATATATATATATATATATATATATATATATATATATATATATATAATGAATACAAGAATTGATTTAGCCTACAAACATAACATTAAAATAGTAGAAAATAGAGTAATAGAAGAAAATTTGACTATATTGCGAATAAAATGATTGCTTAAAGGGTAGCAGATTAATAAGCGATGAATGGGAATCAAGCTCGTTCCGCTTCCAGTCTCAGAGTAACGGTGGCGGTATGAATGAAAACAGTTGGTCGCCAATCTCAGCGAGCTCAACACGTTACGAGCAACCACCACTTTTTCCCTTCAGAAGCTTGCGTGAGACGATGCGCCGGCGAATGGAAATGACTCATATTAGAGTCCAGGCGAACACCGAATGCAGTGTTAAACAGAGCACCAATCTTCAAAATTTGATTGGACAATCTAGTAGCAGAACAACTGAATCAGAGGCTAATCACGACGTAAATTCAAGTGTTACTGTTACAGCCACTGCTACTTCGAACATCACGCAAGCTCCGAGCATCGATAGAATCACGGATCACAATGAGGATTTTGGATTATTTGGTAAGTATGGTATTTATGATCTCATAAATCTCTATACTTTATTCATTGTTTATAAATTAGATTATTAATTAATTAGATCATTTATATGAAATATAATAATATTCGTTACTTTCTATTTAATTGAAATATATTTCCAAAAGAATTAAATCTTTTTTTATCATATTTCAGATCGACAAAATAATAACATTCATCGTTCTGATTTGACAAGTCAAGAAATCAGTCAACTACAACAGGTTCGCTTAATGTGGGAAAGACTTCAATGGCGCATTCGATACCTTTACATAGCCATTCACATTGAAAGAATGTATAATAATGATAATTCACAGACTAATACAAACAGGTAATCATGGAGTTTATTTATTTTTTAATAAATATTATTTATTATCTTAATTAAAACCTAAATTCTTCATAAAATTAATTACAAAGCTTCCTAATTATTAAACTTAAAGAAATATGATATAATTATTTGTATGTTTACATAATTTAATGAAATATTTTAAATGGTTTTAATTCAAAATTGGTTATGAAAATTATTTCAATTTAACTGTTGTTATATAGATTGGGATTAGGTGGTCCATCAACATCTGGAGCAGAATCTACAACTTTAAATACTGAGTTTCAAACTGAAACTGCACGCAATTTTAAGAAAACTTTGCTAGAGAATTATAAAAAACAGATTGTCGAAAATGAAGCAAATCAACCACAACCATCTACATCTACAATTTCATCACCTATTATCAATCGAAATCTTCCCAGTACTTCCCATTCTCAATCTGTCATGAACAACGATGGCTTTAGTTAGTGAACTTCAATTAATAATAATTATTAACTGCCAAAATTAGTGATTTAAATTTTGTTTTAATTTCATACAGAAAACGGCAAGAATGAACCATCTAACTCAACTAATTTAAACCTGTCTATGCAACCAAACAATGTAAAATTAGAGTGTCTTGCAAATGTTTACAAGCTCCTTGACAAATTTTTTTCAAAACAGAGAATTTTAAAATCTAGAGAGCAACTTTTACAGTTTTCACTACCAGGACCCTCAAATGATCATACTTATTCAAATTTATCATCCTATAATATCAATACGAACCCTAATGATAGTACGTCATTACCAAGCACATCCAGTCACGTGAGCGATATTTCGGGTAGTCTTTCGAGTTCCTTGTGCTTGCCCAATGTACTAAATTTATGTATAAATAGCAGTAGTAATGCATCTACTAATAAAAATATAAAGTCTACTACAAATAGTGGTGAACCGAGCACTTCATCTTCAAATATAAATAATATGGCGGTAGGAAGTACCTCTTCTCAAATACATAATTCAACTTCAAGTAATATTATTGATTCACCCGTGAATAGTACAAGTTTTCCAGAATGGCAATCTAGGTTAGTCAGAGACTTTAATAGAATTATTATTTGTATTTTATTAATATTTAATGCATTGAAAATTACTTTAAAATATACTTTTGGTTATACTTTTGGTTTTTATTTTAATAATGTTCATAAATTAGATGAATATAATAATGCTTACTAATTTTTACAAGATATTGATTTATTCATCGTAGAGAAAAATTTATACTGACTTTTAAATAATTAATTTTTTGCCTGTATGCATTCTTAAAAATATTAAATACGATTCTTTAATTATGTAATTAATAATAAATTAATAATTAAGATTTATAGTATTTATTTTTAATGTCTAAAATATTAATTTTTATTATACATTGAAATATTAAATTTTCTGAACTTATTGTAAATTGTTTTAAATGACTATAATTAAAATATTTTAACAAAAGAGATTCTAAAAAATTAATAAAAATTAATTATTTCAACTTATCTTCATATTTAGTATTAACTATTTATTCAGTATTATAAATAATGCTACTTATAAAAAAAAGTATATGTGTTATTAAAATTCCATATAATTGTTTATTGTATGTATTTTATATTTTTTTAGATATCGAAGAGTTTGGCATTATGGACAAAGATTGTCAATTCATCGTCGCTATATGAAGCGATTACATCGTATGAGAAGTTTTAATCAACGTTTCCTGCAGTATGATCAAATTTGGCGTAATCCTCCCGAATCCCTTCAAACTATTATCACAGGGTATATATAGTCATTATTTTATATTCTTTTTTTTATTACAAGAAATTCCATTTTTCAAAATTAAAAATAATATTTTTTTAACCTAAGATATTCATTATTTTATTAATATTAAAAAAAAAGTTTTATTACTTTATTTTGTTGTATACCTAAATATTTTGCACATTTCTAAACATATACATATGCATATTTCTCTTTCTGTGAGTAGTGCAATATATATCTAGAATCGAAAGTGACATAGTAACAAAATACCTATAAATACTAAAGTATTTTAATAAAAGATTTTCAAAGAAAAGAAATACAAAATTATATACTTGTAAATTAGTAATATGAATTTTTTTGTGAGTATATCTAACTTTTATTTTAATAAACATTTTTATATTTGCCTCTTAACTTTACGAAATTTATTTTATATGTTAATCAATATGATTTTGTAATTGAAATCTATATGAACAAATTTTTTTTTGTATAATGTTTTATTGCTTTACACAAAAAAGTATTAACACGTAAAATTAATTAGAAAAGAATTAAAAGTTTTTTATTTAATTTTGATTAAACTCTGGTTGTAGTTTTTGGTAAAATTATCTGGCATTAATACTAACATTTTTGTAAATATACCCAATATTGATTGAGGATTACAATCATTTTATGTTATCATATTTTATAATTAAAAACTTGATTCATTTTATTTATTTATTTGCTTTTTCAATTTATTGGGTTTTTTATTCTATTAAAAATAAAAATCATTATATAGCTTACAGACTCTGATTTATCAGCAGACGTCGTTTGCACGTCGCAACAGTGACCTACAATATGAAAATTCAGAAATAATTGATCATATACGGGAAATAACACGATTGCAAGCAAGACAAACTCTCAGTCTTATAGTTGAAAGATTGACTCGTTTTTTTGAGGACATTCAGCCAGGAAATGACAGCCACAACAATATTCTTAATGAACAGGTTAATAGAATATATATGTTACCAAGGCTTGGTATACAACTAACGGATTTATTACTTGAACAACTCACCTGTTCAACGCAAAATGTCAACAGTCGTGATTCAAATAGATCCACAACACAACTAGCAACTCGTAATGAGCAGGAATTAATGTCAACAGAAACGACTACAATATCAGTAAACAGAATCCAATCGCCAACCAGTACTACACTACAAAATAATTTTCCAGAAATAGTAAATACCGGTATAAATAGTAACTCTGGTTAGTTTAATTTTTTCAGATTCATTTAAATCCTTTTTAATTTATTTAAACATATAAAAGAAAACTATCATAAGTTACATTTAATCAAATTTATTGGGAAAATTAATTATTTATGTTACTAAAAAATTTATAGCGACAGAAAACTTATCAGTAGTATTTTAAGTTCCAGTCATAATAATGCTTTTATAAGACTGACAAAAATTTTTTGTTTGGAAGATGCCACAAATACGTCTTCGTCGCAAAGTACGTTCATGTCAGCAGTGAGTGGGGAAGCAGCAAATATAATAACAGCCGCAACATCAAGTAACACAAATGAATTTGAAAATAGCGACATTTTGCTTACAAACGACTCTCGCAACGAGAACGCCTTGTCTGCCGAAATTCAAAGCATCATTGAGAGAATACAGAGTAACGGGGCTGAAACGAGTGACTCAAGTCAGCGTTACCAAAGTAGAAGTGGGTTGAATCCACACTCTGATAATGACAGCGACGAGCATTATGAAGACGATGACATGTCTAGTTAGTTTATATATATTTTTAATTTTTAATGAGCTAAATAATTCATAGGTAAAAAAACTTAATAGATGCTTACGGAGTTACAAACAAACAACTTTTTAAATAAATTATGAACATACTTCTTATTTGAATGTATGCATAAAAATTAAATTATGTTATCTCATGATATAAAAAATTCTGAACATTTTCTTTTCTTTTTTTATTTAAATGTTAACAATTGCTTAAGTAAAAATATATAATCTTACATTTTCATTGATTAAAAATACGTTCAATGTATAAAGTATTTATTAGGATATTGTTAATTATTCTGAATATTGTAAAAATATATGATTTATTTATAATAATAGCTATTTATGTAATACGAAATATCCGTTGATTATAAAGCTCAGATATTTTTTATTTGATCATTTGTAAAAATTAAGAATTATTTAAGTCTAATTGTATTAAACAAGACCAAGTAATAGTTTTAAAAGTAAAAAAAGGAACTTCATTATTTTGTTTGTGAATCAGGTAGGATTGCTAATGAGAATCGAGTCAATAGGAGGGAATCGCCTCGAATATGGTCGGAGACTTCTCATATTTCTGGTCAACAGAATCAACATCGTTTCGATGGTTTAATGATGATGGGTCAATTACTCTATCTCGAATCTTTTCCGGGTTCACAAAGTGCTGGTATCAATAGGCAAGAAATGCCACCACGCGAACGCAATTCCACTGTCGACCTTATTGCAAATCGAGCACGCTTTGATGCACATATCGAGGGTGTCAGAGGCTCTTCCTCAACTACTTCGCGACAAGACTTCAACGTGCCAGTGATACGTATCAACAATTTACCAGTAAACGAGATTGGAGGCACGTCGTTGGGCCGAAGGCGTCGGCCACGATCGCGAGCTCTCCGGTCTGAACTTTTGTATGGTGTCGCCCACAGAACGGAGAGAAGTACCGCAGGCGTTAGCACCAGGAGTTCAAACCCTAATACAAGTAGTAATCCTGTTGATCAACCAGCCTCGCCATCATTCTCAAACAGCTTTAGAAGCCAGGTTTGATTAACTTCTATTGTATTCGAATTATCACGACAACAGCAATAACAATGATTTAGTACCTAAATAAGCAAATAATGTTAACTGTGATATATTTAAACTAGAAAATTACTATTATTTATTTATATATGGCATTTTATATCATTTTAATATATTTGACATAGTTTTCACAGACATTTTATATAATAATAATATTAATAATATAATATTAATACTATATTACCATTAAATTGTCATTAATTTGATATTATACATTTATTTCAATATTTTATGATAAAATTAGATTTAATTTTAATTTTTTTCAGGATTTTATTTATGATATGATAGTTATAATAATGTTATTTTTATATTTATTTTTTTTTTTTTTTCATTTATCGAGAGTATATTTCTTAGATTCAACGGTTCTTAACACAGGCTACTTGGAGAGATGGCTTTGTTTCTCGATCACAGGGACACTTCAGAGCTGGTGAAAGTTCAAGTGGAAGTCAGGAGCCTGAAACTGATAGTGATGTAGAGATTAGAGGTAAATTTTTATATGATAACATTTCTCTTGCATGTATATTTTTAAGATTTAATAGTTTTTTCATAGTTTTAACTTTATTTGTTTAAAGTATTTTTATTTAACATTAATATTTTTCTATTGTATAAAGATCATCAAATAAACATGGCTTTTAATGGATTCGAAATTCAAAGTTATCGAATACAAGCATGGGATTTTTCTTCTATTCCTGACATACACGATCGTAAGTTATCATTCACATTTATTTTCTTAGTAATTAAAATTAGTAATGTACCTTCTTATTTAATTACAGCAAAAAAAAATGTGATTGTACAAGAGTGTAAGATTCACAATGATGCTAGTATTGATATTTCATCTGATGGGACTTTATTAGCAACTTTATTGCCATCGTCTAGATCAAATCCACTGACAACAATAGGTAAGATTTTAATAGATCCAATATGAAAAGTTATTATACTTGCGATACTTAAAAGAAAAATAATTAATAATAATACTAAAGCATAGTGAAACTTCATTTCATTTAAAATAGTATATATAAAATAAAAATTAATAATTTGTTAATTTAATTAATTAAAAAGAAAAATAATAAAACTTAGAAATATTGATTAACTCAATTTTAAATTTTACTTAAGTAACATAAAAATATAATTAAATTATGTTATAAGAATGCACAATTCGATAATTTATTGTATTTTGTAGGTGTATATAGTCTAGAGTGGGAGACTTTAGGTGAAAAAGTTTATTCAACGCAAACTGACCAAACAGTTATCTCAGTCTCAATGTCACCTACAAAGCAACACCTCCTTGTTGGTTTAGCTTCGCGTCGAATTCATATACCTGCACGACCGACTCCTATGGCATTTATCTATAAACTAATTGAACCTGAGGAGAAGTTGCTATCTACGAGCAATCAGGACACAGACAGTGTCTACAGCCAAGAGCATTCGGAGATTGGTCGACGGGACGTCGATTTTCTCTGTTTCTTCAATAATTACTTCAATGACTTGCGTCGACTAATGACCAATGTGGAGCAGCAGATTGAAAACCAACAACAACCATCCCAATCAACAAACAGTAATAACCACGATTGGCGAGCACAAAGCGATGGAACTGCAACACGAATTACGAAATCTAGTAGTAGTACCAAACAAAATAGAAAAAGTATGGTGCTATTACGTGAATTACTGCAAAATTACGAGACCTCAAGTTATGCGAGTCTTAATTGTATTAGATGGGCGCCACAGCCTGGTCAGGGCATGGTTTATGCCACTAATACTGGTTTATTAAATATATTATATTAGAGAAACTTTATCGATTATAATTTTAACGTACTAAGCGTTTTAATAAATTATATAATTGTACGAGAGTAATGGAAAGTTTTTTTGTGTGATACAATAAACTGTATTCTTATAATTTTGACCTGCAGTCGATAATAAAAAAGCTGCGGTATAAAAATATTGATATAATATTGTAAAAGTTAAAGTATCATTTCAATCGAATATTATTATCCACTTCAAAATAAAAAATTTTCACTTACAATATCAATAATGCTACAAAAAATTTATAAATTTTAAGTATGAGCATTATTTATTTTGGCTCAAATATGCGGAAAATATTTCATTGATATAATCTATAGAATACAGAAATAATGTATTTCACTCAATATATTAGATGATTTATAAAACATTTGATATTTTATTGTTAAATCAATTGTAAATCAGTCCCGCATTTGTTGCTGCATATATTAGAATACAAAAAAGACAATTGAATATAATAATTATTAATATATTGTTTAATTAATAATATTATTCATCATGGGACTGTGCCTTATCAACTTTTTTATTATCTCAATTTATTCTTAATATGAAACAATATTTAATGTTTATCGTGAATCATTGTATAAATAAGCAACTCAAATAAAAAAACTAATAATGTAATAATGATATACATCGAAAGTAGTAAATTTTCATGAATGGCCTCTTAAGATTTTGTAATTGAATTATTAATCATGTATTAAAATTACACTAATTTTTTTATCGAACTGAGTTTAAATTGTGATTTGAATATTTTTGTTAATGACATTGGAATATTCTTTTGTGATAATAATTAGGTCATAATAATTGCATGAAATTGCAATGCATTAATAGTCTAAAGTTATATTTTCTATTATTCTCTACACTATTGCATGATTATTAAAAACTACATTCAATCTTACTGAATTTAATCTTACTAGCTCTTATATTATAGTAATTAATGGGATTCATTACTTTTATTAATATTCAATAAAAATGCAAATATATATCTATATATAATATTAATATACCAAACATACAGAAAACTATTCAAAATAGTACTGTTTTATAAATCGTTAAATATGTTCTATCTTGGAATATTTTAGAAAAGAGTATATGTAAATGTATTTTTCGTAGAGACAAAACGATCATGTATTAGATACCGAGCAAATGGAAAATAATCTTTATATATTAAAATAATTCTAGATTTTTTGTAAATACATAAACAACTTTCCAATAAATTAATACATTATTAATATTCTTTGAAATTATGAAAAAATATAAAAATAATAAAATGATATTTCTAATAGTAAAAATACTAACTGTTCCATGACAAGATCAAATAAATTTTCTGCATTTATACGAATATTTAAAATACCAATAAATTGGTAATACAAAATTAACTGTCTTATTATTTACAAAATTAATAGACTAATATCATTCATCATATAGTAGACTATGTAGTAATTCTGGAGTTTCTGGTTGCTTTACGCAGAACGAAAATTTTTCTTGTGTTGATGTTGCATACTTTTGGTATTGTACCTGGTTCAGATCTTGATCTAACATCGTTTCAATTTCTTCATCGATATATAATGGGGTTTCATATGATTTACTTAAATAAGAAGAGCTTGGATTTGTAGAATTAATCGTTTCGTTTATAGTATTTTGTATTTCAGTTTCAGTGAGAAAAATTGGTGAAAATGTATTCATTGAAATAGTAACATCACGTTCTACTGCTCGATTTACTGTATGTTGAAGAAGCTTTTCAGTTTCTGGAATGGGATATTTAATCTGATGGTATTTGATTTGATGTAGTTTCAGATTGCCAGTTTGTGAAAAACAACGTTCGCAATAATTACATCTATATGGTTTTTCACCTGTATGACATCTCATATGCCTTTGTAATTTGTACTTTGTTACAAATTGTTTTCCACACTCTGTACATTGCAAAGCTTGATCTTGTGTACAGATATCTTGACTACCAATAGTAGTTTGATTATTTGTTGCATGTAAGTTTAACATATGTGATTTTAAAGAAATTCTATATCGAAATGCTTGGTGACAGTTGGCACATTGAAATAGTTTTTTATTATCATGAATTTGTTTGTGTTTTGTCATAACTTCTTGCTGATTAAAAGACATGTTACAAATCTAGTTATAAAATATATAATTAATTATTTAAATAATAATTAATAGTATAAAATTCTTAAAGAATACTTACGTTACAAGCATATGGGCGTTGTCCTGTATGAATTAATTTATGTCTATTTAAATGAGCTAAACATCTAAAACTTTTTGCACAAATATAACAAGTCTGTTTTTTTTTTTGGAATGAAATTACTTGTTCATTTGATGTCTCAGGTATATCAGTTTCTTTTAAATGACATAACATATTCTAAAAAATTATATATCATGAAAAACTTTGAAAATGATTTTCAAACTTATATTGTTAAGTAATATTAATAAATATTGCAAACAGTTTTATTAAGAATATTATTTTATTTTATTATTTTTTTCAAATATAATTATTGTTAAGATTTAACATACTATTACTCAAAGCCATTTGAGAAGTAGTAGAAGAAATATAAAATTATATTTAAATAGATTTTATTGATTTAAATACAAATAATAATTTTTGTAATAATGTTATAATAAATACCTCTGTAAAGTTAATTTCTAATGATGGTGCAGATAATTGTTTTTGAACATTTGCTACCATTAAACAAAATTCATCAAACATACAGATTGTTTGTTCACATATATTGCATACATATTTCGATAAATTATCAGATATAGAAATGCTAATAATCTAAAATTGTTAATTTATTTATTCAAAATTATGTTTTTATAAATCATTTTTAAGATTAAGTAATTGTTGTAGGTTGAAACATTTACCTCTTTTGCAAAGTATTTATTGATTATTGATATAAGTACTGAACCTTTTATTTTATCTTCAAATAAATCAGTACCTTGTTGTTTTTTTTTGCCGCAAAGTCTACACAATTTGAATGTTGTTATTTTATGAACCAACATTTTTTTAAAGTTACTTGCGTTAATATTACGACATAACATTTCATGTTTGTTCAGTAGAAAAGAAAGAAAACAGTTTTATCGATAATACAAACATCATTATAGAAACGCATGCGCAAAATATAATAGAATATATTTATCAAAATATTAATTATTAATTAATAAAATAAATTATAAATTAATTAATAAATAAGTATAGTATTCAATTTTAAAGCAATTTTAATAATTAGTTTCTAATAATTTATTAATAACATAATTCTAAGTAAAAAATTTATTATTTTGTATTAATTTTGTTTATATTTTAGATATTATTAATTGTATTTAGTTTTAATTCCATATTTAAACAAGTATTTTAATACAATGCTAACATTATTTATATACAAAATATTAAATTTTATATTATAATATATAAATAAATAATAAATAAATAAAAAATAAAATGTATATTATATACAAAATATACAAAATACAAAATTAACCGTTTTCATATTAATCAAAATGTAAAATATTTTGATCGAAGTGTTATTAATACAGATACTTATTGCTTGATTATAATCGTAAGTTAATAAGAAAAGATTTCATAACCTTAAGTTTTAAAAATTATGTATCATGTGTTTAATATAAAATTCATTTTCTGTTAAAGTTATGAATTTTTGGTCATTATATTTATATTTCATACATAAGAATATAATTGTCAAATGAAGATAATTAAAAATTGAAATTTTATTTGCAGAAATGGACTAAACATACATGCTTTCAATTATGTATATTAGTTATTGATGTTATTTTTAGTTTAATAAATTATTACCAAAATCAAATATATTTAATAAAAAAAAAAATACAGATCTATATTTATCTATTTGAAATTTGTATTTCTCTCTCTCTTCCTCTTTTATCTACCTTCTTATCTCAATTCAATTTGTACACAATAAAATATACGAAAGAAAGAAAAATTTAATGTTGAAAGCATGCGATATATCCCAATTTTTACTATGTCATTAAATACTATACTATTGTTAGGATGTTGCTGGAAGGTTTGAGGGAAATCATATAGTAAATACGTGTCTGCTAATCAAATATATTCTTCACGTTACACTAAATACTATTACAGGCCGTAATAGGAGAATACGTTCGCCTTAAGTCATAGAAATAATATAGAAAACTATTCAAATTTTTATCACTATCATTATTTGTCTATCACTTAATCAAGAAAAGACTTATAGATTAATTCATTTACGAAATTAAAAAATCTTCTAAATTCATAGTCAATATTGTTTTTCACCATTTTACAACTACTTGAAATAAAATTAAAATAAATAATATTTTGACCGTTAAATTATCAAAAATATAGTCGTACGTACTCAATCTAGAATAATGATTGATGTACTTGTTTTCTATGAGGTAATAAGCAAAAAAATAAACAAAGTATAAAACCAATATTCGAACCCAAAAAAACCATATTCTTCCTGGAATATATGACCACCATTCGGTGTACCGTATATCTGCTTATCGAACAGCAATAAAATTTAAAATACAGAAGTAATTTTACGATAGGCACAAAATATAACGGCATAATAAATAAAATACAAAAATATACTGCGAAGAGTAGTATTTGTCTTTATCGTACCTGTTTTACTTAATACCGGGACTTAACGTGATTTCAAGAAGAACTTTTGTGATTAATAATAATGTCATTAATTAAAACTGCAATCACATTTATTATTATTGGAACTCGGAAAATTTTTATTTTGTATTTTGTACTAACTGACCAATCGAATTAATATTAGAATTTTGTATCCACTTTATATTATGTTATTATCGGAATTAATTCCGACATTTGATAAATAGAACTGTAACTTGATGAGAAACTATTGTAATTCCAATGATTAGCTCTCTACATACATTCTCGATGACCCTTAGCGATTGATTTTTAATTAAAAAAAAACAGTATTTAGCACTAGTAAAAAATAGGATTTTTCAAAGATAAATGATTCATATTAAACAAAATTAATTGTGTAGCATTGTGTTCTTCAGGAAATAATTTGTTATAAATTATGATACCATTATACATATTCGTCATATTATTTGTATACATATTGTATTAGAAATAGAATATAAAAAATTTTAATAATGATTTATATAGTACTATTAACAATACAAAGTTCATAAATATTCTTTACTGGATTTACCTCTTAACATCATATAAAGATTTAGGAATTAATAATTAAGAAAATCATTCGTAAGGTCTAATATTACCAAAAATCGTATAATGTTCATCTTAAATTAACAAAATATTTTTTAAATATTGTTATGAAATATTAAAAATAGTTTTTTAGGTTAATAATAAAAGTAAACCAAAATAAGATTATTTTTAAATACTAAAAAATATTTTCTTTTAAGATTTAGTAGTGCCACTTTAAAATAAAGTATTTGAAACAAAAATTTTCTTTCTTATAGATAGTATATTACACTTTCTTTATTTTGAGATAAAAAAAATCTTATTAAGAAAATTTTTTTTTGAGGTTTTAAAATAATTAAATAAAACTTAAATAAAATTAAGTCATTTGAAACTTCACTTTACTTTAATTCTAAGTCACTTTACTTTAATTAATAATTGTATTTTTTTAGCTTCCATTGGCCGTTTACGATTTGAATTACGTTTAAAATTATAAATTTTTTTAAAAACTTTATTTACTTACTTTATTAACTTTATTTTATATTATAATTTATGTCAAAAACGATGTATCAACGTATTCAATAATTGAATTAATTATACTTCACATAAATTTTAAGTAACATTCTTATTATTTGAGAAATCATTTTAGTTGATTTAATTTTGGTTAATTTATTTAGTTTACACATTTATCTAATTAAAATATTTTATAAAATATTATGTCTTATTTATTTATAATTTATTGCAATTTATAATAGTTCCATAATATAATTCAATATAATGTAGGACCATTCATTACTGCATATCTAGAATAAATAAAATTTATCTAAATAAAATATCAAAACTCTTGTTAAAGCTTTAAGAAGATGTTTATAAATCACATAATTGTAATTGTTAATTTTATTTATGATTATAAAAAATCAATTTTTGTTTTAAAAAGAGACAATGTATACATCGGTTTATTTAAAAATATAATTTTAATGTATCTACCATAAAGAAGAAACTTTAAATTTATGTAAATTATTTGTCCTTGCTTTACGTATAATTATATTTGATATTATCACAATTATATTTGATTACGCAAAATTTTTTTAGTAACAATTATTTTAAGTTATTCATTTTAAAATATTACATAAAAATTATCATTATACCACTATAAAAATGTTTATCGGTTTTTGAAATGTTTCTTGAATAAGGCAATTTATAATACTTGCAATATAAATTTTTTAATAAGTACAGATATTTTTCATTATTGGCATTGGAAAAATAGAGTTTATTTTATTTCCAGATAACTTAACATTTATCGCATATAAACTACACTGTTTCGGAAAAAATATTAATATACTATATAGTATTGAATTTATTGAAAACTTCTTTGTATCGTATATATAGCGTGAACAACAATAAGTAGAAAAGTAATCACTAGAGCATATTTTGTTTTATCACTATAAAATAAGTTCAAGATTTAATAGTATATATTATCTACTGAGCAATTATTCGAGTTGATTTTAATAATTTGAGAATTCAGAAAATAAAAACATGAGACACAAGCTTTGAAAGACAGTTGTAGAAGTAAACCTTTTCTGTCTCATAATATGTCAGGTGTCATTTAAAAAATCACTTCGAATTGAAATCGTTCGTTTCGGACATTTATGTTTTAACGTAATAATTAATTATAAATAATTGATTGTTCTTTTATATAAATTGTTAAAAAGTTATTGCTTAGTAATTATTTGAAAATTTATTATCAAAACAGCTTCTAAAATTACTTATGTACATTCTTAATTATTTACTTAATATTAAGAATATAATTAATATAATTAAATATTTCTATATCTATACGAACATTCTAATATATATACTTTCTATGCTGTTCACTATTTTAATACGTTTTAAAATAAATTGTATACGTCTTTTTAGAATTTAATTTGAATATTTAATAATATCATTTTAATATATAAATAGTTGAAACTTAAACGTACAAATAATTAAAAGTTATACGATTATATTTTATATTTAACGATATTATGAAGTACATAGTTTATATTATTATATTTAATTAAAATGAAAAAAATTTTAATGATTCACTTAGTTAAAATAGATTTGAAATCAATAAATATAATATTTTAGTTTTTATTTTCATTAATATTAATTTATTCTTCAATCTATTAAATCTGGCATTTATTTATAACTGAAAAGGTTATGATCATAGCATTGTATTGAAATTTCAAAAAAATTTAAGAAAATTAGGTGTATCCATGTTGTCATTTAATTCAATAATTTTTCAATATAGTGCTTTATTACTTGTTATTGACTTATTCTGCACTATATTGTGTAAAAGATATTTGATATATATTTGTTCACAGAAAAAGTATAAAAACTGCAGATTATTAGAAAAGAGTGAAAAACTATATAAATATCTCATACACGACATAATTAATAAAGAAGAGTTCAATAGTTTCTTTAATAGAAGAGTTCAATCATAATCAGCAAAAAAGTTTTTTCTGATCTATTTGTATGTTCGTCATACATATTGCAAATTGCAAATCTACATTTGTAATTTACGATGTGTATAGATATATATAATTTATTTTAAGATCTTAAAACAATCTGCTGTTATAAAATAAATGACTAATATCTATATAAAGGACCAAAATATATATAAATTTTTTAATTTAACTAACAATAAATAAAAGATGAATAAAAATGATGAATATTTTGAAAATAATAATGAAAGTTCATATTATAATTTCAACTTACTGATATATTATATTTGAATTGAGTAATAATTTTATTAATTTTCTTTTAATAAGTATTACCACAAAATATTTACTTATTATTAGTTTAAATGAAGCATTCAATATAAATTTTCAGCTTTTAGTAAGAAAAATTGTTGGCTAACAATATTATGAGTTTTAAAAATTATGCAAACTATAATATTTATTTGTAAAATTTAATGTTCAAATAAAATTATTTTGTAAAATTATTTTGGAATTGTGAATTATATTTTATTTTTGAGAAAAGAAAGTGAACTCATTTACAATATATTCATAAATTAAAGTATAAGCATATAAAAGTACAGAAGAATAACAATTAAAAATAAAATAATAAAATATATTAATTTAAACTATATTTTTATAGGTATAAAATCATTAAATATTGGAAAAACAGCACAAGTAATCACAACTTAACAAATTACACCGTGACTCTTATTCTCGTTATTATACTCCGTTACTCATGTCCCTTTAAACGATAGCGGCAGTATTTAAATATTTTTTGGATACTCTGTTTCGTTTTTGTTTTGGCATAATCACATGATACCCAGTTTTTCCTTTAATAATTTCAATTTATAAACATTTTTCATTATATCCAAAAATATTATACTAATACAGATATACAAATATATTATCAACACTATCCATCAAATTTTCAATTTAATTGAAATATGATATGATTCGAAATCTCTTTTATGTAAGAGTAACAGAACATTTATTTTACTAAACAATATAATACAGTATTTTAGAATTTTGACAATTCAATTATTCGAATATATATTAAATTTTTTCTTTGATAAGCTATAAATCTTTATCTAATAAATATTTGACATTGCTATTACCTGTTAGTACTAGCTAATTTAATTGATATAATTACATTTGATATAAATTAATATAACTACATTGAATATAATCCATATAATACATTATAAAAAGAATATATTAGTTATTTAATAAATCATATTATTTTAATTTTATAAATTTATTATATTCTAATAATATTAAATCATCATTTGTTAAATCTTTCTAGAATTTTCTATGTCTGCGTGTGACCATTATATGCAAATAAATATATAAAAAACCATAATGAATTTTTTAAAACTTTGATAAAGTTAATATTTACATTATTATATTAATACAAAAAAATATATCATTAAAAAAATTATGATCATTTCAAAAAAGTTTCGGTATTTATTAAAAACGTTATTTATAGTTTACGTAGAAAAATATATAATATGAATAAGTTAATATCCTGATAATATTTACATACATTTCAAAAGCAAAATTATTACATACTGCATTTTCTGTATTTTTAATATAGTAGTTATTAATTATTTAAAATTTTATTGAATTAAAAAGGATAATAAAACATAATATGTAGATAATATGCACTATTGTGAAATTAACATAATATTTTTCCTTTTATCTTTTATTTAAATTTAATAAATTAAGTAATTTAATAAAATTTATTTCTACAAATCTTTTTACTTTTACTCATATACACATAATATATAATACACATAATATATCTTAAGAAATAATAAAAACTGCTATTGTTTGGAATTCCAGCCACCAGTATGATCGCAGTGCGTGGATTAAACCGTATCACCGGTTTAATGGTGATGTGGGGGGGGGGGATAAAAAACTCCTACAATACTGTAACAACTACTTAAATAAAGGTCACTAAAACCAATTTTATTTATTCTGAGTTGATTCATTAACCTCTCACCTATCCCCCCTCCCCACATCACCATTAAACCGGTGATACGGTCTAATCCACGCACTGCGATCATACTGGTGGCTTGAATTCCAAACATTTGGTCCTTCGAGCCGGATAGTAGAGCTAATGCATTATCTCGGTCTTTATACATGGAAGGACGTGTCATTTATCTAAGAAATCAACATTAAAAAAAAACATTTTTTTATTGTCTCAAAACTATCATTATCAACAGCTATAAATACTAACATCTGCTCCGCCTCGTCGCCGACCATCCACTCTTAAATAAATACATTGACTCAAAAAAAAAAAAAAAAAAAAAAAATCCCCGACCCGGAAAAGAAGGGGTCAACAAACTCGGCTGAAGGGGACACCCACAGAACTCGCATCACCACGCAAGCATTGCAAACCAACGAATTCATTAACAAATCCAAGACGCAATGGAGTCGCATTACTTCGATGAAAAAAATCGGGGAAAGGCTCCCACTTCCTCCAAAGACAATCTTCGACGCCGAAATTCAAGGCATAAGAAAAAGAGTTAACGAACTACACAAGGCATTTATAAAGGAGCACGCGTATTTAGAAATAGCCTGGCCTGCATCCCTGCCTTCCTATGAATACTTTGAAAAGGATGCATCGGGAGAAGAATTTAATATTTACTATGAAGTACATGAAACACTAGATAAACTGCTCCGGTATATAAAGGAGACAACTCAAAACACACCCGAAGCATCGATGCCATCCACTAACAGCTTTCCCACGATGAGAGAACCAACCTACTTACCAGACATTCCACTACCCATCTTTGCTGGCGACTATTTAGCATGGCCTACGCTCCGAGACTTAATTCAATACATTATTTTGAACAATAACAGACTCAGTGAGGTACAAAAATTACAACACATTAAAAATTCACTTACAGGAAAGGCGATGAAAATCATAGAAAGAATCCCTATTAGAAATGGCTTCCTCGCGATAACATGGAACAATTTAATGGAAAAATATGAGGACCGCAGACAATATCTCGAGTCACACTTAACACAACTATTAGCTACCACCTCGCGCATACAGGATGATGCGGATACGATGGAGGATACCGCTCGAGAATCAAGAATCACACAAGGGAAAAATGAGAAGAATCATTAGCGAGGTCAACCAATTACCCGAAATTTTGACAATCGTATGCATTTATGATGATTAGAATAAGAACGTTTACAAATAAAGGCCGTATTGCACCACGAGAAACCCATACTGCAGTCCAACCAAGGAAAAGGGAACCAACCAACATGTATCATTCTTCAATCGGTATACCTAACCAACCTTTCTCTCAAAGAAAACACTGCTCATGCTGCGAATAGCAACACACCATAACAACATATCCCAACTTCGAAAAATTATCAGCTATGCCTAAATTATCACACAACTAAAATATACAGAAGCAAGAAAACATGCGATAAGTGCCATCAATCACATCATATACTACTACATCCTAATGTTGGCATAAATCCAACATCAGGTGATTCAACACCCTGAAGTTGACAAGAAATTGCATTCGGCGATACTATCTTCCCAAAGACTGCGAAAACTCTACTCGCAACAGCGGTAGTTAAAATAACTTCAAACAACACAACACTTCAAGTTCGAATCCTCATCGATACGGGATCCGAAATCACATTTGTTACGGCGAAGCTAGTGAAAAAGTTACATTTACCAATACAATATTCCGTCATTAGCGACAAGGAATTGGAGGCAACCCAGCAACAAGAACAAACGGAATGGTGTCCCTCAACCTGCAATCCATTTACTCAAGCCATGTAGTCATTGCACAAGCTCACATCCTCAAAGCATTGACAGTGATACGAATTTTTTCGAAAAACCATTATTCGAAACCTATGGCCTAGAATGGTCACATTTAAAAGACCTAATTGTGCTCGGAGCAGACATGGACAAGTCATCCAACCCAACTTGATCTCTGTCTCTCTGTCAATGCCCATAGCACAACTATCCATATTCGAGTGGCTAGTGGTCGGTCCGGTATTTTGGATACAGGAAAAGGTAACAACTTCAGATCAATTATACACACCCGATGAGCAGTGGTGTGAGAACCAATATCAGAGAACTTATTCAAGAAATCACATGGGACTTTACACGGTTCACTTACCACTCAAAGATTCGCCCGAAGCCCTTGGAAACTCCTTCGGCAACTGCTTATGACTGTCTACGAAGCCTATTGACACGGTTAGACAAAGACGAAATTCAACGCCAATTATATCAACAGTTTATGAGAAAACTTGGCCGATCTCAACAAAATTAGAATTCCACGATGGTTCAACACAGAAAGTACATCCACAATCGAATTACATGGATTCTCTGATGCCTCGCAACTAGTAATGGCGGCAGTCACCTATCTCGTCGCCCACAACTCGAATGGCCCGTCAACCACACTAGTGTGCGCAAAAACGAAGGTAGCCCCACTAAAAAGAGTCACCATTCCAAAATTAGAATTGGTAGCAGCACTATTATTAGCAAAATTAATGCAATACGTAAAAAGAACAATAATAATACAGACAAAAGCAATCTATTTGTGGACAGATTCACACGTAACCTTAGCATGGTTAACGACCCATGCATCTCGGTGGAAGGACTTTGTCAGAAACAGAGTCATCCAAATCCAAGAACTCACCGCCGATGCACACTGTAAACATATCCCAGGCACTTCAAACCCGGCCTATTCTGCATCCCGCACATCAAACCAATTGATAAACCACCCATTGTGGTGGACAGGACCTCCATGTCTACACAACCCAGAGCTATGGCCCAAACAACCAATGCAGGATGCCAATCACTGCATCCCTGAAGCCCGTCCCAACATAGCACTACCAACAGACACTCAACAATCCAAGCAGCAATGGCATCTTGTCCACAAATATTCAGACCTCAATAAATTTCTGAGAATAACCTCTTTATGCTTCAAATTTATAGAACAAGCAAGGGTACAAGAGTCAGCAAGGTCCTACAATCCTATAACACGAGCAGAACGAGAAAAACAACTTCTCAGCGGACACGCGTTTAATCGCCTGACTGCCTTCATAGACGCACAAGGAATCATAAGAGTCGGGGGCAGGCTACAGAGAGCATTACTACCGGAAGAAACCAAGCATCCAGCCATCCTACCACGACACTCGCCATTTACAACACTCGTCATAGCTCATGCTCATCTTAGGGCTATCCATGGAGGCACCGAACTCACTCTCCATTATTTACATCAAAATTATTGGATCATAGGAGGAAGAGATCCGGTGAAGTCATACGTACTGCGATACTCAATTTGCACGCGCCAAAGAGGAATCCGCGCAAACCAATTAATGGGACAACTTCCACTATCTCGAGTCACACCATCAAGACCATTCACCCACACAGGAGTGGATTATGCAGGACCACTCACGATTACAACGTGGAATGGACGAGGCGATAAAACCCAGAAAGCATGGATTTCTGTCTTCGTATGCTTTGCCACTTCTGCAGTACACATTAAGGTCGTCAGTGACTATATGACAGATGGATTCACAGCGGCATTCCAACGATTCGCGGCGTGCAGAGGCAATCCCAATACGTTATGCTCAGATCGCGGCACAACCTTCAATTCAGCAGAAAAAACACTAAAGGAACTATTCTTACACAAATCTAAACAACAGCAAAGAATAGAAAAACTCAGGCCAATGACAACATCCAATGGGAGTTCAATCCCTCCGCAGCACCACACATGGGAGGAAAATGGAAAACAGTGGCAAAGTCTATTAAATTCCACCTACGGCGAACGATCGGAGAAAAGACTCTAACCTTCGATGAAATCACAACCCTACTTACCCAGATCGAAGCCATTCTTAATTCCAGACAACAAAAATTCACTGGAAATTTAGACGTGCACTTCAAAACTTGCTTCTAGAGAATTCACCAAAGCCTCCAAGAATTAATAACACTAAATATACGCAATCGTATTTAAGAAGCAACGAACGGAGAAGAAAACAGTCTTGTTGAATTACTCAAGTGAAACTAGTGTCAGTAATATCAGTGAAAGTCGAACTCGTCTGAAGGAATCCCTGCAAGGTATATTATTATTAGTACTCTTCAATTGTTATTATTGCTGGCCAGCTATCAATATTATTCATATTGTCGTAAATCCTCGCCTAATTCTCATGACCGCACCTCGGCCCACGTCTATCATAATTATCGATAGAGCCGGGCCTAAAAGCCCTCTGATTTGAGTCCCTTGCAAACAAGCAAGAGAGGGCGTCAATCCTGACAGTAAACCCCTGTCTAAATCTCAATTAGTACTACGAGACATTACCGGTCACGCCACAACAAATTGGTTCTTATCAAACCACAAAAGAGGGCGACAACTATTCGTAATAATCCCCACCACCGGCACGAGCCGAATATCACTCAGTCAATTTCAACGTCGAGTCAAGCACCTAATCAGTTGCGAGCCGAATCTCGCTTGATACTATTCGAATATTGCCGTAAGCATCGAAGCAACACGAGCCAACTAATACCCAATATAATTCAAGCGCGACTCACACGACACATGACTATAAAATAAAACCCGGAATTATTACCTTACAAAGCTTGCACTTACAGACGATGTTTCGACTTAATAATCAGCTGCCTAGTCACTACATTCAGCAATTCTCACCACAATAAGCTTTGACACTTTCGAGAAGCTTCCTTTGTTGCTATGCGGACAAAGTGTGCGGCTAAATTTCCAGTGAATTTTTGTAACGTATAATTAGAACATTGCGCCTTAATGTAAATATGATATATGGGCATCGTATTTTAACAAACAATAAATTCTTATTTTTGTTGGGTGGTTCAATCCTGAAAAGCTATACTATAAGTTTTTTAAAATCTTTATCTTCAGATATTCATTAGATTAACTTGATAATTAAATAACTTTTGGATATACTTTTAAGTTTAATATGAAATATCAGAATAATAACTTGATGTTATATAGATGAAAATCACCCCTAAAAACAAAAAAAAACTTTGCTCTGAAAATTACGTAAAAAGTTCAGTGAGAAAATTTAAACTAATGTTCAATTATATAAAAATATGTAAAAAATATAAAATATAAATCATGTTTAATAGCACATATTTTATAAGTAAAACAAAATTTTCATATAAAATCCTAAATATTAAAAACAATTTCATAATTGAAAATAGTTCAATGTTTTTTGTCTTTGAAATGAGCATGAATACGAATGCAAGGTGACAATTGCAGCCTATAGGGCCAAGTGAAGGTAATGGATAACAAGGGTTAATACCTACGCAACTACAGTGATCCAGGACAACAAAGGCAGAGGCTCTGAGTCAACAATCGGTGAAAATGGCATTAAAATACGTTATGATACGTATGATTTTTCCATTTACAATGCAATCATTATTTTTTTTTTGTATAATACATTCAAACTAAATGAATACTAATCTCCAAAAAGACATTTTATTTATTTTTTATATACGAAAACATCTCATAACAAATTTATTAATTTTAACTTTAATTGAATCAGACAAGTTGTTAATATTTTAGACAAAAATTTTTGAATGATAAACAATTATTTTTGCTTTTAAATCAATGCTAAATAAATATATGAAATAATAAGACAATCAGGTAAACAATGATTCAACTAGTTATTACTTTTAAAATCATTCAGAAATAAAAAAAAACAGCTATATTTCTATTATTTAACTACGTTGTACAACGTGAACTTTTCTATAGGCTTATTAATTTTTATACGAATATAAATAATGACAATGTTTAACTATTTATATGAAAAAACAAATTTATTTTACAATAAAAGATTTATATTGTTATAATTATTCTTAAAATATTGTAGTTTATACAAGCCCCACCTACATTTAATATAGTTGCAAGTTTTTTTAACAGATCATTAAAAAAAAATACTGAACAACAAGTTATTTAATAATTTAATCAATTTAATAAAATTACCCCTTTATTTATAAATGTCAGAGCAATATATATATTTGTTATTTGTATGAATTTATAATATATATATATATATATATATATATATATATATATATATATATAATAAGTTAAACAATATTTATTTATTAGTTTGAATTGATTGATGTTGAAATTAAACATAGAGTTATGTGAGGTCGTTTTAAGAAATATAATACATTACATTATTATACCGATTTTTGTCTCCATTTTTTAATAATCCACATATATCCTCATATTAACGTTTCTAAGATATTTACATCTACCTCAAAGACTCGATAACATACTCAATCTATTACCTATTGAATTTTACTTTCAATCTTCATCGAACAGATATTTTATTTCTCTTTTTTTCTCTCCTTTTTCCGTGTAAACTACTCATACAGAGAGAGCTAGCCTCCTCTCATTTGATAGTCTTTAAACTGTAATTATAAGTCTGAAATTCGTAGCTCTCATTGTATTCGAATAATGTATTAAATTAAGAGGAAAACTTAATGAATTTTACTTAGAATTTTATTTAGAAAAAATTAACTCTTTTAATAATTCGATTGTAAAAACATTTTCAATTTTAATAAAAAAATGTTCAGTATTAAACTTGTGTGAATATTTTTTTATTATAAAAATGATTAATTATTTACAAATATCTATATATGAAATTTTTATGTCATAATGTTGCGTTTTTAAATAAATGATGATTTAATTTAATTAGCTATTAATTATTATATATATTACTTCTAGCTATTAATAATTACATATGTAACTATTATTCTATTCTATATTTATTAGCATTTATAAATTTTTTTTTAAAACTATAATTACTTAAAATTGATTATCTTTAATATACCATCTACAATTTACGGTAAAATGAGATGCGTCTTATATAATTATTAAATTAATAATTTCTAAATATCTGATTACATTTTTGAAAAATAGAACACTGACATGTTCTTTCTGACATCGGCCATTAACATGCATATATTGATATATAGAAATGACATTTACATTGAGAGACTGTTGAAAGAAATTTACATTGAATATCAGAAAATATCTATTAAAATTGTTATATGGTATTCAATCTAAGACTGCCATACCGACAGTTTCATTAATTCAGCGGACTCGGTAACTGACTATTGAAATGGTATATTAAAAACACTTATAAGCATTGAAAAGAGATTTCACATTGCAATAAGCTTAGATAATAATATAATACAAATGTTTCATGATTTTTATAGTGATATTTTATATATTTATTATTTAAATTTTCGAATTTCAATATAGTAACAAAAGAAGAAAATATTTCTTTTAAATACTATCTTTGATTTTATAATTAAAAATAAATTATTATAAATTTAATATTTTATTAAAATAATTTTAATTACAAAATTTACTTATTAATTTATTTAAATTCTTTTTCTATTAAAAAAAAATAAGAAAAATATATTTTAAAGGTTGTGTTATTTACATTATTGAGAAAAATATAAAGAAAAAATAATTTATCAGAATTATTCAATATTTCTAATAATATAAATAAAAAGAAATAATACAATATCTCTTATATTTCATTTAAATTGATATAATGATTACATTATTAAATTTAAAGAATTAAATATAAAAGTGATCTGTTTGTAAAATATAAATAATGTTATAGTATGACATTTAGATTTAATAGAGAAAATAATAAATATTACATAAAATTTTTTTATTTATATATTCATAATCAGAAAATGTGTAGGTTTCAATTTAAATGAAAAAAAAATTAAACCTTTGATTTTAGAAAGGTAATTATTAAATTAAAGGTATATTGAAAAATTTGAAGAGAAAAAGTGAAAACTGATCAAGGAAATTGATTTATATAAAATGGATATATTTAATATATATATATGAATTTTATAATAAAAAGTCTAAATTATTTTAAAGATTTGGTCTTAGAAATTATGAACAATTTTTAATAAAAAATATAAAAAAAATCTGAATTACTTACAAAAATAATTTAAAATAAAAGTAAGTGTCAAAATCAAATATTGAAATATATTATCTGAACAATAATGATTTTACAATCTTTATAAGAAAATCATTAATGATAACATTTACAAATATATTATTTATTCAATTGTTATAGAAGAAAATTTTCTAATAAGTAATTTCATATATATAAATTCTTGTACCGATAATGATTATATATGCACAAATATAATATAATATATAATATAATATATAATATAATAGAATCAATATAAGATACTTTTGAAGAACAAAATATTAGCTCATATTATCCTAACTTCTATATTTTTTAATTTGCTGTGCTTAATATGACTTTACTTTTCATTTAAATATCTTAAAAGCTGTGTTCAAGTTTTGAAAAGCAATAGAATGCGTAATTATTTAAAACAATTTTTTTTTAACTCAAATATATGTTACAAAAATATATTAGAGTAAACTCTTTCTAAAAGATTTATGTGAACTAAATAGTTCATTCAGTAAAATCTATTTATCACATTTTTTCAACAAAGAAGAATTATAAACCAGAATTTTTTGTGCAATTAATGTACAATTAATTTATTTAGCGTTAAGTGTAACTTATTAATATTACTTGTTAGAGTAAGTTTTTGATGGGTTCTTTATTCAAAATTTCCCACATTGTCTTGTCTTATCAACGTAGCCAAGCTATTAAATAAGTAGAATAAACATTAAACTTTTTATTTTTTACTATCTTTTTTAATTTAATCATATAAATTGTATATCCAAATTACCATTTCTTCATTTTTATCTAGAATGAATTATTTAATTATTATATATAACATTGATTATTCAGTGTACAAT